AGATTATTCAATTTTGAATCCAACAAAACAAATTTGAATTAATTTGGAGTCGTATTTTGAAAGTTATGATTTTTACAATTTTATAGAATTTTCTGGAATTTTTCTGAATTTATTTATATTTATTTTCGATTTTTAAATGTTTTAAATTAATTAAAAAATCACAGAAAGGGGTTATATGTCGCGCGTGTACACGTGGATGCGACGTGGTACTCGGGGGCCACGTGGCTCTGCCACGTGGACAGCACGCGGGTGCCTGCGTGGCGTTGATGTGACACGCGGCGTATTTATATTTACTATATATATTTATTTAATAAAGTATATAGGTCTTCCGATTATTGGAAGACAAAGTATTAATCCCTCTTAATCGTCATATCTTATATACCCGAATATACTCCTTTGTTTTTCCCGTGTGGGACTAAGTCCCTTAGTTTTCTTATGTGCAGGACGCGTGGCGTGATCTCGTGCGTCCGATCGACATCGCGACAAATAGCGTGCGTAGATCACGTGGAATCGAGGTCCACGTGATCAGAGATCAACCACGTGCCTAAATACTCACTTAAGTGAATAAATCGCGACCGTCTGATCGAGAGTTATAACGGTCCAGATTATTCACATCAGATGGACATCTAATCACATCTTAACCGCACGATCACGATCGGACGATCGTCGAATTGTCGTGACGATTCGTGAAGAGACGTCTCATCGCGATCGTCCATCGCGATCAACTCCATAAGATCGGACGGCCACAATCATTTACAAATTTTATAAAATCTGTTCTTCGCGACGGAAGAACTGCCCGTGATCAATCTTCAAATTCTCTTTGTTTAGAGCTCCAATTCGCGCGCCATCTTTTGCATTGTGTTAGAAACTCATTTCCTCTTCTGTTAGATGTTTAATTTCAATTTTTTATTGAAATAATTGGAAGAAATCAAGTCTTGAACTCCTCTTTCGTCTTCGAAAATTCGGAATGAAAAGCCTTGCATCCGGCGATTAATTGGATCATTTCGAAGGCTAATTTGGGTTAGATTTTTTTTTTTCATCTTAATCTTTCATCATTTAGTGTTAATTTTACTTTAATTATTGTAGATTAAGTTTAATTTAGTTTTAATTTCTGTTTTTAATCATTTCGCGATACGAAAATTTCTCTTAACTTCAAACTTCGATTACTCTTCGAATTCTCATCCAAATCACCTGATTTTTGATTCCGTGGATTCAAAATTGAGTTATCTTTCTTTATATACTAAATTGCTTAATTTCTAACCTAATTTCATCGTCCGATTTGACCGAATTTCAAAGATATCTCTCAAATTTCCCTAATTCTCCGTGGATTCGACCCTTAATTACCATTATACTAATTCATTACTTTGATTAATCATAAATTGGTAAGATTAGGACTTTGTTTTGACACTGAATCGTGTGCATTCAACGACCATACGATTTAGTCTCATCACTCAACATATACATCTTCATTCAAATAACTATTAAAAAATGCTGATTTAACATCAATTTGAAAAAAAATTCATTTCATTTGAGTTGCCACGGTTAAAACAATAGACTGTTTCAAATCTTATAACTGAAGAAAATATTTCAAAGTAATCAATACCTTGTAGCTGTGCATATCACTTCACTACTAACCTTGCCTTATATTTGTTAACATTTTCATCCGATTTATATTTCACTCTATAAAGCCACTTGACTCCAATTGCTTTTGTCTTTTGTCGTAAATCTGTCAACTCTCATATATCATTCTTCTCAATAGTTGTAATTTTTTCTTGCATTGCCTTCTTCCATTCATCTTTCCCTTGTGCTTCCTCATAATTTGTTGGTTCTACAATCATAAGAGCAAAAACATTTAATTCATAAATATCACATAAAGATTTTATCTTTCTCGGAGGGCTTAATGAATCTAGACTTGAATCATTTTGGCCATTAATACCACTTGCATTTCTTGAAGAAGATCTTGAAAGTGTGAGACATGAAGTAGAAGTTTCACCTATTGAATCTTCACCATTTTGCATAATTTGCTGCCCATTTTCACAAGAAGAAATTTGACAAATTAGATCTGCATCCGATTTCTAGCAAGCATATTCATCAAATATAATGTCACGACGAATCATTAATCTTTTTATTTCATAATTATATAATTGATAACCCTTACTCTCATCACTATATCCAAGAAAAATACATTTTTCACTCTTTTTGTCCATCTTACCATAATCATCAGCATCAAATAAAGTATAAGATATGAAACCAAAAACTTTTAAATGACCAACATTAGGCTTTCGATGACATCAAGTTTCATAAGGAGTCATATTCCTCACCACTTTTGTAGGAGATGTATTTAAAATATAAATAGAAGTTGTAATGACTTTAGTCCAAAAATCATTAAGGAGATGTTTCTCACTAAGCATACTTCTAGCCATTTCCACGATAGTTATATTCTTTCTTTCAGTAATACCATTTTGCTCCAGAGTTTTTATAATAGTGAGTTGTCTTTTAATTCCAATGCCTCTTATAAAATAACTCAAACTCATGAGAAATAAATTCTCTCCTTTGATCTGTTCAAAGAGTTTTAATAACATACCTACTTGATTTTTCAGCAAAAGTAATAAAATAAATAAACTTCTTAAATACTTCAGATTTATGAGAAATAAAATAAACCCAACTCATACGTGTGAAGTCATCAACAATCAATAAAAAATATCGACTACCATTCAAGGATAATGTCCTCATTAGACCACACAAACCAGCATATAATAATTCAAGAGAAAACCTTGTTCTCTATGATTTACTAATAGGAAATGATAATCGATGTTGTTTGTCATAAACACATCTTTCACATACTTTGTCATTTGCTGAAATAGAAAGTAAACCAACAACCATTTACTTGTGATGTAATAATTTCAATGCATTAAAGTTTAAATGACTATAAAGCATATGCCAAAGTAAAGATAAATTATTTTCTTTTGTAATCATGCCAAAATCAATAAGTCTTGAAATATCAAGAGGAAACATCCTCTTTCCAACCTTAGAAATCATCATTAGAGCCATGCCACTCTTCTTATACTTGATAACACATTTATCATCTTTGAAATGAACAATAAAGTCACATTTCAATAATTGACTCACACTAAGCAAGTTATGCGCTAATTTTGAAATAAAATAAATATCATGAATTAATGTATTTGCCCATGATTTAGTATGAACAGCCGTAGTACCAATACTGTCAATTTTCACACTATTTCCATCACCAATAGTAACATCACAAACTATAAAAGTGTCAATATTCTGAAAAAAAAAAAATTCACCTACCATATGATTGTTGCAACCACTATCAATAAATCATATATTTGATATAACTTGAGCTTAAAGAAATATTAATGGTAAACAACTTATTTTGATCATTTTCTTCAACAATATTTGTTTGCTCTTTTTTCTTGTCTCAACAATTTGCTTCAATATGACCATACTTCTTGTAAAAATTACACATTAGTATAGAATTCCCTTCTCTCATATTTTCTTGTTGTTTTACCTTTGCATAACAAAATGCTTTAATGCGACCATATTTCTTGCAAAATAATATTGCATAATTTTGTAATTTGATTTCTGATTTTGTTAGTTTCTTCCATCATTTCTTTGCTGCCCATAATATGATCTACCATGTCCTCTTCCACGGCCTCTATTTTGATAGTGTCCTCTACCACGTCCTCATTGTGTAGATGTACCTTCACTATTTTTTTTATTCTTTGAAATTTCAACATTTGCTTGGAATGCTTGTTCAATAGATTTTTCCTTTTACTTACTAATTCATTCTTCATGTGCTAACAATGTTCCAGTCAACTCATTTTGGGTATAAATAGATAAATCCTTAGATTGTTCAATGGCAGTAATAATATGATTAAATTTATAAGGTAAACTTCTTAAAAGAATTTCAATATTTTTTTTTCAAAAATATCTTCACCAAATATTCTCATTTGATTTATTATAATAACAACAACTCTAGAAAAGAAATTATGCTCTGATTGATCTGATTTCATAAAAATATTTTAAAATTCTTGATGAAGAGTTTGACGCTTCACATTCATAACAATATTATCACCATGAAATTCATCTTTCAAAAAATTTCATGCTTCAAATGAACTTAATGTATTAGTAATTAGTGAAAAAATTACTTCTAAAACTGATTGTTGTAAAACTAATAATGCCTTAACATCCTTTTTATGAAATTCTATATTTTATTGTATTGAAGTTTCTCCTTCTTTATTTCCACTCTCAACTAATTCTCATAGATCTTGAGAAATAAAAAATGTCTTCATTTTAATGCTCCAGAAATCATATTTCTCTCTATTAAAAAACGAAACAAGGGGTTGTGATAAATTTAGGGGATTACCATTCGTCATCTCACCATCTATGACGATATCTCTTCACATAAATGTTGATTTAAATCTTCAGAATCTTTGCTACGGCAAGAAATCTCCATAAATCCAAAATAATTTTCACAAACCTCAAATTTCTTCTCTTACGATGATACTGGCCTCTCCATAGAAAAACTAACATGTAATATACGAACCTAGCACTCTGATACCACTTGTAGGAAATTCTATATGAAATGAGAGAGAGAGAGAGAGAGAAGAGTATTTATAGTCACACATTAAATAGACTGGCCTCTTATGGCCCACTAAAAGACATGATGACTTTAGCCCACTAAAAGATAAAAAAGGGCTTAATACAGACAAAAAAATGAGAAATATTTTTTGTATTAAATACTAACAATACCCAACCCCAATCCATCACCCAGAAGCTCTCCTCACCCAGAATTTCAACCGGAAGAATGTTAAAGAGCTGCTTTCAGAACATGACAGTAAGATATTATTCATGACTTCGGACAGATCCCCTGGATGACAGCTCCCAGTACTTGACCTACTACCCAAATTTAAAGGTTATAAATGACAACATTAAAAGCAGGCCTCTACTGGGAGTGTGCTGATGTTGACCGGCCTTCAAGGAAGAAAGGTTAGTCGGGTCTTGGGTGTGCAAACCAGCCGGTGAGCTCTCGTTAGGGTTGCCCCGTGCCCCTCCGTCATGTCCGCCACCCCACCCACGACACTCATGTCGAAGCACTGTATCACGGTCGCCAGGGTAGTCTGAATCAGCGGCAGTGCCAAGGATGACCCGGACATATCCTCCTGCCGGCCCCAAAGGGCAAGAGATGGAAGTGCTGCCCCTTCACGTCAACGCCGAAACTCCGCCCACTGGCCGTGAACCTCTCCGGCTGAAACTCCAGCGGGTTGTCCCAGTGGGTCGGGTCTCTCCCAATTGCCGAAACATTGATCGCGACTCTGGTGTCGGCCGGAATAGAGTAGCCCCTGGCCTTGCACGGGGCGTTCGAATGACGCGGGAAGATGGGAAAGGCGGGGTGGAGCCTGAGCGTCTCTTTTACGATCGCCAGTAGGAAGGGAAGGTTTGGTACGTCCGACTCCTCCACCAACCTCGATAACCCAACAACCGTGTCGATCTCTCGCCTTGCGTCTCGCAGGATGGTGGGATGGTTTCTCAGCTCTGCCAAGGCCCATTCCACCGTGACGGACGTCGTGTCTGTGGCGCCCAAGAGAGATCCTGCTTGGAAAGGAAACGAAAGTCAGGGAAAATCGACTGCAAAACCGGGTTACACGGAGGACCGTGAAATCCCGACAGAAAGCTGAAGAGGATGGTGGTGGTTTTAGCTCTCGTAGTTACGTGAATCAGGCTATTAATGTGCTCTCTGGTCATCCGCTTCTCCGTACTCCCCTCCTTCGATATGTGGATGTCGAGAAGCACCTGGAGACAACGGGCAGCTCCAGCAGCAGCAGTCTTAGGGGGGTTCTCTTTCCTTGCATTCTCTTCCTCCACGAGGATCCGCTCCATCAGATTGTCGAAGCTGCAGTGAACCTTGTCGGCCCTCCTTCTGAGCTGCTGCAGATCGATGTTCCCACAGAATCCGACGAAGTCCGCCACGTTCGGTGTGCCCATGACAGTCATCGTTTCCTCCACTATATTCATCATTTGGTTCACCTCTCCGTCCGTTTGGCAAAAACTCCTCCCCACGGTCATCTGGCAGATCACGTTGTTGCTGAGACTCTTAAGAGCCGCCCCGAAGTCCACGTCTTGTCTCCTCTCAGCTTTTTCGTACAACAGTCCCAAGAGCTTTCGTACCTCCTCTTTCCTGATCCACTGGAGCTCCTTCAAACTCCCAGCTCCCAGCGCCTCCGTCACGCCAGCTTCTTCATGAACCTCCAGTAGTCACCGTAGGGTGAGAAGACGAAGCTACGACCTTCGTAGGTCAGGCGGGTTATAGTTTCCGCGGCTTTTCGGTCGACAAAGCACTTTTCGTGCTCCCTGAGAATATCTCTGGCGGCGGCTGCGTCGGAAGCCACGATAAAGGGGACGGAACCAAGCATAACGTGGAGCAACGGACGGAGGATCGCTGAGAGCTTGTGAAAAGACTGATGGACTCTGTAGCCGATTAGGTGTAAGTGCCCAATAACCGGCAATGCCATGGGGCTGGGGGGGAGGCTGGGCTTGGGTTGGAAGTACGAAAAGAGCTTCATGATGAAGAAAAGAGAGACGAAGCCCAAGAGGACGACGGTAGCCCAGGGCAACAGGTCCTTCATGTCTGAGAGAGATGAGGGATCTTGGGTGACACCAGATGTTAGCACGCAGGCCTTAGGCTTTTGTCGAGCATCGATTTATAGAGGTTTACATGCACGATTTGCCGATGGGAAATCGTTCGGTTAGATATCATTTTAGTGTTCAAGTCACCGGCCCATAAATGTTGCTTTCAATTTTTAAATATCTGCAAACGGCCAATTAAGTAGCGGACGGACGAAGCGTCAGCGGTCAACGACGGGCCTGATACGGAGATGCCCTCGATCAGAGGAGAGAAAACTCTACGGCCGAAGCGCGAAATGTTTAACCTGAATTATTTTAATAAAAAATAACTTTCGATGTGAAGCCTAGCGGACCGATTTCTTCGTCAGCGTTGCGATCGGGCAGTTTGCCGAAAGTCGTACTGAAGCTTACGGTTGAGATGGGGACAACCCCTTCGTCTTTCTCGCGCCCTTTTCGTCCTTCTTTGTTAACCATCTCTGAAAGAACTCTCAGTTGCAACTGCACACTCCGGAGCTGCGAGTTCCACCGTCTTCAGCGCGTAGCAATGAGTCAATTTGTTCCGTGAATTTTAGTTAGAGTCGTCATTTATTACCACAGGAACCTTCTTTGTCAAACGCATCAGTACCGCCCACGAATTCGATTTCGGGTTGTCGTATCTTGCCCAGGGATTTTCTTTGCGCCGTTAATTCGTATAGAACCATTGAACCGGGCGAACCAGAAAAGAAAGCAGTATGCATTATATGGCTGCAGTTTCTGTCTACAGATCGATGTAACTCGATCATATCCTACCACAGCATGGGACCGTACAGGAGGTTCAGCTTGACTTGGAGGTGCACAAAGAGTTTCAAGATGAAGATGAGCGAGAAGAAGCCCGTGAGGACGATGCTAGCCCAGGATGGCAGTTCCTCCATTACTCGGAAAGATGGTGGGGCTCAGATTCACTGCATCAAGTACTGAATCCATTGAGAGATGTTTGCCTGGACTTCCCCCTTTCCCTTTATTTCACTTTGGAGACTGGATACGAGTACTCACATAGTCTCGCCGTCTTATTGTCAAAGTGATATCACAAGGGAGCTAAGGGAGAGAGAAGTCAGACACAAGGCATTACTTCCTAATAACAATAAATAGGGTATCAGCAACTCTCCCATTTGGTGGCTTTGGTTGCGAATTATTCTCTCCCATTTATTGACACACTTTATTCCTCTTCATAAGTACTGAATCTTCTCTTTCCGGTTTAGTGGTCAGAAGGTGTATTACACTCTCTGTACTGCATTTAATCTATGGTGCATGTTTCTCTTTTTTCTTCCTTTTTAATATCATCTATTATTTATGAATTTTATATTTGTGCCCCTTCCACTATAATACTAGGCCATCATATTCATATTTTGACCCCCATTTTCCTAAAACGTAAATATCAGTTCATCGTTGGTTTCTAACTTTGGTATTTTGAAAATGACGAAGGTGTCTATAAAACCTGATATTGAAAAATTTGACCGAAACATGAACTTCAGAATATGATCGGTTGAGATGAAAACTTTATTGACCCACATCAAAGACTGCAGAAGTTACTACTTAGGAAGGAGAAAGTAGCAAAAATATATACATGAAGAAAAATAGAAACTAGATGAGAAGGTTTTCATTATAATTCAATTAATCTTGTCAAATGAGATTTTATGGGAGATCATTTATGAAAAAATAATATTCACTATGACCAAGTTTGAGTCATTTCATGTGATCAAGTCACTTATTACCAGCTCCTTTTGAAGCAATGCATTTTTTTTAAGATGACTATTATTTTGTTCTTAATCTCAGACAAGTAAACACTTCAAAAAGCTTACTTTATCCGTAGAGATTCTATCTATATTGAAGATTTTAAACATACTTTGTCTTATAAATTTTTAATAGATAAAGATATGAGTTGTGATTGTCTAGAAGGATGGCAATTTTGAAAAGCTCTATTGCTAGAGATCAATTTAAGACAAGAAATTAATCTCTAAATAAAAAAGAGGACTTTGGATCTAAATCAAAATTCATAAATAAATTTTCTAACTATTGTTTCTATAAGGAATATTTGAATATTTCTTACTAAAAACTAAAAAGAAAGCATCAAATTGAAGATTCAAAAGAGTTTCCTTGCGTTGAAAGTTTAGCACATGTTAGCGTTGTGAAATAAGAGAGTGATAATTTTATTTTCTCCATCTAGTCTATTAGATTTAAAGATGATTGGATATTAGATTCAAGCTGCTCATATCATATCACTATGAATGGAGAGCTTCATTCACCTAACTACGACAACTCCACCATCACCATCTTCTTCCACTTTCCGTCGACATTTTACGGTCCTCCGCGCAACTGGGTTTCACGTTCCATTTTCTTTGGCTTTTGCTCCCTCTCTAAACAGGATCTCTTTATGGCCAGCACGGACACGACGTCTGTCACCATAGAATGGGCCTTGGCGGAGCTGCTAAACAACCCGGCGGCCGTCCTGAAGGATGCAAGGCGAGAGATCGACTCGGTGGTCGGGGTATCCAGGTTGGTGGAAGAGTCCGACATTCCAAGCGTGATCTTTCTCCCGTCGATCGTCAAAGAGACCCTCAGGCTCCACCCTGCCGTTCAGGGGCTACGACATGCGCCGGGAACGTGGATCGAGATCAATGTTGGTAGATTGGCAGAGACCCGACCCACTGGGAGAACCCGCTGGAGTTCCGGCCGGAGAGGTTCACGGCCAAAGGGCGGAGCTTCGGTGTTGACGTCAAGGGGAAGCACTACCATTTCTTGCCCTTTGGCAGCGGCAGGAGGAGGTGCCCCGGTATATCCCTGGCGAACGTGATACACTGCTTCGACCTGAGTGTCGAGGGCGGGGCGGTGGACATGACGGAGGGACATGGGGGGTCATTGCATAGGGCTCACCCGATGGTTTGTACACCCAAGGTCCGGATAACTCTCCTCCTTTCAACACCGGTCATCAGCACCAGCACCGGGGACGAGGCTTCCTTTTAATATGATCGTCACTGAGTGTTGAATCTGGATATCCGGTCAACTACGTCCGGTTGACATAAAAGGGATCGGTCCAAAGTCGAGAATAACGGCGTTCTATTATCTCATATAAATTCGAGTGCTAGGCTATACTTATTACCTATGTAACGTATGTGATTTTCTTGTTCTGAAAGCAACTCTATCACATTTATGAGTGACATTGTGACTCCTGAAGGAAGTATTGTATCACATGCCGACGTCCTGAGTTTGTGGATGATCTTCAAGGGTTGATATCGCTATCTTTGTTTTTTTCTGGTTTACACGTCAAGATCATTGCCTTAACGAGAAATAACATGTTAACGTTCAGGCAGGCAGGCAGGCAGGCAGGCAGGCAGGCTTTTACACTTAAACCTATGAGATTCTAACTTGATTGTTTAACGTTCAAGTCCTTCTATCTCAACGTGGGTTTAATGGATGAATTTATTTGTTGACTTAGTATCACAGTTACCTTATAGATCTTGTTACCTTTCCAGGCCATCTGGGCTGTTCCTCCCCAATTTTAATAGTCTGAGTTCTCATAGTCTGCCTTAGACCTTTCAGGTCTGACTTCTTACCCAATACAGAGCACCTCCTAGGTCAAATAGCTTCATAACCCCTTTAACTTTTTTGTAGAACCTGAAATTTTCCATTTTCTTACAAAACTTTGCAACTGTGAGAAAGAATATACAAATACATGCTCTGTTGGTATATCCTAATCTAAGTGATGATAATCTTTCAACACTGTAATGGTTAGTGATTGTCAGAGAAGGCGCCGGCAATAGCAAGAGAGCCATTAGGTAGGGAGAGAGGAGCCATTAGGTAAAGGCCAAATTTTGTGATAGATTAATTTGTGAATGGATATAGAGTTTTCTAACAGTAGAGTCATAGCCGAAACTGGATACAACTCACTAGTGAATAGAAAAGATGTAATTATAAAAATAAAAAATAGTATATACATAAAAAAAGAAAAGTTATGGTATAATTATAATCTCTCATTTTCTGACATTCCCCCTCAAGATGGTGAATAGATGTTGTCCAATCTTAGATTGGGTGTGAGCTTCTGACGTTCTAGTTCACCTAATCCTTTCATAAGAATATCTATCAGTTGTTCAAAAGCTTGAGATATATGGTGTGCAAATGATGTCACTATCGAGTTTTTCCTCGATGAAGTTTCAATCAATCTCAATATTCTTAGTTCTACAACCTAATCAACCCTGTCATTTAATTCTAAGGTCCTCTAAGATTCCTTTTACCCACACACACACACACACATAGAGAGAGAGAGAGAGAGAGAGAGAGAGAGAGAGAGAGAGAGAGAGAGATGTTGGTTGGTCACATAAGTAGATACTATGCATTTAAGGAGTTACCTATGAGACAAAAATAGTTAGCATTAGAATACCAAAATGATTAGGGAACTAACATGATGGATCCTTAGGGCCTCCTTGATGATGGCTTGCAAGAAGGGCAGGTTGGGAATATCCGACTCCTTCAAGCGCCACCCGATTGGATGAGCTCCACCAAGGGCCACTTGGTCTGATGGGCCCTTTGTCAGTCCCAACCATGAAAACATATTGTGTTTCTCTTTGGGCCTAACAAGGCACTCAACTAAGGGCCCATTGGGCCAAGTGCAGACCCAACAAGAAGAGGAGTGGCAGTAAAGAGAAACACGTTCTTGTTAGTTCTTCATGTTATGTATGAGGGATTACTTTCGTAGTCTCTCATGAGATGAGAGAGGACATAAATACTCACACAAAATTGTAACCATCGTGGTGTTTTGAATTAATCTCCAGAGTCTCTCTCTCTCTCTCTCTCTCTCGCTCTCGCTCTCTCTAAGCATACCAAGTTTGACTTTGACTGCACCCAATGACAAGTAGAGGTCGCACGTCAACATGAGCTACTCCTCCCCCGGAGATGATTCCCCTCTTCTCTCCAAAATATCCGACCAAGTCAACCGGTCAACTTCCCCTCGCCAAGAATATTTTGTCTTCTCCTGCCGACAACAGTTTCCACCCTCTTATTTGCAAGCATCACTACTATTTTTAGTAAAAGGAAGTGTCCACTCGGACGGAGGAAGAGGGCGGATGGTGAGAGACCAAACGTTTTAGAGAGAGAGAGAGAGACTTTTAGACAAAGACGGTGGTCAGTCAGACAATCTCTCTATAAATTGAGAAAACATGATTCACAATTCAAGTGATTTACAGTGAGCAATAACTAATAACTAATAATCATGTGACCTATTTTCCCAGCAATTATAATTTTCGAATGATCTCTCTCTCTCGCTCTCTCTCTCTCTCTCTCTCTCTCTCTCTCTCTCTCTCTCTCTCTCTAAACGTTTGGTCTCTCACCATCCGCCAGTCTGGACAATCCAAAGGCCCATGGAATCACCCCGGGAGAACCAAGATAACCAGAAAAAACCAGAGACGAGCAGATAATGGCATTCAGGAAATACCCAATATCCATGGAACGAGAAATCAAGCTTGACAGAGAAACCTCAACTTACATGCATGAGTAGCGCTTATACACCAAACTGGAGTCCAGAGAGAGAGAGAGAGAGAGAGGGTGAGGGAGACCTGGTATTCACAACATGCTGTCGGTTCTTGCGGGCAATCGCCGGAAGAAACTGAGGAGCGGAGAGGGGAGCTTGGAGCGAAACCTGGGATGCCTGAGAGAGTACAAGCCGAGAAAGGAGACCACCACAGTGAAGGGGGTGACGTAGAGGAAAACAGAGGCGATGAGGCAGAAGGTGAGGAAGAGAGAGGTGGCCCTCGGGTCCCTCCAGCTGAGCAGCGCATGCACCCTCTCCCCCTGCGTCGCCATGTCCCCAACCACCGTCTGTATCTTCCCTGAAATGCTCCTCAATCGGTCATACCTTGAGCGGACGATCTCTGGTGGGCGGCTCACAGGGAACGAGTCGAACTCCTCGTCCAGTTCATCTGGGTGCACACTCTCTGCGTGAGAAAGCCGTACGTCCATCTGGGGAGGATGCCTCGGCTTGAATCTGAAGTAGTAGATCCCCACCATGGACAGGTAGAGGAAGATCGTTGGGAGGATCAGCTCCGGGTACATCACCAGGATGAAGAAGAGGATGTGGATCAGCACCGTGGTCAATGGGTTCTTCCAATGGCAGACCTGATTGAACCACCGGGCCACCGCAATCAGCCCGCCAAGCACCCCCATGATCCTGAAGAAGTTGGCCTTGCTCTTCCGCATGCTCCACATGTGGGAGTCAACGTCCAGCATGTACTCCACCACCTCCTTGCGCAGCGGCGGCTCGGCCCGGCCCAGCCGTGTCGACACGATGTGGGTGGCCTGGTGGCGGAGAGTGTCGAGCTGGGTGACCGACAGCGGGTGGAGGTAGTGCATCTTCGGGAGCAGCGGCTGGGAGTAGATGTACATCAGGTTGACCAGTGAGGAGTACGCGAAGCGGACCACCAACTGGAGCTCCCCCATCTTCTTCAACCCCGTGGGTTGCAGTATCAAGAGCTGGTAGGAATGTTTGTGGACCCGATTGGCCTCCAGTGTGGAAAGCCGAATCCTGACCTTACCGATCTTCAAGTCCTTGGCGGCCTCCTTGTTGTCGTCGCCACCCTGAAGCTGGGAATTGTCGAAGACTCCGATGGTGATGACGGTGGAGGGATCGTAGACCTCCCAGTGGTACTGTTCATTCCATTTGGGGGAGAAGCTGCTCAAGATGGTACTTGTGCGCACCCACTTTTGGCCATACTTGGCGACACAGTAGGCGTCGGTGCTGCCTCGACCATCCTTAGTTTTCATGGGCAGCAGCCCCTGCGCTGACAAGATGCCCAATTCCAGGACCCCGATGCTCGGTTTCCACAGCTGCCGGGCCGATGGCCTGAAGTCGCTGCTGTAATGGGTTGACTCGTCCAGGACGTGGTAACCACCTTCCAAGCATATGCGGAGGTGAATTCGGCTGGAGAATTTGGTCTCCTTCTTCTCCCCCTCCTCAGATCCACCACCGGGCTTCTCGAGATGGTACCACCTGCTGCTCACGGGCTTGTTATCCATCCTCTTGTCCACGCTCTGCAGGTGTATCATGGCCTTGCCTAGGACTTCTTCTTTGTTGGCCTCCACTCTGTCCTCCACGGTTAAAACCAGGTGCTCTTCGAAAGGCTCGGCCACCACAAACATCACATCCTCATTCCACAAGGGATTAACATTCTTGACATGGGGGGTCTTGGTCTTAAGGGCTTGATTCCCAAGAACAGCCCTGACGAAAAGCTCAGGAAATCTGCCCTTATCTTTGGGTTGCAGGTCCTGGGCTTCGATCACATTAACCCGCAGATACCAGAGCTTGGGGGAGAGGTACACCTTCGGTCGGATTTTGCCAACACCATCGCCAGGAATGTTGGCCGCATCTGAATGCCACGCCTCTGTGAACGCCTCATCAGCCTGGGTGCCTATCCAAACCGCGAGCATGATCTCCCCTTTGACCTTCTCCCCCTTCTGATTTTCCAATCTGTACCACTGCGGAGCCAGCGGGCTGTCTGGAGGAACCCGTTTGGGGACGTCATTGAGATCGAAGGTCACCTTGCCGACGAAATCATCCTTGATTAGGTCCTTGTCCTTCACCACAACCTCGACCGTAGTAGCTTGGATGCGGTCCTTGGAGAAGGCAAACACCTGATTGTACTCGGGATTCGTCTTCTTCTCGAAGTGGCGGGTAGTGCCCTTGTAGTTCCCGAGTTTCACTTCCACATAGGGGTCACAGCTTCCGGTGATATCCATCGATGGCAGATCCTTGGCTTTGACGACGCGGACATACAGGTACTGCATTCGCTCCACGAGGTCATGAGTGCTGCTCGACTTGTCCCCTGTTGTCCAGTAGCCGCCGAGGAGGGGGGAATTCTCCTTCTGGGAGAACTCCCCGCGAGAGACCTTCTGCATCATCTCGATCCACGAAGCGAAACAGGAGAAGACGATTGCCGGAGGAAGGCGATTCAAAAACGATCTCGGAACCCTCGCACGCCGGGATCTGAGACGAGAAAGAAAGCCGTCATCGCGACATCAAAACTAGGCGGAGAAGACCTGGCGTACTCCCCTAACCTGATGGTTTGATCAATAACTAAGCGGGGAAATACCTTCAGAAGGGATTACTCCTTTCCGCAATGCTTGTATCTGCGCAACAACACCTTCCGAATCAGATCTCCCTCAAACCTCTGCAAATCACAAAGAGGTCAATCGTAAGAATATTCAGATCTCAGATTCACAGAACAAGAACCAGGCATTCACATCCACCTACCGGCAGGTGAGAGAGACGGCGAATCAGGAAGAAAAAGAGCGGATTTATTTTTTTTAAGAGACCGAATTCGAATCGCCCGCGGAAAGAGAACGCCGTCACTCCGCCAGGAGAAGGAAAACCAGCTCCCCGGAAAAAACCCTACCCCCAGAATGTCGAAGGTCTTCGAATGGCCAAGAGAATATGCGAGCCCTCCCCACATTGAGAATTACAAAATAGAAAAAAAAAACTAGAGCAAACAAGAGACGGCTATGGAGATCCATGCCTGAATCCTCCGCTCCCTCGATGGCCGCTGGCGCTTCCAAAACTCATCCGCTGACGGACCTCGAGTCACCTCTACAGCGGTGGAACAACCCACAGGGAGAGAGAGAGATGGACTAATGTAAACAGGCTCGTTATATGGGCACGTGCCAAAATCACCGCGTCGTAAACACACGTGTGAAGACTCTGCCGGCGGTTATGTGGGCCCCATGGGGGAAACCTCCGTCCCGTTTAATTGAGTTTGACCCCAGGCCGCAATCCCACCGACCCCCGATGACGTCACGGTCAAAAGATTAATAATTTAAAAATAAATTTGCTAAATAAACCGACTCCTTTAATTTCTCATTTGTGGCGTGACGCGGGATTTTTTTTGGCCTTTTTACTAAATTACCGATAAGTTAATTTATTTCCTATTTGGGCCACCGACATAGGAAATTATTCACTCTCTCTCTCTCTCTAACTAATTACTTGCATCTATTATAATATAATTTGAGGGAAAAGACTAAAGTAGCCTCCGGCAGCATCCTAGCCATTTTGGCATTACTGAGGATCGTCCTGGGATTACTCTTCTTTTTGTCTTTTTTTATTAAATTAATGATAAACCATTTATTTTTCATCTGGACCAGTGAATTATGAAATTATTCTCTCTCTCTCTCTCTCTCTCTCTCTCAATCAAAATAATTACTTGCAGTTAATATAATATAAATGGAGGCAAAAGACTGAATTACCCTCTGGCAGTCACATTTTAGAGAGAGAGAGAGGCCAACGAACCGACCGGAAGGAGAGAGGCGATTGGGCGATGCCTCCCCGTTGAATGGGCAGTAGATGGAGAGGGGCCGTCAGCTCTCTCTCTCTAGACTCTGGAGAGAGAGAGAGAGAGAGACGGGTCAGGTGGTGACTCTTCACCGCACCCTCTCCCTCTCTCTATCTCTCCTGTTTATGGGAAGATACGTAAAGAGTGGGTGGGTGGGTGTGTGCTTCTCAGGCACTTTGACCGGGCCCTACAGAGTCAACTGGAGAGAGAGAGAGAGAGAGTCTCCACCAGAGGCCCCCCCCCCTCTCTCTCTCTCTCTCGCGTTTATGGGAGGATATGTAAATAGGAGGTGTGCTTGGCTGGCACTCGGGCTGGGGCCCACAGGATCTGTCGTTGTCACCCTACGTATCGACGTCACCGCGAAAAAAACGTAACCAACTGTGGAAGAGTCGCTGGATGGACAAATCCCCCCGAAGATTTTCAGCTTTCCTGTAACATCATATTTATTGATAAGTCCCTCTATAAGAATATTTTTTCGTGAATCTCCATAGATTACTTGATCCTCGTAGTTAGGTCCCCAAGGTACTTGGGTGACGCAGGAAAAAAACATAATGGGCTGAAAATACATTTAGGCCGGCCCATATATATAAAAAAACTTATCCATGTCAAAAGCCGGGCCCGCGAAAAGTCTCGCAGCTGTGAACGGTAGAACGGTCGGTGGTCGTCCCTCCCGATAGTCACTCCCTCCGCTGCCCGCTCGTCGCCGGAGCAAGCGCGAGCCGCTGCTCGCCGGCGAAGCCCGCCGCCGCCGTCGTCTGTGTTGTACGCAGGTTTGATCTCCTCGTTCTATACGTTTTCAGATCGAACGCCGTCTCCCCGCTCGGATCGAAACGGAGGAAGGGAAGAGGAGATGAACGAGGAGCCGTTGGACCCCTCAGGGGGGGCCTCCAGGAGCCCTGCTCCACCGGTCCTCCTCCGGCCCCGCCGCGAAGTGTTCGAGTACGGGCTGCTTCCCATTCCCAAGCTCATCTTCACCGATGGCACCTCCACGCTGGAAACCCTCAAGAAGAAACTTCTCGAGAGGGCAGTGTCGCGCCAGCAGACACGAATTGACGCCCGAGGTGTTGCGGAGGTGCTGGACATATCGATCGACCATGCCCTCCTCATCCTCGACACGCTCGCATCCGTCCTTCCTTCCGATCCCGACCCCCACGCTCCGGAAGGGACGGCGGACGTGTATGATCTTGTTATATTCCTCTACATCCAGTCGTATAAGAGGCTGCTCCCCAAAGGACATAAGGATTCCACCTCGGTAGGCGACGTGTGGCCCCATTCGTCGCCGTTTGATAGATACCTCTCTGTACTCTCCCCACTACAGGTATTATTTTATCTTGCATATTCTTCATCATTTTCCTGTTATCTGTTCACCATAATTTATACTCTGTGCCGTAGTTTTTTTCAACTAGAAGTAGCTCTTTAATCTAGAGAAAATCAGAAGATCTTAATTTACTGTTGCGGAAAAGGGATGCGAAGCCATCTCTCTTCTGAGCTTTTCTTGCGAAAAAAAAGTTTCAATGACGGTTTATTTTTCATATTTTTTTAACTAGTATATTTGATTCGCATGACTCAATAGTGTGATATATGCGAAACCTCTGACAAAATAGCGAAGAATTCCGAACTATTAAAGCGTGCGTAATCTGATCATTCTCATCACTACTATGGTTGTGGTCTAATTTTATAGATGTGATCTTCTCCAAATTATGGGTTGTTTATTTTCACATCCTTCTTCCATTTGTTCTGTTTGAGGTTCAATATCTCCTGCGCCCTGAAGTTCAGTTTCTCTAAAGGTACCTTGTTTGTAGCCTTATGCGTTTTATGTGCTGTGCTCTCATGACTATGACATCTTACGAAGGTCCTGCTATGAACGACGTCACGCTTTAGCTTGTGAGATGTCACCGATTTGATAGCACAGTACACCATATGTATGTCGGAGCGTATTTGATGAACTCTAATCGGTCATCTTAAAAGAGTCCTAGCACCTTGTCATTTCTTTTATGGGGTTGACTCGTAATTCACATACATGTGGTTTTTCATTCCAGGAAATTAGTCATTTGATTGTAAAGGCACTCCTCAGTTATAAAAAGAAACCCTTCACACTCACAAATGTCATAATGCGGGATAGAAAACCGAGGAGAAATGCTGGATTAACGTGAATTCAATCTCAAATTTTACCGTCATGAATAAGTCTCAAGTTGAGCACTCAAAAACTCGAATAAGGACAATTGCATGGTGCAATGGAGAAAAATGGACCAAGTTGATATAGCATGGTTTTGTTCTTTTAATCAAATGCAAACCGAATCAATGCCTCATCCTGAAACAAACCAAGTTAGGAAATGGCAATTGAAAGAATGAAACTACATTTAAAAATAATTTTGCAGCGTGACTAATTTATAGTTGATATCATTTTGGCCTCCTTTGAGTTTTAGACTTATAGGGATCACTCATCATGTTTTATTTGACTCTAATTTTACCTTGGTGAGAGCTGTGTCTAATGTTAAGATTTATTATCTATTGCTGCAAGATCTTGTATTATGCAGTTGCATGTTACTTCATTTGTCTTTGATGAATGCCAACGATAAATCCGGTGAGTAATTCGTACCTGTGACCCATTCGTATCATTTCAGCATGGGGCCAGTTTGAGCGCAGAAGCTCCACTACCGACCATCATGTTCCCAATTTTTAGAATGGGCCCCAAACTTTATTGGTCCTTTTTTGTTAGATTCTTCGTACGAATAATAGAGGATCAGGTTCATTAATATATTTCTTTCCAGTTCTTGTACTGTATAATTTTAATTACCTGGTAGTATAATGGATTTTTTTGAAAAATATGATTAGTTGGTTCTTCATTGACTGATTGAATTTTAACATCCTTATAAACCTCTTCATATTTGGCTGATAGCATTTAAGGTGTAATATTTTTATCATCACAATGAATGTACATGTGACATGAATGTTTTCTTTTTGGTATCAAAGCTTGTTCGCAGCAACAGTCGTCGCTCTGTGCCATCTCAAACTGATGAAGAGGCCCACCAGCTTTCTTACTTACAAAAACATCTTCCCAACATACTTGATCTATTGGCAGAACCTGTTGCAGGGGATGATGATGAATCTCTGGTTAGTAAAAACGAGACATTTCTATTTTTATAGACAATCTAGGAAACCATTAGTCACTGATATTCAGGAACGTATGTTACTTAACTTGTACATATGATTGGCTGGTAATATTTCTCTTGTTTTGTAAAATGTTGGATTTAATAATCGACATGTCCCATGGCTTATTTGTAGGTTTTGACCCACGAAAGATTTGAGCACCTTGGGTTTCTGATTCAGTTTGGTGAAAAAAAATTCGGAGTTCCTTTGACTCAGGCGGCACATTTTTTTGCAAACTCGGATCCAGACATGCCTAATGCTCCTGCACCAGCTGCACAGATCCTTGAGTGGATTTTGCAAAACGTTGCTGCTTCATTGGAGGATACCGCTGAGAGAATGACCACAAAAGAAGATATCCCATTAAGTGGCTCAGATATGGATGCTTTCATACCCGATGCTTCCATAACTCAGGTGAGGGTTGAAAGCAATATCTCTCGGAATGTCACCTACTCAAGAAGTCAGACTTTTGTGGAGGGCATTTCTAAAGCTTCTGTGATAAAGCGTCCTAGTGATATAAAAGGAAACTCTGTGAAGGTGAGAGATGAAGCCTAGACATCTTCATTAGCACAGTGTCATCAACGGAACACAATGGAAATTTTAATTTTAATGGCAAATGAACTTGGTTCTGATTTTTACTTCTTTACTCTGGTTGAGCTTTTAACATATAAAAGCGTGACACTTTCACGTTTACAGGGACCCTGACCATATTGTTGAGCCAGCTAGTTTGCTTTATTTAGGTTTTCTCTGCATTTCTTTCCTGTGTAAGTCCACACTACTGGTAATGTTTAGCAGGAAAAATATGTATGGACGGGATGTTTGTGGAAGGGTTTAGGGAAAACGCTCTCTTCTTAGGAAATGCATAAGACCTGCAAAATGCTAACAGAAAATCCATTTCTCATTATGAACTCTTGCATTAAATGGTTCGCTACATTTATTTAAACTTTGGATCTCCCATTAGAGACAAAAGAATATCTTTGGGGTTCTCCATTAGGATCAGAAAAAAACACCCTTGAACTCTTCAATTCTCTCTTTGGATTGTAACAGGCATTTTAAGTTAGAAATCAATCATTGCAACTCTTGAACGCGTTTTTTGGGCTTAACTACATATTTTGATTAGGACACTCAGAAAAGGCAGAGGAATAATGATCTAATAGAACACTCGGTAATTTTCCTTCTCTAGGTTCTGTTTAGTTAGAGAGTGTCAATAGCATCAAATCTTTTAAGGTTCTCGAATGTTTGGGGATAGAGTCTGAAATACTGGTAAGCTTAACTCTTAGTCCAGTGCGATGGAGGCCTGAATAAACTATAGATGTAACAAACTGCTGAAGGTTCGTGGAGACATGTATCATCCCTCCTAAGTAGTCTCCTAGTTAATCCTGTGCTCCTAGAAATATGACTTTTTGACAAGTCATTCCTCGTGGGATTTTTCTCTTAACGAAGAGGAAGTTGTTTATTTTAGTTCAGTATGTGTCCAGGATGTGCTGAACAGGTTTTCTGGATCTGTTTCAACGTCCGACCAGGTCCTGTTGCAGAAAAGGCCTCCCTGCATAGTCTGCAGCCATCAATAGCTTCAATTACTGCATTGCTCCCAATGACTGGCATATTCTCCTATCCTTATCTCTTCATTTTTCTATAGCTACATGTTTCATTCCTTGATCCGTATTCGTTCCCGAATTCCAATGTGACCCAATTAAGTTAGTTTTTTAAGGGTATATTTTTGGTCCATGAACACCTAGTTCTTCACACCTGATTAAGTTTACGTCAAAACAGCTTCACTATTGGATCCCTTTGTGGAAAAACTTCGGATTTAGTATTTGGTATGCTGGTGCCTTTGTAATGACTATTTTTAGTACCTTCCAAGGAATCTCAATTTTTCTTAATACATACCTTTCAGAGACTCATTGAACTTTTTCAGATTTATGTGTCCTTTTTCCTTTAACCAGAGGTTTTCCCCACGTGGGTTGCATGCAAGTATCCACTGTTTCAGAGTGTTTTTTCTGTAGCTCCATGTTAATTTGATCATCCTTGGGGAGATTCCACCCAGTGATTGAATGGGAACTGATTATGCTGATCTTTTTGCTGCCAATATCCAGTTTTTTCTGATTTTATTGTTTTTTTGTTAAAATTAACATGTTATCTCATACTTTGGCATGCACAACAGCTTAGATGTGATCATAAATTAAAAGTGTTCATCTTTTATCTCAAAATATACTAGTTGACTTTCTTTCTTTGTACTGATTGATAAACGTCACTGCAGGTTATAAATTGCCACGATTCAGTTATTTATCTGCTAGCACCTGTGGGATATGCCACAATTTATGGATGCTCTGACACAACTATTGTTCTTGGTGCCATTGGGAAGGTATGCATGAGTTATTCATTCTGGAGGTCTGAATACCTCATAGGCTTTTGTTTTTGGCAGAGCAAATGATAAGTTAACGTTATGTTGTAGTCAGTATCAAATACATCCGAGTAAACGGTCAAGGATATTCAATAAGTTATTCTGTATCAATTTCGAATCAGGAACAAGTAGTGTCTGGTTTGAAACTTCTGATTGTTCTTCGGTGCCACATCAACATATCCCACCCTCCCTTATGAGAAGACAGGAAAAACTGAGCTTGTAAAGTGAAAAGAAGTACGTGTGACCTAGAAATGTAAAATCTATGCTGTGAAACTCTTACTTAGTATCTCCCATACAGTAAAAAGCCGTGGGCAATGAATTTTCTGGTTTACCTGCCTCAATTGGGCCTAGACTTCTTACTTCCAACGAATACTGCCGTTGGGGGAAAAAATAGGTAAGGCATGCTCTTGTCACTCACTGGAAGAGGTGGTAGAACGAGGAAAGGGAAAAAACTCGCCTGTGAGCCATCACCTATGAAGAGGCACGAGAGTCAGGTTCATTTATTAGAAAGGCCTTTATTCAAACTTTCGTTTTGCCCCAATCCGGATTGTATTGGCCCCAGCTGATTTAGGAATACAATTCGAAAGCATTTTTACTCATCTCTTGCAGCTACTGAAAAAAAACTTTAAATTTGACTAGTCAGCATATTACACAAGGTTGTGTGCATTTGCGTGCTAAATTTTTTATGGCTGAGTTTTTTTCATTGCATGTAATCTGATTGCTTCACCTCCTTTTTACGATTTTGAACAAAAGTTACAGTTTTGTGTCATCTTTTCAGGTTGTAAAGGTAGAACACTGTGAAAGGGTACAGGTTATTACAGCCGCAAAGCGTATCTGTATTGCTACTTGTCGGGAGTGTTTGTTTTTCTTAGGGGTAACTCAGCGTCCTCTGATTCTTGGGGACAACCACAATTTGAAGGTAGACCCTGTTTGTGTTTCTAGTACCTGTTCACTTTGATCACCAAGATTCCTGCTTTCACCTTTCTTGGTTGGTAGACCTTCCTATCAGAAATCTCTTGGGTCGTGGAAAACTATGCTACTTTGTCAGTCCTAGTGATATAAAGTTTAGAGAAACAAAAATTGATGAACGAGTCCACCGTGTTCTGACTGTTGTTCTGACGATAAGATGTATAAGTATCAAATGATTGGACTGTGGGATGATAGTCATTCTTGAAAACCTTATATTTTCACCAGTCTACTGGATATCATCTCGTCAGTTTCCTTATTGTGATGGCGGCGTGAATATAGATTTTGAGTTAGTCTGCTTTTGTCTCCAAGTCTGGCCTGGTCATGTGGCCGACATTGTTCAAATTTTCTCGTTGGTTCTATTTATTCAATTGTATTTTGATTTGCTAACGATACTAGATTTAGTTTCATACATACCTTTTTCTTATCCGTCTATTAGTAGCATATTTCTCTCTTATTGATATACTACATACAATCCCATCTAAAAACATATGTATAGTTATTAATCGAGTTACTGGATGCTGAACATGACTGACCATCTGTCCTCTATCGTGACTTTATGGTCTATCTAGATGTTTTCAACCTTATAAGTGGAGAAAGAGAAACTGAAACTGAACTGCGCCTCACCTTAAACCAGAATGATCTGATTTTCCATGCAAGGCTGCTGTCAGGAATGCCAGTCCACTGGGTACACCTGGAGGTGGTAATCAACCTTCAGAATTGCCATGGGAGTGGAACTAAGAACTAGATGAGCTGTGCAATTTGAACGCAGCTTACAATGGAGTTCACAGCGCCAAGTTTGTATTGCCTTGATGGAACACTGATGACAAAAACATTAAGAGTCTGCAGCGCTCAGGAGAGAAGCCAACGTGTATGCTTTGGATTTTTCCTCAAGAAGGAAACCTACTAGTCTGTGTCTGTGATTTCCTTTGCTCCAGGGACAGCAAACTATATCGTTTTTTTTTTATCTTAAATGCATCTATAATAGTAATAAATTCGTCCATGTTGTTTGAGTCCCAGTGTTAAGTTTGGAACTGAGAATTTTGCTCCACTTTTCCACAGGTGGCTCCTTACAATACATTTTATCCACAGTTAAATGAGCATATGGCTCAAGTGGGCTTAAATGCAGCTATCAACAGATGGAACGAACCTTTAGCCCTGGGAATGGTGGATCCACATGACTCTCTATCTCATCCGGCCGGGGTGTCTGATGTCCCAGCAGAGTCTGCGACATGCCTTGATCCTGACCAATTCACTAACTTCTTGGTATGCAATCTCTCTTCTCCCCATCCTTCTGTTCGAACTCGAAGGATCTAATCAACTGGAGCACCTGTCAGCATCTTCCTTGAAACCATCGGCCATTTTTTTTATAGATAACTTAGCATGCCTGGGATATCGAGATTCAACAGATTTTTCAAAAAACTGAAGTTGGCAGATTTTTTAGTATAACATCTTTACGTTGCTGTGCAGATTCCCGACGGTTCTGGGGGGGATTCTGCCCAGCTCACGAATGATAATCCATTTCGGCTTCCAGAGGCTTACATGGCCTCACAGAAAAAACGGGTATGAACATGCACTGCGAATATTTTCAAAGAGGATCATAAGATTGCTCATACTTAGCCAATTACTTAGTAAGCTTGTAATCCTTCCTCCAAAGGGCACATCTTTTTATTATTATTGTTTCAATGTATTAAACATTATCGTATAAATTTATCATCTCTTCGATTTTTTTATTCTTAAAAACTTTACATGAAATGCCAATCATATATAGGTATTCGTATCACTTTCTCTGTTTTTTCTTTCCACAGTGGCTGAAATTAGTAATTTTCTGTCCTTGTTCAGCATCTAGTTTCCCATGATATCCAACAAGCCATGATAAATGCACATCCGGCTTAAATTGTTCTAATGTATGAAATTTTATTTAATTTATTTTAATGTATATCAAAATGTTATCATATTGTTCACATCCGGCTTAAATTCATCATCTCTTCGATTTATTTACTGGTTAAAAAGTTACATGGGATGCCAATCATATATATAATTATTCGTATCACTTTCTCTGTTTTTCTTTCTACGGTGGCTGAAATTAGTAATCTTTCTGTCCTTGTTCAGCATTTAGCGTCCCATGATATCCTACAAGCCATGAGAAACGCACAGCTAGAGGAAAAGCGGAAACGGGAATTGGCTTCAGCTCTTCATATACACTTCAAAGACTGGCTATATGGTAAATATTCAAGTGGCATTCTTGGCTTAGCTATCAAGTTAATCCTGGGACAAATTCCCCTGATTTATAACTGATAAAAAGCCATTACTCATGGGGCATTCTTCCTAACTGATTTATAATTGATGTATGTTATTAGCAACGGATGCTTCATAGCTTTCTATTTTTATCTCCATCCGTATCTTTTTTTTTACTATTTTAGCCATGTTAAGAGCTCCATGGCTCGCTATTTCTGCGGGTTCTAGTATCTATTTTGTGCATGAAAAGAAAAGGAGCTGCTTGAGCTGGTGGGTTTCTTTTTTTGGGGGGAGGAGGGGAGGAAGATACTTCTAACTGCTGTGTTGTTGTTGTTTTTTTTTTTTTTTTTTGCCATATTTGGCAGCATCAGGGAACATCCGCCAGCTCTACTGTCTCCAGGGTGACTGAAGAACGAGCACACAGCTTGTAGGGCCTGCAATGGATCTCTGCCGTCCTTACCACTTCCTCAGCTGACCCACCTTCCAGTCCTTGGTGCACTCTTTGATTGGATGGGTAAGCCCCAGTTGCGACTCTACTCTTTATGCCCCATTTTTGGTGTGAAACTAGAGAGAGAGAGAGAGAGAGAGAGAGAAAGAGAGAAATGGTGATGTTCTTGGAATCATCAGGCCTAATATGATTCACTACCTAGTGTTCATTTCTTTGTGAGATGTATTGATGCATGATCTCAGAAGAACGAACTGATATAATCCAGGGGTTTATCCATGATTATACACGGCAATTGGACCTCAGATGCCCTAAGTTGGATCATATTCTTACGGCTGTATTAATATTTATGTGACTATATATGGTAATTTATATGAGAATGCATGAGGTTGGATTCTACTGTTTCCTGTTGAATGAGAAATCTGGCTTATTCCCACTAAAATGGCGGCGTTTTATGAGACTGGGCTGAGCGATTTCTCCGAGATTGCGGGACAACTCCTGTCGGCAGAGGTCGTCATCGTCGCCACCACCTCCTACTTAGCGTCTGTGAGAAGAGAGAACTGAAATGGGGCAGGAGGGGCCTGGCCGTCCGAGGATTTACAGCGGCTAGCTCGCGGGGCTCACGGGGCTCATCTGCAGGAGCTTCTCAGCTTGATCCGGGAAGAAGGTTATGAAGAGGTACGCGCCTGCGCATTGGAAATAGCCAAGCTCAATGAGAAGATGGAAAACGAAACGAAGGTTGGTCGATCGAGATAAAAAGGGCCAGAAATGTGTGTGTGTGTGTGAGAGAGAGAGAGAGAAATGGGGCTAAGTTTGAACAACCTCACAACCAGAGAGACAGAGACAGAGAAATGGGCTCAGCTGACCAACCTCACAATCAGAGAGAGAGAGAGAGAGAGAGATTGAAATGGGCTCAGTATGAACAACCTTAGAATCAGAGAGACAGACAGAGAGAGATGGGCTCAGTCTGAACAACTTCACAATCAGAGAGAGAGAGAGAGAGAGAGATGGGCTCAGTGAACAACCTCACAATCACAGAGAGGGAGAGAGAGAGATTGAAATGGGCTCAGTCTGAACAACCTCACAACTAGAGAGAGATGGGCTTTAGTCTGAACAACTTCACAATCAAAGAGAGAGAGGAATGGGCTTAGTCTGAACAACTTCACAATCACAGAGAGAGAGAAAGGAATGGGCATAGTCTGAACAACCTCACAATCAGAGAGAGAGAGAGAGAGAGAGAGTAGCGAAGCCTATTCTAAGCTGCAGAATATTGGTGATCCTTCAAAGTAGTGGAATTAGAGTGGCCAAGGAGACTCACAGATTAATACAGTCCCCAGCACGGCGGAGATCTTGCCCTGGACGGTGACCAGGCCAGCCTTTCCAGCATCCTCGAGCTTCGTCGAACCAACAGAGCTGAATGTTCCTGCGCGGTGGTGAAAAAACATAGGTGGTGAGGACCCGTTCTATTGCTCCAGAAATTATGCAATAAATCCACACTTGGGATCCGTCGAATGACCTGGTTTCACTGACTGAAGGCCTGAGGTGATGCAAGAAACGTTCTGAAAGCCCTCCTGCTCCAGCTTGCTAGCAGCTGCAGCAGACCTTCAACATCACACGGAAATATATCAGATGGACAAAAATAAAGGCCAATCTTTCTGTTGGGTGCATCACAAGAGAGCGAGGAGGGGTATATATATCATGAGAGAGAGAGAGAGAGAGAGAGAGAGAGAGAGTCCTGCAAAACCCTAAAAAAAAAATTCAGTAAAACTGGTTCAAGACCTCATATTTTCCTCATGAGCAAGACACTTTGGAAATGGCATAATAACATTCATCATACAGAATACTTTGAATTATTTCATATAATTCAGTCCTCAATTTCCTTCAGAATGAAATCGCTTGAATGAGATTGCAACCTTCGGACAAACTAAGCTGAACCAGAAAGAAATTGAAGCGAATTCCGAGAAACTGTAAGCAGGAAGCATGAAGCAGCTTGGCGTGACGGATCAAATGAGGTCATGCAATCAATGAATTGAGCAGAAAGAAGAAGCTGCAGAATATTTCGGCATTCTCTTGCTGTATGAACAGAAGCAATCGTCATGAGGTATTGAAAGCTGCTAATGGCTGACCTCAAACCCTCTTGGCAGACGAGCAAGATCTTGCTGTCAGGGGAAAACTGGCCCCTGATGGATTGAACAAATTCCGGATTGGGCTTGGTGAATGGCAACCCGTAGAACAACCCAGAGAAGTTATTGTGCAGAGTCCTCTTAATGATCGTGCCTGTGGAACATTCATAATTTATAATAACATCATTAAATGAGGTAAAATTATCTCATTAAAGTACTGGAAACCATTCTTTTGATATTAATAACCAAATCTTGTGATATTTTTCTTTCTAGTATGAAACCATTTTGATACGCTTCCATATATATCTGCAAGTCAACTCAAGAACCCATAGAACGATCATCGGGTCTGATACCATGCCATGGATTGATTTAATGCACTTGAAACAAAGTGAATAATTTGCCACATACAGCATGGAATTGTTGCAAGTAAGATTTGTAAGCAGATGCAAGTTTTTCTGGAAGAACTCGTACCAGGATCATTGTCCTTGTTCTCTACGAACAGAGGGACGTGATAAGATGACTGTATGTGAGCTCTGTCATATTGGGATTTGTCTCGCACGTCGAGAACAGTAAAGCCCTCCTCATCGACGAGCCTCTTCGCTTCCTCGGCATTCACGAAGTTCACCTCCGCTCTAACCAGCAGCCTGTTCTTCAGATACTGCTTGCAGGCCACGGTTCTTCTCTGGCTGGTTCTCAGCGGGCTACCCCAGGCTCCTCTGAAAATCACCAGACAAGCACATAAACTCCCAGCTCATTGCCAGGCGAAACCTACCATCGATTCACGCGCACATCAAAATAACACGAAGGACCCGGCACCGGAGCCCATCTTAAAACCTAATTATCCGGCCGGGTCTTCCCCGAAGAACCCTAACAATCCGAAAATCCGAGATCCAAGAAGGCCTAGAGCCGTCCATACGAGCACAAGGGGAGGATTGAAGATGATGAAATGCACCGAACTGCCGAGGCAGTAGATGAAGTATCAGGTGAGAACAACAGAAGAAGAGGAAGAGGATGGAGTTAGGGTTTATCCGTCACAGAGCTCATCACCTGGGAGGAGAAGAGACGGTGCAGCAGCCGAGTGCGGCCATCGATCTCCTTGAGAAGGTCCGCCGGCGGCGATTTCGCTTCTCCGGTGAGTCGCCGGCAACACCCCACCCCCCCCTTCCCCTCCGACGACCTTCTTGCCGGAAGGATCATCCCGGAGGCCGGGGAGAATTGGATCGGCCAATCATCAACGGCCACGTCGCACACCACGCCATTTTAGATTTTAGCCAACTTTATCACTAATTTAACAAAAACACCCACTATTTATAGTGAATCTCAAACATACCCCCGTTTTGCATGGGGGTATAAATAAAACTGCGGGTACACCGGATAGACAACGTGGGCCTGGACAAAACAGCCCATATGTGATCCAACACAGCCCAATATAGCCCGATAAGACTGGCCCACATCCCAGCTCACCCAGACCGACAATACCCAAAAAAAAATGAACTTTTAGTGGCACATTTACAGAACCTTTCAGGGTCAACGGCCAGCCACCTTCTCCGCCGCCCACCGCCGCCACCCGGCAATCGGAGTTGCTGCAACAGGCCCAGAGCCAGGTGGGCGCGGACAGTAGCCGGGAAATTCCTCCAAAAACTCCGGAGAGCAAAGATTCCTGCAAAAAATGAATCAAAAGCAGCAAACCTCGGCACTTCCTGGCCGATCCAAAGGGAAAAGTCTGAGAGATGTATCTGAGAGGGGGAGGAGGTTCATGAGAAAACGGACGAGAGGAGCTTCAGGTCCAAATGCAGAGCAGAGAGAGAGATTTTCAATGGGGAATCATTAAGGAGGCCACTGTATGCGGCTACTGGGGAAGCCGTAGGCTCTGCCCGGGCCAGAGTCCAGGCATGGCTTGCTGCCCTGCAGAGCGAGCTCGAGCTCGCTGGAGAACTGGGCGGCCTCCCCCGGCGGCTCTCCCAGCCGCCCCAGGCCCTGCTCAGGGGGGATCACATGGGTGCCACTGGTGCCGCCGCCCTCGTGCCCCTTCATGCTCCACGAGTCGTTGGTGGCACCAAAATCGGCCGCAATGGCAGCGCCCAATTGCCCGCCGTAGCTGCCGCCAGGGGCAGCTGGTGGCGGGTTTCTGGTGGCAGCAGCGGCGGCAGGTGCAGATGATCCCCATGGCTGGGTTGACAGAAGAGAGAGAGCACAGCCCGAGTCGGAGACTCCAAATCCTTCACCAGGGGGGGCTCCCTGGCTCGAGAAGAGGGTGCCACGGGGCAGAGCTTGCAGGTAAGGGTGGCTGAGGCTGGTGGCAGTGGTGGTGCCACCGCTGCTGGGCAACAGGGCGGAGCTGCCCAGCCATTGAGTGCCAGGACCTCCGCCATCCACCCTAACACTCGCCCACACCTCCTCTGGTGTTGCAGGAAGTCTCGGGTGGGAGGAGAAGTCCATGAGAAAGCCGCCAAATCTGCCGCCGCCGCCGCCTAGATAGGCATGGAAAAATGAGATCTTTGTAGAGGAGAAGGCCAGTGGAGAGCAAACTGAGCATAGGGCAGACCTTCAAATGGCGGCAGCGCTGGTGGCGCTAAGCAGTGCCCCATGGTGCCCAGCACAGGCTTCCTCCGCCGCTCATTGTGGCCAGCCAGGCGGCGGCGGCAGCTCCGCTTCCCCTGGTCAAATTCTTGCAGCTGGTGGAACCTGCACAGGTAACCACCACCAATCAGTGGGACCAGGTTTCGGCTGCCACGAGGGCAGCCACCTGGCAGAGGAAACATGGTTGAGCACCCGATTTATTTCTCTCCCCGATTAGATGTTATGGTCCAAGTCGGGAAAATGGGCCGGCCCGGCCCACTCGGCCCATTCTCAACCCTAAAAAAAAGCAACTTCATCATAACGGGCTTTTAATTAGAAACGATTTCTGGCCACGTAAGATAATACTATTTTTGATATTGTCAAAGGAAAAAAAACCTGGTTTTATCCTTGCCTTCAATAAATACCTCCCACCTGCCATCTCCATAACTGTAAGGTACTTTCTCTCTCCAGAATGAGAGAGAAGACTGGGAGAATCAGCCATATCAAGTAATAACAAAAAAAAAAAAAAAAAAAAACACGTGTTCTTCTCTTTATCTGCTGATTTTCTATTATTTTTCTCCAATAATCACCACTGAAAAATTCATGCGGTTTAAATTTTTTTTATCCATTTTTCCATGCTAAAGTGCGCACATTCAATGTGCTTTCAGCTCATCAGCCTTCTTCCAGCTCAATCTGAACCCTAAAACCATTAGATCATTGCCCAGAATGTGCTCTATGCATTGGCCACGCTTGGATGCCAAAACAGACTGGTCATTGCCCAGAAGCATTAGTAGGTTTCTCAGGGTTTCTTAAGACAGGGAGATGTGGTGAGGGGTAGAGATAGAGTGAGAGGCGCGCCAATTAAATCATTGGTGTAGAAAGAGAAACTCTTTTTCGTGGGCAACCCTGTGATCCAAAGGAGAGAGTAAGATAAGTCCCACTAACCACAAGCTCTTCTAAAGAGTTCAATAATTCAGAAGAATTAGCAGGTCTCTTAGAGTATCCTCAGGAAGAGAGAGTGAGAGAGTGAGAGAGAGTGAGAGAGAGAGAGAGAGAGAGAGAGAGAGAGAGAGAGAGAGAGAGAGAGAGAGAGAGAGAGAGAGAGAAGAGAAAGAATAAGATGAGTCCCACCTCTGTACAAGTTCATAAGAAAAGCCATAAAGAAAGCTTCTTCGCATATATCTACAAGCTCTGATCAGAGCTCATTGTTCAGAGTGTCTTCTCCAAAGCCTGCCGCCAAGTTCATATGGGATGAGAGAGAACCAGGCCATCCGAATCAAAACCAACTGCAGGCATTCAACATGAGATGGGACTATTCTATCATGCCAGTCGAACTAGGTCAATGGCTCTCATACTATGCAAAATAATCTACATATATGAAGGAACGAGAGAGAATCATAGGAATCACAACTATGATACATATATCCAGGCATCAAAATGGGCAGTGCTATTTTCAGAATTCACATACACCTGAGCAAACTTGAGGAACTTGTGAGGAAAATGGTAGCAGAACAGGATCTTAATCAGAGGAGGAGGTAACCCCTACAGAAGGAGCTCCAAACCCTGATCTGAGCTTCCATGGGCGAGCAAGAACCCCCAGGGAGTCAGACCCGGTAAAGAGAAAGCTTCGCTGGGTCTGTCTAATGGAGGTGCCCCTGGAAACCCGCAAAGAGAGGGGGGAAAAGAGGGCGACTGCACCAAGAAGGCCAAGATCAATACAGATTTGAGGAGACCCAGTAGAATCTAAGCAGGTTCCGCTGATGGGTATGAAGTCGGACAAGAATATAAGCTTTCCTGCTCCTCCGGTATCCGTCGGTGGCTAATAGAATATCTCAGAAGGAGATTATGATCCGGGTAGACTAAGAGCAAGATCGGCACAGATTTGAGGAGAGCCAGTAAAATCTGAGCACATTCATGGTATACCAGGGGATCAGATCAGGGAAGAGGATCAGGGGGGGAGAAGAAGAAACCTACCTGCTGCACTGCTGGCAAAACCTCTGCTCCATGCCGGCGACGACAACCTTGGGGGACTTGGAATGCGTCCCGCAGACCTTGTGTCGGCAGTAGTAGGCCTTGCTCCCCGTCAGATCTAGGCCACAACCCTCCACTTGGCATCTCGGTGGCTGCTGCTGCCCCTGGGCCACGCTCTTCCCCCTCTTCCCTGCCGCTGCCGATGGCGGCGCCGCCGACGACGAGCTCCCGCCGCTGCCCAGGTTCTCGAAGAAGACCTTCTTCCCGAACTTGAGCCCACGGGGTGAGTCGCCCCCACCAGTAGAGCCCGAACCCATCTCCATCTCCGAAAGCTAGTTCCCCCTCATTTGGTCGGCCGAGAGCGGACAAAGAAGGGAGCCCAATGGAGAGGGGGTGTGACCACCCACTGCCTTAGAAGAAGACCGTCCCCTCTAGCTTCTGGGGGGCCAGGCCAACTAGGGATTTGAAGCTTCGCAGGAGACCCAACATCTCCCCTCTCCAGCCCTGCAAATCCCCACAGATTTAGGACGGGACCGAGCTTAAAGGGGACGAAAAGTACCACCGGGTGTTTATGATTTTAATTTTTTGGAGAAAGAAGGCTCTGGCTCCCTGCTCCGCCTTTATTCAAACTGAGCAGAAAGAAGGCGAAGGCCGCAGAACCCTCGCAGGGGGGGAGGGGGGCGTCGGCGTTCGTACTGAAACCCTAGCAGGCAGGGAAAGATACACCCCTCCCTCCTTTTCCCCTCTGAAAGCCGCTTTTTGAAGAATCCCCTCGCCATGCCGGCGTTGTCCGGTTCCTGTCGTGGCACTCGCCTTCTCCATGAGCTTCCTCTGCGATCTGATGATCCTCGGGCTCCATCCGACTCGTGGGAGTGTGAGAATCTTTCGGAATGTGGCCACGAGATCGCCTGGGGCTCTGGGATCTTGGCTTGTTTCCCTCTTAACAGTGGGACAGAGGTCGGGGGAACTGTTGCTCCTTTGTTCGCGAGCGGAAAGCTCCGCAAATGGCTTCTGCCTCCTCTTCGTCGACACCCCGTCCTCGGAATCATTGAGGAGCTTTCAGAAGAAAAAAAAATCCGCCCTCTTCGTAAATCTACTTTACTTTACTGTTGGAATCCAATGTTGATGTTCGCAGCTATTAATTCTATTTATTTAATAACATGACGCTCGTGGCCCGAATATCAAATTCAGATGGGGCGGGTAAGTCAAAACTTTTGTCAAAATCGGATTTTTTTTTATAAAAAGGCCTGGGCGGGGCTGACCTTGTTATTATCGAGACGTGTTTGACGTTCTGTCAGTTCTAACACAGGAATATATAAATATTTTACTACCTTGCGATCACTCTCTCTCTCTCTCTCGCTCTCTCACTGTCTCTCTATCTCTCCGTTTGTCTGTCTCCCCCCCCTCTCTCCCTCTCTCTCACTCTCACTTTCACTCTCTCTCTTCTCTCTCTCTCTCTCCCTCTTTCTCTCTCCCTCTTTCTCTCTCCCTCTCTCTCTCACTCTCACTTTCACTCTCTCTCTTCTCTCTCTCTCCCTCTTTCTCTCTCCCTCTCTCTCTCACTCTCACTTTCACTCTCTCTCTCATCCTCTCCCCCCTTTCTCTCTCCCTCTCTCTCTCTCACACTCTCACTTTCACTCTCTCCCTCTCTCATCTTCTCTCCCCTTTCTCTCTCCCTCTCTCTCTCATCCTCTCTCCCCTTTCTCTATCCCTCTCTCTCACTCACTCACTTTCACTACCTCTCTCTCTCACACACACACACACTTTCACTCTCTCCCTCCTCTCTCAGTTCAAGCTTCCACCGTGCATTTACCATAATTGAACAGAGTTTTCATTGGGTACAACTCTAAACTCTCTTCGTTTTGGCTACTCTCGATACTTTGCCTGCGGAAATAATAAAAGAATTAATCATTATTTCGTAATGTACATCCTTCTTAATTTAGATAAACCCTTTCAAATATATGTCCAGATGCTTACATTTTCATTTACCTATTTTTTTGTATATTTATTTTTTTTTAAAAAGGCACAAATAAAGTAAATAACTACGCTAAAATGAGTTGTTTGGGCTGTTTAAATATGGGATGCTCGTGAATTTATTGCATTGGTTTTTGTGTTCTTATTTCTTCGGATATCAAGCCAAATATTTTCAGGAAAGCTTTAGATTATTTTAAAATTTTCCAAACAACATTCTGAATATGTTCTAAGAATGGGAGATATATTGCATCGTGGAATGACTAAAAAATAACTAAATAAATCAATATTTTTCTGATGCTTCATTGAAATTCCGTTTGATAAAAACCATTTATTTAGTTATTTATTTATTTTACTATCAACCGATTATTTATTTTATTTAATCCTAGCAAACCCATGCATGGATTATTCAGTACATGAAATATTCAAGAAATTTGGGTAATTTATCGTTGATTTTGTGTCCACCAAGTATATATATATACAGCTTCTAACACAGAGGTTGACAATCATAGGACTATTTTTAGCATCCATTGACCCTCCCACTCCTTTGAGTGATGTGGGCTAGAGAGAGGAACTGATAACGCCACATTTAGAGAGAGGAGAAGATGGGGACTCCTGGGAGGAGGGTGCCCCCGCATCAACAACAAAGATGTTGCCGGTCACATAATTCGATGCATCGTGGATCAGATACCGGAGCAGGGAGGTCAACGCGGGGTCAACCGTGCCATGAGTTTTCAGAGGGATAATCTTTGCGGCGACATCCTTGAGCCATTTTTTCTTCACGAGGGCCTCGGTGATCTCTGACTTGAAGATTCCTGGCGATATGGAGTTGACCCCGATGTTGTATGCTCCTAGCTCCAACGCCATCACCTGAAATGTCAAAGGCCCCCCTTGAGAGATGCAATAAACTTGCCAAATATGGAGTTGACGGTGAGCATAGATGGCATCATCAGATGAGATTTACTCGGATTAGAAAAAATATATGATGGACGGTATCTCGATGTAAAATCATATTTTGATGGCAGGCAAAGATGGCACAAAATCTCCAAAACTTTGAGCCCACGATGAGAAAAGATGATCAAACCATCATAGAATGGATGAACAAATCGCTCTGGAAATTGAGGGATTAACTTTGGTCATCACGTTCAATGCTGTCTTTGATGTAGCATAGGCGGCTGATCGGGGTAATTGTCCGCGGCTGATGCCAGATGTTAAAGAGATGTTGACTACCGACCCTCCCAACTTTGCACCACGCATGAGCTTGCAGACATGTTTAGCAACTAACCAAGATCCGGGTACACTGGTGGCAAACACGTTGGTCCATTCACCATCGGGTGTCTTCAGAGGAGAGTTCACACCACCTGGTTCAGATGGCCGCGGGTTGGTTCAGGCCAAGATTAGCGGTCATCAGACGGATCAAAGATCTTACAAATCGAATAGTTTGCTAAAATAGGTAAAACCATTGGTAAGATGATTCAAGATAAAACGTCAACGTAAATCTACGACGATCTCATCTCTTCCGTAAGTAGGAAACCTAAATCGAACTGATATTTTCCTGACGATCACTATGAGGGAGCTTGATCATAATATTTTCCAGGAAACTGCTGATCCCGGGTTATTTGGGAAGGTATATGAGAGTAGATATGTAGGTATAATTTTGAAATAATGAAGTGGTGAACTAAACGGATTTCAGATTCTAGGCAAGCACTTTGGACTGAAACAAAGGAACGCGATCCAGGGGAACGGAAACCCCAACCAACATATTCCATGAAGAAATTAAACAAACAACGAGAGAAACTCCGGCCAGACCTAGATCGGGAATCACCTCTCACTCCCGCGTTATTTACCAGAGAATCGATGCGGCCGAAGGCGCTCCATGCCCGCTCCACCGCCGGCGCTATTGTGGCCTCCTCGGCGCTCACGTCGAGCTCGACGGCCACCGCTCGCAGGGCCGGCGGCTCTCGCGCGTTGATCTCGGCGCAGAGCGATTCCAGGCGGTCGATCCTCCTCGTCGCCGCCACGACTCTGCAGCCGGCGGCTGCGAGATCCAGACAGAAATCCCTTCCGATGCCGGAGGAGGCGCCGGTCACCATGACGATCTTCCCCTCCAGGGAGCTCCACGGCGGCCACCGGCGGCGCCGCTCCTCTGCCGCCCCCTCCATCCCCGATGAGGACGCCATTTCTGGAGTTTCAAATTTCCCTCATATATTATATCCACCACCGGAGCTCACTCCTTTCATGGGCCTGAACCTAATACGTATAATGGGCCTATGGCCATGCCGGCCCACCCTGTTTTTAGCAGACTCTTCGGCCCGCGTTTCTTGGGGAAAATGGGCCATATTGGGCCAGTTAGACTGGTGAGGAGAGGGGGGGGAGAGAGAGAGAGAGAGTCTATGATCGGACGGTAATTTTGCCTGGGTTGGAAATATATATAATCCTGACCCTTCATTTAATTCACCATGGCTGTCCGGCATGAACCGATAAGAGCGGATTACTCACTTACATGGATTCTAAATGGGATCCGTTAAGAATCCGTTTTACGTACACACGTGGGTGTAAATGGCACGTGAAGATGCGTTTCTACGGGTTAATGGGCCATATTGGGCCATTGTAGAAACTGGCGGTAAGAATCCGCCCATGATCGGACGGTGTAGTTTGGAATGGTAAAAAAATTAATCTTGACCGTTCACTTAATAAACCAAACCGTCCGAGATAGACCACTGATTGGGTAAGAACCGATAAGTGGCGGACACACCTAAAATAATCCGTTAAGAATCCGTTTAAGTTAGACACGTGCGAAGTAAGTGGCACGTGAAGCTGCGTTTCGAGCCGTTGGTTCTGCTGGATTTGGGGCTGAACGCGGAACTCAAAAATTGAATTCTGCTAAAATATATAAATTTCCTTGGCGTCCGCTCCTGCCTCTCTCTCTCTTCCTCTCTCTTGTTCGACTCTCCGACTACGCCCTCTTCCTCCATCGTCCCGTTAAGATTTACTTTCGATCAGCGGCGGGGGAGGTTTCGCGTCGAATTCGGGTGGTGAGAGCTGGAATCGGAGTGGGTTTCAGGCGCCGATCGGTGGTGGACTTCTTGGGAGGTGTCTAGGTCGGGATCGGGGCGCGCCGCTGCGGCTGAGGAAAGGAACTCGTCACCTCTCGACGTTAGTTTCTTGCCGGAGGGCGGTGCGTGCAGGGGGTAGTCGCCCCCGAAGACACGGCCATGGAATATGATCCTTCTGATAGCAGCGGTGAGTTTGCTTCGACGGATACTGGCGTTTGAAAGTTCTTCCCGGCTTATTTGGTGGAAACCTAGGGCTAGGGTTTTTCTTCTGTCGTTGCGTTTTTTCTCTTCGGTTCTGGATAGTGCCGGTAAAGGAGGTGCCTTTTGGCGCGATTGGCAGCTGGGTTTGGGTGGTGCGGAGGAGATGGCCATGGCTGAGCGGGATTCTTTGCGGAGGCTTGTGCTTGATATAGTGTGATACGGCTGTCGTTTTCGGCTCTGTAATATTGTGGTCCTTTCGTCCGTGCTTTTTTCAGTTGGTTTCTTCTCTATACAGGAGGGGTTAGTTTCTTTCTTGCGTTTTAGGGTTTTGTGCAGGGTACTTACCTAGAGGCATTTGATTTGAAGGGAATACTACTCGTCTGAAATTCAAGGTGCAGTAACCCATGTTTTAGGATTTCTTCACTGTTTTGAGGTATCCTAGGGATATGGTAGTTCGAGTAGGCAACATTCGTATGGTAATGCCTTCTTGAACGTGAAAAAATAAATGGAATATTTAGTGAAATATAGGAAAATTAAGTCGCCGACAAACACGATAATCTTTGGCGTTGTAAAAAATATTGTGCTGATAGAAGGAGAATTTTGCAGTCTTGAATTTCTAGAAGAAAATAACTAATAAAAAAACTGCTGCAAATTTATGAAGTATAATCATTTGTGCCAGATGTAATGATGGTTATTAATATAATCTGACAGTGATAGATGGCCATTGATGAGACTTGTGCGTTAAGGCCGTATTGAGACAACAGTCTGATGAATAGGAATATCTCATTCATTGTACGTTGGAAGTTTTCCAAACTATTTTCTCACCAAACTTTTTGAAAAGATCAGAGACGTCTAGACATGGTTAACACTGATCTTGAAGTGTTTACCCATCGTTCATGTGATGATGGAGTCTGGATGCTTATTAAAACAAACATGAGATGCAATTTGAGTGTCGTTGGGTATATGAGTAACCTGAGTCATCTAGAACAGAATATGCTTGATTCAATTTTTATTTTGTTTTGTTCTTGTTATGTGTTTCTTAATGGCAGAGGACCTAGGGGGTAGACAAATAGATATGGGACACTTTCTCAGATCATGATATGTCAACATCAGAGGGACATGAGAAAGTGCTTGATCTGAAACAATCCAAAAAATGATTACAGAATAACATAAAAAACCATCTTGCAAAAGTTTTCACGTCGATTTAAAAGTGTATCATTATGGAAAAATAACGGATGATCAACCAGCGTTCTGCAACCCTGAAATATTTAAGTGGACTTTGTTAATCATTTTACCACGTCATTGGGGACAGGTGTTGTGAGGTTTAAGTGATGGAATGCAGATGGGTGTCTTTGGTTTGTTGGATCTCTAGAAATCATCCCTGGCGCTCTGAGAAGCTGAGTATATAGGTAGAGGCCCGCATCAACCGGTGTGCACAAGTTCTACTGTGCTCTGAATCTCCATCTTCTACTGTTGATTCATCAGAGAATACGAATGCAAATTACGCCAGAAGCTTCATTTAGAAGAACAAATTTATGTGGAGACCTTCGATCCAGAGATGTTATTAATAAACTTATATGTATTATGCTGTCATGATTTCTCGTAGGGTTTCTCTTGATGTTTAGGAAATAAACATTGGTGTATTTCAAATAAGAAAATATATTATATTACCTGTAAACTCGAATAAGTCTTAGGAATCTTCTTCCTATCACCGTGAAGGATTTCACTGTAAATAAAGTGACCGCTATATCTAAAACGATGTTTCTGTGCTGTCATGACATAGTCTTGACTGAATACGACATTTTTTGATGCTCTGAGATGCCACATCATAGTGGCTGATTTCAATCAATCCATCAAGAACATGGTTAGGATTCCTGTGAGATATCATTTCTCTGGTGTGTTGGATGCATTTATAGTTGATGAAGTCATGAGATCCTAGATATTTGATGAGGGTTTTATGTCATGAACGGACATATTGATATTGTTAAGGATATATATTACTGGTTTGTTTTCTTTTCTTTTCTCTGGATGATGCGAACTAGTCGCTGGTGCCGCCAGATCTTGTACATTTCTATGCAGAATTTATTTTCGTATTTTTATTAAAAAAAAATTCTTAACAGCGTACGGTTATGATGACATGAAACCATCGTACTAAACAGCGTTTTTTTTTTAAACTTTTTGAAATACCTGCAGGGACTGACGATGATCTTCCACCAACCCATCAGAATAGAGGTATAAGGGGAGGTCGTGTTGCAGGGAATGGAAGAAATGCTGTCATGGGTGGTCTTTCATTCTCCAGGGTTCAAACAGACATGGAAACAGAAATCCATCAGCTTGAGCAAGAGGCATATTGCTCAGTTTTACGAGCATTCAAAGCTCAATCTGATGCCATCACCTGGGTAATTACCTGATTATTGATATTAAAAATACTTTTGCCATATCCATTTTTACCTTGCTTTTCACAGTTTCTGAAATTCCAATTTCAGGAAAAGGAGAGCTTAATAACAGAGCTTCGCAAAGAGCTGAGAGTGTCTGATGAAGAACACAGAGAACTACTTACGAGGGTTAATGCTGATGATATTATTCGGAAAATAAGGTTCCACGAAATATGCACATTTTTTTTATTTTTAGTGGTAACTTATGTTGATAACATGCAAAATATGCATATGTTTAATATCAAGAGTTTTTCTTCAACTATCAACCATCCATATTTTATACTAAAAACGGCTAAAAAAAGCTGTTCTATCAATTTATTTAGGGAGTGGAGACGAGCAGGTGGTCCCCAAGGTGGTTTCATTAGCAATGCTCAACCTGTTCCTGATACTGTACAAAGTCCTACTGTTTCTGCATCTCGTAAGAAGCAGAAGACATCCCAGCCTGTACCATCTTCATCGTTGGGTGCACCATCGTCTGCATTACACCCACAAGGAGTCGCTGCATCGATGCAACCATCTTCATCTGCTGCAAAGAGAGGTTCTGGACCAGTATCTGCCCGGGGAAAGAAGAGTAAATCAGTGAGTTGACTATTTTACATCATACTAATGCTAATATGCAGTGTAGTCATATGCCTCGATTGGATTGACTGATCAGTAACATGCAAAGCTAATGGCTATGCATTAGCTGGTATATAAATATGCCATTTGACTGGTCCATCATCTCCCTCTTTTTTTTTTTTTTTTTTGCTTCAGTTCTATTATCTACTGGGAGGTGTATAAGTCTGTGTTGTGCGTTTGATTTTCTCTGGATCTTCCTCATTCATATTCTTTGACAGGGTCAGGCAGTACCTGTGGCCTCCTCGACAAAGCCCACACCATATCCTTCAGCAGTTCCAACTGGTAGGGGTCAGCTTGCTAGTCGGGCTGAAGGTTCAGCATTCGACCCACTAATTGGACGCAAAGTTTGGACTCGATGGCCAGAAGATAACAACTTTTACGAAGCTGTCATCACTGACTATAATCCCATCGAGGTATTTCGTAGCTGTTGAACTTGAATGTTCTGATTCTTAGTCATCCATGTAGCTGAATCAAATGCTTTCAAATATTCAGGGTCTCCATGCTCTTGTCTATGACATAAATACCAAGGACGAGACTTGGGAATGGGTCAACCTCAAAGAGGTAGGCAATGTTATGTATTTCTTCGTGTTTCTGCTCTGTTTAGCGCTCTTATCCACTATTTTCTTTTTAATTCACCTCCAGCATTATTATGAAAAATCAGTTTTTGGATAATCAAGACTTGATTAGGGCTTTAATTCCATGTTAATGTTTAATCATGCTTAGGATTTCTATCAAACTGGTTTCCATATCGTTCCGCACTCATCTGAAGCATAGTTTGGGTTTTTCTTGAATGGGCAAGTGCTGTTTTCCTCACTGAACATGATGATTGCGAGTGTTTTGATGATGACTACAATTTTGGCCTGATATAATATCTTTCTCTTGGCGTTGACTTTGCCTCTTCCTTTTGACTTGTTCATCTTGTTATCCCACATACAGAAAATATTTTTAATCAAGAGGCATTATGGTACATTGCATATTCTGATTTGCTCTATCAATCAATAAATCAAACCATCATTCACAGTATTTATTTCACATATTTTCTGTCTCTAGATATAGAGAAGGATCTAGGAAGTTGTAGGATCGCCAGACCTGCACACTGCCGGTTGCGTTTGGGTAAATCTGTGGTGGTTGACTATCTCATTTCAGCATGTTACTTATATAGTCACATATTTTATCCTCCATATTTGAAAAATAGATTTCAGGTATGATAATATATGGAGAAGGGATATTTTTTAGAAATAAATCAGAAGAACAGAATCAATTAGTGAACGAAATATATGGCATTCGCTTTCCATATCACATACCTTCACGTATAGTTTGTACATGTTTCCAATTTTTTTTGCAGATCGTCACTTGCTGTTTGAACTGATTTTTTTTATTTCGTTTTTTTTTTCTGTTTTCTTGGTCCTATTCTATCATATCTAAATATTTTTTTAACCTCTCCACTCTTATCTGTTCATCTTCTTCATCTTCTTCATTTTTTTATTTCGTTTTTTTTTCCTTCTGTTTTCTTGGTCCTATTCTATCATATCTATTTTATTTTTTTAATCTCTCCACTCTTCTTCGTTCATCCTTCTTCATTCTCCAATCTCCACCATTTTTGAACCGTGAAAAGTGGTTGCATATATAGATATATATATCCCTTTGAATTTTGATATAAGTTGCAACTATATAAGATGCGTCTGGACGATAGTAGCTCTTCACTTCATAAGATTCTCGCAACGTCTTGAGGATAGTGGGCCTAAACAGACCAAAATTCAACCATGTTGGAGCTTTAATTACTGATTTGCCCTGGATGAGCCTTCTAAATGCTGGATCTTTTTTGTGCCTGATTATATCGGGCAGTATCAGTGGAGGCCTAGACAGACCGAAAGTCAACCATGTTGGAGCTTTAATTAATGATTTGCCATGGATGAGCCCTTTAAAGGCTGGATCTTTTTCGTGCCTGATTACGTTGGGCAGTGTTAGTGGAGGTAGAAGCTGTGTTCTGGCGAGATCTTAACTAGTCAAAAGGTCAACCATGTTGGAGCTTTAATTACTGATTTGCCCTTCTGGGTCCTGTAAAGGCTAGATCCTTTACTGATTTTTGTGTCTGATTATGTCGGGCAGTATCAGTGGAGGGAGAAACCGTGATCCAGCTTCCTAAACAGACCAAAAGTCAACCGTATGGTAGCTTTAATTACTGATTTGCCCTGTAAAGGCGACTTGCTAACAGAGTCAGCGCTTGCCATTTGGTCAACAGATATCTCCCGAGGACCTTCATTGGGAAGGCGAAGAGCCCGGCGTAGCCCGCCGGATAGGCCGCGGTGGGCCCGGACGCGGGGTCAAGAAGGGCACCGGCCGGGGAAGCGCTATGGCCGGCCGGGGTAGAGGGGTCCTCAAGGGCCAGCCCAAGAAGGATTTACCCCCCTCGCAGAATGGAATTGGCAAGAAGGGCCCAGATGACATCGAGATACTCGACACAGGCAGCCTAATCAAGGAGGTACAAGCTCACCTCTCTCTCTCTCTCTCTCTCTCTCTCTCTCTCTTCTCTCTCTCTGATTTGACTCTTTGGGTTGCAGGTGGAGAGGGTCTTTGGGTCGGTCCAACCGGACCCATTCGAGATTGAGAAGGCGAAGAAGGCGCTAAAAGTAGGGGGAAGATTTATGAAATAAAAAGATTACCCAAAGTATCAGCTCTTTTTTTTCCTCTTGTGCTGATGGTGGGTTGACTTTTGGATTCTCAGGATCACGAGCAGTCCCTGATCGATGCGATCGCCAGGCTCACCGATGCATCCGATGGTGAGAGTGGTAAATACTCTTAGTCTCTCTTCCGATCTGTTCTCTTCTCTGTGCATCTAACCTAAAAGAGGGGGTGATCTTCTTCTTTCTTCCCTTCCAATTTTGGGTAAAATATGATCTAAATCAGGCATGAATCTTGTGGGTGTATGTACATATAAATATATGGGCAATTTATGTGCGTGATCAACCTCCCTTCTCTCTAAACCGGCGATTGCCCTTTTGGGTATGAATCTGAAAACATAGCAATGTAGAGAGAGAGAGAGAGAGAGAGAGAGAGAGAGAGAGAGAGAGAGAGGTGAAATGATGGGGATGCACAGGGTTTCCTCTCTCTAGAGTCCTGCTAACAGTAGGGTCTATGTATGTTGCCCCTCTTCCCACTTTGATGGCACAGAAGAAGGTGAGCACCAGATGAACCATGGGCAGCCTATGGATTGGAGGAGCAAGCAGTATGGCGGGGTACAGCATGCGCCGCCGGACTATGAGGACAACATGGGGCAAGGTGGCGGCAGGGAGGGCTCAGAGGGCGGCGGGGCCCCGTCGGACTACCGGCAAGCGGCGGAGAATGACATGATCTGATGAAGCTGGCTCAGCAAGAGAACCCTCGCCATCTGATCACCGCCGGTCGCCTAATCTGATTGAACTCCTGCGAGATGGAACTTGGGAAGTTAACTTCTGTTTCACGCTGACTGCTGTTTGTTTACTTGCATGGCCCTCCAGAAAGCAGGAGCCGCGGAGATCCAGAGACTGAGGCCCAGTTCTGCACCATCCGGGTAGAGAGAGAGAGAGAGAGAGAGAGAGAGAGAGAGAGAGAGAGAGAGAATGAATTCCTGGTGACACCCTTGTAAAATTATTGGTTAGGGAACACTGATGTAAAAATTTGTTGAAAATGGCATTTCCGTCTGCAGGTTGGATCAATCAGCCCTGGTTCTCTCTCTCTCTCTCTACCCTTGTGTTTTGCCTCACTGTGAAGGGTGGGTTTGGGTTCCTGAAGTTGACCAAAGTGAACAGGCCAGACCAGATCAGATCAGATCCGAAGAATCTAGTCCACATCGGCTGATCCCAAGAACAAAGAATCGATGGAAGCAAATAGGACGGCAGAAAAAATCATTCTAAGAGACAGCTAGAAAGAATCATATCGGCGACTTTGGTGTTCTTGGTAACTCTTAGCAGAGGATATAAATGGCTTCCAAGCTCAGGCACTAGCAGCATTCAACTACAGGAAATAGTTTCCTTTTTGGGCGAAATAAGAGCTGAAAGAGCTGACATAGCTTCGAGTATGGTAGTGAAAGATAATACGGCAAATGTCTGAATTGAGAAATAAAGATAAGCGTTTTTAGATATGAGAAGCAACAGAGGTCAGCTCTCTGAAGATAGGACGGGCCATGGAAGCATTCCCTTGCAGGAATCATGGCCAAAAGAAGGGGCCACTCATCTGAACAAAGAAGACTCGAATGGAAATGATAAGAGACCATCCCAGCAAATTCAGGAAGACGAAGGGTTGCTCTCAACTATCTAATACAAAGAAAGGGGGAGACGGATGCTTCAAAATCTAAGGAGATTCAGAAAAGGGACGGATGTTTCAAAATCTAAGGAGAAAAGGGGGAAGAAAAATCCGGGAAGAACAGTGGAAGATTGGATCGTCGACATGGCATTCAGAATTAATATTTCAATATAAACTCAGCAGAAAATTTCATCAACGGCGATCAGACCAAGCGGGTGATAAATACAGTAATAGAAAGAGAAGTAGAGAGAGAGAGCGAGAGAGGCAATACCTTCATACATGAGACGATCTGCAAGCTGGGCAAGATCCACGGAAGCCCCTCTCCGCCCACCCTCTTGGCTGCCTTCCGCGAAGTGAAGGGGGCGTGAGAGAGGGCCGCGGCCAACTGAGTCGCGTCGCTGGTCTGGAAGAGATCTGCCCTGAGGGATATGGGCGGTTGAGGGATGTGCTTTACGTGGTAGATGCAGAGGGAGGGGTGGGGGACTGGCCGGGAGGGGGTGGGGGGAAGTGTGTGCAGGGGGGGTAAAGGGAGGAAGGTGATGGAAGGGGATGTGAATATAGGTGAAGAATGGATGGATGATGATGATAACATGTACCGGAAAAAGGAACAGAAGGAAAGACGGCTATTTTTAGGCAGAGACTAATAAGCACAACCGCTTACTTTCACCGCGGTTTCGGCACTCAATGCCCTGCTCTTCATCATTTCATTTTCAGATGGTATGGGTCGGAAAAGCCCTCGAAAAATAATTTCTTCAACATAATCAATGATAGAGAGAGAGGGCTCAAGGAGGAATAGAGAGAGGCGCTGCCATAGTTCACTGTCCACATTATCGGTTGATAATTGCTGTGATACTCGTGACTTAAGAAATCTATGACAGTGGAGACCATAATTAGATAAAATAGTGATAATAAAAATAAACAATCGAATCTGAAAATTCTTACCACAGAATTTGGTTCTCGGCTCAAAAATCTGTACTTTTCACAAAACTCACCCGCTCCCGTTCATCAAATCTCCCCCGATATTTTCATATTCAGTTCTTTCCAAAACTGGGAACACCATAAATCCATGCGCCTTACGTTTCCCGTGATCCACGAATATAATAAATAATAATAATATTCTTATTACTATTACTACGACTTCCGTTGGATCTGATGACGTGAGATCTTCAGCAATTAAAACAATTAAAGCAAAGAAATATCGAAAATCCGACCGACATTAACATTATTTCTTTTCATCCCGCGAGTGCTGCATTGCTGGGAGCAGTAGGGGTGCGAGAAATACCTGAGTTTGAAGGCCCACAGGACGAAGATGCTTCCGCAGTAGCTGGAAATATTAAATATTAATTAACCCAAGTGTTTGAATAATAATTAATTTCTTAATTATGAATAGACTTCTAAGAAACTCAGACAAACCCCTGCGTGGCATCAGCTCCTCGCCTTCCACAACGTAGCCCTTCATTAGCTTCACAGGAGGAGAACACGGACTTCAGTGGATCTTGGCCGGTGGGCGAGTTTGTGTAAGATATCTTCGTTCGGTGAAAGAAAATTACGTAGAAATTGCTATTTATTTACGGATTTTAAGGGGGGGGATAAGTGTGGGCAAAAGCCCTGAAGTGTGTGGGCAAAAGCCCTGAAGATACCGGCCCATAAGTGTGTGGGCAAAAGCCCTGAAGATACCGGGCCGCCGGTGGGCTTTCTGACTTTTCGCGGCCCATTGGCGGCACCCGAGAGGCCGTTTATAAATAAAATATTGACGCACCTTCCAATCGCTGACGTCAAATCTGAAGACAAACTGACGGTGGATGATCTCCCTGCTCGCCACAGCTGCCGCGGAGGGAGCGTTACGGGGGGCTGAAAACCACGGCCAAAAATATTCGAATTCAGGGTAAAACAATGAACAAAATAATTTAGTAAATAAATATATTTTATCCTAATTATTCAGTACAACTTACAAACGAGATGAGCTCCGCCGTCGTCAACCGTAATCTCCGATCGCCCATCTTTGACGAGAAACGAAAGGGCAAATATATTCTCTACAGTCTCCGAGAAGGACGCTCTGTTGAGAACCAGCTTCTCCAGCCGGACGCGCTTCTGCTGTCTCAGAATGTCGAACATTATGGAAACATTTCTCTGGGTGCCCGTCTCTTCGTTTGAAGTGGCATCTTCAATCTGGTGGAAGAAGTCGAGCAGACCCAACGAATAGCATATTCTCAGATAATAGCCGATGCTGAAATGCTCATCATAAGAGGTAAAAGAAGATATGATTTTTGTAAAGTGGGAAGCTCGAATGCCAAGAAGGCAAGTTGTAGACTAGGTGGAGTCACCTCTTCAGGGCAACAGAGAACGCTTGCTCTTGGTCGTTTGCTCCTGGTGAAAGTTTTCCTTCGGGTCATCTTGCCTTCCATCGTTCCTATCCTGGAATAAATACGTGCTGGTCAACCAGAGAAAAACTGAAATAAAAAAAACATGTTCTCATAGTTTACATAGTTTGGATTCCTGGAGCTTTTCCAATTATTTGTGATGCGGCAAGGCCCATGTTGACCCATGAGATCGTCTCCCCACAACTTCCTTTGTGTCGTTGTAGCAAACAGGAAATGAAGGTCGACGGAAGAACGCTCTGAGGCTCCTGGATAGATTTGAGGGAAGAGCATAGACGGTCTGCTATTGTAAGAAGTGCTTCTGCGTCGGCTACTTGGTCTCGAGGTTTCTGGGCTGGAATAAAGGAGAACCAGGTTATGCGGAATGGGAACTAAAAAAAGCCTGCAGCTACTTGGTCCTCGGGTCACCTCGTTCGTGCAAGCCGTTCACTCTTCCGAGCAGAAAATCAAGCCTGAGAAGTTCTTCTTTCAGGGTTTCTCCTCCTGTGCCAGAGAGAATATTATTCACTGTAAAGTCTGTCGCATATTAATAGTTCAAACGAATAGAGCAGCTATAGAATTAATAACTGATGCAGGGATTACCATGTTCACATTCATGGACAATGAGCGCATAACTTTTCCCGACATCTGTCTCCATCGAAGTTGGGCTCTTGCTCCTGCCGATTGCGTCCTGCGTTTTCTTTTTTCTGCAGCGTTTTTATTTAGCACGGTTTTCAAAAATAAAACAAAGAAACACATTCAAGAGAAATTCCAAATTGGGAGTTTCCGTAAACGATGATAATAATACGGCTTGTACCTTATAGCTTTTTCTCAAAACTTATCCCTTATTTATATGGGATCGTTTCAATCACAGTCCTCAGATAGCAATGGCCGAAGTCGTCGAGGATAAACTTGTTAATTTTTAAAATATATTGAAGAACTTGAGAGATCCAGCATGAAACTGATCAGAAGTGGCATTGTGTCCCAAAACATACCATCGATAAAGCTCTTGATTAGCGAGTGACTATGTTCACAAACGTTATCATGTCCGCCAGTTAATCTCCTAACTTAAGCTCCTAACGAGACTTATAAAGGCATCGATAGTTCTGATTACCTGAAAAGATGAGCCACTTGAAATCTGATATCTCTGAGAAAAATACCATACGACCTAACACCATATAGGCTGATGGATTGGAACACCATCACGCAGTTGAAACTTGGCTGGCAATCGATCCGCAGAAAACATCCTCGAACGCGGATTGAATAGGATATCGTGAATAAATTACCTTATAACCTCTACATAATCGCCATCCGAATGTAAATCCCCAGCAACATAAAGAGAAAGAAACGTCATCGTTGCGAAATTCGACGGACATAGAAAGGAGTCGGATCGATCACAATATACTCGTCCTCCCACGGCCAATGCATCAACCGGTGAAGGACGTTTCCGCCATTGTCAACTTCGGAGACGAACCAGTTGAACACTTGAGCCGGCGTGCACGGGAAAAAAATAAACGTGGGGCGACTCTCCTGACCAGATTCCGACCTCTACGACGTGCGCCTCCGAGCTTGCCGTTCCGACGGAGCGTGACGTTCCCGGCGAAAAATAGCTGAGAGGATCCAAGGTGAAGGAATCTGAATCTGGCTAAGGTGAACCGGGTTTATATTGTTACTTGGATGTCAATTGAACAGGGAGAGAGAGAGAGAGAGAGAGGGAGAGAGGGAGAGAAGGGGAGGGAGAGAAGGGGAGGGAGGAGAGAGAGAGAGAGGGGAGAGGGGGAGGGAGGGAGGAGGGAGGAGAGAGAGAGAGGGAGAGGGGGAGGGAGAAGAGAGAGAGAGGGGGAGAGGGTGAGGATCCAAGTAACTCTCGGTGGAAGACGTGTCGACGGCGGTTACCCGGGCGTGGCGAACCACGTCCGACGATCGCGCGGGAAAGCTCTTTAATTTAAAATGAGTGGGCCCCATATGACACGTCGCTCCCAGAGAGTGGGCCTTACTGGCCTACCAACGAACAACGACTACCATAACTACCCGATCCTCAGTAACTCCCATTTTCCCCTCTCCCACTAATTATCCGTTGTCCAGCTCAGAAATTACAAAAAAAAAAGGAAAAAAAAAGAGAGGAGAGCGAGCGGGCCCCACTGATTCCCTCGTCCCTATACGTTTCAAAGCGCCCAGGAGAGGAAGAGGAAGAAGCTCATAGAGAGAGAGAGGGGCTGTCGATGGCGAGCCCCATCGTGTTCAGCCCGTTGTCGACGTACACCACCGACCCTGTGATCGCCGACGCCAACGGAGATACCAGGAAAGCCGCCGCATTTCCGACTTCATCTGCCGCCCCCCCAACAGAACAAGGTTAGAGAGAGAGAGAGAGAGAAGAGAGAGAGAGAGAGAGAGGCTCTGGAATATCTATCTATTACCTGCTCGGAGCTCCTTCTGCAGCGGCGCGTTGGCGTAGGAGTAGTCGATCATCTTCTCTATGAACCCGATGGCCTTCGCGGCGCGGCTTCCCAGCGGACCTGAGAAAAATCCATGGCGCTGTTGGAACTCCTCTCTCTCTCTCTCTAAAAAATTACAGGTGATATATAGGTACCAGCTGATATGGTGTTAACTCTGATCTTCCCTTTCCTCCCGGCTTCGAAAGCAAGCACCTGCGTCACCAGTAAGACGAAAATGAGACGAAGGGGAGCACACAGGAAGGAAGAAGAAGATGAGATTACTCGAGTGTCGCTCTCGAGGGCTGCCTTGGCTGAGCTCATCCCTCCTCCATAGCTGCATATCGCAAGAGAAGAAGACAAACGAAGAGGATTACTCCCCTTCCGGAGATGGGCAAGAGCTGGGCAGAAGAGGAGAAGCTGCGCACCCTGGAATTATCCTCTCAGAAGCGATGTAAGTCAGGGAGATGGAGGCGCCGCCTGGTGTTCAGAAGATCGTCACAGTCAGATTTATACTATTCGAATCTGGAGAGTGCCCTCAATCTTACAAATTAATTCGGCAAATAGAAAGGACGATACATAATATATATATATATATATATATATCTATATATATATATATATTTATACAACATGAATTAAAAGGAGAAACCCTGAATCAATTAACCGTGCCCACCAATTAAAATCGAGCAAAATGATTTATACCTATAAAATCTACGATTGGGAAGAGCAAGAGTTGAATTCTTGGAAAAAATGGAGGCCCATATAGAATCAACACTCATTTATGTATCTATATAGATATCAATTTTATAGAAGATGAGTTGCAGGGCAGAGAACATGGCGGTGAGGCATGCCTGGATTCATGATCGGAAGGAAACGCTGGAGTAGAGAGACAAAGGAATAGCTTGAAGCAGATATTGCTGCAAGGTACCCATTCCTCGATGTCTCCAAGAGAGGCTTGGTAACCTGCCAATTGGATATTAACAAAATGATTAAAGAACAGAAAATTTCATGCTAACATGAAATCCAACGAACCTCTCCCTTAGTGTCATCATATTATTGAGCAAGAGGAGAAAGATTACCTCAGGTCCATTGGCAAGAGAATGCACAAGGATGTCAATACTTCCAAAGTCCTCTTTGACACATTCGGCTGTTTCCTGAAATTTTATGGGGAGAGAAAATAAACCAAGAAAGATCTAAGAGGCTCCAGATAACCCACAATTTTCACTTTTTTCTTTTTTTTTTAGGATAAAAGAAATTGATTGAAGAATTTGGGGAAAAAGTGCAAACATAATCTTGAACACAATTTTACAGTCAGTACCATAACAGTCCACTTGGATGCTGAAGAATATCTCTTATTCGTTTTAACCTGAAAATCACAGTCTGTTCATTAGGTCGAAGTTGAATTCCATCTGCCATTCTATTTCTGAAGAAAAATAGCACGCAGAAAAATTAAATAAATTCCTTACGTCTTCAGGAACATCCTCTGGGGTATCATAGACAGCATCAAGTGGATATACCTTGGCAATCTCCATGAGAGAACCATTCGGCAACCTTGAAGGAAACAAAAAGAGTACGTCAGCCAGATAGAAGGGTTGACAAAAAACGGTGATGTTGAACATGAGGTTCATCTTGAGCCCGTACAAACGTGATTCGTCAAATTTCCCACGCCTCAAGTTTGTCTCGAAGATATTTAATGCCTTTAGAAGATGAAGCATTTTATCAGAAATAAATCATATGAAAATGGGGGTGGGGGGTTGGCTTTGCAGAGAAGAGAGCAAAAGGTGGCACGGATTCACATACCGGTACCCAAGTACCGACGAGAATTTCAGCACCTGCAGCAGCGAGTGCTTTTGCGATTGCCCAACCATAGCCATTGTCATCGGCTACGCCGGCAATAAAGGCCCTTTTCCCTGTTGAAGACATTAGAACATCAGTTTAAAAGACAACTGAGCACGGAAATTTAAATAGACGATCCTGTGATGAAAGCTGGGTTTACTTGGAAAGATTAGGAAATCCTGCATCATCTTTGAAACTGTTTATTCCCAAAAAAGGTTCATAAAGTTAACCCATATAAATTAAAATTTTCCTAGGTTGAGAAGAACATGAGACAAATCTTGGAACAGAGCAGGCCTTTACATAGTGAACATAATAAATTGGCGTATTTCGCCCAAATGGGCATTAGTCTTTGGGAAATTTAACAAGGTAAAAGGTTAAACAAGAACGACTAGAATCAAAACGAAGACCTCTCAGATCAATCGGCAATCCTGTAGAGGGCCCTTTATCGGTTTCTCCACTCATGGCTCTCGTGATGCTCTTACTGAACCTTGAGGAACTAGATGAGGAGCGAACAGGGAAATGACGAGTGGACGAAATGCTGGACACGCTGGAGAGCATGTTTCTCACTGATTCTCTTGAGGTGAGCACCAGAACTGAGGCATTTGTCGCAAGCAATCCTCGAGAAGAATAGATGGAATGACTCGCGTTCATAATCTGCATGGCTGAAACTGCTGTTGCTGCCATTTTCTTAATACAGAATTCTGCACATTGGAACGAAAAATTTGCTAGCTTATATGATATAATAAATGCGATGAGATCAACGTAAAGAAGCAAATGTAGAAAAGAAATACTGCAATGGATCTACAGCATTGTTGCGTTACCACGTGCTCCGCGACGAGGTCTATTAACAAATGAGTATGAAACAGATCGGTGGCGGGATGAACACCATGCAAAGTGTTAGGGCACTTGGTGAAGATCGATATATAAATCTAACAGATAATAGTTCTCTTCACCAAAATAAGTCCTAAATCAGATGTTATTTCCAATATAATACGACGAAAATTTTCTACAACATCGAAGGAAATTAGAATATAAGGAGCTTTCGCAATCCCACCCATAATATGGCACAATACAACAGAACAAAATGTTGAAGGCTTCACCGATCGACAATCTCTCATGAAACTAGAAATGCATCCACACTTCGTTTACGGACTGCGAAGATGTGCGACGGAACGAGAAGAAAGAACCTTATGAGAGCGAAAAACCGGAAAATCCTCTACAAGATGCACTAATCTGGTCAGACCCACACAGAAATATGCGACAATACTCTCACTAAATCCGACACATTGGACGAAATAACCACACCTGTTCCCCACCGGAGCCGCTGCAGACAGGATTATTCTCCTCTCTGACGCCTCCCCCAGCACCGCTAACCTTAGAGGGAGGAACGAACAAGGAAGAGAGAGAGAGAGAGAAAGAGAGATGCAGAATGGGGATGATCGGAGAGGGCTCAGCTTCCAGGTATCCGGCCGTTGGTCGACGGATAGCGTTAGGGTTTTGGACTGGGACCCACAGTGGGAGTATAAAAGCAAATGACCAAAATGTTCCTCACAGTAGCAAAGAAGACGATAGATATACAATGTGTTATAGGGGTATTATAGACATATACTAAATACTCCAACGGGTGTTTGATGCGACAGGCTCACGCTTCTCACGTGATGTTCTGTTTTTGGTTACTTTCTTTAATTATATATATATATTTAGAAAAATGAGAATTAAGTTTACTGGGAGATGTTTCTAAACGTGGGCCCATCCCGGCCTTTTTGGGCTTACTTTGGGCCCAATAAAAAGGCCGAACCACCTACATCACGACGGTTCCGACTGGTACGTAGATGTCCTGGGCCTATGGGCCTTACCCCTTTGGCCCTCTTAACGACTTGCCCCTGAGTGAACTGGCGAGAAGAAAATATTAATGAAAATCTGACGTGTTGTATGTTTTTCATACGTGGGATCTGACGTGGATGGGGGTATTTCTCTAAATACTTGACATAATATTTGTTTTTGTAATAATGATATCCTACTTACCATCAATGCCACTCTGTTTTAAAGCTCAAGTTCACGCGTCTTTCAATACCAAGTAATGCTTAATGAGTTGACCAAAGAGACGCAAATATAACTAAAATAAGGGTAATTTATAACAGACATTATTTATTGAGAGTTAAAATAAAATATCTCTAGCGTTGACTATGTTGCCTGGACCCACGTCGACCTGGATACATATGCTGCGAATGGGGATTAGAGGGGTCAACGGGGGGGTCTGAATTTCCCTAATTGTTTTGTATTTCTTGGCGTTGATCTCATCAACGCGTGATTCCTCCGTCTGTGTGTACTTGGGATCCGGCAAATCCTTGTGATCATGCGCCGCCCTTTGGTGCTGCCGTCGGCGGTGACGACATATGGGACGGGGAGAGGGGGGCCCGCCGTCGTCGGGGCGCCGCCATCGACCTCCCGGGGCTTCGAAACCCTCTCGCCTCTTCGTGTCTCGGAGCGTCGACGAGTTTCTGATTTCCATCCCCAGCCGGAGGATAAAGTTTTGGCTCTTGATTTCGCCAGTTCGTGATCCTCAGAAAAGGCGAACTGGTCTCTCGGTTCCTGGCAGGATGTGGCAGTGCGTGCCGGAGATGTTCACTCGATGGTCAGTTTGGAGGAGGTCGAGCTCTCTGGTAATCTCTCTTCGATCTTTTTCGCAGATGGATCAGAAACTGTCTTCGACCTAGTTTTTGCCGGATTCCTCATCCTAAACCAGTCGATTTACGGTCGATCTGTTCATCGCGATCGATCATGCTTCAATCCATTTCAGAAATCAACATTTCCGAATTCCTAGGGCGTCTCCTGATTTCATTATGTGCTGCAATTACTTGATTATGATCCTGAGCTTCTCCTCGCAGACCAGGAAGATAATGTGGAACTCCATGACTGACGCCACAAGCCCGGCCCTGTCGAGAACCTATGCCACTCCATGCGCCACCTTGACCGAAGCTCCATCGGTGGAGAACCCCGCTGCATCTGACATGCTGGTGGATAAATTCGGGAGGATGCACAATTACCTGAGGATATCGTTGACAGAGCGTTGTAATCTTAGGTGCCAGTACTGTATGCCTGACGAAGGTGTGGAGTTGACCCCGAGCCCTCAGCTTCTATCCCAAGATGAGATCATCCGGCTGGCCAGCATCTTTGTGGGTGCTGGAGTGGATAAGATCCGATTGACCGGCGGGGAGCCCACAATCAGAAAGGATATTGATGATATCTGCTTGCGGCTATCAAGCTTGATGGGTCTGAAGAAGCTGGCCATCACCACCAATGGGCTTACCCTAGCCAAGAGGCTTCCCAGATTAAAGGAGTGCGGACTCAATCTGGTGAACATAAGCCTGGATACACTGGTTCCAGCTAAGTTTGAGTTCATGACCAGGCGGAAAGGCCATGAAAGGGTCATGGACTCCATTGATGCAGCGATCCAGCTTGGATACAATCCCGTTAAGGTAGTAGATTCCTCTTAATAAATATCTTTGATATGATCTAATCCCCTGCTAAAATGCAATAATGTTGCAATTTTTTTTCCTATTTCAGGTAAATTGTGTCATAATGCGAGGAATAAATGATGATGAAATCTGTGATTTCGTGGAGTTGACCAGGGAGAAGCCGATCAATGTCCGATTCATTGAGTTCATGCCATTCGACGGCAATGTCTGGAATGTGAAGAAACTTGTGCCATATGCAGAGATGATGGATAGAGTGGTAAGGTAGAACCTCTGCAGAAAGCCCATTCCCATATCTGAGGACCTGCCAATGTTCACTAGTTCCCCCTGTAACAGCTACAGAAGTACAGAGGTGTGAGAAGGCTCAAGGACCACCCTACTGATACAGCCAAGAACTTCATGGTAGATGGGCATCTGGGTACCATCTCATTCATCACCTCGATGACTGAACACTTTTGTTCGGGCTGCAATAGACTGCGGCTTTTGGCTGATGGGAACTTCAAAGTGTGCTTGTTTGGTCCTTCTGAGGTATGCAATCCTCTCCCTTCCGTTCTTCCAAAGTATCTGAGTTTATTAATGGGAATGATAGCGTTTATCTAGGTATGATCAGATGCCAATACCCTTGAAATCAAATTTCCACAGGATAAGAAGCACTTTGGTGTTCATTACCCATGATCACGTTAATTTTGAATTATTTTTTCCGATTTTGCACTGTTCTCAGACTAATGCGCTTTGATATCTGTTGTATTCAGGTAAGTTTGAGAGATCCACTTCGAAGTGGCGTTGATGACTCCGGAATGAGGGAGATTATTGGCTGTGCGGTAAGCCTGATTTCACCGTGGATTTAACCAGTGATTAACACTTAAAAATTATTATTTATTATTATTATTCTTAAAAATAATTACTATTTAAAAATGCTATAAAGGGATCATGCAGACTTTTGTTATTTATGCACGAAGAAAAGATACATAATATAATTGTCATCTACCCTTGCCAGGCCAAAATGTCAACTCTAGAAACCACTGAACAGTTGAATAATGTAGTCGCTGAAGGTTGCCAAGTCAACTTAAATCACTGAAAAGTCAGGTGGCTTGAGTTAATTATGCATTTATACTGAGGAGTAGAAAGGAGAAGAAGGCCATGTGTATGTGAATGTCCCTTTCTTTTTAAAAGCATCTAATCTAAATCAATATTGGTAGAAAACATGTGGCAATATTATCTTTCTTGCTTTCTAAGGAAAAAAAATTCGGTCAAAGTTCTAGATATGATAGACTAACATGGAGCAAGAAATTTCATATAGTAGAAGATGGGATTGGCAGGATTTCCTGAGGCTGAAAGCAGAGGATTTGTCTCCCCAAGCTTAGAAAGTTGACTTTTTAGTAATTATCTTCAACTATGAGTAAATTGACGCAAACCATACAAGTGTAAACAGTCAAGAAAAAATATATTAATCTCCTAAAATCATATAATTACCCTGGAGCCAAAAAAGGAAACTTCCTAGGTTAAGGAAATTACCCAATTAGGAAACTGATCAACAGAAACTAACCCCTAAATCACACGTTTTTCCCACAGAAACTACCCAATTCCTTGCCATTATTAAAGGTTTCATCAAATGGGTCTGCTGCATTGTTTCTGTCACCTTTTGATTTCAAGGCAACCTTGTTCAGAAGAGGAGATGAAAACAGGGCTCTGGGTTTTATCAGGTGAAGAGGAAGAAAGCTGCTCATGCTGGGATGTTTGACCTTGCAAAGACGACGAACCGGCCCATGATTCATATTGGTGGCTGACCCGTGGTACGCTATTTTCCCCATTTTTTTAGTCTTTTTTTATATTTTTCTCCATAAGAAAAGGAAGTGGGTATTTTTGCTACGAGTCCAGACGTAATTATTTTATTTTAGTGTCAGAAATTGATCTTAGTTTGACTTGTATACTCGTATGATCTGGGGATGTACCAGGCCCTCCTCTTCGCTGCCCATATCATGTGAAAAACTAAAATATACCCACATTAGATTTTAAAAAATTATATTTATCCAGAAAGTGTCATCTGTTCATATAACTAATTTGGCTTCAGCTGTTGCTACCTTTACCTGATGAGCTAGAGAGAGAAAGTGAGATAGAGAGAGAGAGAAAGAGAGAGAGAAAGAGAGAGAAAGAGAGAGACTGAATGAGTGAGAGAGAGAGAGAGAGAGGAAGGGAGGGAGGGAGATCTTTATCTCAATTTATTTCTTCAGCTGCCCTGGACAAACATCCAGGTTTGCCTAATATCATCACACGGGAAGACTATATCACATAATCCCATAATCAGGTCAACAGCCAGCTCTAAGTCAACCGCTAGCATTAAACCATCCCTGATCGCACTGCCTGTCTAACATTTCTTCACGCTTCTTCAGATCATGCAGGTGGGCCATCGCCCCTCCTCCACCTCATCCACGAGAACAAGGACTCATGCTGTGTCCTGCTGGTGATGGAATACATTGATTACACCTTCAAACTCTGAACAAAGAGAGAGAGAGAGAGGGAAAGAGAGAGAAAGAAAGAGGGGGGCATGGAAGGCTAGAGAGAGAGAGAGAGAGGCACTTCCACCCTGTTTGTTATGTATACTAAAAATAGTACTTCTTCAAGCAGAAGGATGAGAGCCAGGACGGGCTCAGTCGCTTCTTAGGCTCGGCCCTCAGAACCAAGTACGGAAATAAGAAGAAGGGTTCTTGCGGTTTACCTCGTAAGTTATTCTGACTTATTCATCGGTCAACCCTCTCTGGTTTTTCGGCTTGCTCTTTTAGCCCCCCCTCCTCCTAAATAAACCATCCTCTTCTCTCTATTTAGTCGATATTTTTCTATTAAAATGAAGAATGTTCGTCAAATAGTCTGTTTATTTTGAATAATTCAGTCTATATGTGTAAAGACATAAATGCCCTTTCATTGGCCAAAAGGTTTCTGCTCTTTTCTTGGCGTTTGATGGAGCGAGAGAGAGAGAGAGAGAGAGAGAGAGAGAGAGAGAGAGATGGACAAGACATTTAGGGTTTATGGAGAAGAAATACCGTGTAAGTAAAGAGGAGTAGATGATTATGTGCACGGGGGAGGGGGTAATATAGTCCTTTTTAAATCACGTTCGATGTCAACGACTCTGATCATTATTTCCCCGATTTAACAAAACAAAATAAGGTTCTTGTCTAAAAGTTGCTAAATAACCCAACGGGCCCAGTGATAATTAGGTGGGGTCACAAGGTGGCCCAGACATGGAGTTTCATGGACCTCTGACCAGACCCCACTTTCCAAGAGTCACTAAGTGCCCGGCCCATCAGCATCTCCCTCCTCTCTCTCTCTTCTTTCTCTCTCCTATGTCTCTTCTGTCTGTCTCTCGATTATGGGACCTGGGCATGCTGTCCTCAACCGGAGAAAATGAAAAACTGGATTTTTCCAGTCAGGAAGAGAAGGAGAGGATCGGAGCCACCCAAAGAAGGAATGGATTTTATGCTTCGTTGGACAAAAAACAGATCCATGTACAATCACTCGCACTCTCATATTGATGACAGATTTTTACATACGCCGACCCAGATCTCCTCCTCCTCCTCCTCCAGGATCGCCGGAGCAGCAGATCTGACGAAGAAGAAGAAGCAGTCGGAGGGTTCTCAGTCTTCAGCCCGGACGCCGTCGTCGAAGTTCTGTGCGTAGCTGAAGGAATCGTAGCGGAAACCCTTCCCACCGGAGGGCCGGCGGAAGCAGCGGCGGAGCCTGTAGAGTAGGCGGCCCCATGTTCCAGCGCCGCCGCCCAGCGCCGCCTCGTTCGTCTCCAGGTCGCCGGCGAAGTGGGCTCTCCGGGAGAGGATCCATCTCCTCCCCCAGTCCCACCAGCCCCTCAGAGACCATCCCCGAAGCCGTTCCACCGCCGGCATCGACATTGTTCGCCGGAACGCCGCCGCCGCGTCCGACGACGACGGCAGCGGCGGGATCCTCTCCGAGAACGAAGATAGCCTCCTCCTCATCCCCCTGCCTTCTCCATTAGAGACGGGCAGCTCCTCTCTTCCGCCCAGTAAACTCCTCTCCTGGATCCTCTCGTACACAGCCCTCATGCCCATCCACAGCTAGAGAGAGAGAGAGAGCGCTAGCGAGAGAGAAAGAGAGAGCTAGCGAGAGAGAGAGAGAGAGAGAGAGAGAGAGAGAGAGAGAGAGAGACTATTGTCGCTGTGCCGTTGGTGCTGTGTCCACCTCTCGGTGGCGGGTTCGGGGAAAGCTAATTTAAGTGGCTTGGCGTCCACATGATATTTTTGTATTAAACTTGGTTCCCGCTGTGGTTGGATCCTGACCGCCCGTAGACCTCAATCGGACCGCCCAGAATGTCTCAATCGGTATGGATGGACCCATCAAGGTCCACTCGTCTGAGGGGTGAGATTCGATTCAGGATCCGACGAATATGGCAACACGTGTGGACAGACACCGGCGAAACTCGCTGTCGGTGCTCCTCTCTCTCTCTCTCTCTCTCTATCTGTATATATCTCTCGCTCTACCTTGCTCTGACTCTCTCATCGCATCGTCTGTAAAAGGGCCAAGCTCGGCCCAGAAAATAAACTTTGGGTTAGGCCCATAAAAACCTCGGGCCCACTCTACATATATCCAGGCTGGCAATCGAGAGAGAGAGAGAGAGAGAGAGGAGGGAGTGGAGGGCCCGCCACGGGGAAACTACGTGACAAAGAAAATGAGCCAAAACTAAAGCTGGCCCACACAAGTTCTTGTGGGGCAGCCAAATTCTAATTCTCTTTCTAGACATGATTATTAAGTAGAAGAATGTGAAAATCTAGCCAACGTGAGAGAGAGAGAGAGGGGGACAGAGAGGGAGAGAGAGAGAGAGAGAGAGAGAGAGAGAGAGAGAGAGTTGAAGGTTACTCTCCAAATTAGTGGGGCTTAAAATCATGGCCTGCTCCATATTCTTAATCTCTAGACGCAAAACTCCAGAACCCTCTCTCTCTCTCTCTCTCCATCTAATTGGGCCCATTTTTTATTTCAAGCCAAGTTCAAGGCCCAATTTAGTATCGCTTTAATAGCTTGTCACCCTTCAAGCCCACATTGAAAGAAGAGAAGTGGACTGGTGATTATGTCCATCCCCCTTGGGGTTGACACAACTATTTCTGACCCAACAGATTGATTATGGAATATATAGTGAGCAAATCACTACCAAAATCCAATCAACACTACCAAAAGAATGTTGACCCAATATCATCTATAAAAGGATTTCAGCCTTCTTTGGGGGGATCAAGATACAAAGTTAGTCTAAAGAAATCAACCATCTTGAACTAATCATTGCTCTCTTCCCCCTTCCCTTCTTGTGTCAACAAATGCCTCCATCTTCCATATTATCTAAGTCTATTTATACAATCTTTTCTCTCTTTTTTTTAATGAATTAAATAATCCATTGTAATGAATCTAATTGTAGTGAAATTCTCATGATACTTCACTCGCCATTTTTCTTCAAATTGTGGGCTTCTATGAATTTAATGCACCCTTCTTTCACTTTGATTTTGTCTGTAAGTTGAAATTCTTGAAATAATTGTTGGGTAGTCCTTGTTGGGTCCCAAGTAGCTTTAGAATCAAACAACTCTTGTAATTTGATCAGAACCTTGATACCACATGGCCCATGTCAAGTAGCCAACACATCTACTGGTTTGATTGTCCATGTGAGATTTTCATCAAGAACTAATGAACTAGATTCATCTAGGAAGAAAGTTTTGATGGGTCACTTTAGTTGTGAAATGTAGAACACCAGATGATCACATGTTGTGGTTGATAAATTCAAGCAGTAAACAATCAGCCCAATATACTCTAGAATTTGATATGGGCCAAACAAATGAGGCCCAAGTTTCTTGTAGGGTCAATGGCCCCTGGTTTTTTACTAATGAAGCCTTAGGTGAAGAAACTTGGTTGTTGATGGTGAACTGAATATCTCATCATATTATTTGCATAACTCTTCATCTAGACTTGTGCTTTGACTAAGTGGAGTTAAATTTACCTAGAGTAATGTCCTAATCTTGTAGCTCCCAATTAACTACATCGAAAGTTTGCCAAGTTGAGTTCATAAAGGAGAAGGGTTGGGGATCCCATCTATTGTCAATTTTGATGGCCAATGTGTTTGCTAATGAATTAAATTTGTGTTGAATCAATATTCCATCCACATGGGCCACTTATACCATTATTCGGATCATTTGTCGGGGAAGCATCATAGAGAGGTCTCAAGGCCCCAATGTTTGACCTCTATCTAATAATCCTATTGTAGATGGTATCAGCTACTAGTTGTAAGAAGGTGCATTGTGATCAAAAGAGCTTTCTCCATAAGATACTTATGAAATTGACTAATAACTTAGTTAAGACTAAGAGACAGATGATAAAGACTTAGATGGATCTGGGGATGGCTAAAACATCTTTAATCTGCTTGGGTAAGTTGGGAGGTCCGGCCTGCTTCGAGAAGGTATTAGTTAACTTAGGTATCAACATTGAGATTCCAAGTATGTGAACTACACCGTAGGTGACAATATGAGCAACTTCTTCTTTAGTGCATGGATGTCAAAGCATTGAGAAATGTGCATACTTGTTAAGTCAATCTTGACGACAATGATTGAACTAAGTCTTTCTAATTTGAACAATCATTTGATGAAGTCTATCAACATATCATTTCATGTCTTTTCATAATTGGGAAGAGGCTACAAGAGTTTGACTGAACAAAGGGATTTAAATTTAATTTTTTGACATACTTGACAACTAGTTACATACCATTTGATGATGCTCTACATTACTTTCCAATGAATATTTTGAGTAACAATTTTATATGTTTTGAGAAATTCGAAGTGCCCTCTAGTGATCAAGTTATTAAATTTCTTTAAATCTTTTGATATTTAACATGATTGTCTTCTAACTTCTTAATTATCATATATAATTAGGGGTTTATAAGATTTTTGTGCTTGATTTGATCTAAATTGATTAAGTTTGGTCCAAAGAGTTCAATGACATTAGGAGGAAAAATCTAAAATAAGTCATTGCCTGCCATCTAACTTTATAATTTATCTCAAATCAAAACTCATAATATTAGAGAGTCATTAATGTTATTTTGGGAGGACCCATCATTGATTCATAATAAATTAAAGGCTTTATTGATAAGTAAATAATATAATTTCTTTTCACACAAATAATGCTTCTAGTTTAGTGTTGACAAGATAATTGCCATTAATTTTCAACATGTTTCAAAATATGGAGAACTATCACAAGAGATAGTTCTCTACTTGATTTAGTGCTTCTAGTTTAGTGTTGACAAGATAATTGCCATTAATTCTAAAAGGGTGCCCACATGTTGGTCCACTTGAACCGTGTAAAGACTTTTCCTTCAAGAATCAGTCTTGTTGTGATTAATTTCTCCAGAGTAAAAGTTAGAACATGGAGAACTATAGTTTTGCCCAAAAACCCACCATTTGAGGTATATTCCCTTGAAGATGGGCATCTCAAAATTCCTTCATCCATGCCAAGCTTCTGTTCAGGAAGGACGGATTTGATTGTTGATCATTTATAAAGGCTAATGCTTCGTGAATAAAAGATATTATGACTTGAGCTGGCTCAAATAACTAATATTGTCAGAATTTTGAGTTGGCCTTCCATGACTAGATTAGCAAGAATTACAGCCTTTAGATAGGGTTAATGAGGATTTTTCTCCTAGATGACATGCCATAGTAACATTACGTGGGTAACAAAGCTCCTCAAGAACTTGTGAAATAAATTTGAATTGTTGTTTGATTGTTAAAATTTCATTGCAACGCTCATTGATGTTTTCTAATAAATCAATCGATGTGTGACAAAAATTCTGGTGAAGCTCATCTAATTTCTTCTCAAATGATTCCATCTTTTCATCGTTTGATTTGATTTGAGAGGCATTTAATATGATACCTAATTGATGGAAACCCAAAATCTAAGGAAAAATGAGGTATTGTGGTAATTTCTATAAGATTAGGTTTACTAGAATAGACATTATTTACTCAAGTAAGAAAATAATTAAACTCAAGTAACATGGAAGAGGTGGGGCCTCTGGGCTGACATCAAAAGGAAAGTGGGAAGAGGACGAATGACTAATTTGGGATGGTCAATCTCCTTAGGACTAACTCTTTGTCTGAACCCATCTCCCCTCCCAAGAAGGCTGAAGGTTTTAATAGATGATATGGGACCAACATGCTGTAAGGTTGTCTCGTTGCATTGATAGAATCTGGCAGTGAAGAGGTCGCCACATATTCCACGATCCATTCGTTGGGCTGGCAATAGTTATCGGCCCGGGGGGGAGTAGCTGTAATCACTAATCAGCTTCTCTTCCTTCAAGGTGGGTCTGGAAGGGTGAGGACCTCATCAGGCCCAGCACGGCCCATTATCATCGAGAATGAATGCCATCAGACATCTAATGTATACATGAATGAGTACGGTCCTAATTTTGCCAGGGAACTAATCCTGCATCCCATTTTTATTTCATGACATAATGCAACTATAGAAGAGATGATCCAGGTGGAGAAAGAAATGAGGACTCAGATAGGACCTCCTCTCAGTGCAAAGAACATCCATATCCTTCTCCATGACAGCAGCCTCCCTGGATTTTTAGTACATTCAATGATTTCACACGATAAAGGTTTCCCGGAGCACAAAAGAAAATAAAATTGGAAAAAAAAAAAGTGTGGGAGAATAAGCAGGGTTTTTAATTATATTCCATGGTTTCTATCAGAGTTTCTGGGTGAGTTTTCCCTGCAATGGAATAATGGGCAAGAAGGAGACAATTAATACATATGAAAGTACAGGAAATGAGGAATATTTTAATCAGACTCCATGATTCCACATATATCTCTGGATAAATATTTCCGGCTGTAAGATTATATTCTGTGATAATGCAGGCATGCATATCTAAGCACAGGGGAATGAGGATGATTATAATTAAATTCCATGATAATATATGCTTCCGGATAAATATATCTAGCTTTGCAGTCACGGGCAAGAACATAATCATGGGCAACATCTTAGGGTAAGCAGGATTTTAATTATACAACATGCTTTAGCATACATATTTCTGGATAAATATTTATCAGCTGCAGAATCATGGGCGAGAACGAAAAAATAAGTAAAAATGAGAACACAGAAGATTAAGCAGGATCTTGAAGTTCCTGGATAAATGTTCCCAGCAGCAACATTACGGGCAAGAGCACAAAAGAAATAAATATGAAAATATAGGTAAACGAGCACCAGTGGTTAGCTCAAGGGCACTCACCTGGGTCTTCAATGATCAGGCCCTTGCATAAGCCAAACTGTTGTGTTTTCCCTTGTTAGAGCTGGAGAAGAAGCAAAACTGGGTCCAGCTCTTCCTTGTCCTCGCATTCCGTACACTGATTTCTCTTTTAGCAACATGTTCAGCCATGTGCTGTACTACAGCCTTCCATATCACATAAAAATTCCGAGTTATTACGTCAAATCATGCCATATATATTAAAAAAATTCTGGTTTCTTAGCTTTTCAGCCCCTGAAAAATCTGTCATTAATGGGTAAGCCCCTACTGTTTACCCTATAAAACCCTTCCTTTTTCCAACCCTTTGCCCTGGAGACACCAGTGAACAGCTCCCCGGCCATGAGATGTACTTTTGTTTGTGATAGAAAGAAGCATAGCTGAGGTTAACTGGTGGCTGTAGAATGCTCTTCATTTGCAGACGGAAACATAATCTGAATGCTAGAAAAATAGTCTTAGGCTGGTCTCGGAGTAGATCGTCAACAGGAAAAGTTTGGGGATTTCCATCAAAGTGTTTTACAGGGACTGAAAGCAAAATAAACCGCACAACAGTAAATTAATGGAGATGGCTGATTACCTGGGCACCCATTTTGGCAAGATGCCTTGGCGGCATCTCCAGAGGATTCTCTTCTGCATGAAGCACTCGGAGACGCGACAACATCGCAAAGGAGTCAGGAAGAACAGTTATCTGATTATTGCTTATATTCAGTTCCTCAAGCATCACGAGATCCCCAATGGATTGTGGCAGCGACCTCATATCTGCAAAATTATTTCCAATGTTCATCTTGACCAGTGTAGAAGCCAGGCATAGGCTCTCCGGCACTGACTCCAACTCATTGAAGCTGACATCAATCTCCTTCAAGTTTGAAAGGGAAGACATCGTGGTCGGAAGAGATTTTATGGTATTGTACCGGATGGAAAGAATCTCCAAGGTTTTAAGCCTGCCCACAGCTTCTGGGAGGGCCTTCAGGCGATTATAATCGGCGCGGAGCTCAATGAGAGAGGTACAGTTACCGATTGAATGTGGGAGTTCTTCCAAGTTGTTTGTTTCAACAACTAACTTCCTCAAGTTCAGCAGGTCTCCGATTGCATCAGGAAGGACAGACAACTGATTTGCGCTCAGGTCCAGTTCTTGGAGGAGGACTAGCTTGCTTAGATTCGACGGTAGTGATTTCAACCGATTTCCTTGAAGGTCAAGGCAAGTGAGGCTCAGAAGATCTGTGATTTCCTCAGGGAGTTCAGCAATCCGATTTGAACGAAGAGCCAACCTTTTTAGAGAGTAAAGGGTACCAATCGTTCTTGGGAGTGCAGTTATACTATTTTCTGATAGATTGAGGGTGAGGAGAGCGGATAATTTCCCTATTGAATCAGGTAACCAATCTAGTTGATCCATAAGCTTGTTCTGAAGATCCAGATCCTTGAGCCCTTTCTTTGAAGACATCTCAATTAAGGTGGCTAGCTTTATCAGACTTAGTTTCCCACTGCCTTCTCCTACAAAACACCAAACAGATGAAATGATCCGAAGTCAGCAAACAATGTATCGCAGCAATGGTGAGTGAAAATGCACTGAAATTAACCAACACTTATATTACGTTATATCTAGGGACCATCAGATATCTCAACTTCTCATTGAATTCTAAAAAAATGCTCAGGATCTCAATTACAATCCCAGTATAATAACATGGAAGATTAAACTACACTAAGATTTAACCACAACTTACATTAAGTTCTATCATGAAACATTATGATATGTCTAGAGATTAGACTGCGAAATTTTCAATACGGATATTGTCAATGAAATCTCAAGTCTGGCTATACTGAATGTCCAGAAAATTGAACAGTGAACCATTCAATAAAAAGGGAATTTTCAATGAAATTTATATGTTTTTCATTGAAATAGAATCGCATATACGTAGTAGATTAGCTAGTCCAAAACACCGGGCTAATCCTTACCAGCTGATGCCATAGGTTTAGTTGTTGCATTTGGCGACGAGCTTTGCAATGCGAACGGATGGAGACCGATTCTATCGGCAAGAAAGTTAGATTTCGCTTTCTTCACGTAACCGTCGTCTCTGGTGAACAGCTCGGTTCTTGTGTTTCCTATCTCCGTGGTCAGAGAGTTCAAGACAGGTTTTGGAGTGGGGGCAGCAGCAGCGGAGGAAGAACTCATCGACAAGGAGGAGTTTGGTCCATGTGAGCTAGATGCCACGCATCTAGAGGCTCTCTGAACCAACTCGTCGAAGAGAACGTGAGCGTTCTCCAGCTCAAGCAGCTTCAGGGCGTCGTTCTTCTGGTCCTTGCATCGGAACGTCTCGAGATTCTTCTGCATCTCCAGGAGAGCGGAGAAGAGCTCATCAGGGATGTCGAACCCTTTCTTCTGCTTCTGGATATCTTCCAGGCGGGATTGTTCTTCCTTGTCGGCATCCCTGACCAGAGCTACTGCGGCATCGACCTCGTCTATCCCTGGCCTCGGTGGAAGAGACCGGTGGATTTTCTTCACCTCTTCGACAACTTCATCGGTGGATCGGAAGAAGCGACCCATTCTCGCTATTGCCGAGAAATCTCAGACAGGAAATGTGATGAATTTAAGAGCAGAAAGAGCCCAGTGTCCCACTCAACCTCACGAGATCGCTTCCCTTGGATACTGCTACGGATAGATTCAGACGACGAGGGAAGGACCATCTAGAAAACGCCTTATGAGGAGGCGAGAGGCGAGCTTAACTTTTAGTCTGAGAAAACGACTGACGAGCACGAAAAGCTCGAATCCCGTTCACCTGATCTCCGCCATTTCTCCGCTGAGACAAAGGTAACGAGTGGTAGGGAAATTTACAGAACAAGCTCGACGCTAAATTAGAAAGAACCACTACTTGATAAAGATCAACGGAGGAGAGAGATGTCCCCCCTCATCAGTCGCCACGGATTACCCCATTCCACCCTTAATTGCCTCAGGAACGGAGAAAGAACAGCACCGGCCGAAACCTGCGGCACCTCAGGCCGGAGGAAACTGCTCCGATTCTTCGCCTAATCCCGGATTTTTCAAAATTTATGCACTCGCTTCGTTTCCAATCAAGCTGTCCCGGACAGTCTGGTTTCTGCAAATCGATCGACGATATCCTCAGAAGAAAATGGCGGCGCCTCCGTCGACGGCCACCTCCGCCGCTCCAGATTTTGATATCGCCAGGCGTCGGTCCGACGAGGAACGGTGGAGCTGCGGAAGCCATTGCCTTCCTTCCCTGTCACGGGGTGGTCAGGACGCGAGGTTCACACTTCCTTCTCCGTCTTCTCCGTGGAGAAGAAGAGGCTCAGCTTTTTACATGAAACACCCTCAGGAGTCGAACAACCGCAAAATTTTCATATATTTAAAAATATCAATAAAACTACCGTTAAAATGTTTGGATAAGAAAGTGATAATATATTATCAATCTTTCAAGGTTTATTTGGTTTTTTAATCTATTATAGGAATCAAACTCAAAAGATCCCGTGTGTTAGTCCCGTGATTCGCTCTTTTGAGGAATGTGGGGCCCGCATAGCCACGTAGCTCGTAATCTACCCTGGAGTGGGGTCCACCCATGACCAACCTCGAGCCAGGATCGTTGTGGCGTCGTTCGCCGCGGCGCAAACTGTGCCCGTCCACAGAGCCGAGCACCCGGAAGAAGCATATCTGTCGATCGATCCTGGCCGTCGGATGGATGGACCTTGTTGGTGATGATATGGCAGCTAGGTCCGGGCTTCAGCTCTAGAGAGAGAGAGGGGAAACATAAGACAACCCACGAAATCGTACATTATTTTGATAAAGCTAATGCCGTATAAATATTAAACATTTTCAAAATTTTCCTACAGAATGTATAGAGAGAGAGAGAGAGAGAGAGAGAGAGAGAGAGAGAGAGAGAGAGGGAGAAAGGACAATCCAGAAAATTCTACATTATTTTTTTAAAAGTTAATCCCGGATTAATATTAAACATTTTGAATATTTCCCACACAATGGATAGAAAGAGAGAGAGAGAGGTTTAAGAAGAATCATTAAATCATTAAAATTCCCTAATAAAGTTAGTGCCATGACATTGACATCGAACATTTGGAGAAGACTATACATCATTGATGATAATCACCAAAAGTCTATGGTATCATGAATCAAGGAGTAAAGAATCTTGAACACCAGCCCAAACCCATTGGATCTTCACAGACTCTCTCTCTCTCTCTAGATTCACTTCTTTGCCTTGGCGAATCTCAGGCAGCGGTACTTCTCACCGCTGACGGTGATCTCGAGGGCGCCGTCCTGGTTATCCTGGTTCGATGCTGTGCCCATGAGAACACTCTTCTCCTTCTCGAGGTTCTCCTTCTCGATCTTCAGCCGGGCTTCTTGTCGGGTGATCTCGGCCTGCAGATTTTATTTCTCCTGATTTAGCAAGTTTCATGGGCGAGGAACAGAGAGATTAAGATCGCTCGTCCACAACCTCACAAAAATTTCTCTGAAGAGGCTGAATTTTCTATAAAAAGGTAAAAATCATTCAAAAGATAAATTCACATAATCATTCAAGAAATCATCAAATCCATTGGGGGAAGTGAAGAATTAATTTAATACGAGAAACATTAGAGAAAAATGCTGATAAAAAGAAGAGATGGTTAATCAGAATTATAAAGTATGCGAAAACTCAGGTAAATCAAACATTAAGAACACAGAAATGGCTCAATTTCTGAACAAAAACTTTGCAATATATTCATCTATTTTCATATCGTCATCACAAATCTCTCCGATTTTGCAAAACCAAAGTAATCAGTCTCCAATACGAATATCATCCTCCAATCACGGTCTGATGAAAAGATTACCAGTACGATCTATTTGCTTTTTTCTCAGCAAGAACAACAAGATGCATTTCTCGAGATTTTTCTCATAGTGGTTGATCTGGTTTCTCATTATCACCAGAGAAAAACGAGGACAAACTTCTGATCAAAGATGTGCACAGTAGCAGTGGCCTCTCTCTCCCAATTGTTTCATGCAATTCACCAGTCAGATGGACTCAAAAATATCCATTGAAGAAAATAAGATGGTAAGCATTCAAAACACATAAGGTACAAGGTAAGTTGCTTGTTCTAGATGCTTTTGATCGTCAGATCTAAAAGGGCAGCTCTTCAAATCTGATACTGAGCGCTGTGCATATCTGTGTTCATGAAAATGCCCATAACCAGATGATTCTGCATCGAGGACCTGCCTGCGGATGCACGGATTTCTGTAACATCCCAGGAGCAGAATTGTACCAAGATCCTTAGATCATGAAAATGCCCATAATCAAATGATTCTGCATCGAGGACCTGCCTGCAGATGCACGAATTTCTGTAACTTCACATGAGCAGGATTGTGCCAAGATCCTTAGTGAAAAATAATAATAATCAGAGCTTAGAAATTTCCATTCAAAGGAAACCAATGCTCCCTGAAAAGACGATTGCTGGTCGCCGATCACTGATTTATTTTTCTCTCTCTGTTTTTGTTTTCATAAAGTGGACAGTGCTACAGATGCATTATGAAAAATTTACTAAGGGGAAGATCCCTGGAACTGTCTGATTGTCTAGTTGTTCCTCCTCTCTAGGATGCTAATAGGAAGCGTCCCCCCTCGTGGTTACCTACATCAAGCAATGGAACACAGAAACGCCCCGAGCAGTCTCAAATCAGCTCCGACATTACTTGATACTTGCAGAGAAGACTTTGTGTACCACCTCCTCGTTGCTTTCTTCTTCGAGCCACCGATCAATTGTTTCTCAATAGATTATATGTCCATTTATAGGGAAAAAAAATTAAGCACGACAGAAATCCCAAGAAATTCACGCGTTACGGGCATTTTGTTCCCCAGAAATCTAAAAAAAAAACAGCCAACAGTTTACCTCGCGGCGGGAGAGCTCCGCCTTCCAGGCGGCCTCCCTCTCAGCGACCTCTCTTTCCCGCTCCTCTATGTAGCTCTGCATCTCCCTCTCTTTCATGATCCTGTCCTGAATATCCGCGTCCAGGGCCTCCTTCAGCTCCTTCACGAACTTATCCACCACGGCCTTGATGCGGAGCGACATGGCCACCGGAAATCCACGCGGCCTGACCTCCCGCAGCCTATCTACTGCAATCCCTTCTCACTGGAATCTGCCAGACATTCTGACCTCTCTTTATTATCTCTCTGGCCACTTCCGTCCAGCCGCCCGCCCAAGCCTACGGTGGCAGCTCCTCACCGGCCTGAGACTCCGCCATGGATCTCTGAGGCCCTTCTCAGAGCCGCCATGGCCCTCCGTTAGGGTTTCAGAAGGAGAAGGAAAGTGGTGGGGCCGAGCAAGTAGCTTCCGAGGAGAGAGGGGAGGAGTGAAGGTAAGGGAAACGAATCCGCTCCTGAGGAGGAATGTAGGGGACAAAAAGGTAAAAGCATTTTTTTTGTTAATACTCATACTTTTCAAATTTTATCTGAAGACATTAAACCATTTATTATTACAATTATACCTCCTAATTTAATATAAAATTATTTTTGATATACATTATGAAAGTCTAGACAAGCTTTTCACTAATGAAAGTAGGGACAAAAAGAAAATGCAAACTTTGTTGCATGCTTTTAACAATTTTTAATTTATTTGAGTCGATAAGTTTGTATTGTCAATATACCCTCAAAACTCTCTCCAGGCCCCATAATCGAGCCCTGGATGGGGACGCTGCTCCTTCATTTGGTAACTGTGGGGGGGGTATTAACAAGATCATGGGACAGGAAGGATAATAATCAATAAAAAATATTTTAATGTGAATTTATGAAAATCCATACAAACTTTCCACGAATGAAGGCCAAAACTAAGAAAAATATTTTTTCGTTATACCCTTACTTTTTAAAACTTATCGTAAGATGTCAACAAGTTTATATTATTCCATATACCCTTGAATACTTTCCTCCGGGGTCCGGACAGGACTGCTCGTTTAAGGAAGGGGGGTTTATTTATAAAATTCCAAGGACTTTTCATAAATGAAGCTGGGGACAAAAAGGTAAAATGAACATTTCGTTCATAATCTTGATGATTTTTAAATTTATGCTAAGATGGCAACAATTTATATTCTCAGTATACCCTTCAAAATTTTCTATGTTAATAATCTTAATATTTTTTAAATTTATCTAAAGATGTCAACAAGTTTATATTATCAAATTACCCCCAAAACTCTCTGGGCCCTACAATCGAACCCTGGATAAGACAATGGGAGAGAAGGGTAGAAAGTAGTCGATATAAATTGCTTTTTCCCGTTAATTTATGAAAAAACCCACCCGACCTTGGGAACAAAAGAGTAAACGCAAACGTTTCGTAAATACTGTTAATACTTTTTTATCTTAAGATATCATCTATATTACACATATACCCCCAAAAGCTCTCCGCAACCTACAATCGGACCCTGGATACAATAATGAGAAGAGAAGGGTAATAGTCGTTATATGTTTTATTTTTTAGTGTAAATGTATAAAAAGTGTAGACAAACCTCTCACGAAGGGGAACGACTCACCTGGCTTGATATTTCGTAGCTATGAAGCCCCCCGTGGGCTTCAGCAGCAGGAGAAGACTATTCCCACGGCTGTTGCTTCGCCGCCTGACGTCTTCCCCACCGCCGCCGTCGGCGGCGACGGCGGAGTTCGCCGAGCTCTGCCGCCGGCACGAGCTCCCGGCGGCCATGGCCGCCATGGAATCCCTCCACCGACGCGGCCTCCGCGGGGACCCCGTCGCCTACTCAGAGCTGATCAAGTGCTGCCTCAAGAACAACGCGGCGGAGGACGGGCGGCGCGTCCACCGCCACCTCGCCGGCGGCGGCGGCTCCCTGCTCAGCATGTTCCTCTGCAACGTCCTCCTCAACATGTACGCGAAGCTTGGGCTTGCAGAAGAGGCCCGGAAGCTGTTTGACCAAATGCCGGAGAGAAATGTCGTCTCCTGGACCACCATGATCTCGACCTGCGGGGAAGAAGAAGCACTGAATCTCCTGGTTCAGATGATCAGAGACGGCGTGAGGCCCAACATGTACACTTACTCCTCCGTCCTCCGCTCCTGCAGCGATTTGCAGACGTTGCGGGGGATCCACTGCCCGGTGGTGAAGGCCGGCTTGGAATCGGACGTCTTCGTCAGGAGCTCCCTCATCGACAGCTATGCCAAGTGCGGCGATCTTCCAAGCGGGCGCTCCGTCTTTGATGAGATGAGTACGCAAGATCTGGTTGTGTGGAATTCCTTGATCGGCGCCTTTGCGCAGGCCGGCGGCACCTCTGAGTCGGTGGCGGTGTTTGTGGAGATGAGGAGAGCCGGGTTCCGCTCAAGCGAGGCAGCCCTCACCAGCCTCCTCAGGGCCTGCGCCGGCACGGCGATGCTGGAGATGGGGCGGCAGGTGCATGCGCAGGCGGTGAAATCTGATGCCGATCTGATCCTCCACAACGCACTGCTGGACATGTACTGCAAGTGCGGTGAATTGGCGGAGGCGGCTGCCGCCTTCTGGCGGATGTGCCGCCGGGATGTGATCTCCTGGAGCACGATGATCGCCGGGCTGGCACAGAATGGGCGCAGCATGGCGGCGCTGGAGCTTTTTGAGGCGATGAAGAAGGCAGGGCCGCCGCCAAACCATATAACTCTGGTGGGGGTTCTCTTTGCCTGCAGCCATGCCGGGTTGGTGGAGGAGGGCCAGAAACTCTTCTGGTCGATGGAGCAGCTCTTCGGGATCAAGCCCGAGAGGGAGCACCATGGCTGCATGGTGGATCTCCTTGGGAGGGCCGGAAAGCTTGAGGAAGCCCTGAGGTTTATCATGAAGATGGACTGTGAACCGGACACCATCATCTGGAAATCCCTCCTTGGAGCTTGCAGGGTTCACAGGGACGTGGGCATGGCGACACAGGTGGCCAAGCAGATTCTTCTGCTGGACCCAGACGATGAAGGAGCTTACATCCTCTTGTCCAATGTGTACGCAGGCTGCAACCAGTGGGGAGATGCAGAGGAAGTGAGGAGAGCCATGAGAGACAGGAGGGTGAAGAAGGAACCTGGTTGCAGCTGGATCGAAGTGGGGAAGGAGGCTCACTTATTTGTTGCAGGAGACAAGTCCCACCCACAGGCGGAAGCCATTGGCAAGGAGCTCGACCGGTTGATCTGCAGAATTGCTGATGCTGGGTACCTTCCTGATACCATCTTCGTGCTGCATGATCTTGAGAGAGAGCAGAAGGAAGAGGTGCTGAGGTATCATAGTGAGAAGCTGGCGATCGTCTTTGGGCTGATGAATTCCATAGAGGGGAAGCCCATTCGAGTGATGAAGAACCTCAGGATCTGTGGCGACTGCCATAACTTTGCCAAGATCGTGTCCAAGGCCGAGAATCGGAGGATCATAATAAGAGATCCAGTGAGGTTCCACCATTTCGTTGATGGAGAGTGCTCTTGTGGAGATTACTGGTGAGATGAAGCTTGCTGGTCGGTGGCCATGGGAGAGCTCTGCCATGGACTCTGAAGGTCCAGAGGGGGAGATCTGAGTTATCCTTGATGAACCCTATTATTGACATATCTTGGTTTCTTGGCCCCTGCAAAGTGAAGAGTGAAGCTGCTGGCACCAGTTCATGGGTATGCAGATCCTTTTGTAGCTGCTTGGATTCATTAATGGTCTCTGATTTTTTGACAATAATAGCGATTCTTACTGGAAATAGCACCATTGAAAGAGCTGAAGCTCCAAGAGTATGAATGCTGAGAGCTTGAATTCTTCTCTGTGGCTGAGAAGGAACTGAAATCTGAGGACATGGAAGAACAAAAGGGGCAGTCTTTCTTGTTCCCCTGTACAGTAAACCAATAGAGACGAGAAATAATTTGGATTCACAAGAAGAAGCTGGTGGTATGGTGGGCAGCATCCTTTTCTCCTCCCTTGATGATGATGATCTTTTGCCAAGGCAATTAACAGCATACTTTGCTACTTTTGGTGATTTCGGCAGATACTGGGCAAGAAATGGGGGGTCTCAATCGGGTTGGAAGCCTGTTATCTTCTTCATACAGTTCAATCCATTCAAGACACGCCATAGACAAGTGATGGAATAAACTTCACCAAGAGAAACATTGTTCATATTAAACACTGGGAAGGCGGTCTACATGTTTACATGACACCATCTGAATCGCTTAGAGCCTCACCCAATTTCCTTTTCCTTCATTCTTTGTGGTAAATAGTTTCAACCTATCTTCCAAAACTTCACATTCTTCATGATTCTGATAATGTTCCCCCAGAAGATCATGACCAACCTTGATGATCAATCCCCTGTGGAAGGAGCACAATGTTAAATGATGGTCATGCGTTCTCTGCAGTGCATCTAAACATAATAATTATGTGGTTGTGGTAGTCAGAAAGATTTCGTGAGTGGTCACCGCTCAAAATCTCTCTGACAATGTATCTAATCAACTACAGATGGGTGACATTACCATGTAATATTTTCCTCTGTATCAGAGTATATGCCGTCAATGAAGGGAAGCTGATGGATCAAGAAATTGCTCTCAGAATTTAAATGAAAAGAACAACTGGTGTTGTAGGCCCATGCACTTTGAAAACTGGTTTAACATAGATCAGTTGATGTGAGACTGTTCTTACATATCCTCACATGTGCGGAATAATTTTGGAAAGCTATATGATGTGGACAGTATAGATGATTTTACTAACTCAAGAAGATAATCATACTGTCCATTCACAATGAAGGGCATGCGCGCCCCATGAATTTTAACCAAATGATTGACCCCTTTCAATAGGATTTGATAACCCGAACAGACTGATATGCTACAACTGCAACAGAAAAAATTAACTTAAAGCATAATTTACTGCTTCACAAAGTCACGAAGAGCGAAGTGACTCCTAAAGATGAAATACCTACCACCAAATACAATGTTGTGATGCGATTGAATTGCCTTGTTTGTAGTTGATAAAATCGATTCCGAGAATAGATTATCTTCCATAAAAGGATCTTTTTCCGTTTCCTTTCTACTAGTGTTAAGCTGGGACTGTCTCCTCATCTTCTTCAAGAAAGTCCAAACTTCCAAAGTACCTCTCCGCTTCCTGCTTTAAACTGGCAGCAATGTCCATCTCTCCCATTGACTCAAGCCCACATATCAAGATTTTAAACGTTGCCTCATCTGGGTCGCTCTCCCACAACTTCATCAAACGATAGCAGTCCATCGTGGTGTGGATGCGGCCAAAATCCAGAAGGGTCCTAAGCAAGGAGTTGAATCCCTCAGTGTCAGGGTCCCATCTTTCCATCATCAGATAAGAGCAGACCCGTTCAACCTCCTCAAGAGACCCATTTCTTGCAAGCACACTGATCAGATTCACATATACTGACAGCTTAGGTTTATACCAGTACTCCTTGCGAATCTCTTCGAAAACCTGGATCAAAATAAATATAGGACCTGTCAATCCATCCTCACCATTAAACATCGAAAATTATACTTTGAAAACAATGGAGAATCAAATACTGGTTCACAGACCACCAGGGAACGAAAATTCATCGATGAAGACTAGTTCATCAAGGTGGGAGTTGAAAGGGCCTCCACTGGAAGAAAGGGGTTCATCAAGCTGCAGATTTCCAAAAGTATCGCAAAATTGATGGAGGTTGCCTAAAAGTTTTAGAAAAGAGGAAAGGTAGAAGACTGAGCACACTGAAGCGCGTATTCTTCCTTGTATCTTTGTCCCTCGGTCAGTAGACAACACCTCTCGTCTAACAGAAATGGAATCTAGAGCTCCTATGATTTCCTACAATAGTTTCAGATGAGCAAATTTTGTTCTGATTATTCCAGACCATTACTGATTAAACATGTGTTCTTCCTTGTACCTTTGTTCTTCGATCAGCGGACAAAACCTTTCGTCTATCAACAATGGAATCCAGAGGTCTTACATTTCCTACTAAAGTTTCACTATTCTCAGATCAACGAATTTTTGTCTGATAATTCCAAGAAATTATATGGAATATGCAAGGAAATATTGACTGACGTAGATGAAATAAACTTCGACGCACGTTATTGAGATATATTCGAACCCTATCTTTTGCATCGTTGAAAATCACTCAGCTAGATCCTAACGTCGCACCTCGCAGAAATGAAGAAAACCAAATCATGTATAGTGCGGAGCTAATTGGAAAGGAGATTTTCGCCACCTGGAGAGCCAGAAAGGCTTCGTTCTGCCGCTGGAGCTCCCCGAGCACGGCCATCAAGTCAAATTTGATCAGCCGGCGGATCTTCGACTCGATGACGACGTCCAGGGCCCCTCCACCCACGAGTCGCCCCTCGTCACCGTGTCTCCTCGCCCTCTTCAGGGCCTGGATGGCCTGAATCGCCTCGCTGCTGAGGTTTCTCCCCTTCTGAAGTGGCTTACGGTTCTTGCTCCTGTCCCTCATGGATATAGTCCTCCATTCCGCAGAGGAATCCCGCCGCAACCAGGAGTGACACAAGCAGTACAAGGCTACAGATTCGGGGCTGTGCCTGCTGATGCAGAGAGAGGACAACGGAAAGAAAGGCGATGGCAGCAGCGCAGAAGCCATCCCTCTCTCTCTCTCTCTCTCTCCCGATGTCCAACATCTCTTTTCCTCGTTCTCTGAAGAGTAGATAGAGAGGGAGGCTTACACCGTGTTATTACAGAATGGTCCCTGTACATTTTGAGATGAGCTCTTTTCAACAAATGAGTATCTTTAAACTTAAATAGAGTATAAAGTAGTATATATTCTTAATTTGGTATAAGAAATATTCCTCTCTCTCTCTCTCGCTCGATGTCCAACATCACAAACTCTCCTCGCTCTCGGACGGCGAAGTAGATATGGAGAAGGCTTACAGCATGTTATTACAGAATAGTCCCTGTACTATTTAAGATTAACATTTTTCAAGTATATTTAAACATGGAGTGAGTATAAAGTAGTATATATTTTAAATGTCGTTTATAAGTAATAATAAATATAATGTGGTATAGGTGTAATATTTTTGGTCTTTCGTTTTCTTCGGGATAAAGTGCGCTCAGTGGGTCTCCTAGCGCGACAGTTGAAGCGATGGCGTCGCTGGTGGGATCGCCATGGCTGAGGGTGAGGATTCTCCCGGAGGTGGCGCCGCCATTCTTCCATCAAGCCGCCGCCTTCAGGCCTCAAGTCTCCCTCCGCCGTCGCCGGTTCCCGGTCTCCGCTTCTGCAGGGGAGGGAGAAGTCCGCGTTCGGTTTGCCCCTTCGCCCACTGGGAACCTTCACGTCGGCGGGGCGAGAACGGCGCTGTTCAATTACCTATTTGCCAGGTTCTTGGAATTAATTTCACCCTGCTCTTCTGCTTTGACCTCTTTCGCGGAGGATTGCTCCGGGTTTTGTGGTGAATGTAGCAGCCTTGTTCTAGGATATCGCATTTACACCTTGGTTAGATTAGCCGTGCCTTTTGTTCTAGCACGTGAAGGTTCATAGAAGGATTAGCATCTTAGATATCAAGATTCTGCAGGTCGTTCTTTGAAGGAGACAGATAAGTGCTTGAGAATCCTCTTTAGAAAAAAGTGCAAGTCGTGGTGTCTGAGCAGGGTCAGAGACATTGAAGCTGTGAGAAGTTTATGGGACCTTTTGGAAATGCGTGCCACACGCAGCCATAAAAGAATTACCGGAAATCATGTTATTTTCAGTTGATGCGAAACTTTTACATTAACTGAATTATTAAACCGTATGGCTATTTTTACTGCTAGAAGCAAAGCTGCTTCAAATGGCATCTTTCATTCCCCCATCCGTGGTGCCAACGAGTCGTCTTAATTTGTTTGAGGAAATTAAAAACTCTATGCCTTCATTATATTGAACATGAACAGCGCCTGCTGCTCTCATTAATTGAAGAGAAACGAAAGAAAAATTTTCATAAAAATTCTTGTAGTATGATGAATGAAATATTCATTCTTCACATGCCGGATACTATCAATCACTTCTTACCTGGGAACAACGACCGAGTTTTTCAAGCTTTCTTGTTTTTTTGAATTGGGTATGTACCTAAAAACTTATATGATAAGACGGTCTAGACTATGATTTGAATACCCAAATGATCAACTGGGAAGTAAGGCTATTATTTACTCAAGTGATGGGAACTCCATTGGTTTCTCCCACCAAGGGGTAGTTGGGCTGACCCTGTTTTTCGGCGAGCATTGTAATGTCCCTTCGTGGTTACCCAGTTAACCTGGAGAGGAGGTAGCTACAATGGAAAGGGAGAGGAAAAATAGGATCTTACTCAAATAGAGGAGATAAGAACTGGCCCAGACAAAAATGGAAGAAGCCCATCCGAAAATTCAAACCCTCCTGACCTTAGAGACTAAGAACGTAGAAGAATGATTGATGTGGGGATTTGACGTCATGTGAATCAAGGTGGCGACTGTGTTCCCCCTATGATTCCTCTCATAGTCAAGAGAGAAAAATAATTTGTGGAATCGATTATACTTCATGAGGTTCCAATACACTTTCTAGATGATTATTTCGTATGATCAAACCTCACATTGGAGGATGAACAACGAAGATTCAGGCCATTGAAAGCTGAGCTGGCAACCTATGGTCGTAATGTGATGAAAATTTTCCATCAATCAACTAGTGTTGCTTTGAATGTTAAGACATGCCTTATCATCACTAGTGTTGCTTTGCTGATGGAAGTTGATGAGTTATTAACATAGAACCTGTTTCATACGTCAGAGTCAGGATTATTGTCATCTCTAGGGGAAAAAGATGAGATGCAGTGTTAGAGATGTATAGATTTTGTCATGCTGGAAAAAGATATGGATTTACTTGGAAATGTTACAAAATATTTGCCATGTGGCCCATTAGCTTGAGAAAAAGTAGGCACTAGCTTCAAGAAGAAACTCAATGGGTCAACTGTCATCAGGATATCTGTTGTATAGTGCTTCTTGAATTATGATAAAGAGTCAGTAGGTCTCACTGAATTAGACAACTCAGGAGACTCTTAGAGGATGATCTGACCATCTAGTCAGCTAGGTCCGAGTCCATTCATCCCACTCGAACCAACTGCCTTAGCTGTAGTATACTCAAGTGGGCTCCTATTGGAGAGGAACCTTCTGGAAGATGAAAAATGTGGGAGAAAACAATCTCTTCACTGACAAGTTTTTTGCGGTTGATTCGGTTACAACCCATGAGTACAAGGTCAGAAAATTCAGCCGTGGCAGCACAGTCGTCAAGGGACGTCAGAGATTGGAGCTTTCGAGAGTGTAAAAATCACCCATCTTGGTGGGTATTGGTCCCCATCATGGTCAGCAATTACCCTACTAAATGATGCCTGAGATGGATGATCTATTGGGTTGAGACCGATATAGTTACCTAAACTATTGGACCCGGTGAACACCGTATTGTGTTTTTAACGGTTATCACTCTTCCTCTGCGGGAAGACATGGGAACTCTACCTGTAACCAGAATTATTTTGGACCCCTTTAGTTGTCCTCAAACATGAGCATCAGAGGCTCCAAGCATTGTGCTCTCTATGATTTGTTATAGTCCAAATGACAGAGAATGAAGAAGACAAGGTTGAATGTATATGCAAAGAAGAGTCAAATATATAAAAAAGGAAAGAAGAGAAGGAGACCAGGAATGTGTTTAATGCTCCATTGGAAATAATAGTTTTCATGCTCCATTGCTCACTCTGTTGTGCCCTCAATTTCTATTCCATGTCACTGTTCGGAGAATTCCTTTGTTTCTAAATTACAATACAACGACTCTATGTTACATAATATTTATGAATGGTGATTTTTTTCTTCCAGATCTAAGGGTGGAAAGTTTATCCTTCGAATTGAAGATACTGACTTGGAGAGATCAACAAAGAAATCGGAGGAAGCAGTTATCCGTGATCTCTCATGGCTTGGTCTTGAATGGGATGAAGGTCAGTTTACTTTCAGGCTTTCTTAAGCTATTGATTTTCTCATTTTTCATCTATTTTTCCAACTATAGCAAAGGTCGTTGTGACCATTGTGCTTGTCTCTGTACCTAAACTTTCTCATAGCATTGCAGATGACTTTTATATTTTTTATGTTTAAATGATTGAAGTTGAAAGGTTTTTGGAGCCATCCTTCGGATTTTATCAGATTCACATTTATTACTCAAAATAGATTGAATCGGACGGCCTTGACCAAGACACCTGTTTATGGACTAATTTTCTTGTTTTTTAGTTAACTTAGAGGAGGATTTTCTTTTTCTGAGCTAATGAACGGTTCAAATTATGTGGGTTATTGCCAAAATGGATAAGTTGCTGTGTAAATAATATATACAAATAACTAATTCTACGATGTGTGATCTTTATTTGTCAGACCTTTTTCTTGTCTTCTCCTTGAAAAACCCTTTTAAAGAGAAAGTATCTAATGATAATGCCCACTGCTTCTTGTCTGTCTTCTTAGTTCGGACTAGTTATTATTTTGATTTCTAACCTTGATTTTCATGCTCTTCTCTAGTATTTGTGGTGACATCAAATAAAGTACATTACTGACCTAATCTTCTGTGATTTAGAGAAATATACTTAATCACGTCATAATTTTGATTGGAGTATTCACTGTCTTAGGACTGGACAAATGAAAAGGACTAAAGTTTTAGAAATTTATTTTAAAATTCATTGTATTGATTCTTCCTAGCATTATTTGTGCTCTCTGTTTTTTTCACGTCCATTGCTTGCTAAACCACATTCTATCAATTTATAGTATGTCATTTTACTTTTATCTTGATTCTTTCTGACTTATAGCCTTTTGTGAACATTCATGAGTTATAGTTCTTGATCATGACTCTATTATGTTTGAGCCTGCAGGCCCCGATGTTGGTGGGGACTTTGGCCCTTATCGGCAATCTGAAAGAAATTCACTATACAGGAATTATTGTGACAAATTGCTAGAGGATGGTCGTGCTTATAGGTGCTTTTGTTCCAATGAGGTATTTTTTTCCCACCATTTACATGTTGGTTGAGTGAAATCTTTTTTGACTTTCTTATCATCCATGCAGTACAATTATCTGGCATTTTCGTATCATCATCTAATTAACGTTTTCAGTTAGTTGTTGTGACCTGTAAAAAAGTTGTGATTAATTTTGACGAATCACCTGTTTATTTTACTAAAACTTCTGCTTTTGTAAGATGCACCTACGTCATGGCTTGGGGGTGACTTAAACTATGTTGTATTTTGAAAGATCACTGTTAATGAGATTAGGTAATGCTTCTGATGATTCGATTAGAGAGGAAGACTTGATTGAAATTCATACAAAAACAAAACCATCCAAGATTAGTAGCTCCATGTTTTACTATTCTTCCATTTTCATTTTTAAAGGTCGCTCCAAATTATAAGGCAATAGAATTGAATTTTTTTTGACGCAGTGAGTGAGAATTCAGGTCTTCCTGTTAACATCGGTGGCTTTTCAATAACCCAGATAAGATTTCTGGCGTGGGCTAAAGATTTTAATTTTAATTTAATTTGCCAGATCAAAATTATATTTAAATCCGTTAAGATTGCAAGTTTTGCATGTTCATGAATGATATTTTTTTGGTTAATGGAACATGAAACCTTGTGGTCTTTCGGTATCTCAATTTTCGCTGGTCCTTATGGACAAGAGAACAGATGCTTTTTAGTAAGTACATTTTGAGAGTCCATGATGTATTTATGAAGGCTTCCTTTTATGAACCGGAGACTGCATCATTGTCATGAGCATCTGTGATGAATCCTTGAGAATGCTGCTCTCTCGACTATGATTTCTTTGCATTGGTGGGGACATTGATTGTGGCAGTGTTATTGTTGCGCCCCAGCGTCATGTGAATTTGGGGAAACCTTGGAATTCTTTTTTGAACATTTTCCTGTTGTTGAAAGAGTGGCTTGTCCTGAGTTGCATTCTCGGTTGTATGCATTTGAGATTGTTTAGTGTCATAATAAGGGAAAATTACTTAGTTCAACTGATAATTGCAGACATTTTTTTTCAAACATAACGTTTTATGCCACGTTTTGTGTCATTTTCTTAATTTTTATATGCCATTAACCTTATTATTGCTCAGGTTGAATAACGTCATAATTTTGGAAATGATAGATTTGTTGATTCTTTCTAGGAATTAGAGGAAATGAAGGAGATAGCCAAATTGAAGCAGCTGCCCCCTGTATATACCGGAAAATGGTCCACGGCCACAGAGAAAGAAATAGAGGAACAGCTGGAAAAGGGAACACCTTATACGTACCGTTTTCGTGTACCAAAGGAGGGAAGCGTGAAAATCAATGACCTTATTCGTGGCGAAGTATGTTTTTAAGAACTTTAATGTAGACTACCTTTTCAGCATTCAGATGGTTGGGTACATTAATCATGTATTCTTGAAATTTTCTGCAGTCTGTTGGAATGGAGTCACTAATTGATTTTGCTTTATTATTCGTGGTTGCATGTGTGAGGTTTTGATTGACTTGATGTGTCATGAAGGTTAGTTGGAGTTTGGACACACTTGGAGATTTCGTTATTTTGAGAAGCAATGGACAACCTGTGTACAACTTTTGTGTCACGGTAGATGATGCAAATATGCGGATATCACATGTTATAAGGTACACACGACCTCTTCTTAACATATCATCATGGTTTCAAAAAGAATGCAAAATTTTTATCTATGATGAAAATCTCTGGTAATCTATTGATGTTGAAAGTGAGAAATCTCTGTCGAATTGAATGGGTCTATTAACTCAAGATCTGGGATAAGCCTTTCAAAGTCATATTGAATCTTTTTGGCCATGCTCATTCTAGAAGCTGACATTCACGTGTACAGTATTCTCGTTTACATGTTTTCGATCCAAGTTCCCATTCCTTTAAATAAGGATGGTTGTAATGCTGTTTCATGCTGTCTTTGATTGTTGTATCTGCCGTCAAAGTAATTGATACGTCCACTTCAAGATGTACTTCTACCCTGCTGTAAAACAATGTACGAATCATTTTAGCTTATCACGTTCTTATTTTATGTTCTCCAGGGCAGAAGAGCACTTGCCAAACACCCTACGGCAGGCACTGATTTATAATGTAATCTTGCTTTTCATTGGATCTTTTTTCAAAAATATTACGTCTCCCTTTGCTTTTTGCTGATTCGGTCTCAAGTGTTAATATTATTTGTTTTGCTAGGCCCTAGGATTTTCGATGCCCTCTTTTGCCCATGTCTCATTGATTCTTGCGCCTGATAGGAGTAAACTATCAAAACGTCATGGTGCAACCTCGGTCGGTCAGGTACTTGATGTTAACAATTACATGAAGCCTTAAGATTATAAGAATTTTTCAGTATTTTTAATGCCGTATTTTATTTCTTGGATGAACAGTTGTAATAGTGTTTCCATTTTACCATGTTTCCATTGGTAGTTCCGGGAAATGGGATATTTGCCTCAGGCAATGGTGAATTATTTGGCACTTTTAGGTTGGGGTGATGGAACCGAAAATGAATTTTTTACAATTGACCAGCTTGGTGAGTCTTCCTTTTTTTCCCTTTTGAATTCATTTTTCCAATGGATTTGGGATGACCATGTGACAATTTCTTTCTCTTTACCAAATTTCAATTTCAGTTGAGAAGTTTTCAATAGAGAGAGTTAATAAGAGTGGAGCTATCTTTGATTCAACAAAGTTAAGGTAATTCTGTAAGTTATGAGACTGTTTTTGTTGCTGCCTTTTTCTCTTGAAATGTAGTCAATTATTTCACCCCTCGTATGCGTTCCTTAATCCTTTAGCTTGAAGATCATGATTAGATCAGTTTTATCTTTTTTAAACTGTCGGCCCTGGGAAGGAGATAAATCCTTTCAAGAGGGTGAAAAGGAGGTGGATTGTTTCATAGATTAATCGGAGTATGCAGAAATTAAAGATTTATCTTGTTTCTGTGAAATAAGCACATAATGGCACCAAGATATATCTTGTTTAAGTAAAATCTCAAACTTTCTTTCCTTGTCAGGCTATCATTAAGTTACCCTTTGACTTATTATAGATTAGCTTACCCAACTAGCGAAATCTCACTCAATAGTAGTAAGCATGTTATCAAAAATTACAAGCTCCTGTACTCGCGGTATAAGTGAAGTTTCAGTCCTACGAAGGTTCAAATTCTCTTGAGATGCTTCTAGAGACGTCCTGAATATCCTTCTTTACGTCTTGAAATATGATTAGCTTGACTGAGAAAAAGAGGATATTTGAGGGGTATGAAGGCCCACGAATTTGATGATTATCTGGCTTCGACTATCCTCTTTTTTCTGGATGAAAATTCTCCTGTGTAGCTGCTCTAATCACCTATTCCAGTTTCTATTCTTAGCCTTTTTTCTAATTGAGCTTCATCAGATGCTGACACTCTTTAAGTTAGACTCTCAACACTTAGCTGTAATGGCTTGCAAAAATGTTCGTTCAATGTACACCTTTTAGCATCAAATTTGTCTGTTAACACGAATGTTGGAGAAATGCAAGCTAAGCTCTTGTACTTTCGTTGGCTGGTTTACTGTTTTTTATTTTCTTCGAAGTGGTGCTTGTGCTAGTGTACTTTCCATTTTGATTAAATCACGATTTGCGTGGGTTTTTGGTATTTATCTCTGAATGTCGTTTAACTGTTCGTTTTTGCCTCTCTAACTCAAGGTGGATGAATGGGCAGCACTTGAGGTCCCTCCCAGCGGATAAGTTGGTCAACATCTTAGGCCAACAGTGGAAGACTGCTGGGATACTGTTAGAGTCCGAGGGGATGTTTGTAGAGGTACAATCAACCACTTAATACATTTAGGCGTTGACTTGATGGTATCACATATTTTCTGGAAAAGTCAAAATGATGGGATCTGTGTACAACTTACGCTGCGTACTAGTTTCTTTTTTTGTCCTTTGGAAATGTATCAATGTATAAAGTTGTGCATTTCATAGCCTTCTCCCTTCCATCCATTGAAGTTGTGGGCTGGAAGAACAAGAACCAATAACAGGTTCTTCAAAACCAGATTGGGTATTTAAGGGCTTTAAAGAAAATTAATAGAAATGCTAGAATCACCCAATTCCAAACTGATTCGACTGCCAATCGATCCACCCTTTTCTTGGAACGGCTCGTGCTGATTTGAATGTGAACCGTCAAAATCAGCGAATTTGGGGAAAGTAATTTTCATGTTCAATGGTGTTAGAATATGAACATAGAAATTCTTAATATCAAAGTCTCTTGTGGTTGCCTCCTGCTACTGTGTCCATACGTTGGCTACCATCACCTCCTTCCATTGCGACCGGGCAGCAGCTTACTACCCTCCACTCCTATCTTTATACTTAAATGGTTATTGTTGAATAGTTTGTAATTAATTATGTAGATGTATACACTTATTATATCTCAAATCGTTGGATTTTATGAAATCCCTCTGACTTTGTTCTCTCAAAAGTGAGGCCAAGAGTTAAGGTTTCGGTGTTTCCGTGCTATTTCTGTGTACACTAGGTTTATATCCTCAGTAGATTGGCTTACAATATCATGTATGTATCTATATATATATACATATAAGTTTGGTCTAAGTGTTATCCCGCATTAATTCTGTGACAGACATACCAATTCTGCATCTTCTGCTTTGCTGTGCCCTCCATTGCTCACATCGCTTTCTTTGGGCAAAGCTACAGTGTCATCTGCTAACATTGTTACGGAAATGGAGTGCAGGAAGCAACTGAGTTGCTGAAGGATGGAATTGATTTGATTGCCGATTCAGATTCAGCCCTGAAAAACTTGCTAGCCTATCCCCTGCATTCCACTTTAGCCAGGTACCTACTCTGAGCTGAATGAGAATGCAGCTGCCCTTAATTTCCTCAACTGCGCCGCCTCCTGTAAATGTGGGTTGGCTCGTTCAAGCTTTTAATCTCAAGTATTTATTTAATTCGCCCTGATTATTATAGAATTTTTTTTCGTGTAGAATCTCTTTTCTATAAATTTGATAATAAGTTTTTCTTTGAACATGATAATATATGTGAGGGAAAATTTAATTTTTTCTGCTTGGAATATCTTTTCTATAAGTCAACGGATGCAATTTTTTTTGCTGAAACATGGTGGAAATGCCTGATCATCAGTGCGGAGGGCAAACCCATATATGAAGACAAGCTTGCCGATGTGGCTGCCAGCTTGATCTCCGCTTACGACAGTGGAGAGCTCCGAGAAGCTCTCGAGGAAGGGAAGGCTGGCTGGCAGAAGTGGGTCAAGAGCTTTGGAAAAGCACTGAAGCGCAAGGTGAGGGTCAACCGCATTTTTAATGGCACCTTTCACAGAATCATCAATATTAAACCATCCCTAGCTAATCTTATCTTAGGCTTTTCTAAGTTCACTGGAAATATTATTTGTATTGGGTTTGTGGGGGGGTGGTGAGTGGTCAACGGGTTTCATCCTAGGTCAAACCACAACCCATACAAAGTCTGTTGATGGTCCTGCATATTGTGACCACCAAGTCTCAAGTTCTTACTGACCCGTTGACTTACCTACTTGCTATTCTTTCTTCTCTGAACACCAAATCTCAGATCCAAATCTTGCTACTTGCTAATTTTATAATCCAGAGAACCAAATCCTTTTTTTTTTTTTCTTTGTCCTAGAAAACTGGTCCAGGCTTCAAAAAATGTTTTAAATTATTTATATAATATCCGGATGACATTACACAAGAAACATTATAGAATTATACAGAAATCAGCTTCTTATTTTGTGCATCCATATATATATATATATGATGGAACTACAGATTATTCTACTTGAACAAAAGTAATGATTTGAAACCCAGATTATTCTTTTTTTGTTCCTTTTGATCTGTCCAAAATAAAATTGGACCAGGGTCAACCTTTTTTTTTCTTTTTCTGGTTCTCCCTCATTATATTTGTAAACCCTATGATCCAGATTCTTCCTCTTGTCCCCACTCGTCTCTGCAGGGGAAGTCTCTCTTCATGCCTCTGCGAGTGCTGCTGACAGGGAAGCTCCATGGCCCTGAGATGGGGGGCAGCATAGCCTTGCTCTACGAGGCCGGCAAGTCTGGAGTCGTCGGGCCTGAAGTGGGCTTTTTGACTTTGGATGAGAGGTTCAAGCTCCTCAGAGACCTCGACTGGGAGGCCTTCAGGGACTCAGAGCCCCAGCTCGAGTCAGCCACCACCACGGCCACCCACTGATGAAACCCTAAGTTCTTCAATCGAAGTCAACCCTGTAGAGTGAGTAGCCCATTAGTCATCCATTTTACCCCACCTGGGCAATTTTTCTATGTTTATCATCGCCCAGTTTTTCTTTTTTAGTTATTGTTGTTCTTTCTATTGCTTTATTGTGAGAAAATAGACGAAATTGGCTCTTCTTTAATCTGTTTAGGGTATGCAACTTTCTGAAAATTATATTTTTAATGATTTTATATGAATAATTATACTATGGGATGTATTTATTGAAGGGCCCTGTTTAAGGTTTTGGGCCTCGGGTAAGTACTTGGGCCTCTCTTTCTCTCTCTCAAATAAAACCCTGCTTGCAATGTCTGCAAAGCTGTGACTGTATATGGAGAAAGTGTTTGACGACGACCTTGATGCTTGCTCTTGATTGAGCATAGCAATGAAAAAGGAAATTATGAGAGAGAGAGAGAGAGAGAGAGAGAGAGAGAGAGAGAGAGAGAAGGGGGGGGAGGGGAACTTACCTGAAAGTGAGGAAATTATCGATCTAGAGCTCAACACAGTGTGAATTCATAGCTGCGCTTTCAGATCTGTTTCGTAATTCAGTAAGAACTGTGTGAGCCGAATTCTTGCAGCGGTGCCTCCCTCAGATCGGGAGGAACGCGCCGCCGTTTACAGTCCTTCATGCTTACATTACAGAAGAACAAAAAAAGAAGAAACCCCTAAGATTCCAAAAACCCAGTCTTGGAGCAGATAGAAGAAGAGAGAGAAGAGGAGAGAGAGAGAGAGAGAAAGAGGGAGAAAATCTGTGTGCGCCTCAGGGGAACTGGAAGCCGCTGCTGCCGGCGTGAGTTGCAGAGCCCTTGGGGGGGTTGATGGCGATCCAGAGCAAGGAGATGGTGATGGCGATGAGACCAGACCAAACGAAAACGATGGTGGGCGTCTTCCCCCTCCTACCCATCAACCCTTTGGCAAAAGGGTACAGATGAGCAAGCACCCAGAAGCTGAAGAAGGCCCCCCCCATGAGCTTGCTCCACTGCGGCGTCTCGCTGTAGATCGTCCTCGAGAAGCCCACAGCAATGGCGATGATGTTCACCATCATTATCGTGATCGGCGGTATCATCAGTGAAGTCCACTTCACGATGTACAGCTCCGCGAAGGCGTCCTCAACATCTTCTCCGGCGGACTTGGAGGTCAGCGTGAAGGAGATCTCGATCCCGGCGATGACCTTCAGCAGGCCCTGCACCACCGCCGCCAGGTGGGCGCTGGTGCCGGAGATCAACCAGAACTGCTCGTTCCGCCACCATTCCTCTAACCCAACTCCGGACCACTTCACCTCCAGGATGGCCAGAAGTGTTAGGGTTATAGTGATGATCAGGAGGTAGACGAGGAAGGTGACGTCCAAGCTCTGCACGATGAAGTGGCCGGAGAAGAGCGAGAGGGCGGGGATGAAGCAGTACATTATGAGGAACATGGAGGTGAATGGGTAGATGCCCACGTTGAGGTAGGCGATCCTCTGGAGGAGCTTCAGGCGGGAGGAGGCCAGGAGGGCGTTGTTCCTGGAGAAGAATATCTCGACGGAGCCGGTGGCCCACCGGAGGACCTGGTGGAGGCGGTCGGTGAGGTTGATGGGGGCGGAGCCGCGGAAGGCATCTCTTTTGGTGATGCAGTAGACGGAGCGCCACCCGCGGTTGTGCATGCGGTAGCCGGTGACGACGTCCTCCGTGACGGAACCGTAGATCCAGCCGATGCGGCTGCCCCACTCCGTCTTGTCCTCGTACCTGCACCGGCTGGTTGGTCAGTCACTCGCCGGAGAGGAAGAAGAAGAAAGGAAGAGAGGAAGAGGAGATTACCAGCAGGAGATGACGGAGACGGCCTCGGTGACGACGGAGGAGTCAAGGGGTTCGCGGGGGACGCGGAGGGCGCCGGGGGGGCGGCCGTTCTTGACGCCGGGGTGGTCGGCGAGGGGGCGGCCCTGAAACTCGGCGATGGCGACGGACTTGGCGAGGGCGGTGGAGTTTCCGAAGCTCTTCTGAAGGAGGGCCACCTCCAAGCCGTCTTCTTCGAGCTCGTCTGATCTCAACGCTCTCGTCTCCGACTCTGGATTTCCATCGCCGATCTTGCTCTTCTTCTTCCTCTTGATGAACCAGCCGGAGTACTCCGTCGCCCTCGGCGGGTCGAAGCCGTAGAGAGCGAAGCGCCGGAAGAGGCACCCCGTGCCGACGTACACCGGCCCCTGCGCAGAGAAGAACCCAGAACCATCGGCGAGAAGAAGAAAATTGTAGTAGTAGTAGTAGAAGTAGAGGAAGAAGAAGACGAAGAAGGGTTAGGGTTAGTTACCTGGACGCCGTCGAGGGCGCGCATGTTGCCGTCGAAGAAGACGGTGTTGTGATTCGCGTAGCGGTCGGAGGGGTCGATCCCCTCGAACCTCTGGGGGAACTGGATGTAGCAGATCCGGTCCCCACCGCGGTCCATCATAAAGCACATCCCCTCTCTAATGGCCTGCGAGTTGTAAACGTAGTGGTCGCAGTCCAGGTTCAGGATGAAGGCACCATTGGAGAGCACCGCCGATGACCTAACCAGAGCATTCATGGCCCCGGCCTTCTTATTATGATCATATCCCCTCCTCTTCTCCCTGGACATGTACACCAGCATCGGCAACCTCACGTCCACGTCTGAGAAGTCCATCATCCTCTCCTCCTCCGGCGGACCCATCACCGGCTCCGGCGCCGGCGGCCGGAGCATCACCTGCAACACGCTGGGGTGATCTCCCTTCCCGTGGTCAGCGGCGGAGACTGCCCAAGTCGCCGGCCAGTGGGTTCCATCCGCCATCCAAGTCGCCTTCTGCACCTTGATGGGCTCAGAAGGATCGGCCCCCTTCTCCCTCATCATCTTCAGCATCTTCATCTCCTCCCTCGCGTTGAACGCGTCGGAGCGCCGTCGGATGGAATCCGGCAACCCGTTGATCCTCACCTTGAATTCATCGTACTCCCGCTTGATCCGCCGCCGGTCCTTGACGAAATCAGACCGCCGCTTGTTCTTCGTGGGGTCGCCCTTCACGTTGAAGTAGCTGTCTGGATTTCTGGGCTCGATATCGTGCTTCCGGCAGAAGGGGACCCAGATGGCAGCGAAACTTGCGGCCTCCGCCATGGCCTCGAAGGTGAGAAGAGCGCCGCCGTCGTCGGAGACGTAGCAAGCGAGCTTCTCCACCGGGTAGTCGACAGCGAGGATGGAGAGGATGGTGTTGGCGGTGACCAGCGGCGGCTCCTTTTCTGGGTCGGCGGTGGAGACGAAGACGTCGACGCCGGGGAGGTCGGAGCGGCCGGCGGGGTTCGCCGGCGACGGCGAGTCGAACTTGTCCCGGAGCACGGCAAGATCGGTGGCCCGGTTGATGGGACAGAGCTTGGGGATCTGGTCCAGAAGCCATGAGAAGGCGAACCAGAGCTCGCAGACGATGGACATGCCCCAGAGCCAGAGGGCCTCCTCGTTGGGATGCTTCACCCGCCACTGGAGGAAGAACCCTAACGCGACGATGCGGACGGCGATGAGGAGCCTGTAAGGGCTGATGATGGCGGTGGGCATGGGGATCTTGCGGGTGAGCGGCTTCCATTGCTTGTCCATGGCCTCCGGCGGCGGCCCACTGAAGTCGCTGTCGTCTTCTCCGGCGCCGGCGCCGCCGTAGCCGTCGTCCTTGGCCCAGAAGGCGTTGCCGTAGCCGTAGGTTCCCTTGGTCTCGAACAGCCACCGGTTGTGGTCGAACTCTCCCGTTTGGCTCCTCATCAGAAGCGACTTGTTGGTGGACTTCATAACCGACATTCGGCGGTCCGTCTTCTGGCTCGCCGGCGCCGGCAGCGGCAGCGCCGCCCCGGCGGAGAACTCCGGCGGGTCGCCGTCGTCGTACTCCCCCACCTTGTACGGCTCCTTGCATCCCGGGCACATCCCCCCTCCCTTCTGCGCGTCCATATAACAATCCCTGCATATCTTGAACCTGCACACGCCGATCACCACTGCCGGAGTACCTCGCCGGTGCCGGAGAAGACGACCAGCGGAAAGAATCAAACCTAAAAAGAAAAGATTTACCGGCACTCGCAGGGGTCGAGATCGTCGCCATTCTCGTCGGTCATGACCTTGCCGTCGCAGGCGGCCATGGAGCAGAGGGAACCCTTGCCGGCGGCCATCTGGGGGTGCCTGGTTTGGTGATCGATGACCTTGTCCATGAGATGGGCTCTGGTGACGGTGTTGAAGCCGCCGGTGAAGAGGGAGTTGGAGACGTACTGCTCCTCCGCCTTCAGCGCCACTGAGGAGGCCTCCATGGGCTCGTTCATGGGTTGGTTATCGGGCGTCGGAGGGATGTGCACGGTGTAGTTCATGTAGTCGCCGGAGATCTCGCCGGAGATGTCAATGTCCTCCCTCGAGAGGCTCACGTAGCGGCCGCTCGAAGTCCGACGAGCGAATTTCACCGTCTGGTTCGTCCTCGAGCTCTGCGATCCGCTCCCTCCCGGAGTTCGGAGGGCCTTCTTCGATGGGTTCTGCGGCTGCGAAGCCATTATTCCTCTATCTCATCACCCGAGCTCGAATCCCCCGCAGTTTCTCTCTCTCTCTCTCTTTGTCGGGAGCTCTGGTAGGGGGTTCAGGAGAGAGGAGAAGATGGGTGTGTGGGTCTTCTCAGGGAGGAGGTGCCGCCATTAACGGAGCTTCCTTGGAGATATCCACCGCCATTCCGCCCCATGCAGGAACGTCGAAGTCCTGGAGAGAGAAACACAGAGAGAGAGAGAGAGAGAGTCTCTCACCGTCAGTTCCATCGCCCTCCTCCCCTCTCCTTTGACTCGGCCTCCAACTCTCTCTCTCTCTAGAGGGTCTTGCTAATATTAGCAGGTCTTTGGGGGGAGAGACTCGTGGAGGGCTGGCCGGGTTGCAGAGCCGACATCGCCGGAGTCGGGGAGGGTAAGAAGGCAGGGACGATGATGATGATGGTGAGAAAGGAAGAGAATAATTTATTTAAATAAACTTATTTTCTTCTCATAAATATTACGGTAATCATTAAAATAAATAAAGTAAAAATAAAATCGTGCATTCGGATTATTTCCTCAGAATCCAATTAAATAATTATTTTTTTCCAAAGGATGTGTAATTTCGGGCTTCATAAGGCCCGGCCTCATATGGGTCCGGGCCTGGCGCCGATTTTACCCAGAAAAGCCCGAAATGTGGGCCCAAGGCGGAACATTGGGGGGTCAGTCAGAACATAAGGAGGGAGACACAGAGGAGAGAGGTAAGAGGGAGAGAGGGAGGCCAAATCGGGCCTATTTTGCGTCAAAAGCCCGACAAGTTAATCTGGCTTGGCCGGGCTGCGGGCGTTCTCGGCCTGTTGACGATTCTAGGAATCTGTAGAATTCATTGTTCGGATTTGATTTGTCTTGGGGGGTGATTTTGTGATTCGGGTTGCGGAACGGGTGGACGATCCGAGCTAAGTCGGGCCGCTTTCGATCCAAGCAACTGAGTTGACCCCGGCCAAACTAGTAAGTTTATCGGATCGCAAAAACGGGTACCCGTGTTCGAGACAATCCGAAAGTGTCCAATAGTGGCCTTTTAAGAAAAAAGAAAACCCTGGAGCAGTGCCCCCGATCGCTCGTTCGTCGCTGGAGTGAAACCTCACGGTGGCGAAACCCTAGGAATCTCCTCCCTCCCGGAGTGCGATCCCCGGAGGTCTAGAGGTCAGCGTCGCCATTATCCTGAACATGATCTAATCTCTTTGTAAACCTCGTTTTGATTGATTTCCCCCACCCTCCCCCTCATTCTGTTGATTCCTGTTGTTCGTCCCGTGATCCCGTTCGTCTACGAGTTGAGGGATTTTTTAGGCCTGAACATCTGATATCAAGCTGGGATAAGATATCTGTTGTTCTGTAGATCGTCAATGGTGGTGTTATGCTCGATTTCATAGCTAGGTTGTGGTGCACCTAATCTTTTGTCGGGGGGAGTGGTGAGAGCCATTTTTCTGGTGTTTTCTTCTATTCTGAAAGTCTGCTGCACCTCTCTCGTAGAGCGAGGAAGCATTTCGGATCGTCGTTGTCCGTTGATCTCTTGGACGCTAATAAGCTTTAATCATCTGCGTAGGAACTCAGACTTTGTATCATCTTTTTCTGGACAGGTCTTCTCTGCGAGGTGAAGGTCCTGCCGGTTACGAAGCCTCACTCTAATGGCGGAACACTTGGCTTCTATATTTGGTACGGAGAAGGACAGGGTGAATTGTCCATTCTACTTCAAGATTGGGGCATGCCGGCACGGGGACCGATGTTCCCGGCTCCACAACCGTCCGACAATATCTCCCACCCTTCTGCTCTCCAACATGTATCAGAGACCCGATATGATCACCCCCGGCGTGGACACTCAGGGGCAGCCCATTGACCCCCGGAAGATCCAGGAGCATTTCGAGGATTTCTACGAGGATATCTTTGAGGAGCTCAACAAGTTTGGGGAGATTGAGAGCCTGAATGTATGTGACAACCTTGCTGATCATATGGTGGGGAATGTCTATGTCCAGTTCAAGGAGGAAGAACAGGCTGAGGCAGCTCTGCGTGCACTCCAGGGCCGGTTCTATTCTGGTCGTCCCATCATTGCCGACTTCTCCCCTGTCACGGATTTTCGTGAGGCCACCTGCCGACAGTTCGAGGAGAACAACTGCAATCGTGGTGGATACTGCAATTTCATGCACGTGAAGCAGATTGGAAGGGAACTGCGAAGGAAGCTTTACGGACGTTACCGGAGATCAAAAGGGAGCCGCAGTCGGAGCCCGAGCCCCCACCATCGGAAAGAGCCTCGTGATCATGGGGACTACCGTGACCGTGGCGAGCACCGTGACGGCGGACGCAGAGGAGGTGACAGGCCGGGAAGGCATGAGAATGATGGCGGGCGCCGCCGTCATGGGAGCCCCAGACGGATGAGGAGCCCTGCCAGAGAAGGCAGCGAAGAACGACGGGCCAGGATTGAACAATGGAACAGAGAAAGAGAGCAGAAGCAAGGATGAATTTTTATCATCTTAGTTTCTTCAGTTCATTGCTTTTAGACTGAAAGATATTGGAGAGAGAGGTTTTAGTTTGGTCTTGTCCGGCTCATTCTATGGTAATCCTAGAAGCCCAGGTATAATGGCTGTGTTGAAACTCCACCTTGTCTCTTCCTTTCTGTGATGTGTATGAGAATTCTGATATCTAACAGCTATTTGGCCCTGTCTCCACCCCCCTTGAGATCAGTAGGAAATGTTAATCAGTAGAAAACAGTTTCATGAGATCTTTACTCTCGCATGCTTTCCAAGCTTTGATCTTAAGTAGTGAGTAAAGTCTTACGAATTCTTGTTGATACGCTGTTTTTTTTTTCCATTAATGGCTAAAAATTTCATCTTGTTTTGTTAATCTCGATGAACTGAAACTGCCCCATGGTGGTGGAGCATCCATCGTCAGAACAAGGTGGGAGAGAGAGAGATAGAGAGAGAGAGAGACAGAGACAGACAGACAGAGACAGAGAGGGAGGGAGAGGGGAGGGGGGGGAGAGAGAGAGAGAGAGAGAGAGAGAGAGAGAGAGAGAGAGAGAGGAGTATGACTTGGTGGGCAGTTGACTTTGTGTTGCCAACTGGTTAATTGGGATGACAAGGCAACCAAGGATACATGACATGCCTATACTTGACATCCTCCAAAATTATTTCGTATTTCTATCTTTGGATACTTGAAGCAGCATTGCCATTTGCTGACAGTTTTACCAGCATGAGCTCAACTCAGGTGATTTCCCTATCGGCTTTGAAGCACCTGATGTTGTGTAGCGTATTGGGCGTTGACTTCCATCTCTTGAACGAGGAAGATAATCTATATGCTTTCGGATTATTCTCATATTCTCTTTGATTATATCGCCTTTTATTCAATTTCTTTCTTTATACTGTTCGGGAAAATGTAGGTCGCCTTCGTCCATAAGCATTCCTGATTCTTCTGAAGATCTCTTCTGGGTTTCCCAGAGTTGACTTCTAATCGCATATTTTCTCTCGAGAGTGTTGACTTTAGTTGATTGTATCCTCTGGGTTCCGCAGCGTTGACCTTTAATCGTATATTTTTCTCTTCCGGGTTTCCTAGCGTTGACTTCTAATCATATATTTCCTCTTGTTAGCTCAAGTTTGACCCTGTGGAGTTGACCCCATCCATATGATTCAGCTCAATATCTACGAGTTTCAACGTAGAGTAATTAATCAAATTAATATTATATTTTTAGCTTTAATATCTAAATTACTTTATTGCTTAACTTTATATAAGATCACTACGAGAGAGAGAGAGAGAGAGGTTACATCCGGGCGATAGGCGTACTAGTACTGTGGGGTCATGCGTTGACTTGGTTTTGTGAGTCAAACCTCAGACGTGAGGTTGGCCAGTCAACGCCACAAGTCCATATTCTGGGCCCTGATGTTCCTTCCACGGTCCAAACCGGCCCACAAACCTCCGCATGGAGGGCAGCTCTGTTTTGTACGATCTCCTACCTTCGCCTCCCACCGTCGGGCAAAGACGACGGGGTCGGTCAGAAGAGCAGCCTCTCGTGGTTCTCTCTCTCTCTCTCTCTCTCTCTCTCTCTCTCTCTCTCTCTCTCTCTCTCTCTCTCTCTCTCTCTTCTTATCCTCGAGAGCTCCCTGCACACGCTGCCGGAGGAGGTGGAGGATCGGTGCGATCTCGTCTCCTCTTCCTTGTTCCTGGTATGATTTCTCTCCCTCTGTGCTCAGCGGGTTGATGCAGGCTTGGGCGAAGCCTGGATCTGAAATCTGCGAGCGATGGCGGCATCGCAAGCCCTCGGGGGTAATTCCCGGGCGGGGAGGATCCTGGGGCCTTCGCTGGACAAGATCGTGAAGAACGCCGCCTGGAGGAAGCACGGGAACATTGTCTCCGCCTGCAAATCCGCGCTCGACAGGCTGGAAGGCTTGAGCGAATCTTCTGACGCCGCCTCTGGTTCCTCTCTCGCGGGGCTACCTCCGTCGGATGCCGAGTCGGTTCTTCAGCCCCTCATCCTCGCGCTAGACTCGTCCTCTGCGAAGGTCGTCGAACCTGCGCTGGAATGCATGCAGAAGCTCTTCCTCCAGGGCGTCGTTCGCGGCGACGTAGGTTGTCGATCGGATGGCGACGATGATCTAGACGTGACGTCCCGTATAATGGATTCCGTCTGTAAGTGCGGCGGCTTTGGGGACGAGAACATCGAGCTCGGCATGCTGAGGGTTCTCATTGCTGCCGTCCGGTCACCGTTCGTGGCTCTCCGCGGGACGTGCCTGGTCCAGATCGTGAAAAGCTGCTACAATGTGTACCTTGGTAGCCACAGTGGGGTCAACCAGTTGTGCGCAAAGGCGATCCTGGCTCAAATTCTCATGATTGTCTACGCGAGAGTAGAGGCCAATGACATGGTTGTTAAGGTCCAAAGCGTATCTATTGCGGACATCTTGGATCTGTCAGATAAGAACTTGAATGACTCAAATCTGGTCCAGCTTGCCCAGAATTTTATCAAGGACGTCATGGATGGCAGTGAATGTGTAAGCATTCCTTCGGAGTCACAGAATGGTGAAGTATCAGGTCCTTCTGGGGGTGAGAAGCATGAGTTGGGAAGCATCGATTCCTCTGCCGATGGAAATTCTGGTGGGAGTAAAATCCACGAAGATGGGTTTTTCTTATTTAAAAACTTGTGCAAGTTTTCGATGAAGGTTTCCCCACATGAAAACCCAGAGGATCCATTGTTAATAAGGGGGAAAGTGTTATCATTGGAATTACTGAAAAGCATTATTGACAATGCTGGCCCGATTTGGCGAACAAATGAGAAGTAAGTGCCCTGAGGTTCTATTTCTAGCATCCAATGAGAGTTGGGTTATATGTTCCAGATTCCTATTCAAACCCCATTTTTTGCCCATATTAGATGTCAGTTATTCAACATTAATCCTCTACTTCTGTCATGAAAATGGAAATTCTAACAGTTGTTTATCAGGGAAATACTTTTGAAACATAGATAAATCATTGTAATGCTTGGATTGCTGCATATTTTGATATGCTCCGTCTTACCATTTATTTGGACATATTAAAAATTTTTTAGTAAACTCTTCTTGATTGTACACCTATATACTTCTTAATCGTTTATTATTTGATACGAAGTATCCTACCTGTTGTGAAGACACACATAATCACTTTTATGAGCTTACGTTAATTGTACATTTCTACTCCATGTCGGTATTCTGCTAAAGCTATTCTTCTGACGTTAAAATGAACACTACCATGTGATATCCTAAAGAATTCTTGTTGAGTTCAATCATACTTCCATATTTATGCTAAAAGACTAAGAAAAAAAGTAATTCAACGGATCGTTCAACATAAAAAAATTAGAGCTGATAAGATAAACCTAAATTGTTAAAATCATTCCCCATGGCTTCAGAAGGACACTTGAAAGTACTGTTTTTATCTTTGATTGTGAAATCTTATTCACGAATGAGAAAACAGCTTTTCTAGTTTAATTTAAAGTTCTAAATGTTTTTTTGTTATGAACTCATAAATGCAGTCTATTAAAAATGTTGGTTCATTTGAGAAGAAGAAGAAGCACAGTATTTTGTGAATCAATCATGCAGAAGGTTTGATAGCCTTTGGATGGTGCTGGCTATGGAACCATGAGGATGAATAAAAGGAGTTGCCTTGGGTCAAAAGGAAAGACCGTTAGTGATATATGTCATCAAAGTTCTTAATAAATTGGCCACTGACGTAGAATTAAAGATTAGTAGTGAGTGCTGGTTGATGACATGAATGTGGATACAATATCACAATACTCTGTTTCCTTCAAATAGATGGGGTTGAGACACCGGAAGTTATCCTCCAGTTCATTTTGCAATAGCTTTTACATATCTCATCACCATTCTTTTGAATTTTCAGAAGTCCTTTATTTGTATTTTCTTGTCATTTAGAGGTTGTCTTCTAATTTGAGCTTTATTAGGAGTAGAGAGTCCTTTATTTTTATTACCCGTAGTTGACTAGTGAAGTTTGAATTGAAAACTCAAATTTGGTGAAATAAAGCATGGACCTTTTCCACATCGTGGATCGCAATCTCCATTTTATCTTGTAAGATGGATCCTTTATGTGATCTTGTGAGGTTTTATCTAATAGAAGAGTTGATCTTCCATTGGATAATTAACCGTGCATTTATTTCAATTTAAAGAAACACGCATATATTTGGTAAATTCGACTGGAATTTTCCATCATTTCTTGAACTTTAAAACTTGTGCAGGTTTCTTGGAGCTATCAAACAGTACCTCTGCTTGTCATTGCTAAAGAATAGTGGATTGTCCTCGATGAGTATTTTTCAGCTCTTATGCTCTATATTTATGAGCCTATTGTCAAAGTTTAGATCGGGATTGAAAGGGGAAATTGGGATTTTCTTCCCCATGCTTATCCTTCGGGTGCTAGAGAATGTGCTTCAACCCAGTTTCTTGCAGAAAATGACAGTGCTGAACTTGCTTGAAAAGATTTGTCAAGATTCTCAGATTGTTATTGACATCTTTGTGAACTATGATTGTGATGTTGACGCACCAAATATTTTCGAAAGGTACTTTGCACAATCATAATTGGTCGCATTCTCTTTTTATTTTTTGTATTATTTTATTGTACCAATTAAAACAAGAAATAAGCTACCGAGTAGTGTTTTTGTTTTCTAGTGGTGTTGCCTCAATCTCAGTTTTCTGAGAAAGCACATATCCAGATGTCTACCTCTATTTAAACGCCCAAAACTGAATTACCTATAAAGGTCAAGCTCAGACTGACCAGTCCCAATTCAATTGCAGTCTCCGTTACACTAACATACTAAGAAAAACGAAACCCATTCCTCTGTACGTTACCTAACACCAGAGCTCATACCTTCAACCTTGTAGTGGTCTTCCAAACTATCTCATCAATTGGAATTCCCCTGATTCAACTCCAATCTTTTCGTCCGATATCATTCAGAGTGTTGCATGCAAGAGAATCCACCATATCTTTAAATCACCAGCAAAATTGCTCTCATTTCTGATTCACAAGTGAGAATCCAAACAACTTGCAAGAACTATGTACCTTGAGCACTTGAGTACAACAATTAATAAGCCAGAAAAAATACATCAACAGAAAATAACTATTATATCCAGTTTTTAAAATCATTTGTAGTAGTCTATTTTATAAAATGTATTAAAGCAACTTTAATTCCATCAGATGTTTGCAGGACTGTCAATGGACTCCTGAAAACTGCTCTTGGTGTACCACCTGGTTCTGCAACTACACTGTCACCTACCCAAGATATTTCATTCCGAAATGGATCTGTCAGTTGTTTAGTCTGCATCATCAAGTCAATGGGATTCTGGATGGACCAACAGTTACGAATTGGGGAGTTCTCACCCAAAAACTCATCAGTTGATTCATCTACTGACAATCATGCTTCACTGAATGGAGAGGAAGGAGGACTGGACTTTGACCTGCATTCTGAAGTAAATTCTGAGCTATCTGATGCTGCCACGCTTGAGCAACGTCGGGCATACAAGAAAGAGCTCCAGGTAAAACATTCATTGTTCCTCTTGAAAGTTTCTTTCATATTTTGCATATCATTCAACTCTTCTTGTGACATTTATTGGTTATTGCAGAGAGGTATCTCACTATTCAATAGGAAACCCTCCAAAGGCATTGATTTTCTTATAAACTCAAAGAAAGTTGGGGATTCTCCTCAAGAAGTGGCTTCATTTCTCAAAGTCACTGGTGGCTTGAACAAGGAAGTGATTGGAGATTATTTGGGTGATAGGGAGGAATTTCCTTTGAAAGTAATGCATGCATATGTGGATTCCTTTGTTTTTGATAGTATGGACTTTGGTGAAGCCATTCGGTTTTTCCTTCAGGGCTTCAGATTGCCCGGAGAAGCGCAGAAGATTGATCGTATCATGGAAAAATTTGCTGAACGTTATTGTAAATGCAATCCAAATTCATTTACCAGTGCAGATACTGCATATGTTCTTGCTTATTCTGTCATAATGCTCAACACAGATGCGCACAATAACATGGTAAAAGATAAGGTGGGTGGCATGTGTTTATAACAATATTTTTCCTCAGACAGTCAGATAGAAATGCCTTCTCTGATTTTTTTTTGAAACTTTTTCCCTGAAGATGTCCAAGGCTGACTTCATTCGCAATAACAGAGGGATAGATGGAGGGAAAGATCTAGCAGAGGAGTACTTGGGATCTCTGTACGACCAGATTGTAAAAAATGAGATAAAGATGAATACCAATTCTTCTGTTCCGCAGAGTAGACAGGGGAACACCATCAATAAGCTCTTGGGCCTTGACAGTATCTTCAACCTAGTCACTGGGAGGCAATCTGAAGAGAAAGCAGTGGGTGCAAACGACTTGCTCATTAGGCATATTCAAGAGCAGTTTAAGGCAAATGCTGGCAAATCAGAGTAAGCTCACCTTCGATCCACTGAAACACCATCACTCCTATCTCTCCTAATTTTGGATGTCCCTCATCAATCTTGCAGGCTGTATTATACTGTCACCGATGCATCGATATTAAGATTCATGGTGGAGGTTTGCTGGGCCCCATTGTTGGCTGCATTTAGTGTGACACTTGACCAGAGTGATGACAAGACTGCTACATCTCGGTGCTTGCAAGGCTTTCGTCATGCTGTGCATGTCACTTCAGTAATGTCCATGCAGACACAGAGAGATGCTTTCGTCACATCTGTGGCCAAGTTCACTTACTTGCACTGTGCTGCTGACATGAAACAGAAGAATGTCGATGCTGTGAAAGTGAGACCACACTCTCGAAACTTTTTTCCTAGATAAACATGTGCATGTCTGAGTTCATGTTCTTGGGGTAGCTACATAAACTAATCCGGGAGATTAGATTCATTAACATTTGAAAATGGCATACATATTGGTAGGTAGGTGAAACCGTGAAACTAGATCCGACTTTGAAACTTCTATTTCGCTGGGGCTTGTTCATGTAAGAATTCCTCCTAACCAGCATATTGGCAAATGGGAACTGCGTCAATTTTCTGAATCAATGTGTTTCGACAAGCCATGCTCTGGGCAGTGAGTAGTGTTGTTGATTTGGGCTACCTTGTAGTACTCCTGCATTGATTTTAAAAAAAAAAATCTAAATATTTGTAAAAGCTGAAAGCTACTTTTTACGGTTTACCACGAAAATTAACTCAAGCATGCTAGTTTTAATTTGTGGAATGTTTACAGGAACTTAGCTGAAGTATGCTAGTCTTCTGTTTTACAAACGTTTAGCTGGTGAATTTCATGTTCAGTGAGGGATGAATTTCGTTGGAAAAAGGCTAGCCCTCTTGGCTACTCTTTTGGCAAACTTTGACTGAGGATTAGATCCATTGCTGATAAGCCAAACGGGATCATGATATGTTGACTCTTGATTCTTCAATCATGAGTTCATAGTAATTTTTCTCTTTTATTTAGTCCAGAATTTCCCTAGTTTCACTTATTATGTGGCCTGTGCAAAATCTGACTCGGCTTCCCACTTTTTTCTCAATCTAGCTAGTTCATACCCTCTTTATCTCTCCAAGATTCTTGTTGACTTCCGATCCTCTGTTCTTACAGGCCATCATATCTATCGCCATTGAAGATGGGGACTTCCTCCAGGAGTCGTGGGAGCATGTGCTGACATGCCTTTCCCGATTCGAGCACTTGCAGCTGCTGGGTGAGGGCGCTCCTCCCGATGCTTCCTATTTCACCGCATCCGCCAGTGGAACAGAAGAGAAGCCACAGAAGTCACCTGGCACGCCAACCCAGAAGAAAAAAGTCAACTCCCTTCAGAACCCAGCCGTGGTGGCTGCTGTCCGTGGGGGCTCATATGACAGCAATCGGGTCGGAACTGTCTCTGGACTGGTCAGCCCCGAGCAGATCACCCATTTCATCTCCAACCTAAATCTATTAGACCAGATCGGCAGTTTCGAGCTCAACCACATATTCGCCCACAGTCAGAGACTAAACAGCGAAGCCATAGTAGCCTTTGTGAAGGCCCTGTGCAAGGTCTCCATGGCAGAGCTGCAGTCCCCATCAGACCCTCGCATCTTCAGCCTAACAAAAATAGTAGAAATCGCGTGAGTCATCGTTGACTTTGAACCAAAACCATCTCTCTCTCTCTCTCTCTCTTACTGATTTATTTTCCATCTGTTTTTCAGGCACTACAACATGAACCGCATCAGGCTGGTGTGGTCTCGCATTTGGAGTGTCCTCTCTGAATTCTTCGTGACGGTGGGCATCTTTGAGAACCTCTCCGTTTCCATCTTTGTGATGGATTCCTTGAGGCAGCTCGCCATGAAGTTTCTGGAGCGGGAAGAACTCGCCAACTACAACTTCCAGAACGAGTTCTTGCGACCATTTGTGATCGTCATGCAGAAGAGCGGCTCCGCCGAAATCCGGGAGCTGATCGTCCGATGCATCTCTCAGATGGTCCTGAGCCGTGTAGGCAATGTCAAGTCCGGCTGGAAGAGTGTCTTCATGGTGATCCATTAATCTTCCCCTATTGGCCAAGATTCTGCGACGAATCTCGTGAGTTCCTCACTCAGATTGCCTTATTTTATTTTATTTTCCATTTTCAGGTCTTCACTGCCGCCGCCGCCGATGAGCGCAAGAGCATCGTGCTACTGGCCTTCGAGACCATGGAGAAGATCGTCCGCGACTACTTCCCGTACATAACAGAGACGGAGACCACAACCTTCACGGACTGCGTCAAGTGCCTCATCACCTTCACCAGCAGCAAGCTCAACACTGACGTCAGCCTCAATGCCATCGCCTTCCTCCGCTTCTGCGCCGTCAAGCTTGCAGAAGGCGGGCTGGTCTGCTATGACAAGAACACAGCAGGCGGCGGGTCGCCGGAAGGAGCCGCCTTCACAGAGGATGATGACCATGTCTACTTCTGGGTGCCCCTCCTTGCCGGTACAAATTAATCTCCGCTGGTCATGGCGTTGACTTTTTTGTAGGGAAATTTTAATTTAACTTTTTACATATCCGCTGCAGGTTTATCGAGGTTGACTTCCGACCCCAGGCCGACCATCAGGAGAGGAGCTCTGGAGGTCCTGTTCAACATCCTCAGGGACCATGGGCGGCTCTTCTCGCGCCCCTTCTGGATGAGCGTCTTCAAGTCGGTCATCTTCCCCATATTTGGCGGCGTGAGCCCGGTGGACCTCGATGAGGACACATGGAATGCCAGCATCCAGGCGGTGGCGGCGAAGTGCCTCGTTGACCTGTTCGTTGACTACTTCGACGTCGTCCGGGTGCTTCTCCGGGACGTGGTGCTGGTCTTGTCGGGGTTCATCAGGAGCCCCCATCAGAGCTCTACAGGCACCGGAGTTGGGTCTCTGCTGCAGCTGGCGGGGGCCCTGGAAGGGCGGCTGTCTGAGGAGGAGTGGGGGGAGATTCTGCAGGCATTGAAGGAGGCGGTTGCTGCTGCATTGCCGGAGTTCTCGAGGGTCGTCCAGATCATGGAGAAGGTCGAGATTCCTGAGGCTTCTCAGGCGTTCGTCGACATGGAAGTTTACTCGGATCAGGAGGAATTTCATGGAAACGAAGTGGAGGAGGATCACATGGAGGCGGCTTCGTATGCGGTGCTCAGGATGAAGGGCCACATTGCCGTGCAATTGCTCCTAGCAAAGGTGCTCTCTCTCTCTCTCTCTCTCTCTCTCTCCCCCCTCTGTCTGTGTCTCCATGGTAGGAGCATTCGAAGGAGCACTGTGTTCATTAGTGTCTGGCCCCGAGTCACTCTTGAATTCTGATCCTCTCTCTCTCTCTCTCTCTCTCTGCATGAACAGGCGATCACGAAGCTTTATGAAGCGCATTCCAGCATGCTGTCCCCAGCCCACGTTGCCACCCTGCTGGAGCTCCTGTCCTCCATTGCATTCCACGCCAGCGAGACGGTGGAGGCGGCAGCACTCCAGCGGAAGCTCCGCCGCGCCTGCGCCTACCTGGACATCTCCGACCCCCCGCTGGTCCACTTCCAGAACGAGTCTCTCCAGTGCCACCTCAAGCTCCTCGAGTCCATCCTCAGCTCCCATCCCTCCCTCTCGATCAAGCTCGGTGTTCAGCCACAGCTTGTCGCCGCCTGCGCCAAGGTCCTCGACACGTACCTCGCCTGTGCCGCTGGCGGCCGCCGCCCGGCCAGCGGAGCTCCCCTGCGTTGGGTGGTTCCCCTAGGCTCGGCCCGAAAGGAGGAGCTTGCGGCCCGGGCGCCACTGGTGGTTTCTGCAGTCCGCCTGCTCACCCGGCTGGAGAGAGACGCCTTCAAGAGGTACCTCCCCTCCCTCTTCCCTTCACTGGTCAACCTCGTCCGGTGTGAACACAGCTCCAGTGAGGTCCAGCAAGTCCTCTGCGAAATCTTCCAGTCATCTATAGGCCCCATAATTCTCCCTTCCACGTGAGATTTCTACGCATTGTATGCTCTCTCTCTCTCTCTCTCTCTCTCTCTCTCTCTCTCTCTTCCTCTCCCTCTCTATTGGTGTTTTGGTAATCTACAGGTTAATTTATCACAAGCTTCGTGAATCCCTCATAATGACAAAAATATAGCAAAGTTTTTCATTGAATTTTTGTTCAGAACCCGGCAAGAAAGCTTACCTTTTTGGTCAAGATCAAAGGTGAGCTCAAATACTATCATATGATCTATGATGCATTGTATATCATCCATCAAATAGTAAGATAAAGTTCAATATCAAAGAAACTATTTGGAGGAAATAAGGTTGTATAGCAAGTGTTGGATTTAAGATGGCGCTAACCTTGAGATGTGGAAGTTGAATTGTTTGAATTTTTATTTGACCATGTGTCGACTTTTGTAATTATTAAAACACTTTGGACTATCAACTTTTAAGAGATGCTTGGAAAAAAATTTAATCAACTTTTTTTCTTAATATTTCTTTCCTAATGCTGAATTTCTATTGGCCAATTATATTTAAATTTTAAAGAACAAAAAAATTACAGTGGTTTGACCTCTTGCCTACTTCATTTTATTAAGAACACCTACTTATTGGCTGCTGCTAATTACTTGGTGTACACTTAATTGCTTACAAGGGTTTAATTCCTTCAGAATTTGAAATCAAAATTATCTCACTATTCATGGCTCTTGGGAGAAATTTTTTGATTACATGGATTATCCTCCTCAATGTGAATTTATTTAATCTTAGTAAAGAATACATCCTTTTTATTCATTCACAACTTATGTGAAATTTTTTATATCACCAAATAATTAGCTATATATATACATATCAAATATACAACCTACAAGCATTACTTGTTGATCTAGAAATGAGTCTTAATGGGGCATTTTCAAGTCCACTAATTCTAGAAAGATGAGAAATTACTACACTTTCAAAGCCATCCTTAATCTTTAAATAAATAAAAATTAGTAGCAAAATTCTTTCGATTAAGCAATGTTTAGATTCTTTCTTCATAAGTAATTTAAGCAAATGATCTTTATAAATTAGTACCTTTACTCCTATCAAATAAGGTCTGAATTTTTCAAAATGTAATTGGTTTACACTTCAACTGAACTTTTATTTGCATATTAAATAACTACTGATTTTTCTTAGATTTCATACCTTACCACAGCTACTATTAAAAATTATTTCATATCACATAATTTCATAAAGTTGAGCCTATTTAATAGCTTTTAATGTAGGTGCTTGTACTAAAACTCATTTCAAGATAATGAGCTTCTAAATTTGTCAGATTCTAACTTCTTTTATATATTTTTTCAAGATGTTTGTCAAATCTATCATTAATAACCATTCTCTCCTTCACATTCCCCCAAACCAAATCAACATTCCAAAAAAAAAATGATTTATGAGCTATAACTTTTTAAAAATAATGATACGGATAGAGCCCCTAACAAATATCTAAAATACCCCTGTGCATACTGCACAAATTCTCTCTCTCTCTCTCTCTCTCTCTCTCTCTCTCTGTTTTCCTATGCATGAACAGACAGATCACAAAGTTCTACAAGGATCGCAACCCTGCTGAAGATCCTGTCCTTCATCACATTCCATGCACCTGTAGCAAATTTCATAGGGAATGAATAGACAATAACAAGCCTGTAGCAAAACGCAAATTTTAGAGAAACATCGAAAAGGGAAGCAACAATTTAGTGAACATCAATGAAAGTTATATTGTAATTGATAAAGCCATGAAATACCAGAGAATATTGATAATGTAAGCTAACCATACATTCACAAGATCATGAAATTAGTGGCAAGTAAAGCAGATGGGGAACAAAAAAACCCTTTTCATGTAAACATTCGCCTTTACATGCATCAAGTATAGTTTTCTGGCAGAGTGAGTTTGATCAGAAAAATATAAATACTTCATTTCCTTTAGAAATTTTGGAAATGGCAAGAACACAAAAAACATGTCAGATGTAAAGGGCCCGGAAAATCATTATTAGTTAGAACCAGGTGAGTGAAACTGACACGAATCAATTTTTCAGGGATTCAATGAAATTGCTTGGATCAGCCCAAGAAAGATCCAATCAAGGAAACTTCTGCTTCATCGTTAATCAAAGCATCTAGATAGATAGTGGAGAAACCGTGGGAAATCTTACTAAACATAATCCGGGAGAAATGAAGATGCGGCATGTTTCTTATATGAACAATCTCTTTCGCACTGCGGATTTCAAAACGAATCATGTCCAATCGACTGTGATAATATCTTTCTCATGGCCAGTCCCAACAGGTAATGGCAGCAATGCTGCTACTCAGGGCAATGGAATATGATAAAAGTGCTGAAGGAGGAACTTTCTTCAAAGATTTCCTTTGAATGAAGAACCATCGACTTCATTTCACTTGCTATGTGACGTTAGCTTTGGAATATGCAAACATTAAAGGTTTGCTCCAATGAAGCAGGGGAGATTTCACCCGGAAAACCATCCCCCATCACGTTTACCAAAGAACAAATAGTTGAAATTTGTCGTTGTAATTACTACTACAAATAAGTTCGTCAGCGATGATGTCAGGTTGGCTTACAAATCTGAATTACATCCTTAAGAAGCGAGCCCTATCAAACAAATGGGAAATGTATATGTTCCGTAGCCAGCCGTATCAGCCAATACAAAGAATCGTTCACGCTTAGCAATGGAATATGACAGTGCAGAGGCATAGATCGGAGAAGATACCAACACATTGCAGAGAATGACCCGTTGAAAGTGCTATGGTAGGTTGATTCAATGACGAAAGGGAGAGTATCAGGACGACATATATGACTAGGAAGTATCGCGAAATATATGTCTCATGGCCAGTCCCAACAGGTAATGGCAGCAACGCTGCTACTCAGGGCAATGGAATATGAGACATGGGCTGAAGGAGGTCCTTTCTTCGAAGATTTCCTCTGAAAAAACACCGTCAACTTCATTTCCCTTAACATATGACGTTAGCTCTGGAATATGCAAACACTCAAGGTTTGCTCCAACGTAGCAAGGGAGATTTCACCCGGAAAATCATCCCCCGTCACAAGTTGCCGGTGTATAAGAGATTCGCGTCATGGAAAAAACAAGGAAAAAACAAATGCATACGCAGGGGATCATCACGCGTACAAACAACCACGAAGGAAGTAGAACGATCCTGGCAACAACAGTAGACGGAGAGCGATAACATCAGAGACGACTAACCTCCATCTTTGACCTCGCGGAACCAAGCCACTAGCCAGCCTCTTTCTACCCAGGCATGGGCGGCCGGACTGCTAGGGTTTATGGAGAGCAACCCATTGTCTTATGGGAAACGGGGGGGCAGTCAAAACCCGATGGACCTCATCTAGCCGTCCAAATACCACGTGAAAAAACTATCTGAGCTTTTGGCACCAAGTCATGGGCCGCGCTTCGTTCACTGGTTCGTTTCTCTCTCTCTCTCTCTCTCTCTCTCTCTCTCTCTCTCTCTAAAGTCCTAGGTTCACGAACCACACCTCGATTCAAAGAAATGATCTGGGTCTCTGGCAATCTCCCTTCCTTTAGGTAACATGGTGGTGGAAGATGATGACTTGAATTATATAATGAGTCCATACAATCTGGGTATAATCCCAATTTTTTTTCTCCTTGAATAGTGAGATATAAAAACTCATATTATGGAAGAACTTGATTAATATTTCAACTCAAACTCTGACACAATCTGTATATTTTTCATGACCTATGGGCAAGAAATCAAACATCAAACTTGCTATGGAAGATGAGGTACAAATAAATTCTATTTTCATATGATATTTACATTTATAACCACAAAATAGTAATAAATTTAATTTCTTAGATCAAATTGATTTCAATTTAAATTATTTATCTTATATTGATAAATTTTAACAACATTTTTGCAGATAATTAAACATTACACACAAACAATATGTTACTATTTTAAATTTTAATGAAACTCTTATATTAGTGATTTTGTTATATTTTGAATGACACAAGAGAAATTGATGAGATCATTAGATTCAATCAATGATTTTTCACTCAAGAAAGTCAAGTCAACTCAATTCAATGAAAAATTGTTAACTAGAGGTTCAACCTTTGAGGTCAACCCTTCCAAGAAGAAGTGTAAGAATTAGGGTCTTTGACCTCAAAGAGTTCAATTCTAAGTCAATCGGGCACCTTCCTCCTCTCTTGGATCCAACATGAAATATTGGATCAATGAGTAATTGATCCCTACCAACAAGCAAGAGGATCCACTCACAAATGATGACCCAACAAGAAGAAGAGAGAGAAGGAGAAGGAGAAGAAGAAGAGAGAGAGAGAAGAGGCTAAGTCAACCTCACTCTCCTCAATTCCTTCTTAAGTGGGGCATCTCTTGGGAAAGGTTGTCTCTTTCACCCTTTTCTTCTCTTTCTCTCTCTACTCCTCTATACATTCTAAAACTCATCTTGTATTTGGACAGTGATTTGTGAAATTAGTCAAGAAGTTTATTTTTTACCTTCTTTGATTAGAAAGTCGTCTCCTTTCTCATCTCGCCCCTTGGATTTGGGTGGGTTCCTCCCCTCCGTTCATCGCCTCTTGGATTGGGGGGGCTTCCTCTCTTCTTCTCGTCCTCTTGGATTAGGAGACCTCTCTCTTTTCCTCTTCTCCCACATCGTCTTCATCATCCGTCCCGTCGCCAGCCCTCCCTTTCCTCTCTCCTACCACCGCCACCATTCCACCTCCTCGCCAGCAGCCTCGTCGCCCTCGTTCCACCTCTTTGTCATCTGCCTCGTCACCGCCATTCCACCTCCTCGTCGTCATTCCGCCTCCTCCTCATCTGCCCCGTCGTTGCCATTCCTCGTCCTCCTCATCCGCCTCATCACCGCCGTTCCGCCTCCTCGCCGTCTGTCCCGTCGCGAACCTGCCATTGCCACTAGATCCCCTTCCCGCTGTCCTCCCATCTCGAAACCCTCTTCCTTTTTTCTCTCTTTCACTGTCGCCACCATCCGACCTTTTTCTTTTGACGCCCGTCTCGGCGAGTCCGTGCTCTCTCTCTCTCTCTCATTTCGCCCCTTTATTATTTAAATCCACCCTTGATTCTCATCCTCACGAGAACCCTCTTTCTTCTCTCTCTCCCCGTCGCCACGTACCTCACTCATTTTCTCTCTCTGTCGCCATTGCCACAGACACCCCATTTCCTCTATCTCTCTTCCCTCTCCTTCATTTCTATTTCTTTTCCGTTGACTCTCATCATTCTTTCCTCCTATTTCGTATCTATCTAACTCTTCCATTCTCAATTCCTCCTCCACACTCTTAGCATTCTTATTTTCTTTTTTCTAATACTCTTGGAAATCAATTCAAGAATCAATGGATTTCAAGCCACTAGAGTCAAGAAAATTAATCTAAAATCTATTTTAGTAAGGTACGCTTGATTTCAATTCTCTTTGTGAAGTGATCATTATTTTATATCCTTGCTCTTTATAGAAATTGAGTGAACCATATGATAGGCCTCTCTTGTGTCTTTTATTAGTGATCCTAATACTCCTGGTTGTAACTTTATCTGAACCTTTGAAAGTACAATTATTCTCAGTTAATTATAATCCTAATTCTTCTAAAATCAGTAAAATTAGTTTATCCACAATCCTCTTTAACTTAGCTAAAGTCAATCCTAAATCCCAACTTTCTTTTCTATATGAATATTGCTCTTTCTCTTTCTTTGATTCTGCATCAAAAATAATGCAAACTTAAGAACTCATAAGTGAGATGCATTAATTGAAATTGACTTTCAAATTATATTATATTGATACATCTCAGCAATATTATTATAGTAAATTGAACATAACACATATAGAAGAGGTTATTTTTTATTTTAAAAAACACATATTTTCCATTTTGTTACATTTTGATTAACATAAGAGTGATAATGTAGACACAATAGCTCATAAATGAGATGAAATTATTTGAAATTAAAATTAAAAGCAAATTGAGCAATATTGTTGTAGTAAATTGAGCAAAACACATACTCAAAGTTGTTATTTTTCATTTCAGAAAAATTAAAATATATTATAAATAAGAAGGTCTAACACAATCAAAGAACTTACATGAAAACACTTGTCATTAACATTTAATATCAATAAACCTATAATTAACATACTTCGACAATGTGTTCAAATGTTCACATATATAAAGAAATGCTTTAAAACTATAATTATAATTTGGTACATTTTATTTTTTCTTATATTTATTAGTCATCATTAGAACCCATTACGAGAACATGAATTCGAAAGCCAACATAAGAAAGGCCCCTAGCTACTATGTTGACATTTGATGTGTAGCCCAGTCACCAGGAGCTGGTTGACCCAATTGACCAAGTTGCCCCAATGAAGAAGCTTTGTCCATAGGTGCAGGAAAACATCATTTACTTGAGTAAGATTTGTTGTATCTAAGATTGTAGTCTAAAAGAAATAACATAAAGAAAATGGGTATGAGCACATACTATAGTTATCATAAATCTCAAGAAGAGAATAGCCTTACTTCAGATCACTGCATCTGTTGTGCAGCCCAGCCATTAGAACCTGATTGACCAGGTTGCCCCAATGAGGAAACTAAGTTTGATAATTCACAGATCAAATTGTCCAAATCTCTTGGACAATTCATCGACATACCCAAGAATGGAAAGTGGGCAGACTACGAGATATCCTCTTCATGTAAGTACTATAAAGTTTGATACCAAATAACATGGATGTTGAAATCTATACTGATGTTGGGTATGCATGTTTACTATTTACTAACAATCAACTTCAGGCTATTTGTACTACACGCGACATGTAACTCCTTTCCTACATCATTGATTTTAAATATTTCAAATTATTTCTTAACTTATAATCCTTATCTAAGTCATAGTAAAGTGGCCTTAGTTGATGTATCATTAATCACAGTAGTTGACAAAGGAAATTTAAAAATTGATTATCTTAGCATAATTAAAAATATATTCTATGTCCTTAATTTTCTCATAAATCTTAGCTTAGTTAATAATTTATTTGATGACATAAATTATAAAGTGATTTTCAATTGTGATATCTGTAATGTCTGTGATAAATAAGATCACAAGAAGATTGGACATATTGACGAGTGTAAAAAACTTTGTTATCTTGTGAGCCTACATTGTAAAATTGCAACCTTCATTTAGACTTGAAACTATTGTTTTGATAAAACCCCAAGTGTTGTACTATTGTTGTCTTGGTCATCTTTTTTTAAAGATGATGAAAACTATATATGATATTACATACTCAGTAACAATTCTTACTCAATAAATGCATGACTTGAGGGAAACTCATCTCTTAACGATTGATGGCATTTTATAATAATTTAAGTTGACTCTTGGTAGAAGAATCTTATTTAAGAAAAATAATAACATGAAATCTATACCGATGTTTGGTATGCATGTTTACTATTTACTAACAATCAACTTCAGGCTATTACACTCTTCACCACATGGAGGAGCAAGAAATAACAAGTGAGTGCAAAATCAAAATTTCAAACTATTACACAAAACATATATGCAGTCTTGTGAGCAAGATGCATTCTAAAAGACCTTAGAATCAAATAAGAAGTCTGATCATATTATATTGTGACAACAAATCCACTATATTATCGCATACAATATGAGGCAACATGATCGTACTTTGTGTAGTGAGATTGATCAGCAATATATTAACGAAAAACTTGATAATTACATCATTTACACCTATGTCTCAACTCATGAGCAACTCACAAATATTCTCACCAAATGAGAATGTAAGAGCATGAGAGATTACAGATATACATAAGTTCTATAATTAACTATGTATATATCATTTCTTATATTGCTCTTTCAACTTTTCTCTTTTCACGAAAATATTAGATCCAATTCGTCATAAGTGAAGCCTGATTAATTAGATCTGATCAACTTAGGACCAATATAAATACCTGTACCCAATTACTCATCAAACAATAATTTTCATTCTCACCCAACTTCTACATTAAACACCATAAAATTTGACCGAGCAGCTAAGCTTTGATGATATGACATACAAAAACAAGGGGATTCTCGCTCGATCTAATAAATATTTACCCAAATCGGCAAAGTTTTCATGGGCAAATGACTTGAAACTAGCAAGATGATCACCGTGAATGAATGATGATGTGGACCCCAATTAAACAACAATTTACACAAGCGTTGGCCACTAACAGGCCAACCGTCCCAAGAACCATGAATACACCCAACTCGACAAGTCGACTCGGTCAGAGTGGTCGAGATCTTGAGCGCACCTGGGCTCACGGCCGGCGGACCCAGGTTCCAGCCGCCAATGGATTTACAGACGCTTTACAGCACCGAGGCATTGGAGGAGGGGGAGAGCCAACCTCTTATGCTTCCTCTGCTCCAGACATTTTGGAGCGAGTTGACCTTGACTATGGTTGGTCTACAGAGACCATGACAAAGAAGGACCTACAAAAAGGCAAGGGAAGGATGAGATCATTCTTTTCAATTAGTTCGCCGTTAATGATCAGCCTGATTAAAAAGCATATAACTTCTGAGTTCTCTAATTTTCCCCAATTTTAATTTTATTTTTAACAGCCTGAGAGAAAAAATCGCATAGCCCAATAGATACAAAGAAGATGAACAGATTGATGAGAGGCCCATCTGGAATTCTCAAAACGAAAAGAATCACACGAACTTGCCTCTAAAATGCAAAGATGAAGAACTTGCAAGACAAGAATTTGAAGCAAGCCACCGAGTTGGCAGCGCTGCAGCTCTTACTCCTGCTTTTAAGTCTATCTGATTGATAACCCTGTCCAAGGGCGCATTTCTAACACCATATGAGCCTGGAGAAGTAAGACCAGATTCAGGAATTAAGGGCAGAGAGGTCCGAAATACCTCAAGAAATTCGTCATAATGATGCTCAGATCAACCTGCCGTCTGGTCTGAGCCATTTCCCTGTGAGAACTGTGGTGAAGGAACTGTCACTACAAGGTGCGATTGAGGAAATTGTGCTGCTCCTGGATATTAGACGTCGAAACTTCCAAGATTAAACTCCATTTTTGTTGCCAGAAAGAGAGTAAGATACCATTTAAATGTATTATATGTGAGAAATATCGTCATGATTTTGATTTATCTCCCAAGAACAATGCCCTGGACAATTCACAGACATACCCAAGAATGGAAAGTGGGCAAACGACGAGATGTCCTCTTCATGTAAGTACTATAAAGTTTGATACCAAAGAAGGTACCTGGAGGAAATGAAGATTGGACAGAAGAGAGGCCTCCAGGAGCTACTCCATTGACATTTGGTGCGCCGAATTGCAGCAGGGTCTGATTTGGCACTTGATAGTTTTGGAATGCCATATAGCCTGGCCCACCAGGAAGTGGTTGACCAGGTTGACCAGGTTGACCAGGTTGCCCCAATGGGTAGGCCATGCTATTCACAGGTGCAGGAACACCATATACCTGAACGAACTGCTGCCCCGTGTATGGATTGTACATCTGAAAGAAATGACATAAAGCAAGTAGATATGAGCACATACTATACTGATCATAAATCTCCAGAGGAGAATATTTTTTCTTGACAGGATAACATAACCTGAGGATACGAGGCATACTCGGATCCATATGCTGCATACCTGCATAAGGATAGTGGCACATTTTTTTAAAGAGGATTCTCATATCCAATGTTTATTCAAATTTTTATTTTGGTAACAAAAACCAGAAATGCAGAGGGCGAAAATAATATTAATTTATAAGAAATATTGACTGCTTCTTTTCGACATTTTTCTAGATGTATGCCAGATGCTTACTCTGCAGTGTTGGGTAACTTGTGAAGAGACATTAATGAGTAACCCCTCTCTCCTTCACATTCCACCAAACTAAGCCTCACATCCAAGAAAGAAAATAACGTTTATGATTTCGGAGCTATAATTTTCCTACATTTATCTTTCTTACTCCATATAAAATGATAATAATAATAATAATAATAATAATATATATATAAAAAAACAACGACGAAGCCTAACAAAACTCTGATTATCCCTGCTCACCCACCTTTACGGCCACTAATGTTCCACAAATGCACATATCAACCTAAACTCCCTTGTTGTAGAGCCTCTTCCTTCTTCTTTCCTTTCCTTTTTTTGTCTTTTGTTAAGAGATGTCAACTGATATAACCCCAGCTTACTTGAATCCAGATATCCATCCAGACAGCATGACTAAGAAGCAGCATTCTGACAAACTCACCCGTATGGTAGATAGGGAAAACCTTGTTGGTTGTAGCCGTAAGGCAGCAGATGTTGATAACCAGAGCTTCCCACATAAGCCCCATGTGGAACTGGCACACCTCCAATGTATGGGCCCGCTGTACCTGGGCGTGCTAAAAAGGGTAAAACAGCATAAATGGAAAGACAACACACCATCACAGCAATAAAATATATACCACAAAGATACTTAAAAATATTTCATGCAGAGAAGGATGAAAGGTATCAGATTCAAACTTTTTTGCTTTCTAAATACAAATCATGCCCCTTAAAGAAAGCCGTCGGTGTTGCCATAGGTGCATTTTAATTTCGGACCAAGCATGCAGTGAGCACTTCAGAGATGCGCCAAGATATCTATTTCACCAGAGCCTTCACGAGAAAAGTTGTTTATTTATAGTTAGATGAGTTAGAGATTAATAAAAACCTCCAAAAAGTGTTTTGTCAATTCAGGAAATCCTGAAGCGGAACTTCTCTCTCGATATGCCCTCAAAAAAATTCATAACACATATTGAGTCATCCAGTATTTTTCAAAGAATTCTTTACAGAGAGAGAAAAAAGTTGTTTCTGTAATCTTCCCAAGAACTTCTTATGATCGCCATAAGTTATAGAGATGGCTCTGTTTAGTGTTTGGAAATTAGTCATATATACATGACTGGATGAATCTTACAATCACTTATTCTTCTAGGACATACTGCCATTCGGGAGATCAGATAGAGAAGAATAAAAGGTATCATTCGCTTTATTTTATTGCTTTAAAATATTCAATTTCCAGAAAAAAATTGAGGAAACGAATAGTATGGATTAGAGGAGAAAATGACAGATGAAATTGTGGAGCCTTGGGAAGATTTGCAGCTCCGCAAAGATGAGACAGTTATAACGCATCAAAACAGATTAAATCTCAGTTAAATTTAAAATAATGTGTAAATATTAAATTATAGGAAGCACCTGAGAATAATTTTTTTCAAAAGGGTCCTCGTTTCTAGAATTGGGTCTAGGATTTTAGGCAATATCCATTCAAATTCTAAGCACATAAACTGCAATCATCATCCCCAATTGATTCCCCCATTAACGCCATACAAGTAAAGGACCAAATGATGAGGTATGCCCACAAAATCAAGCAAAAGCCAGAAAACACCTGGATTTGATCATGTAGATGTGTAAACACGTCGAGGGAAAACCAAAAAGGATCACTTACTTCCGAGAGCTGTGATGAATATAATACGACGAGCTTGAGCCAGAGAAAATGGGCAAAAGAAGACCCATGTAAGCAAGGTTAGGGAAAAGATGGCATACCCTGCGTCGGAGGGTGCCGGGGGCGCCCAAGAGAAGCCAGGTTGCAATTCGCCCGTCTACCATCTATGGTAGGGCTTGGATCGGCGCAGGCTCTCGCTGCAGACTCAGGATCACGGAAAGTCACCTGTAACCTCCAAAGCAAGCCATCGCCCGAGGATTACATCTCTGAGTTGGGGAGAAGGAAGATCTCCTTTGCATTAATCGCGGTGAATCGAGGACGATGACAGTAGATACTCACAAAGCCATAGCCCTTCGATCTCCTGGTGTTCTTATCGGTGATTACCACGGCCTCGAGGATGTCCCCGTACTGCTCAAAGTGGCGGCGCAACGTCTCACTCTGGGTCTCCCACGCCAAGCCACCAACGAAGACCTTCGTGTACGTTGTGTCACCAAATGGGGAATTCAGGTAGGGAAGCCCGGAATTCGAGCTCTGTCCGGATCCTGGAGCCGGACCAGGAGCACCGGGGGGATTCGCCATGTAGCGGCGAACAAACCCAAACCCTAATTCCTATACCTAGAAGGGAGACGATCACAGCGGAAGAGGAAGAATTGGAGGAAAGATGACGGAACCGGCGGATCGAATGATGCTGCGATGAACAAAGGGAACCCTTTGCCCCATCTCATGGGAAAACAACAAAAGATGCCATGGCGACGGCAGTAATCCCCACGGGAGCAGGAGCAGCGGATTACGGCGGTACTCTGGACCACGGCATGGGCCCTCCACGGAACACCGATCGAGAGGAATACTCGGGCGAAGAACACCCCCCCTCCTCCCCCCCCTTCCCCCCCCGGGACAGAGGAGGAAAGAGAGAGAAGGAAGAAAGAGAAACGAAGGGGGCAACGACTTCCACCGGCGATCACCGATGCCCTTTCGACGATCCTCCCCACTGCAGCACACAGAATGGGTCTGCGGGTCCCCCTCCCACCTCCCCCCCCTCTCTCTCTCTCTCTCTCACTCTCTCTCTTCATGCCCTTCGATCGATCTCCGAAAAGTTCTGAAGCTGTCTCCATCATTGGCCGCCATTGCAAGTTGCTATTTTTTTCTTACCGACAGAGCTCATCCTGACATAGTGAATGCTGCTTCATCACGGGAGGGCCGGGCCCGGAGAAAAAAGCCCAAATTTGGTCTCCCAGAGGCCCCGCCCGGCCCATCAATCCTTGGGCATTATCCCCATGGTTACCTTCTACCAGCATGCTTCGTAGGATTTATTGAAATGGATTCTTAGCTCTTAACCTTCACAAACATCACTACTGCAAAACAATACTCAACCTTTCTAGAATTGCACATTTAACCTTTTCATTGATGATTTTATGGAGGTTTATCAAAGGTTTATATGTCATTAACCCCTATGAATTTTAAATTTGAAAAAAACCCCAACTTTGTATTATTCAGAACAAGTTTTGGTACATATTATTGATCGCTCGGTAGGATTTATGAAGAAGATTATATTTCAAGAAAGACCCCATATATATTTAGACTTGGAAAAAAACACCATCTTTCTTAAAATTACAACAACTGGGACTATTATTTAGGATTCATATTTTGGACTCGGAAAACAACGTTGACTCTAATAAGTAACTACACTTGGGACTTCATCTTTGCAGAATTTAGAATAAATCCAACAAGTTGGACCTTTTTTATTGTCTTCCTGCTAGAAGCCCAATATCTAATTAACAAGAAAAGAGAGGCTTTTTTGTTATTCGAGAAGACATTTTTGTCTACTTACATACTATAATGGTGTTCACCTTAGTTTAAACGAATATTTTTTAAAGGTCCTTCAAGAAAAAAAAAAAAACCTTCAGTTAAATCAACCCATCTAAGAGGACTTTCCAAATTTGGAAAATATGCCTTTTTCTATAAAAAATGTACGTAATTTATATAAATATACAGTTCTCAAGGGTTTTTAACCAAATTGGAAAATTGAGGAGTTCCCCACCATAATTTTTTTTTATAAGGGCCCAAAATTAAATGAAAAAACTAGAAAATAACCCATCGGTGAGTGATGGACCGTCCAATACCGATTTAGAACACAATTATATCCCCATAAAACGACCCCAATTCTCCCAATTTCTCAGGGCAGAAACAATAAGTCAACCCATTTATCATCCATAACAAAGCCAACCACAGGAATTCAGATGTAACAGAGCTGTTCCCAGATAAATATCTGATGGAAATTTCACAGATATATTCCTGTTTTAGTGGTCATAGGATATGAAAATGGGGAAGTCCTAAGTTTATAGAAATGCCATTTATAGAAATAATATATATATATATATATGTATATATATATGTGAATTTTTTCTCTTTTTCTACCGATCAGTTGCTGTTCTTTGTCAGGACCCACCAGCAAGTCACTCAGGCTTCTGCCCCTTCCTGAGCTGCAATTTCTTGAAGATAATGCTCAGCATCCAACGCAGCCATGCACCCTGCGCCTCCAAAAGACAGCGTCAGATGACAAACTCAGGGGTATTTGCTTGATATAATCATGCGGCCAAAGTGGCCGAGTATGCGGCTGCAAGATAGCATCAGCTGAAGAACTCAGGGGGAAAGCATGCGGCCCAGGTGGCTAAGTATGGCGATTTAATTGGGAACATCACTGATATTAATTAGTCTATGATTCAATGGATCTACGATATGAAAATAGCTATATATGGGGATTTTATGGCACATAAAAGGGCCAGGCTTTTAGGCTAATCCGGCCAATCGAGTCCTCCCCTACTGGATCTGAGTGATGAGCTCACACTAGAGCTACCAGGAAACAAGGCTTGATATGATTCCTAGATTAGTATGATTATATCCGCAACCATGAAATAGTACCCATTTATGGACTTTACAGCGCCGCACTGACTGGTCTAAAAATATCAGCATGATGGGTATGGAGGAGCCAAAAATGGGGTTTTTAGAACGGAGATCGGCGTTCTCTGAGCCCACATCTCCTCGCTGAATGAGATTTCTAGAGTCGGAGCTCTCATGGATCATCAGGAACAAATAATGGGTCATCCATAAACAACCAGGAAAAGGACGAGTGGGGCCATTTTTTAGCTCAAATAGGTAAAATAAAACATATGTTTATGGAAAAAATTGATCTTTATGCATGAATAAGTTGAAGTTTCCCCGTTCCAAAGGTGTATAGATCACATATCCGCTGTAAACGGATGTTAATTTTTAATTCAATAAATTGGGTTTTTAATCTGATTACCAGAGACGAAAACTGTGAAAAAACTACCAAATCCTGTAATAAAATAAAAGCGTTCTTTGATCAAGAAAAGTGGAAAATTAGAGGAGAGGGAAGAGGCCCATCGGCTGACCTGTTCCAGCAGCAGTGATGGCTTGGCGGTACTTCTTGTCCTGAACATCTCCGGCAGCAAAGACCCCCTTCACACTGGTCTCTGTGCTGCCAACCTTTGTCACAATGTACCCATCTGGATCCAGCTCCAGCTTCCCTTGGAGGAATCTCGTCGCAGGTTCGTGCCCAATGGCGAAGAACAGACCGGAAACCTGCAAATCCGACAGCTCCCCGCTCAGAGTGCTACGTAGCTTGAGACCACCCAATCCTCCCTTCTCGGAGCCGTAGGCCTCCTCCACCGCAGAGTTCCAGATAATTTCGATCTTCGGGTTCGCCATTGCCCTCCCCTGCATGATCTTCGATGCCCTGAAGGAGTCCCGGCGATGGATGATGTAGACTTTGGATCCATACTTTGTAAGGAAATTTGCCTCCTCCATGGCCGAGTCCCCGCCGCCGACGACTGCAATGGGGCGCTTGCGGAAGATGGGCGCCGCCCCATCGCAGACGGCGCAGGCGGAGATCCCGCGATTCCAAAACTCGCCGGCGCCCGGGAATTTGAGGCGGCGGGCGACAGCGCCGGTGGCGACGATGACGGCGTCGGAGAGGACGGTGGTGGAATCGGAGACAACCTTGAATGGGCGAGAGGAGAAGTCAACGGAGGTGACGGTCTCGGAGATGATGTGGGTCCCGAATCGCGCTGACTGGGCGCGGAAGCGGTCGGTCAGCTCGAGACCGGGGATGCCCTCCGGGAATCCCGGAAAGTTCTCCACCTCGGAGGTGGTGGTCAGCTGCCCGCCGGCGGCGATGTCGTTGGCCATCCATCCCTCGAAGAGGACGGGCTTCAGCTCGGCTCTGGCAGCGTATATCGCCGCCGTGTGCGCGGCGGGGCCGCTGCCGATGATGCACAGGCGGGTCCTCAGGGTTTTCTGGGCTTCTTCCACGGTGGCGCAGGATGCGGGCACAGCCTTCGCCGGCTGCCCCGCCGCGGCCGCCGTCGACAATGTGGCGGCGGCGGCGGCAGAGGCGCCAGCGATTCTTCGGGCCCTGCCGACGAGCGACGAGAGTCGCGAGCAGAAGCCGCCGCCGCCGCCGCTCATTGCTTGGTGGAAGGGAAAGACAACGCCTTCTGGGCGAGCCTTCGACGGAGGAGATGGTAGCCACCTCTGTCAGAGGATGGCGGGGCACGTTACAGAAACGGGCCGGATAATTCGAAAACCCGGGTCCGGTTGTCCAAACTCGGGCCAAAATTCAAGTTCGGGGAGACAAAATAGGCCCGGCATCGGGCGGGCTTACATGAGTCTGGACTCAGCAGCCCGGGACGGCCCGGCCCGTGGATATCCTGGACTTCCATTTTTTTAATATTTTGAAATATCCTCGTCCACGGGTACTTGTAGAGAGGGGCTGAGCGACCATGGGGATCCGCTTCCATGGCGCTGCTCCCACGGCCACCCTCTCTCTCTGCTCGCCGTTCTTCTCTGCTAGGCGATGGCCAAGCTCTGGCGAGCTGTTGCCCTAAGCCGAGGACCGATAGATTCTCCGATGGCAGGCGAATTCCTTCCATCTGCAGAGCCTCGTGGGGGGAGGTATCCACATTCTTCTTTGAATTTTTTTCCCCTCTCGTTTCATTTCTGATCGTAGTTTGATGGTTTCCCCTCATCGCCCTAGTTTTTTGTTTGATTTTAGTTTTTTATTTCTTCCGATTCGTCCAGCTAGTCGGGGTCCTGGTCTTCTCCGCGATCCCGTTCGCGGCGGTGAAGGCCGTGGCCAACAGCTCGGTGGGAGAGGAGCTGCGGAGGAGGTTGGAGGGAACGAAGAGGACCAACGTGGAGAAATCCTCGAGGTTTAAGGCCCTCTCAGAAAGGGCGAGAGAGGCAAGGTAACTAGTGGAACAGGCTTTCAACTTTATCTTGAAAACCGGCACAATCTCGAAAATCCCCGTAGATGCTGAAGCAGATCTAACATTCTCTTGGATTCCTGTATGGAACTATACCAAATATATGTTCCGAATGGAAATTCTCCAATTATGTCTGCCTAAGATCCGTCTGCTCGCGCATAGATTTCTGCATTTCTATTTATTGCTCAGCATCTGAGGGGATTTTTGGGCGGTTGTCTTCTGAATGATCCATATCTATTTTTCTGTTAAGCTTGTGGTATGGGAAGCATCGGCCTCGCTGGCTTGGTCCTTTACCATATGAATACCCCACCTACCTCACCGGAGAATTTCCTGGCGACTACGGCTTTGATATTGCAAATTTAAGCGAGGATCGCAAGGCTTTTGAGAAATACTTCAAGTATGTGTTTCATCCTTGTATTTTTTTTCTTATCTAGAATTCAATTTTTGTCTCAGTTCACTGCAAATGAAACTTGGCGTCTCGTTACTATTTAAAGCATGCACTGAATCACCTCCGAAATGATTTTAGTCTTATAATTAAACCTTATTTTTATTTTATCTGCATAATAATATTTGTGTATAAATTTTTTCTGTTTGGAAGGACTTTGAATGAGTATGTTTTCACAATTATGCAGGAGCATGCACTTCTATTCTTGTTAATTTATTAATTCAGCCCTCAAACATCTGTTCTCTGCTACTCCTGGTTGCAGCTTTGAAATCCTTCATGCTCGTTGGGCAATGCTTGCCTCTCTTGGTGTTCTTGTTCCAGAGGGGTTGGACCAACTGGGTGTTGTGCACTTTGTCGAGCCTGTGTGGTGGAAGGTTGGCTACGCAAAATTGAAGGCAAGCATCTTTACAGAGATAAAAGAGAATGAAGCTTGTGTAAATGTTTTTTAGACACTTTAAATTGTGAATTGTGACCCATCCAATAATAATGGACATATATTCAAAGATGGAGTCAAGATAATCTTGACACGAAATGTTTTCCTCAGAATTTAACAGTAAAACTATTGATAAGAAGATTAACTGTCATGATGCATACTTTTATAGAGCTAGCTGGGAATTGTGAAACTTCTGAGACGAAATTCATACAAGTTCTTTATTTCATCATCACTCTTGAGTTGCACGCTTGAACATGCCCATGGACATCTTGGTATCTTCCACGTGGCATTGCAGCCATTAATCACACCAGGTCTGAAGCACTGGTAGAGACGCATAGAACAAAGGCCAAATATTGACAGTGAAAAGGACCCATTTCTTCTGATTAATCTCTTGTTATATGATAACAGATTTTTTTTTCTTATTCATGAGAAACGAACATAAATGCTGCTTTTTTTTTGTCTGATATCAATTTCTTCTGTTTAGGGTGACACCCTCGATTACCTTGGCATTCCTGGGTTTCACATTGCTGGAAGTCAGGGAATTATCGTCATAGCCATCTGCCAAGCTCTTCTAATGGTAATCCACATGATTTTTTATTTATTTCAAAAAATTACTTGAATTTATATTTGATAAAACCCTTGCTGGCCAATCTATCACAAGCTTATTTTCTCTTCCCGGTGCTTCAACCTGCGTCGTTGTCTGTACCTACCACATCCCTTTTTCATCCCCAGACAAAATATTATGCAGGACCTCTGAATTCATTGCAGTCTGCCTCAGAACCATTTCCCCTGGGGGGAAATCACTTGGACTTGAATGTTTTTAGAGAGAGAAGCAAAGAATTACATCTCCTCCCTCCCTCTAAAACTCTGTCACAGATCGTGTTCGTCCCCAGTCAGATATTCTGTGGGCCTGTGAATTTGTAGCTCCTGTTTCACGCCCAATTTTCCATGTAGAAATAGCCCTTCGATTTGAATGTTTTATTGTGAGTGAAACCAAGAAAAGCATGGTCACTCTTGGGGATGTGGGTCCCCCAGGTTGGACCGGAGTATGCCAGATACTGTGGAATAGAAGCCCTGGAGCCCCTTGGCATCTACCTGCCTGGAGACATAAACTACCCCGGCGGCCTCCTCTTCGATCCGCTGGGGATCTCCGAGGACCCTGCTGCCTTCGAGGAGCTCAAGGTGAAGGAGATCAAGAACGGGCGCCTGGCCATGGTCTCCTGGCTTGGCTTCGCCTTCCAGGCTGCGTTGACCGGTAAGGGCCCTATCCAGAATCTTGTAGAACACCTAGCTGACCCTTTCCACAACAACGTCCTCTCTCTCCTCAGCCATTCATGAAGTCATTATTCCTTTGTATATTATTAATGGAATCACTTGCAAAGCATTGACCATACTTGTAAATTTTTTAGAGCTTTTTTCATATAAAGCTGTTGGTTATAGAAAAGTATGGTGAGGACCATACTTGTAATAGTTTATAGAAAATATTATTAAACCTTTTATAGAACAGCTTTTTATGAATTTGTGCTGCCTATCTCGCATCATGCCTCCTCATGTTGTGCCATGTCTGATGATGTCATGCACCTCTACAAGTGTGTTGCTCATGCTGCATTGTGCTATGTCATGGCGATGTTGTGCTATCGGCCTTCAAGATTCATAGGGTGCCTCCCTGAACCTTGCTCCAACATGTTGGTATTCTCTATGCAAGCTATGCATGAACTTCATGCGCTCTTGACATCTTGCTTCATGTCAACCTGTGTCTGCACTTACAACATGTTGTACTTATGATGCCTCATGTGCAATTGCATGTACACACAGATGGCCCTCATGTATGTAGTGGTGTTATGTGCCCCAAATCTTATTCCTTCATACCATAGGCATGTAGTGTATACACATATGCCCCTCACATCTCACATCGTGTCAACCTATGTTTGCACTTACAACATGATGTACTTATCATGAGCGATTGCATGTGTACATGTATGGTCTCATGTATGTAGTGATGTTATGTGCCCCAAATCTTATTCCTTCATGCCATTGATGACTATTGTAATCTAGGAGGGGGCTGAATATAGTTGATTTATCATTGAAAAATGAATCCTCATTTCACATGCTACAATCTTGAGGATTAAACTTTCTAATTGAGTGGATTGAGTAATCAATGGTCTTATACCATGTAGCAAAGTTAAAATATAATTAAATAATATTTTTAGATCATTAATACAGGATTTAAAATAGGTAATATGATCAAGAGAATCATATTAACCATTATAATTTATTGTGACTTAGCAAGACTATTTAATTGATTTGAAAGGAAACATCAAATACATAATAAGATTGCACAATACATGTTTTGTAATACTTTGGGCCCCAGATTGTATCCACTATCCAAGAGTTGTGCTCCTTGGGTTTCTACTAATCATTTGCAAATACTATATTTAACAAGTCATGACTCTAAGAATTAGATAGTTTCTTATTGACTTATTTGATGCTAATGGAATTAAAAACAAAATTGTTTTTATAGCAACCACTCTATGGTTGACTTTACTAGCTTTGACACAAGAAACAACAATCAAGACATCATTAATGTTCTACTGGCTTTGTTGACTTTGGCACACCAAACAACAATCACATAACTATCAAACCTCCATTAGTTACTATTGCATCATTATAAAGGCTCCTACTTGCTTCAATGGTTTTAACCCACCAAAAAAGTCAAGTCATTAAAATGCACTTTGAAAACAAAGGGGCCAAAAAATTAATGTGGTTACTAAACTATAAGGATGATAATTAAAAATAACTAAAATACCAATGACTTTAGTTTGATCTATTGTCTATCTAGATGTTACTTTAGCAGATGTTCTCATATGTTCTTTGACCATTCAACAAGTTGGAACCTCTCTTTTATTTATTGTGAAGTTGTAGATCTTAGAGCTGATCTTCCTCTATATTGTCTTGAGTAATAGTTAGAGATGATCTTGCTCTTTATAATTTAAATTTTTAATTGAATTTAACAAATTGATTAGATGATTAACACATTTAATCCACAATCGCTAAAATTATGTTGAATTCAATATTGGAATAAAAAATATAATAAATTATTATAAGAAATTGATTTGATCATTTAAACATTTAATCCATGATCTAAATATTGATTATTAAATAATTGTGCTTATTTTTTTATTAAATATATATTAACTAATAAACTATGAAAAATATTTTATTGTATTATATAAAAAAGTATAAACTAATTGAAATTGTGTTTATTTTTAAATATTTTTCTTAATAAAAGTGTTTTAAAATCGATATTATGATAGGCATACTAATTAAACAGTCTAATTGAATACAATATATTACTTTTGTAATACAACGTAAATTCACAATAAGTAAAAGTATTGTGAATTCAATGTTATATACTTGATATTTTAATTGGCGTAATATCCATAGTTAAATTAATGATTATGAATTATAGTGATTAAAACCTCTAATTTCTAATGATTAAAACATCTGCTTCATTATCTATAAAGCATTCAAACATCGGTCACAAGCCGATTAAATAAACTCTGAATTAAATATTGTCATCAGGTAAAAAAAACAAAAAAAAAAAAAAACAAGATCGTGGAACAAATGCCCAATTGGATCCTCAGTGCCTATTTTTCTTTCTAGGATTAGTTTTGTAGCTTGGGCTCTGAAGAAACTCTGGGGGACGACGCCGAGGGAGATCCATCACACTGACCTGAAGAACAACACCACAAAGACCCATACTTTGTTCTTCCACTGTGCAGATTGTGATCGGTAGAGCCCAGAAATCTTCAATCTCGGAAACTGTTCCAGGTACGGCTCGCACTGATTTTGATCCGAAAAAATAAATGCCGATGCTCATTGTGATCATCCGGGTGAAGAACTAGAGAGGGAATGAGATCCCACAGACGAGGAAGAAGAAGAAGAAGAAGAAGAAGAAGAAAAAAATGGAAACAAGGAGAGGAGGAAGATCAGATGATCAGCCGAGGTTGCTGATGGGAGAGAATTTGGCGGCGAACTTGTTCTTGTTGCAGTCGAGCATCTCGCTCAGGCTGCATTTAAGGCCCCTCTGCTCCAGCTGCCGGTGCCGGGCCTCCAAGCTCTTCTTCAGGCCGTGGCGGAAGAACTCCGGGTACTCCGCGACCTCTCTCAGCTCCCTCCCCATCGCCTCCACCAGGAATCTGATCCTCGGTTTCAGGGAATTCTCCACGCTCTTGATGAGAACAGGAGGGTAGCCGGCCACCACCATGGCGATCTCCCGGTCGCTGAAGCCGCTCTGCTTCAGGAAGTTCAGATTGGGCCTCAGGGTTTTATCCACGTCTCTGCAGAGGACCTGCGGGAAGCTCGCCGCCACCTTCCTCAGATCGGGATCCTTCAGGCCGATCGATCTCAGGAACTCCGCCGTGGGGCGGAGTCGCCTCTCCACGCTGTACCCCATCATATAGGGATTCTTCACCAGGATCTTCCCGATCTTGCTGCCGTCTCCCCCGAAGCCGAGGCCGGCGAGGAAGACCGCCATATCCGAGAGCTTCTCCTGGATGCTGTAACTGACCAGGCGGGGATTGAGGAGGACGAGCTTCCCAGCTTTCTCCGACGAGATCCCTAGGGTTTGGAAGAAGGCCAGCAGCGGACAGAGCTTCTCCTCCACGCTGTGGGAGAGGATCTGCGGGAACTTGACGACGGCGGCGGCGACATCGCCGGGCTTCGTCCCCAGGGTGGCGAGGCAGTGCACCGCTGGCGACAGCTTCTCGTCGATGCCGGCGGCGAGGAGCTTGGGGCACTTGGAGACCACACAGCGGAGCTTCCTCTCGTGGATTCCGATGCTTCTCAGGTACTCCCAATTCTCCGCCATCTTCTCCCTTCCGACGATATCCAGACGGCGGCATTTCTTCAGCATCGCCTCGATGCTCGCATCCTCGAACCCTTTCTCTTTGAAGAACCCCACAATGGCGGCCCTCTCCCCTTCCCCCATCACCAGACCACAGAACCCCCTCCTCCTCTTTCTTCTTCTTCAGAGCTCAGCCAGAGAGAAGAGGGACGGGAAGAAGGAGGAAGGATTTAGGTGGCGCAGAGTTCCTCACCTTCAAGCAGAGCTGCTAGAATCCATGGCGGAGACAGGAGCTCGTTCTTCCGGAGGTTACCCACACGCCTTATCCCCGAGGGAGGAACGGGGAGGAGGAAGAACGTTTATATACTTGTATGATTAATAATTCCTCTTATACCCCTAAATTATCATTATAATCACCAAATCCCCCCTCTTCTTCTTCTTCTTCTTCTTCTTCTTCCTCTTTTCATTAAACCCTAACCCTCACTCTTTCTCTCTCTACTGCGATTTTCTCCCTCTGGCTCCGAAAGGTGGTGGAGCGGCCATGAAAACAAAGCTAGTTGCGGAGCTTCTCGTCTTCTCCGGCCTGCGGAAGAGTTCCTGTCAGATTTCCGAGGTATCGAGGATTCGGAGTGACTGCGCCGCTGCTCTGTACAGCCAATCCCTCCCGTCGTCGCAGAGCAGATCATACGGATTTGCTCCCAGGAGACCGAAGAGAGGAGATCCGGTGGACGATCGATCGGAGGATCAGTTCCTTCGTAGCCTTAATTTCGGAAGCCGCAATGCTGGAGACGACAGGAAGGAGACGGATGGCCGTGAGAGATCGGAGAAGCTCTTTCCCGTTGACGACGCCGACGAGAACTCACGCAGCAGCGGGAAGGTTCCTCTCTCCTCCCAAAACGAAGAGAGAGAAGCTGCTTCTTCTCGGCTTGGCGGTGAGTTCTTCAGCGGGAGGTTCGGAGCTTCCCGTCAGAGTTCCTCTCTCTTCCCTGCCGGCGAGATCCAGGGCAAAGATGAAGCGGGAGGCTTGTTGGAGAATCTCGCCGATGGAAAAAAGCACAGGCTAAGCGGCGATCGGCCGGAGAGTTTCCTGTTGCAGAAGCTTAAACTGGGGATGAAGAAAAATGAAGATAAGGCTCAAGCAGAGGCGTCGATCCAGATCCCTAATGGCGATCCGCCTCTCTCAGAGTCAGCGGCACCGGACGCCGATGACATTTTCAGGAAGATGAAGGAGACGGGGCTGATCCCTAGCGCCGTCGCGATGCTCGACGGGCTCTGCAAGGACGGGCTGATCCAGGAGGCCATGAAGCTGTTCGGAGAAATGCGCGAGAGAGGTACGATCCCAGAGATCGTCATCTACACCGCCGTGGTGGAGGGATTCTGCAAGGCGGAGAGATTCGACGATGCCAAGAGGGTCTTCAGGAAGATGCAGAATCATGGCATCTCCCCGAATGCTTTCAGCTACAAGATCCTGATCGAGGGCCTTCTCAGAGGGAAGAGATTGGAGGATTCCGTTGACTTTTGTCAGGAGATGCTGGACGCCGGACACTCCCTCACCGTGGCGACCTTCACAGATGTGATCGACGAGATTTGCAAGGTCAAAGGCGTGGAGGAAGCTGGGGAGGTTGTGAAGAGATTGCGCGAGAGAGGTCTGGCCGTTGACGACAGGGCCGTCAGGGAGCATTTGGACAAGAAGGGGCCGTCAACTCCCCAGATTTGGGAGGCCATTTTTGGAAAGAAGCCGTCTCAGAGAACCTTCTGATTTCCAAATCCAGGTACTCTACGATCATCATTTCGCATCTGTTTCATGGGAAATTCATCCGTATAGATAATAATCATTTTGACTTTTTGATGCTACCATGGTCTCCTGAAGGTGGTCAATATTATCTCGTTTTTTTTTATGTTGTTGACTGGGAGAGCTGGTCAACTGATCAGCTGACAGAGTGGTGTCCCAACTGAGGAATGACACTGAGGCTTCATGAACCACGCTGACTAGACGAAGCCCGCCCACATCAGACCTTCATGAACACGTTGACTAGACGACATTTTTCTCTCTGGGCAGAATAGAAGTCAACCCCCGGCCAAGTTCTTCCACGGACTCAATGACGTCGTCAAACATGTCTTCGATGCCTCTGAATTTGAATCCCATGCTCTGTAGTTTGGAGGTGTCCAGGTCGTAGAAAGGGCTCTCCACACGGAGGGGATTGTCAAACCTGATACCAAAAACAGTACCACCCAGCATCAGTAGAGGGCTGACCATGTGTTGACTTTACTTCCTATGGGGTCAACGGACGCACGCACCTTCTTGGAATGGGAAGCCACGTGTATCGCGCCGCCAGCCTCGCGGCGAGCTCGTGGTTGTCTAAGACTGTGGAGCTGCAGAGGTAGCGTCCGCTGGCAGCGGGGGCCTCGTAGACGAGGATGTGGCAGCTGGCCACGTCATCGATGTGGGCGTAGCCCATCCTGCCGTACCAGGCGAATCCATCCGTCTTACCTTAAATGGGAAGAAAAAAGTCAACGGGGATGGATATGACCTGATGACTGGGATTTCAACAGATCACCACCTTTCAGGAGGTCGACCACGTCTGAGACGGTCTTGCAGGGCTGACGTGGCAGGCTGGGGCCCACGATGAAGGAGGGGAGGACCGTCACCAAGTCCAGCTGGTTTTCTCCGGCGAACTTCCAGGCCGCCTTCTCGGAGAGCACCTTGGCCAGTGGGTACCATATCTTCCGACATGCAGATCCAAGAGGTCAACGGAGATAGGTAACTAGAGGTCAATAGAAGAGAAGGAGAAGGAAGGGGTTGACTCACCAAGAGGTCAACGGAAGGGAAGGAGAAGAAGCAGGAGGGGGCTGACTCACCTGAAGACGCTGGCAGAGATCAACGGAGGACCAGGACGTCTCGTTTAGAGGGACTGAGGGGTCAAAGTCTTCCCTTGGGCGCACTCTCACGGCCGAGGAAGAGGACGTGAGGACGACCCGTCTCAGGGACGGGTTCTTCTTGCAAGATCTCAGTACGTTCAGCGTGCCTTTGATGGCCGGGTCAAGAATCTCTCCCTGCAACCGTTGACGACCCCAATTGAGAGCTCTAGAGAGAGAGAGAGAGAGAGAGAGAGAGAGAGAGAGAGAGAGAGAGAGAGAAGTTGACCTTTGGGTCAGACTTGACGACGACGACGGGGGAAGCAGTGTGGAAGACGCCCTCGCAACCCCAGACGGCGTCGTCGAAGCTGCCCTCCTCCATGAGGTTAGCGCGGACCAGCTGGAGTCTTTCCCCAGCTCCCTCCAGTTCCCACAGGTGCGCCACCTTATCTCTGTCCTCTGCCCACCATGAACCAGAAACCCAACTCATCATCAGTCCATTCATCTCTCTCTCTCTCTAGGTTTAGAGAGAGAAATAGCGAGCGTTGACCTGGGTCCCTGACAGTCCCCCTGACGTGATACCCCGAGAGGAGAAGCCGCTTGACCAGCCAGGATGCCAGGAAACCGGCGGCTCCGGTGACGCACACCGTCCCCTTCTTCCCTCCCTTCCCTTCCATGGCCGTTGACCTGCCTGTTTCTACAATATCGCGAGAGATCCCCGGGTCAACCCTCCTCCAAACGCTCTTTCTTATAAAGGACGGAGAGAGAAGGGGATCGACGGTAGGTTGATCATCCCCTTCATATGGCTAAGACCTACCACTCTCCGGTCGTTGACTTCAGAGCTCCGATGTAGTCTTATTTCCTCGCTTGATTTTCAACTCTTTCTCGGTCAACGCGATCGGTCAGGGGGAGGACTCTAGAGAGAGAAGGGGGTCGACGGTGGGTAGATCATCCCCTTCCCGTGGCCAAGAATAGCAGCAACAAGTTCTTCGTGCAATACCTACAACTCTCAAGTGATTGACCTCAGAGCTCGGATTTAGTCTTATTTCCTAGCTTGATTTCAACACTTTCTCGGTCAACGTAGTGGGTCAGAGGGAGAGCCCCAGCGGGCAGCAAGGGCTTCCAAGACCCCATCGAAGGTGCTGAACTTGGATCCGACGACGTCCACTGGAACCCCCAGCGCCGCCGCCCCGCGGGCGGTGACCGGACCGTGAGCCGCCACCAGCATCTGCGGCCGCCGCTCTGCCACAGCCCGCCACCGCCACCCCGCCGCCGCCAGCGCCTTTAGCAGACCTTCCACCTCCGCCGTGCTCGTGAACACCACCGCATCCACCGGAGGCGCTGCCAGCAGCGACGCCGCGCAGGCGGCGCCGGCCCACCGCGTCTCGTAGGCGGGCACCCTAGCCGGAGCCCACCCCATCGCCGCCAGTGCCCGGAGGAATTCCGGCACCACCGGCGGCTCCGCCAGGCCCACGACGGCGGGCACCGGGCAGAGGATCTTCTTCCCGGAGCCCTCTCCGAGCGCCGCCACCAGGCCGTCGGGAGAGGCGATCTCCGGCACGAGCACCCTAATCCGGTGGGGGTTGCGGCAGAGCTTGGAGAGGAAGCCGTCGTGATGGAGGAGCTCTGCGTCCTTCCCTAGGGCGCCGACGGTGAAGGACTCGCCGGAATCGGCGAGCGGGGGCTCGCTGGCGCCGGAGAGGGCGGCGGCGAAGGCGGAGATCCCGACGCGGGAGGTGAACGCTAAGGCGGAGAAGGACTCCAGGGCTTCGGCGGCGCCGCGGCCTCCGCCGGGGAGGTAGCGGCGGAGTGCGGCGATTGTGGAGGGAGTGGACTCGACGAACACCGTGGGAATGGGGAGAGGCTCTGCGCCGCGCACCTGGAGAAGCTCGGCGAGCCTGGCGCCGTGGACTGGCGGCGCGGTGAAGGCAATGCGTCTGCCCTTGAGAGGCGGCGGCGGCGCCGCCGCCGCCACAACCGCAGACATGTCAGAAGATAAGATGGAAGACCCCGAAAAACCGGACCTTTAATCGAACGGTGATGAAGTACATCAATTCGCATGCATAGTCAACTTGCTTTAATAGGCCGTTGACTAGGAGAAACATGTCCAATAATGGGCTTCTCAGTCCTAGGCCCAATTAGGGCCTCTATTTTCCACTCATGTCTAGAGCGCATAACATCGGTGGTATATGTGATAAATAAGATCACGAGGATCGTTCATTGAAGAATGAAAAGTCAACGCTTCTGAGCGGAGAACATGATGAAGGCGCGGTCCACATTGCAGGAGTAGTTGATCAGGCCGCACGACCTGCAGAGGTCCTCGATCTCCTCTTTCTTGAAGTAGGCGTATGTGTTAGAGGCCCCTATAGACTGCGTCCGATCCACCACAAAAGAGAATATGAGAGAGAGAGAGAGAGAGAGAGAGAGAGAGAGAGAGAGAGAGAGAGAGAGAGAGAGATGTGGGGTTTGACTTACCTGTCCGAGAGGGCCGAGGGGGGGCGGGGTGTTTAACCGGGTAGAAAGGAAGGTGGTGGCGACGAAGACGCCCCCACTTCTCAGGACGCGGTTGATCTCGGCGACCTGTGAAGAGGAGGAACTCCAGATAAGAATCATAAGGGTAAGTGGGTCCTCAGGTTCATGTTCATCAGAGTCAACGGGCCATCCAGTTGTCGGTTCGCAATTCCAGTTTTGGCAATTTTCTTGAATAGTTATCCATATGGGGCAGGGTTTTTCCGGAAGCGAGGGATCTAAGGTAGCTGCAATGGTGAGAGGGAGAAGGATTACCGCATTAGAAGGTGAAGGCCAGCAGTGGAGGGCCGCACCAGCATGAACAGCATCGATGGAACCCGATTCAAAGGGGAGCCTTGAGACATCCGCTCTAACAAGAGCGAGGTTCCTGAAAATTACATCCACATGTGGAACCACTAGAAGATTAACTAATAGTAGAGAGACATGCTCTCATGAGCATGAGCGAGAGAGAGAGAGAGAGAGAGAGAGAGAGAGAGAGAGAGAGAGAGAGAGAGAGAGAGAGAGAGAGAGAGAGAGAGAGAGAGAATATTTTTGAGGCTGAAGATTGAAAACATGGGCATAGGAGCTCTATTATCTTTCAAGAAATCCAGATATTGATAAACTGCTTCAACAATTTCATAAACCTGATGGCAGTGAACCCAATACTGATGATCTTTAATCATTATTTAATTTTTTGGGCAGATACTCTCATGTCCTCTTCCTAATATGAGATCCCTCACGAAAGCATTTTTCATCAAGGCATAAAGTCAACTGACAAGTGGGTTCCTTTACTTGCATAGGATTTGATCTAACGAGACAATATGTTTAGGATTTATGGTTTCAGGTCTACAACGTTTTAGAGCCGATTTAGAGATGACCACAGGTTCAAGGTAATCATCTACAAAATTGACTAAAATGGAATACCAGAATTAGCTTACGCATTCAAGAGAGCATCATCTTTCGCAATGAACTCATAGCACTGGCGAAGCATGTTCTCAGAGAAGTCCAGTGCAATGACTCCGGAGAAAGTCCCGGAGCTGGCGAATTTTCTGGAAAACAGGCCACTCCCACAGCTTACATCTAATAGAAGCCCACCTGCTACAGGCTTGAAGTACTCCTGAGCCATTTTGAACTGCAGGGGTGAAACATTCTCAGTATAATACCACAGAGGATGAAGAAATATAGTAGTAATAATAATAATAATAGTAATAATAATAATCAGTAACGTCATGTGAATCCAGTCAACGAATATAAAACACGAGCCTATATAAATTAACTTATTTTGATTAATTAGGTATTTATTTTTGTATAATACCTCCTCATCAGGGCCAGGGAAGCCACTTCGAGCAAAATTCTGCCGCCATCCCCTCTCATAAAGAAATGAGACAAGTGGACTCCTGAAGAGGGAACAAATTAAACACACATGAGCGTATAATTATGAAGTCCCCAGATTTGCAGGTGTAATCAAGTTATGAATTGAACGGCAGAAAATAGAAATTCTAGTTATTTGTTGCCAAAGAAAATGCCCATCAGTCTGACAAAATCGGTCTTCTGCCTTCCGGAATCATAGTTGCAAGAAGCTTTACCGAATAAAGGTTCATATATTTTTTTTAAAAAACGAGCATTTCCTGATTGAATTTAATATTGTTACTTGAGATAGGACGCAGATATAAAACAATAGCCAGTCTTCCAAATTTAGAAATGATTCTTTTACCTCGTAGATGGGTGGGTCTTTTGGTATCCTGGAATTCAAATCATTTAAGCCGGTGAAGTCCTGTTTTACACATGGGTCTCTAGGTCCCCTGGAACCCCTTGAGGAATCAAACTACACATCCGAGGGAGGGTTCTGCGCATCTCTCTCTCTCTCTCTCTCTCTCTCTATCCCCTTTCTTTCTCCACTCGTTCTCGACCTCTTCTTGTTTGTGCGAGAAAACTCAAGCAAGGGCAAAGTGCCAAAGCCACAGAGGGCCTTCGAAACATTAGAGGAAACTTCACTCTTTTTGCAAAAGTAAACGCAGGCACACAAACAAGAAGAAACATGTACTACGTCACGGACCTGAACAGCTCAGTCCTTGAAGGCTTGAATTCAGTGTACTCCCTAGTCCCGGATGTGACGGTGAGATCCAGAAACGTATTCCTGCTTGAGAATGGCTTGTTGCACCTTTCACACTTGAAACCAGACCTGTAGATGGCCGACCTGATGAACCACACCAACGTTCAGATAGCCAAGCGAAGATAATAGGCATGCCAGAGAGGTTCAGAAATGAGGAGTTCTCACAGGTTTAGGCCTGAGGGCCCCTTCCTTATCAGTGGCTCATAGCAAATTGGGCACGCAAATATGTCGAATTCCGGACTAGCGTTGTCTTGCGCCCTTTCCTCCTGCAAAGGTGAAGTTTCTCGATTCAATATTGAAAACTCTGAAGATTAAGATGTGAAGGAACGACCGGAACAAATCTAAGACTAGCAGGCGTACTAAATCCTCCACAGTCACAGTGATCCGAGACCAGTCTCAGGAAGTAAAGCCCGATCCCTACCTTCTCAACAACGACCGCCGCGGCGTTGATCCGAAACCTTGCTGGTGAACGCAGCCTCCTCCCCTGGCGGAATCGAATCAGAAGCCCGGGATTGGCGGAGATCCTCCGCATGTCCCGCCCTTCCTGTTGAAGCCGAGAATGGGAGCAGAAGGACGCCGGAACCGTCGCGGAGGAAGCCATCGCCCCTTCCTCGATCCTTCGATCAATTTCCCCTCTCTCTACTCTTCGATCCTTCGATCTTCTGGAGATTCGGAAAACCCCGCCGCTCTTGATCCATCACCGTCTCCTTCGAAGCTTCTTCCCTCGCAGACGTGTGACATTCTGAGCTTCACGTCCTTCTCTACTTCCCGCCACAATAACCAGGGTTCATTTGTACCCATGGAATTTTTTATCTTAACGAGAGGCCAGGTGGCGGCGGCGGCCGCGGCGGCGATGAAGTACATCCATATGCACTGTAGTCAACTTGTATTAATGGGCCGTTGACTGGGAGTGACCTTTCCAATTATGGGCTTCTCAGTCATAGGCCCAGTAGAGCCAGGCCCGGCCCATAACACAAGGTTCGAGACAGCCCAACAAGGCTCTCTATGCTCCAAATCACAAGGATCAGTGATTGAGAATCATTCACAAAGGGTGATAAGTCAACACTTTTGAGCAAAGAACATGATGAGGGAGGAGTTGATAAGGCCGCACGATTTATAGAGGTTGTATAAGAAAGGTTAAAGTAAGATAAAAATGAGAGTGTTTATTTGACTGTGATCTTGAAGGAAGATCAAAAACGGTTTAATTACAAGTCAACCACTATTAAAGAATAAAATAAGAAACCTACTTGTTTCTTTTATAAGTATGATAGACACATGAAGAAGGATTATAGTAAGTATCATACTTAGCATATAAAGAAAGGTAACATTTTTACTTTGATTTATTCAGAGCTTAATTTTAATTATGTACTCTTACACACTTGCTAGATGGACTTTGGTGTTGTTATTCGCATGTATGTTTATACAAAATTATCTCTATTATCAAAAGTCAATTGATAATGAAAGATATATCTATATACATGATGACAATATATTAGAAGTGTAGTCAATAGTCACACTTAAGTTATTATTAAAGATTGCTCATCATTTGTATTTGATTGAGACTTATGTTATACTATCTTTTAGATAGAATTTGATTTTTATTTTTATTATAGACAAGTATGATTATGATTGTTTATTTAGAAGTATAAAATTCAATCTTTTTGATAAATCAAATCATATTAGTACTATCTTTTTATCAATTTTTCATAATATATATTTGCTTGATATCATAGTATCTTCTAATTAAATCATATTTATATGTTTTAAAGACTACAAAAAAAATTAATCAATAAGAACTATACTTTATTATGGGACAAAAGATTAGATCATATCTCTATAAAGAGAATTGATTAACTTGTGTTTGATGAAATTTTTAATTCACTTGATTATAAATTTTTTGACACATGTCAATTGTATCAAGAGAGAAAAGAAACAAATATAAGAAGAATAGACGTCAATCAAGTTTGAGATGTCTTAAAATTTATATGACTTCATAGAATGGTCAATAATATTTGTTACATTCATAGATAATTATTCTCGATATGGCCATTTGTATCTTATTTACAAGAGGTCTAAATCATTGGATATATTCTAAAAATAAAAAGACGAAGTTGAGAATCAACTTAAAAAGAATTAAGGCTATTAGTGATAGTAAAAAGTACAATAGATATGATAGATTAGGTGAAGAATATTAAGGACCTTTTGCTAAGTTCTTAGAAGAGTGTGGCATTATCCAAGAATACATTATGCCATAATCTCTTAAGATGAATGATGTTACTAAATAATGAAATATTAAACTTAAAGATATGATAGAGTATGATTAGTCAATATATTTTGTCAGAAAACCTCTAGGGAGAAATATTAAAATTGCATATTATTTATTTTAAAACCAACTAAAGCAACTATCAAAACTCCTAATGAGCTTTATATGTGCAATAAGCCTAATTTAAAATATTTATAAATTTGGGGTTGTTTAGTGAAGACAAGACTTTACAGACCTAGTGAAAGAAATTTAATTTCAAAAATATTGAGTTACTATTTTATTAGATACATTGAAATGTAATGAGGTACAAGTCATATGATCCCACTATTAAAGTTATCTTTGAGATAACAAATATGTTTCTTTGGGGATGTGTTGAATTTGCAAAGAAAGATATGGTTAGAGACATTACTTGAAGAGGGATATGTTGATATTCCTTCATTTTCTATTAACAAAAATCAAGATGACAATCAGCTTGGTGAACATTGATTAAGAAACAACTTCAGATCAAAATAATATCTCATACCTCTCATTTTGAAAGAATAAACTAAACACTCACAATTACCAATGTCATTAAGAAGATCTTCTAGAAATGGAGAAATATAATTTATGATGATTATATTGTATTTCTTCAAGAACTTGAGGTTAACATCAAAATGATAGAAGATGGTCCTATGTATTTTTATCAAGTGATTTAGAGTTTTAATTCTCATAAGTGGATACATGTAATGAATGAAGAGATTAAATTCATGAAAGATAATAAGGTTTGTGATCATATCCCATTGCATGAAGGTGCAATGCTCATTAATTATAAATGGACATTTAAAACTAAGAGAGATTCGAAGGATAATGTAGATAGATATAAAACATTTCTTGTCACTAAGGAATTCACTCAAAGAAAAAGCATAAATTATATAGAGACTTCTCTTTGGTTTCATTGAAAGACTATTTTAAAATAATAGTAACATTTATATGGATATTTAGTTATATTATATGGATGTAAATATCATATTTTTCAATGGTGACATTAATGAAATGATTTATATGTTGTAACTAGAAAACTATGTCTAAAGACTCAAAGAAAATGATATGCAAATAAGAGAAATTTATCTATGGGTTGAAGCATGATTTTTGCCAATGGTATCATAAATTTTATTAAATTATCATTACATTTGATTTCAAGATAAATATAACTGATGAATAGATATATCATAAGTTTAGTGAGAGTAAATATATTTTTCTAATTTTATATGTCAATGACATATTACTAGCCAACAATAATATAAATTTATTATGTGGCACCAAAGGCTTCTATTGAGAAATTTTGAGATGAATTATTGCAATGAAGTCTCTTTTGTATTGCATAGAGATATATCGAGATCACTTCCAAAATATCATTAAACCATTAAACTATCACAATAATCTATATTGAGAAGTCCTTGAGATATTTGACATAATGATTTAAACCATATGATACTTTGTAATTAAATGAGACAAGTTTAATCTCAATGTGTCATAATAATGATTATGAGACTGAAAAGATGCAGAAGATTTTCTATATACATCAACCATATGAAATCTTGTGTGCTAAAAAATGTATGTGTACATATATTGCATACATAATTAGAATATTAATCAAATATTTAAGCTATCTAATTGTAGATCACTTAAAGGCAATCAAAACGGCCATATGGTATTTACAAAAGATAAAGAACTACATGCTCACATTTAATAAATTAGATCAATTGGAGATCATTAGGTATTCTTATTCAAATTTTGTTATATGTACTAATAATAAAATATTCACTACTGATTATACTTTTAGGATGACTGAAGAAATTATATCATGGAAGAGTGTCACATGAATTAGGTATTATAATATGATTGAAGCATATACTCATAACTTATTCCATCATGCTAGTAGAGTTTATAGCTATGAGACATCCAATCATCAAATTTGGCTAAGAAATTTTGTCACATGAATTTAAATTCGTTATGGAATTAAAAGACTACTAAAGTTATTTTTGTGACAATAAGATAATACTTATTTTTCTAATAACAATAAGAGCTTGACAAAGTAATTTTAAATATAAATTAAGTTACTAATTGTTAAATAAATGATTCAAAGTGGTCAGGTGTCGATAAAACATATTGAAACAAACTTTATGGTAGTATATCTATTTACTAATGAATTATCACAAAAGGTCTTTCATGAGCATACTACTCATATAGATGTAATACATTATGAGGATATGTGATTTCAATGAGAGTTCATATTTTGATGTTCATAAGTTTATAGACACATGTTTTGAAAATTTCATGCATAAATAAAGTTTGACTATTCTCTCTTTAAGTGTTGATTGATCTCTATTTGAAATAAGGAAGACTAAGTTGGACATGTGTATATATGAATCATATTTTAATAAACATGACTATTACTGGGTTTAATTATATAATTTTTTTGACAAAAGTTACTTTAATTCTATAGTGATTTAATGATACAAAATAATGTTGGAGATGACTTTGGTAATGATAGTGATGTAGCTCATAAAGTTGAATGTACAATATCAAATTCTTATATATATTTTCTAAATAGTAGATAGTTAGAATTAATCTCAATGTGGACAGTTATATCTAACATATATATTATGTACCTATTATTGGGTTAATTCTATTTAAAGTGATTCACCAAAGTTTAAGATAATAGGCAAATTCTACATGTTAAGTATGGTATAATTTAGACAATTAGTATTTAATTTGATACAAAATGACATTTATTTATACATAAAATAGGTGAAACATAATTTATGATCCATATTCTAAATATATGTGTAATTGCGAATTTTTCGTATTTTCTATAACATGTATATTTATTTATATGCTTCACTTGAATAATAATTATAAATAAAATGTCATTTTATGCCTAAATTATGATTAAAATATTTTATAATGATTTAATACGTTAAAAATATATTTCCTCATTTTCAAGATTTTTTTGATTATTCTAAGATTTATTTCAAGTTTAAATGAGTATTTTAAAAGTTTTTCTATTTTCTCAGAATTTCCTATTAAATCCGAATTAACATCAGTGTTTTGACTAATGAATATTTAAATTATAAAATATAATTCATATGATTTTAATGATTTACTATGCATCTCTTAAGCCCTAAGTCAACTCATATATAAATGAGCCTAGATTTATCATATTGATTCCCTCTTATGCCTAATTTATTATATTTATTAGTTTAAGGGGTAATGGGCTTTATTTTAGTATTATGTTTCATGTCATATCAAGCCTATGGGTAAGCTGGACAGCCCATATTAATTAAGGAGGCCCAACAAGGAGTCATTTTCCCTCCGCTCAAATTAAGGAAACTGCCCACTTAAGGTGGGTAAATTTCTTCCTTAATTAGAGGGAGGGGTATGTGGCACCATCTGATCAGTCATGCCCCTTTCCCTAATTAGACTATCCTCTCCCTCAATCAGCCCAAATCCAAGGGCTGAGATGAGTCTTAGGGTGAGGGAAGGTGAGAGTACACCCTAGGCACTGCCCACCTTTCTTATGCTGCCTTTGGTGAGAAATCTAATTCAAGGGTTGTGCACCCTCCCCCATGATCCAAGGGCTTATAATGGACACGACCAAAGGGAGAATAAAAAGCCACATAGGAGAAAGAAGTACATTCTGCTTATAAGACAGTGATACTTAAGAGGGAAAATAGAATATGTCCACAAACTTCACTCCTTGAATTAATCTAAGAACATTAAGGATGGATTCATTTGACCACTCCAAATGGCATAGAAAAGGCATTTTTCATGTATTTATTTCTTTCATTATATATTAATTTTTATTTTGAATGAATGAGTTTTGTTTCTTATTGCATTCTCTTTTTCTTGAGACCCTCTTGGTGAAAAAGAGTTTATTTAATTGAAGAATAAGTAGGGATTCAATTATTTAATCTCTAGAGTGACACTACGTTGATCCTAAGATAGAATCTAATCTTTTTATCATTCTCTTGATTCTCTAGATGTATATAAATCTCTTGATTTATCAAGATTGATCACATTTCTAAGAGTGAGCAAAGTATGACAAATTTAAGGTACTTTATATTATTCTTTTGATCTTTCTCCTTCCATATTATTTTGGCCCTTTGATTCAACAAGTTGAGCATTTATTAGAAGTAGAGAGGGATAAGGAGAAATTAGGAAGTAGTGTAAGAGTAGACTAGTCTCTTTCAATCTTTCTATTGATTTTTTAAGTGACATAAGAAGATCTAAGAAGATTAGAATTTTTATTTACACATATTAAGGTTAAGGAATTTACAATCATTTCATATTTCACCATTTATTTTTCAACTAATTTTCTTTCTTTTAGTGATTAAAAATCATCAAAAAAAGATAAATTTATTCTCCTCGTTAATATGTTTAAGTCAACTCTCTTTTATCTCCTCACCTTATTCTTTATAAAAAATTCAATCGTGATTAGAAATTAAATCTCTTCTAATTTAAATAACTCACTTTGATTTGACTTGAATACTCCTTAAATTATACTCATTAGTATCACTAGGAAGACATCCAAACATTATACATTTTATTTTTGACACTCCTTAATTATGACATTTTGAAACGATTATATTACAACATATGTCATAAATATGAATGTAAATATAATTGTGTAGATATTTTTTTATTCTGATTTTATAATAAATTAAATTAAAAAAAAACAAAAAAATACCTTTTATATATAAATTAGGGGTCATGATCTTTGAGTTACACATCAAGAGTTGCCCTTAGAATATCTCATCTCTTTGAGAATGCCATTAGACAACTCCTATGTGCTGATCTGAAAGATCAACCCTACTCTTAGCACTTTATAAATTCACATGTCACTTCAGCGACAAACATGTGAGCCAACGAGGACTACTCATTCAATCGAAAGCAGTGGAAGTTTTTGCATCATAGTCAATTAATTATTGCAATATCTCATATAGATCGCACTCTCTGCTGGTCAACCTTCTTCATGGCAACCTGTAAATGTGAATGTCAATGGACCAAGCCAGCCCGCCATGGCCCATCTCTCTACTGGCCACCCATCATTTGCAACGCTCATTCTGAAGAAGGGTGTCTAGAGAGAGAGAGAGAGAGAGAGAGAGAGAGAGAGAGAGAGGGAGAGAGAGGAAGGGGGGCCCTTCTAAGGGGTCTATCCAAGTCTCATCTTATTGTTATCACGTGTGCATCGACGGGAAAACATTATACACGAAAAGCAGGATGAGAACTCCCAAGCATGGTCAATGGCTCCCGTTTCAAGCATTCCCAACTGGATCATATCCCAGTGCCCTCCACTCTTCGGCCATCTCATTCCCTCTGCATCCATGAGTACGCATGAACAAGAGACAAACACGTAGAGAGAGAGAGAGAGAGAGAGAGAGAGAGAGAGAGAGAGTATAGCGGATTAAGGGCGGAACCAAATAAAGGAAAGATCAAGGTCGTACCCTCCGGCGCTTAGGCTCCGGCTCCTCAGGCAGCTTGGAGCGGCGTGGGGAGGAGCTTGGATCCTGCATGCATGATCGGATGTGATTATAGCGTCAAAGAAAGATTTTTTTCCCCCATACTAAAGCCATGATACAATCAAGGGGAAGTTTTCTGTCACTTACTCGCCCTGAAGACGAGCTACCCCCTGCCTCTGATGCATTCTCAGATATAAATGGCATGAGTTGACGAACTAAGCTGGAGAAGAACAGCCCATCGCCGCCCACTCCCCCCTGGGCATCTTCCCCAAACGGAGTAACAGGATCTTGGGCGGCGCTGCCCTGTTCTCCCTCGGGAGCTTGTTCGCCATTAATGGGCGAGGTCACCTGTCCACTAGGAGGCGTGGAGGCTGCAGAGGGCCCTGGAGAGCAAGGGGTTGGAATGGAGGAGAGCATTAGGTCTGAGGATATGAAAATATTTCTATGTAGATCCCAGATACAGATGATAGAGAGAGAAGCTTCCATCCTCCCACAGAGAAGACCCGCACAGGACTGCTGTCTGATTTTGACTCAGGATAGGACACGAACTAAAGTCAAAAGCCATAAAAAAGTCTACCCTAGAGAGTCTCAGGTCATTAAGCACACCCACTAGTCAATTTCTTTGAAAGTCTTAACCCCTCCGCATTAGAATGAGGAGTCAGCCTCAGAAAGATAAGCTGCAGCATATTAGGCTAAGCACCGGCAGCTACAAAATCGTAGGCTGGAAAAGCCCAGAGTGTTGCGGAGGTCAATTCTTCACTAAAGTCAAACCCCCTAAAAATCAGAAAATCGAGGTCCACGACCAGCATTGTACTGGCAAGACAGAAAACCATGTGACGGACAGTACACGAATAGTAAAAGATCCAACGGAAATCAGACAACTGTTCTATGAACACTTCTTAACTGGATAAATGCAACTCTTCAAATAAAGTGGGTAAGAATATTTAATGAGGTTGCAACACAGAAACCAATAAACTTTGAATGGCCATTAATGTACTCAGAAGAATCTCATACTCCTGCCAAGCCAGCCACTTAATTTTTTGTCTCATCGTTTTTCACAATGATGATCATTTCCCACTATGCGCAGTTTGATCAATAATAAATTCAGGCGTTTAGTCTAAGTTTGGGACTTGGTTGGCTTGCTACCATTCTGCCGAAATCAACCAGTATAAATGGTATAAACCTACAAGCTACAAGGGTGAAAGGGCAACCCTTATTACCTCTGGTGATAGAATCCGGAGTTTGCGGCTGAGCTGTTGGTCTAAGGGACACCTGAGAAATCCTTGCGTCATCCAAGGTTCCTGGGATTCTTTGATGAAACCCTGCATAAAGAGGATAGAGCAATCCCACCGCACCGCCAGAAGAATCTGGTGGTGGAGGACGGGAGACTCCAGCGGGTACAGCAACCACAGTTCTCAGAGGCACCACTCTTGGCCCGGACTCTTGGGGAATAGATGCATTGGACAAAAGCCCTTGGAACACTTGGTGAGCTAAATTTTCTGCAGATGTCCTTGGCGGATCTGCTGTTCCGGATGGTTGCTCTTCAGTGGGTTGCCCGCTCACATTTTCTGCGGCTACAGGTACCGAAGGCCCTGACGATCATCAAACGAGGATAATATCCAGTGAGGCTTTGGTCCACGAACACTGATGGGAGTGGAAGTAGCTTGGACATCGGGGAAGAGGGAAGGGAAGAAGGTTGTCACACCTCTGTGTATCCTTATGTTAATATTCCCAGCCAAGAGACCAGAACCATGAGGCAAGCCACCAGGCTGCTGGTTGCCCATTGGGATTCCACCAAAGCTTGTTCCCGCCTGCCAGGGAAGAGGCTTGCAAGAGACGAGTCAACATACTGGGGAGGAGATTAGGGTAAAACGAGGGAGGAATTATGGTGAAACTATCTCACCTGAACCATCAGAGGAGTGGCCCCCGTTGATGACACAAAAATGGCCGGTCCAGCATTCACGACAGCTTCCGACTGCACAATGAGGTGTTATAGTTTCTCGTGCCAGTGAAACTAAATCGGGAAACTGAATATGAATCATTAAAATGAACTCACTGGTGTTTGACCCATACGTAATGTCATAACTGTCCGACCAAGCTCGAGGAACAAAGAACCAAAATTTTGAAACAAAGTTCCATATCTTACTGCCCTAGATTGGATCATTGATCGTGCCAATGGATCAGTGACATTGGCCTGGTCCTCCAATTCTTTTGCAAGTTCCTGCTCATTAGTAGACCACTATCAAGAAAAAAAATCTTGATCACACGAAATATGCAGTAAAATTCATAAATTTACCATGAAAATTAATCGATGAAGTAGCAATTCTAGTTGTATGAGAAATCTGAAGTTTGTCTTTTAAAAACGAACAGAAATATTTCAGTCTGAAATCAAGATCCGATCTATCATAGCAAGTGATTCCAGAAGCCTTTCTACTCATCTTTTGATTCTCAAATAACAAATTACGCAGGGGAATTTACCATTCTTGGTTTCGGTTCCACTATCAAACAAGGACAAATATGAAGGAAAAAAAAAGCTACTTCATTAGAAACGGTACTCCATATCACCATGATGGATGTATCTACCAATAGAGAACGAGCTGTTCGTCAAAAGATAGGAGTTGGGCATATTGTCGCCATGAGACTAAAGCAACAATGTGCCTGTCAGAAGGGATCCTATCCCAAATTTGGTTCCAGAAGCTGCACCAGACATGGTTGTGGGCAATGCAAAAGTGGATGTAAAGGGGGACACCGTAATATGATCCATTGACATGCATCCACAGTGGAAACCTTTAGTTCTCAAAAAACACAGAAGATCAATTAGCACGGTCTTATTCCTCAATCAAGGAAGAAAATTATCAAAAACTAATCTTGATGGAAAAGACGAATGCAGTGAGCCCAGATCTAGGTGAAACGGAAGAGTTAGAAAAAAGAGAGATCTTTCATAACTGGAAAAGTCCTAGACAGGAAAAGTATTTTATCAAAACGTTCATTTTTTTCCTCTTTTAGAAAGTGAGAAAGAAATCAGTTCTGAGTGGTGGGATCTAGATTTGGGGCTTGGACTGGCATAATAAAGAAGCGAGGGAAGGTATACTTCCATAGGTATCCTCTTTCAAGCATATTATTTGTTTGATAAGAACCTTTGAAAAATGTCAAAGTGCACTCAACTCTGCGGCAATGAAGAAAGCAGAAATTTAGAAGTAAGACTTAACTGAATTACAATGCTAAAACATTTAAAGGTAATGCACGGTTTGAATAAAATCTTTAAAAATGGGTCGAAATGGATCTGACTTTGATTTTACATCTAATATGTTCAATATGTTACTAATTCAAACAACCTTAATCAATCAAGGCCGTAAGCAACACATACATATCTCGATAGTCCTCAAAAGAAATTGTACGGTCAATTCTATTAAACAGTGGGCAATACTGTTCAGTCATGGGCACAAAGATATATGCCGAAAATGAGTAGGCCAGACTAGCACTAAGCCATATCATCACTCGGTATTGTTGGGCTAGTTACACTTATTGAAAAATTTGATAGGTAGATTTTCTATTTCATACACAACTGAATCTATTTTTTGAAGTCACCACAAGCATACACAGCATTTGAAAGATCCTTCTATGGCACACCACATGGCTTTCTGAAGTCGAGCCAAAAACATACCCTGATAAATTGACATCATAACGCCAAGCAGGCTGAAATATGTACACCATAGTAGTCTTACTGCTTTACCAATTGAATAAGTTTTTGAATGTTAAGAGTCGATCATAAGCACAAGGCAGAAAGATCCTATTTACAGCCCAAAGCGCATGGTTTTTAAAATAAATTTTACGTATTCAAATCATTGCCATCATGTGTACAAAAAACATTATCTCTCTTGGCGGGATAGTCTTGAAGTACTGAAAAAAATAATTTGGTAACAGGAAGAAGAGAATATTTGAACCCTCAGAAACAAAAGAAAGTACGCAAGGTAGAAGGAACGAGAACCATCTCTAATGAATTAAGGCATAATATAAAAACTCGAAGAAATGAAGAAATAGGTGGTCAATCAGTTTATGCATACGTAAAAGCATTCTCCAACTCGTTCTGTGAACAGCTGCCTCGTAGAGAGGAGAATTTCTGCCAAGCACGCAGGCGTGGGCAGACCTCTTTGCTCTGGGGATAAATTAAAAGGTGAGGCATCATTGTGTCCACCGACATGCTGTGTCCTTCCTCCTTCAGCCCTGGCACTATGCTGTCTGTCAGCATCACCTAGCAGATGGTCTGATGAAAAGAAGTCACTGGTCACTGATATGACATCCAGCTTCATAAGCGGTCTAAACTTTAAAAAGAAACTGACCTCTGATATCAAATTGATGCCTCACATGACTTAAAAATTGAGATAAAGTAGTCAAAGAATCAGGAATGACCTGAAAGAAGATCAAATTGATAGCTACTGATAGAAGTCATAAATAGGTGATAACAGAGGGAAAATGTAAAGCATAGTAACCAAATGGATTGAGAGAACAGCGAACTACCGTTGGATGCTGCTGCCCCAAATAATGGACACTTTGAGGTCCAAAAGCACTCTGATGAGGGCTGATTTCAGCCCTCCCAACACCCAGGCTGGCTTCAGACTGGGCAGTTGCTGAAACACCACTTCCGGCTGTTCTCTCCGATCTGCCATAGTTCACATCCTGCCAGAAGAATTCCTTTATTTAAAACCAAACGTTCACCAATAATAAATATCAGATTCAAATTACCGAATATTCTCATCATATTTGTAAATACCCTGGAATCTAGCCTTTCACTAGCCATTCCAATATTGGTGAGTCCAAGAGAATTGAATAAAGCTGAGAAGACCTGCCAACATAGAACAATGAAACAAATGAGAAGAACAGTAGAAACTATCACCGAAAAATTAATGAAGCAAAGTTTCATGTTTATGTTGAAATATATTGTTGAATACTAATAAGTAGCATTAAAGACTTCGAAAATAGGAAACGATACACAGGACAACCTCCCCTGAAGCCAGCTATCCTAGGGGGTAAGATAGTATATTTTATTCCGTAACAAGGAACATAAGCAAGGAAATGAATACAAATGCCCTAGAAGTTCTCTTAGACAGCCTAACCTGATTAAAATCCGAAGTACCAGCATCCCCTGGATCAGCTAAGTTGACTGCCCCAAGCACCACGTTGTGCCCCAGTGGATTGTGCATGGGATTCAAACCAGAATTGGAACCTGCATATCATGCTATTCGAGCATTAGGATAAGCTAGCTAACATAAACAATGATGCCCCAGAAAGAGAAGCATATAGAAACTCTTTCTTTTTTCCCCAAAAGGAGAAATACTGAAGCTGAAAGAAAAAACGCATTAGAGTATGATATGACAAACAAGTCAGCATAACGCAGCAAACAACGTTATCAGAAATTTTTTAAAAAATAAAAAGAATCTAATGTACCAAAATATTAGGATAACACGAACGGGAAACATGATGGGATGGACATTTGTCACCACTTAGTCTTGCAGAAAGATTCAAGCAACCAACTTCCAATTAGTGAATTCTCTAAGAGTCTATGCCAGGGTAATATAAAATCAATTCAATCAGCAGCAGAAGCGTGGAGGATTAAACCAGGTGGATGCCATGCATATGAAAAGAGGTTCATATGCATCAGGACTGGGTGATCAGACTGGGATCTAGTACAATTTCCGGTGCATTGAAAAAGAAGCCAATTAGAATTTTAGAAATTAAGAATGACTGATGGGAATTTATCTTATTAGACTTGAAAAATCATTTGTAAAATTTGAAACTATTTATGATATATTGCTTCTCCTTAAGTCTGGCTGGTCAAACGGAAGGAAAAGAGAAAGGGGGAGAGAAGAAGTATAAAAAGAAGAAACTGTCAGACAAGCTAGGATTTCGTTGTGTGTATTTCCTTATGTAGAGCCGCTCTTCTATTTGGGCCCTTATGTAAGTCAGTTATGGACTACTTAATGGGCTCCTTTGTTTCGTCAAAATAAGAGGGTGGGTTTGGTCTACTATAGATGTAACCGGTATTTAAACAGGTGTAGAGGTTAATTGAAGAATGACTTTTCGGAAATCTACACTAAAGGGATTTCTGGGTGGCTACAGTGAGAGAGGGGAGGGTGAAGACCTGAACAAGAAGATCGAGATCCTAGTTTGACAGAAATTATAAAGAAAAGGAGGCAGACAAATAGAAGAAAAGAATGCTACATATAGAGAAGAGCTGCAGCGGATGATATTGGTGCTTCAGCTGCTGCTGCCACCAATTTCAGCAACAAGGAGTCAAATCATGGTTCTTCACTTTCTTTGCCTTTTTCCTTTACATTTTTTCTCCTTTTTTCCCTTTGATTTCTCAGTTTTTTCAACTAACTGGTCTCTTCTCATTCGACACACTTTTTACTTTTCAATTTAGTTCCGCAGGATATTCTTATAGACTACTCCCTACATCAATTTTCAAGCTGGCAGTATAATTATTCGATGATCGGGTCAGGTATCATCAGTTTTTTTATCAGTTCAGTATACACATGATTCAGAAGAAAAAGAAAACATCTCTTTTTTGTAGTGTAATCAACTAACCTCTTCCTCCAGATGCTAAACAACTTGCCTCTGCCTTTGAGGCATAGGTAACCACGCAAAAGGAAAAATTTGTATCCCATTACTTTCTTGGGAGCTTTAGGTCACCTATGATCTCTGTCATCTACGAGATAAAACTGTATTCGTGTGCCTTACCATAGCAAGTCTGTTAAATGTGATTTTCTCCACTGACCACCACGAGAAGAAGATACCATCATCACTCTCATTGAACCCAAGTATAAAATGTCTACTATATCCAAACCATCAAAAGTCATCTTTAGCCATATCCAATGTACAGACAACACCCGTCATGATGGCAACCAGGAGTGATCTCAGCACTGACACTCCCCTGACTAATGGAGGCATTGAGGTACACAATCTTGTTGGTGTTTTCCACCATTGCAAGCAGCTATCATAACCTTCTTCAAAGGGTACCTCCTGGAGATGTAACCCACCCTGCTACTTAAATGACAGATGAATGGGGGATCACAAAGAACCACCGAATGCTTGCACCAATGATCGAAGAAGAAAAGGTCCACCTCTCACCTGACCTCCTATTAAGTGCTCTTTCTCTCTCTCTCCCCCCCTCCTTTTCTTTGGTCATTTACTAGCCAAATTGTCCCTAACGTGGTTATTTTCAAGCAAAGTGAGCCGTATCAAGAAATCGAATTATGTTTTGCTCACGAGCTTTTTGAAGGTGGTCACATAAATAATCCACTTCATCCACATTTCTTCGATATTGAATCTGCACATTACTCAGTCAACAAATGTCATATGGCCATACTATTGACAATATGGTGCCTCGTGAGAATTGGAAAATGAAACAAAACAAGGAGCGTCGGTCAACAAATTTATGTAAACGTATAGATACAGACAACAATGTATAGGTCTAGGAATGTATATGCACGTAAACATGTCTGGGAAAAAGTTAAACCTGGATGACTGGGTATATCATCAAGTCGCATGGAGCTAGGTATTGTTTGTGACTGTGGCTGTCTGACAACTAGGTGCAATGTGTGACCATCTTCCACATCTAGACATCTTCCATTAAGGCAACAATACACCCGGATTCGAAAATTGGATCAAAAATGTCACACAGAATTAGAAACATTCCATGTACGAAGAAATCAGTAAATATCTTGAGTATCTACAGGAATTAGAAAAATGAACTGTGCCAGTAAAAGTTAGCAAAAATAACTATTTCCTCATTTTCAAAACAAAATTTGAAATCAAATTTACACGAAAATAGCTGATCAATCAAAGTTACATACAAACACTATAAAAAATTTGTCTTTTAACCAGCATTATGCCATCCGAAACACTAAAAAATCGTCAAAAGTTTATTAAGCCACCATCATTCAAGCACAGTTTATCAACCAAGAACTGCCTTTGAAAGGAAAAAAAAAAAAGAGTGCTCAAACACTAAAACGGCTTTACCAGAACAATGTGAAAAGAGTTCCAAAGATCACTTGAAAATAATGCTATAGAGAATGTGGAAAAAAAATCGTCAAATATGGGTCATATAGGATGATGGTTCCGAAAAATGAGCAAGAGAGAAAACAAAGCAATCCTACCCAGCAAAGCTGACACCACAGACATAAGCAAGATTATTCGTAATATCTGGCTTAAGACATCATCAGGGATCATTATCATCATATCCCACAGCTTTTAAAACTTAAAGCTGCAGATAATAATCTCACTTACCCAGCCCCTGAAAAACAACGTGTTCAAAAAAGAATTCCTAAAATTTACTCGAATGCAGAATCTCTCATAATCAACCAATATATGATTTTATTCTGATAAAACCATCAGTAATGATCTCTCAAGAAGAAAAAGTCCTTTATTATGACCGTGGCTAAAAAATGATCAAAACCAACTTACTTTGCCCCTCACTTTTATGCTATCAGATTTTTGACCTCATATAGACAGAGATATCATCAAGCGTTAAATACTCTGTTAATAATGAAGGCAATCTGTTGATCGATAAATTACTAACTGTAAATGATTACCCTAGAATCACAGGTCCTGAAGCATTCATACAAACAACTAAAAGTCTATGTTTTTCTCTGTTGCAATGGAAAAAAAAAAAATGTCTATCGTAGTTTATAGTAGGGTTATTAAAATCTCCACTGTAATCAGGTGGAAAAAAATTAAAAATTTGCAGCCTCAATACCGTTTGCGAAGGAATAAATATGGTTAAAAAATCGAAGGATACGGTAAGCTGAAAGTAGCTGATCATCCTTTAACACCTTTCCCCGACAAATGAGGCGTTGTTGCCCTGATAATATCCCAGTTAAATTAGCAATTTGTTCCTTCAGGGCAGGGACTGGCACCTGCACGAGGAGAAACGGAATAATACATGATTAATGCTATGTGCATAACGGAATAATCATTATATAAAGAGAAACGGACAGCCACAACTGTTCATGATTAATGCTAAAATATGAAAATACAATATACAATTAATCAGACACGTAAAATATTAAACTATTCATAGTCCAAGAACAGATAGTGATGCAGAAGATGCGGTGTTGATAATCTTGAATGTAAGACTGTCATGAACTGCTTTCGTGCACAGGTCAGAATGAAAAAGGAAAAAAACGGCAAGAACTCATGCAATCAAGATCTCAGACACTGTCATAATTGAGTCTACAAATCTACAAATCATAGTCTCACACTGGATTGACAAGGACAAAACCATGGAGATGAAGAAAAACCCATACACCTGTTTTCCAATAGTCAGTCCATTCTTCAAGTGTTACAAATTGAAACAAAATCAAATAAGTATGCCTCAAACATACAACTTTTATGTCCACAAGGACTTCAGAATAGAAGTTTCTTTATTTTGAATAGAAAAAATGCATCAAGCCTCTTTCGGTTCCAGAACAATTTGTCTTAACATCATATAAGCCCAAGTGATTACAAATCTAATAGCAGATTAAACAAAAACGCGACAAAACCTTTTAACGACTTTTATTTATCACTTCTACCCGAACCAGCTTCACCCCTGCAAAATTCTTCACCCCTCTGTCATAGAGAGTCATGCAGATATGAAAGTAAAAGGCAGATTGATGGTATAAAAATGCTCAATATCCTATTTCTGAATATTCTATTAATCATTATGGCCAACTGCCTCATGGTATAACATGTAAAAACTTTCTGAGAATTTATCATCATACGTTAAATATCAGCTCTAATGTTGTTGAAGGCCACCTCTATTTTAGGTAAACAGATCTGGGGATCTTGCTAACAGCAAGTATCATCCCACAGTGCTCAATGATCTAATATGTTCTCTTATGTTTCTGTATGTCAAAAGTTCATTTATCTTCCACTGGTGTTTCAGTCTTCTCGAAGGGTAATCCTCAATTACAACGTTACAGGTACAAATATTGATTTTCTTAGCTTCCACATCAACTGAGGTCTGTAATCAACAGATTAAACTAAAAAATTTCAAACTAGAGGAAAAAGCAAGATTAAAATGCAAACCGATAATCTAGAGATATTAAATGGACGAAATAGACATCCTTAAAGGGAAAAATCCTGAAAACTCTAGAATGCTTGGCATGAAGATGACAAGTTGTTCAGCTTCTATCACGGATCAGGAGAAAATCTGCATGCATATTTCAGGAAAGACGTGGTGAAGATTACACTGGTATGATAATAGATTCTAAGGTTTCAATGAGAGGAATATGACTGCAATTGATTTGTGCATTGTGGTGGTTGGAAAAAGGGAGCTACAAACATGGATTCTTTTTGAGTGGTAGGCACTGATGCCAGGAGGTTGGGATAGAAAATTGTTTCGAGAAATTAGAAAGGTGTCTGGCATCCAAGTGAAGTAAAGCTGCCAAAAAATACAGACATGCAATGACCAGTCTTACCCAGTGCACACACGTTGAGTGCCTATCATCCAGTCTCACCCAGTGCCCTCAGAGTAACATGAAATGACCAAAATGTAGTGAGGCAAAAACAGCAACACACAAATACTACAGCTAGAAAAGCGGCCAATGTCCCCTCCTCACATATTGGGCTGGTATTTTATTAAGAAAAATAAAACATAGCAGAATAAGAATCCTACTCGTCATATTTTCAAACATTGAAGTTCACCCCCTATCTCCATTACATTAAACTATGAAGATACAATAATACGACTTCATTGACCATCAATCGCACACTTTTGAAGATTTCTTGGAATTTCGTGTCATTGCTTTCCCTATAATGGGCCATTGGTTGACTCAATGGCAAGTATCACTTTTAACATCTTCCCACAACGTTCCATCAAACAAAATTTGCTCGTCTCCATAAACATTAAATGACGTCCCACTACTTTTTAAAATCAAATAGCACAGGACGTGGCTCAGTCTATCATGTTTGCAGATTGTGCCATAACTTTCTTTCGTAAAAGAGTTAAGTCTCAACATATGACATTAAATAATTAGAAGACTAGTAGAGAGATAATCAGGAATGATATTTAGGCAAACCCTCGATTGAAAACCTTCAAGCAGAAATATCGAAATGACTTCCCAAGGTCAATGCAGGTTCTTCTTCCATCCCTTCCCTCAAAAAGACAGGTGACATGTAGCAGCAGAGGGAAAAGAGCGATGGAGCAGCGAAAAGGTAAGCAACATGCGAAAAGAGACACCAACGATGTATAGGTAAGCGTAACTGAGTGTCATATTTGATTTTGGCGTAAAACGATGTCATTAAAAAATTATCTTCATAAGTAACTTATGGCTCTTTTGAAAGGGCACTAAGAAGGCCATAATACCTTTTTTCCTTTCAGAGGTGAAGATAAATATTGTAATTCTTATTTAATTTCGTCAAATAAATAGCACCCACAGGCATTGTTTACCCATCAAAAGAAAAACCCTGAAATTTATGTGGCAACAATTCAAACAGTGGATACCATGGTGATGAATGAATAGGCAAGAAAACCAATCATGTAAAACAGATATATAAGGACTGAGGGAATAAAATTTCAGAAAAATCCAGAACAGCTACAATATTAATGCTGTTGTCAGGAATTTGAAGAAAACCAAAACTTACATATTTATTAACCCGTAGAGTATATGTCTGCGAGTCCAAAGTTTTTACATTTATCTCAACAGTTGACTCTGGAAATTCCTCGGTTGTCCCAGAAACACCAACTTCATTGGCATTGGTAGTTTCCATCACGCCCAGATTAAAACCTGGAAGAAGTAGACCATCAATGACATAAAGAAGTGCTAGATAATTTTTTTTTGGAAAAGCTTCTCAAAACGAAGCATTTTTTAAAAGTTATTTTTAAAAAATAAGCCTCTAAATGGGAGAATGACAATCTAATATTCTATTTTCAGATGGATATCGTTTCCAATCAGCAAGAAGTGCCATTGGGACAGTATCTTCCATTGATTCTATGTGCATTACGAGCTTCTGGAACTAGACATTCCCAGATCCCTTACCACCCTAAGTTCCTGGATGGTTTGAAACTCATGAAGCCAATTGCTGTAGCCAGGTGTTTGACATCCAGGGAAGGTTTTCAAAAAGCTAACCCCAAAGTAATTGCTATAAGTTAATGCAAATCAAAAGCATTAATGTGAGACAACCAGGAATAGGCTTTATATCTCAAGGAACAGCCAAGATGATAACAGCACAAGTGAAAAAACTGTTCAGGACAAGGACTGTGATCGAAAACACCATGCATATATAATGATAAAAAATGACGAGGTCACTGCAAACTCTCCAGGTGTTTCAATACATAGTGTACGCAATACTTTTCAACAAAGAGAGGAAGATAGTAATACCATTTATGCATGCTCAAAGAAAAACAGAAAAAAAATCTAAAAAATTGACTACACTACCTCGCACCACACAATTGACGAAGGATCCAGTTCGTGAGAAACAAGCAGTACAAGTTCAAGCAATAGTCACTCAATAATGAACGGGGACAAAAGGGTAAGAGCCACTCGAAAACAACTGGCCTGAGTGTTTTTTTCCCTACTAATTTTGAAATACATCTTAAGAGAAAAGCAGCAGATCTTGGCTTGATAATCATCAATGTCCTCCATAGATAGGATAAAAGAACTAGTGGAATGAACGAATATGTGCTGGGAAGTTTATGCCTTTATCTAAAAGACTGTCAGTCGGAGTCACCACTTCTCTAGATCCAGGTCTGAAGAAGGTTGCCTAAGTCTCCAACAAGAACTTTCATCAAGAGAAAACAGATATAGATCCATATTTGGAAAAAAATATGCGGCACAGGATAATGGTCAAAAGATACTTCAAAAGGTAGATCATGCAAATCTGAGGTGTAGAAAGGCCATCAACTTCCAACAACAACTTCCTTGATAAGAAAAAAAATATAAAAATATTAATTTTCAAAATTCAGACAGGACGATATCGTATTTTACTAGTAAAAAATTCAGTCCCTAACACTTGAAGGAATCTGCATTTTCCGAATAAAACAGATTATGGCAAAATCATTTCATGTTGGACGTTTAATTGGAGAGTCAATGCAAACATAAATCTATTACCAACAGAGATTTCCCAAAACAAGGAACCCCAACAATGAACCCAAAGACTACCAAAGACACGACGTGAGTATAGTTCTCCTGACAGAAACTTGGGTTCATTGAAATAATTTCGTTTAGAATAGCAGGTCCAGTTTCTAACGAGAGAATGAAGCATCATAGTTATACTAAGCCTAAACATCAAAGAAATTCGGCAAAAAGAAAATAAAATAAAAAAATACCAACACTACACCAGACGTCAGTGATGCTACTGGAATCAGAATCGCGGAAAAAATCGAAAAATACCAACACCGATTACCTGATCATAAAAAGGAGAGTCGATTCACGAATCTTGACGCGGAAATGCCCGATTTCCGGAAAGAAAAAGGCTCCGGCAGCAAGAACAACAAGGAAGCACGACCCTTCTTAAATCCATCGCTCTATCAAAAAAACCCAATAAGTCTAACCACGGACAACCCAAGCAACAAAAGAGAAGAAGAAAATTCTGTAAGGGCACAGTACGCCATGGGCAACGCAACCAGAAGTACAGTTAAAGGAAGAAAACATCTAACCCCGTGCATAACAAACGGTACAGATAAAAACCTAACGCTTCTCATGACTACCAGATTCTAATCGTCGAGCAAGCATCAAGGGGCAATAATTCGAACAAGCCGTACTCCAGAGTGTGGCATAGAAATCCAAATTACCTGAGCTGTTGGACGCGTCTCCACGGCGGGAGACGAGCAGAACAAATCTAGAAGCGGAGGGGGGAAAAGAGGCGCGGAATGGAAGATCAAGTAGAAAAGTAGGCCCGGATACACTCTTCTGTCAGCCTTCCTTCCGCTCATCCCCCTTCCCCGAAAGGAGCGACAATTTTCTTCGATTTAGGAATTTATTGCCGAAATTCGTTTATTCTCCCATTTTTCTTTTCCCTGGTGTGCATTGTCAACGGACAGGCCCAATAAGGAAATATCCGGACCCGGACTTCACTCCGTGGCCCAATAATGGTTTCTACTCTTTCGAAATACTCTCGTTGAACCGCGTTGCCCCGAAAATTGGACCGGGCCGGTTTCCACGGACCGGGTCCCGCACTAAAAACCCCTCTCTCTCTCTCTCTCTCTCTCTCTCTCTACTCAAATATTGTATAATAATATTATTCGTGATATATTTTCATCAAAATAAAAATCCAACAAAATAAAAATCCAACGTTTCCGTATCAACATTATTTTACATTTATTAATATATCTGTCTCAAATAATAATTAATATTCTGGCTATATATATACCATAAAAGGAAACTTCTCGAAAGAAAGGAGGGTCCAGAAATTATTCATTACCCTGGCGAGAGTGGGAATCTCCAGAAAGTTGATGCAAACATGTATATTTATCGTGCACAACAGCACGTAAGGAGATGAGTGGGTAGTCGTCACGTATAAGGGGATTTGGAGGGGGGAGAGAGAGAGTGTGAGAACGAGAGGGAGAGGGGGAGAGAGGGGGAGAGAGAGAGTTATAAGTTTATGGTCCCGTGGAGATCAAAATCCAATATTGACGGAGAACGAGCTGAACAGTCGCAAGATTTGTATCCCGTAGAAAAAACAATGGGATAGAGAGACACAGAATTTAAAGTTTGTCATCCCGCGGAGGATCAAAATCCCATACTGACTGCGAAAGGCTGCAAGTTTGTGATTGCTGGGGGCAGGCTTTGTCGCTTAAAGGGGATGTAGAGAGAGAGAGAGAGAGAGAGAGAGAGAGAGGGAGGGATAATCCGCAGGAGATTGAATAGCATTCCACAGAGAGAAAGCAGGGGTGGCTTCTGTGATCCCATTGAGAAATCTGAAGAGGTCACTTGATCCCATGGAGACAGTGCGGTAGGAGAGCTCTCAATCTTCAGGAAGGGAGGGAGAGACGCATAAACATACAGAAAAAGACAGAGACAGAGAAATAGGATGGTACAGAGATAGAGAGAGAGAGAGAAGGAGAGAGAGACAGGGACAGTTCGGGAGAGGAGAGATGTAGGAGGAGGAAGAGAACAGACATTCACTTGCGCGCTCCGTATCTCACCCAGCGGCACATCGGCTCCGGGGACCGGTGAGTTGCTCCGGCGGGACCGCCATGTCTCGCGGCAAGATCTCCATCGTGCCCACGGTGGGCAGTTGGAAGGAGAGCCAAGTGCCGTCGCCATGCAAACGTCTGGGAGACATGAGAGGGGACTGAGAAAACGATGGCGATGGAGACCCTTTGCCAGTAGTTGAATGTTAGCGAAGGGCAGGAACGAACGGAGGATGGATGGGAACTGGGAACAAGAAGAGCTCGTCAATCTCTTATATGATAGGTATTTGATCTCAGTTTTTGACTACTTTTAGGATCTGTCACCCTTTGACCGAGGCACCCATCTCCTTCTCCAAGCCTCTTCTTCACTTTTGACCATCGCAGATGTCCCTCACGTGGCTATCTGTCACTCTTTGACTCTAGACCACCACTAGGCGTCTCTCACGTCGATCCGGGCTGACGGTCTCGTCGGCTCACCGTATCGGTTACTTGTTACCCTTCGGATAGTGCTGACACCTGACGTCCTTCAGTCACCTCTTTCTTAGACTTAAAAAACTCCCAAGGGTGATTGATTTCCTTTCTCAAGGGCTACGTTGTTGACTTCTTTGGCCCTTGTTAAGAATAGCTCTGCCTTATTACTACATAAGTAAAGCTTTACTCAGATTTAATCACTTTTAAGAAAAGTCAAAGCTGGCCTACGTATGGACTATTACGCGGTTATGGTCTTAGTCAAAAGGTTGCTCACTCCTGAATAATTCTCTAAATTACCCACTATCCCACCTCGTAACTTACGTGTCAATAAGACTGCACCTAACCTGACGATATCTTCTCTCTCAAACGATCTCCAGCCGATTACTGCGTGATGCGGTGAACTATATTCACTATGGTCTCTGCCTGCGCATTAACGAGCTGTTCCTGCACCAGCAGTGGTCCTCGCGGGATTCAGAAGGCGAGATAAGATCCCACACGTCACTTGTTCGAGCGTACCTTGATTGATCTATGGGAGAAGGGACTGTTTTCGACACATTAAATGCGAGGTAGATGGATGTTTCCGACACCAGATGGGCGTTGAGAACGAGGAGAGATTGACAGGCTTCGCGGAGATCCGACGAAGATTTCGTTTCTGGGACTTTATTCTATGAACTTTAGTGTATAAATGTCTGTTTGGTAAGTTTACATGGGCTGATTAGAATAATCCGGGGCTATGAAGGATACTTCAGGGTCAGCCGCTGCTCTGGGTCAACGGCTACTTGCGTAGAAATTTATGACGGGGGAATCTCTCGGATGCGGTCCCTCCCGTGGCAGCCCTCGTTGATTACAAGGAAGGTATATCCTCTCTTCGGCGCTGAATTCCTGAATCAAGATTAAGGGCTCCTGGTTACAATATGATGGTAAACGAAGTTGGGTGAGACAGTGAAGCTGCGTGGCGCCGTTTTTATCCGTCTGATCAGATTTTCGAGCTTCCTCCGACGTCGATCTCACGTTTCTTTGAGACGGAATTTAATGGCGGCCGCCGGAAGGTGGGGAGAGGTCGGCGGCGGTATCGCCGGGGGAGCAGCCGTCGTCAAGCCCAGGCAGGGTCACCACCCACCATGTCTTCTTGCCAGAGAAAGCGCAGACAGGCGGCGTGGGCAGCCGGCCGCCACGTGGACGCCCCAAGTCAACACGCCGCTTTCCGATGGAGGCCAGACGTGGACATCCACGTGGCCGGCCGGCGGGGGGACCAACTGGCCGGCAACCGGCAACATGCCCGCCCCTCCCGACCGCCGTCCGGCCGCTGTTTCCTGCATGGTGCAACGTAATAGTAGTACATAATCTCATTTACTCGCTCTTCCGAAGTAGGGGGAGAGGCCCCCGAAGGCACAGTAAAACAGTGAAAAATGTGAGAGATGATGATATATGATAGTATATGTTCTATGATTGTATATATAGCGGAAACGGGGGGATATTGAGAACATTGTCTCGATACCCCACATCCGCCTGGTGGAGTATTATTTGAGGAAGAAACTGAGAGGGAGCTCCCGCCATCTACTCTTTCCTTCTCCTTGGTCGCCTCTCTCTCGCCGGTGGACTCCTCCAGAATGAGGGCTCGGGTGTCAGCGTTGCTCCTCTTGCTGCTGCTGCTGCTGCTGCTGCTGTTGCTGCTGCCTCTAGACACCGCCGCGGGAAGAGGTACGATGACGGAAACCCTCACTATTCCTCCCATCACAGCCGTTTATTAGTGGATTTCTGGATGACTAAGATGGTCTACTCTCTCTCCCTCTCTCCCTCCCTCTCTCCCTCCCTCCCTCTCTCTCTCTCTCTCTCTCTCTCTCGCTAATCTGTCTATCTAGGGAATGGGATGGAAGAAGAGCCTTCGTCCGCCTTGGAGAGGAACCAGCAGGTGGGTTTCTTGTTTTCGGGACCCCTCATCTTGTTTTACTCTATTCTGGGGATCGAAAGCTGAAGGTATTCGGTCGGTTTCAGGATGACAGTGGGAGTGTGAGAGCAGGGAGAGCTCCGGTGGGAAGAACAGCTCTCCATTCAGGTATGATGAAGGAGAGTTAGAATTTTAGTTAGAATCCAACCGTAGATGGGAAAACTTTCATGAAGATTATTGCTTCTGATCATCCGAAACATGATCTCTCTCTCTCTCTCCCTCTCTCTCTCTCTCTCCCTCTCTCTCTCTCTCTCGCTCTCTCACTTGCTCAGAGTACTCACTTTATCCCTCTTATCGCGCAGGAAACAGTAGAAAACTTCTGACCCGGGCGCCACGAAAGGTTTGTCTTTTAGTCAGAACAATTAAAGTCAAACTGGCGTTCCGATTATTCCAGCACTGTAGTCGTCTTCATCCTCACGTTGATTTTCGTTATCTTCCACAGAGCGCCAGAAGTCAACGGGTACAAGAGGTCGCCGCCGTCCCTGTCGTCGCCGAGCACGACCCGCCGGCCGAGGAGATGGACCCCGGCGTCATGGACATAGAAGGGATGGACTATTCTCCGGCTACGAGGAAGCCCCCGATTCACAACTGATCTCTGCGAGCAGAGTACCGCCGAAAACGGTCTATAAACGATCGCAGACAGAGAATACAGATGTAGATAGATAGATAGAGAGAGAGAGAGAGAGAGAGAGAGAGAGAGAGAGAGAGAGAGAGAGAGGAGAGAGAGAAGATGGAGTTCATCACAGAAAATGGTGCACCTCCCTGTGCATAACTTACCCATTATGAATAGAGCCATCTCCTTCCTCAGTGAGCTGAGAGAGCTTTAAATATGTCTGAGACCAATAAATGATGAACACTGAAGAGAGAGACAGAGAGAGAGAGAGACAGAGGGAGATGGAGCACCTGGTGGGGGGCTTCAGGAGGAGGAAACTACGAAGTCGGGGTAATTGAATGGGTGGTCCTTGTCGACTCACATGTTCGCCGCTGAAGCGGCACGTGCGGCGGTCGGCCGGCAAGATCGACGGTGGGGACCGGGGTGGGGGGCGGCGAAGATATCTTCGGGATGATAGCTCCAGTGTCGTGGACAGTGAACCTCTCGTTAAACACGGCAGAGAGAGGTTGTCAACGTGCATGCTTTCGGAGCTAGCCAGCGAGATGGAGGGAGGGAGAGAGAGAGAGAGAGAGAGAGAGAATTCCCAGGTCAGCCTAAAGCCACGATCCGGCTGAAGGATAACTGCATAAACTATACACTTTTTTGGTTTTTCTTGACCCTTCGTGGCTTAATTGTAGAGAGATGCATAGATGAAGGCATGCATACACATATATACACAGAGAGAGAGCGAGAGAGAGAAGGGACCATAATCCACGATTCGGGGATCAATGGCTCCTTTGTTGCGAGCCAGCGACGGGAGTCATTGGTAAAGTCGTAGCATCTATGGTAGTCGTCGGGGAAGAAAACAGCGAGTCAACGGACAGATCCTCGTTAATCCAAAACTGTTCCAGCGGAACAGCTGAAATACTCCAATCTCAGTGGACCGCTTTTCCGAGGCCCGGACTGGCCCCAAACATCCCATTATTGGGCTGGACCATAGAACCTGTCGACAAGCCCAATCGTCATCCCATTATTGGGCCAGCCCACATAAATAGGCCCACAAGCCCAATAAGTTTTATAAACTGAATTTTAGGCCTCTAATTAACTAATTATGATGAACGACTCTGCTTGCCTCTTGTTAAGAGAAAAAGTTCAAACCGTACAAATGAAAGCCTACTTATGTAGACTACAGTTCTGAGCGATGTGAAGCTCAGAACTTCATGTCTATGGGGAAGCATTAAGGTACATGGGAGCTTCTGAATCTCTAGAAGATTGGAGGAACTTGAGAAGGAAGAGGCAGCGAAGTGGCGATGGCCTCCTATGCGACGGTTCTAGCCTCTGTCCGCTCACATTCGGGCTGCCAACCAGAAGATTAGGACCTACAAAGCATCTCCACCAATTGGGGGCTTCTGATTCACTTCTGCTAGGGGTGGAGGCTGCAGTCATCTGCCCATCTGAAGTGGGTAAGATAGAAGAAGAGAGGGGAGAGATCAAAGAAAATCAAATTCAATTGCCTTAGATCTAAGATAATAATAAGTACATGCTTGATGAATCACTTTCTCCAAAGGTGCATTCTTTCTCCTCCTTTCCTTTATGTATGCCCTTCTTTATTCTGAGGTAGCCCATGTGCATTGTTTGTGAAGCTCTTATTATTCCTTTAGTCTATTAGGAGTCCCCTATAATCTCACCTTCAGTTATTCCCTAGTTGAACTTAGGTCTTCTTCCTTCTAAAATGAGTGCATAGAGGCTTAACAATTCTCCCCATAATGAGTTTCACCTTGTCCTCAAAGTGATGTTGATTCCTATCAATATTCAAACTCTATGCTAGAGCATGACACCACTCTTTATTTCTGAGATCGCCATGTGATGAGGTTATCTGCAACATATGTGTAGTAACCCATAGTAGACTTCCGTTCGCCCTTGTCACCTGCATACGCAGCATCAAAATAGGCTTCAACATTGAGATGACCATGTCGCTGATAGATGAGTCATTTCATTGAGGCTCGCTTGATGCATGTTAGAACATGTAGAGCTCCCTTCTAATGAACTCATCGTGGTTCCTGCATGAATTAACTCAGAATACTAATTGTATACACGATGTTGGAATGAGTGATGGTGAGATATACACTAGCTTGCCCAATAATCGCTTGTACTGATTACCATCCTCAAGGAGTGAAGATGAAGTGTCCTAGAACTGCAAATGAACTTTTATAGGAGAAATCTATGACTTGCACCCAAGGAGTCAAGTCTCCTAAAACATGTTAAGGATATACTTCTATTGGGTCATGATGAGCTTTTTATCCTAGTATGCAAACTCAATCTCAAGAAAATATCTTAGAGTCCCCAAGTCACAAATGTTGAGGTACTACTACAAATAAGCTTTAGTAGAATAAATGCTAGCCTCATCACTCTTAGTCACAAGAATGTCGCTGACGTAGATCGTAAGAATAATTAGGCCACCCTAAATTTGAGCATAGTAAGATCCACAATGCATGACGAGAAGTCAAATGTGGTGAGAAGACTATTGAACTTGGCGAATCAAGTGTGTGGACTCTACTTGAGCCTGTAAATCACCTTTTGCAAGAAACACACCTTAGTGATTCTCTTTGACCTGCTCCTCGAGATCACTATAGAGAAATGTGTTAAAAATATGTAACTAGTGGAGAGACTATGCTTGATTTATGATGAGAGAAAGGAACACTAAGATAGAAGCGAGTCAGATGATAGGGGAGAACATCTTAGTATAGTCGATGCCATATGCCTAGGTGAAGTCACAAACAACCAAATGAGTCTTGTGACATATAATAGTGTCATCTAGATGGTATTTGAGTGTGAACACCCATTTATACGTGATGATATTGACGTTCGCCGAATAAAGAACTAGTTTCGAAGTCCCTCAAGATACTAAGACATCTACTTCCAAGTCCATGGTCACCTTTCACTCAGGTACCTATGTCGCCTCAACATGTGAGTGGAGAATCAACTCGGAGGCCACAGAAAGGGCAAAGGTACAAAAGGAGGGGGAAAGGTGATCTAGGAAATGATATGAGAGATAGGGTGTAGGGTACAAGCAAGCACATGTACCTATGCACATGGCAATGGAAAGATGAAGATTATCTTGAGGAGCATTGGGGACGTTAGCGGGAGGCATAGGCGGCTTGGTGGAGGAGGGGGACGACGGATCTACATTCGAAGTGGAAGAGGTAGGTGGAAGATGGGGAGCTAGGAGGAGGAGGTGATGGTGGAGAGGATGGACAAGAGGGATTCAAAGAAGACGAATCTACAAGGACCATCAAGGGGAAAAAGCTAGGTGGAGGACAAGTGGCAGCTCAAGAAGGAGGAGGGAAGGTAGAGGAGAAGAAGGCAGACTCCTCATGGAAGGTGATGTCAGCTGACGTAACATAGCAACAAGTGTTAGAAAAATAAACTAGATAGCCCTTCTACATTCAGGAGTAGCTAAGAAAGACCTTTTTGAGAGTACGAGAGACTAGTTTGGATAAGGAAAGAGAGTGATCCTTGATTAAGGTAGTGCATTCAAAGACTTGAGGAGAAAGAAAAATAGGGGTGAGATAAATAGGAGGCCTGAAAGGGGAATGACCTTGCCTAGATGGGCAGAGGGAAACCGATTCTAGAGGTAACTGATCATCATGAGGGCGTTGGTCCACCGATAGTGTGAGACATTCATCTCAAGAAGTAGGGTACAAGTGATGTCAAGGAGCTGACGATGTTTATGTCCAATGACACTATTTTGTTGTGAGGTATAATGATAGGTGGTCTAATCAATAATACCACGATCGGCATAGAAGGTCTAGAGAGAAGACTCGAGGGTGTTGTCAATGCGAAGAATTTCGAGCATAGTGAAATATTGAGTGACGACCTTAGAGTGGTCGTGTATAAGGTATACCCAACTCACACAGGTATAGTCATTGATAAGTCTTCATTATCATGAGTTAATAATTAGTAAATAATATAGTTTTAGCCTTAACTCATGATAAATAGACTTATATTTGTGTTAAAGTGTGAAAAGTAGTTTTCAGTTGATTAACGTGATTTTTTGGGTAATTATGTGATTTTATACGATTTTTACAGTCTTACTTTGAGATAAATGAAGAACAAGAAATAAAAATAAAAATATTACAAAATGAGGGGACCCGCCGGCCAGCCGGGCCTGCAAGCGGGTCGGAAGCGTAGTCGGAGAGTAGCCGCGAGTAGGGGCTCGAGTAGCTTGAACCGATGGGGGCACGTGTGCGCCACTCCCCTTCCACATCACCGATAGCCAGCTGGCTGTGGGGCAAGGAGTGGTCGTACACGTGCGAGAAAGGGACTTTGCTTAGGAATGTAGCATTACTATATATTCGCCCAAAAATTCGGCGCACAACCGATGTGAGACTAAACCCGTCACCTTCCTCAGAAGAGGCAGGGCAACCGGCGCGGGTTCGAATCCTCCCAGAGCCAAAACTCATATTTTTATCTGATTATCGTGACTTTCCTGCAAATCACCGGTGAGGGATTAAGCAACCAGAATCGCTAGATCATTGGCAAAAATCTAGTCAATGCGATTCACGGAGCATTGTTACTAAAATTGCTGAAGGATTCGCGATAAAAGGATCTTGAATCCATTGAGTAAATCATCTCCGATTGATCGACGAACAAGCCGTCGTCGGGAAGAGGACGATCTGCCGGGAGATGAGTCGCCACCTCTTGAGAGCATAGTAGATGCGATGAAGAGCCTCCTCTTGCTGCGCGGACCTGAGGATGAAGCTCCCTGACACGCGCCCCACCTCCATCCAGCTCCTCTCCGTCGGATGATAGTCGCCGGAGAGCCGCAAAGTCGTCATTTTTTCGCTCCACCAGGTGATAGCCGCCGGAGATGACTCGGCGACCCACTTCATTGATCTCTAGACTTCGCGAGAAGATCTAGAGATTGTCCACGTCGTCTTTGCCCAAGGAGAGCCTTCGAGGCCGTGGACACTGCACGACGATTCTCCCGAACGCTCAGGATTCTGGTGCATCACCGACGCATCGCCGTCGCGACGCCAGAATTCTGTTTTCCTGCTTTCAACTTACTTTACGGTTCATTTAGTGATAATCTTTGTGATTTTAATTTACCAAAAGATACTCCGTTCAATTACGATTCTTCCGGCTTTTACAGATCTTAATTTGATTAATTAAATCGTCTGTAATCGCTTACATAAGAATCGCCAAGCGGAACTCTATTTCTACTCGATTTGTGTTCGCCAGGCGCTGACATCATCCTGACGTACGCACCCTTATTTCATTTTTTTCATGAATTTTAAATATATTTCCTTTTCATTTCCTAGTATAAAATTCATAGAAAATCGTATTCATTGAGAAAAATTCGGAATAATTACCAGATATTATATTACATCCCTGTGATCGACTTGGAAAATGACCGCTATTTTTGGAAGTTTTATTGAATTATAATTGATATATTTATTCATAAATATTTCTAAATATCTGAAAAATCATATTTTCTAGTTTTATAAATTTTAAATTTGCGTGATATACTATACAACGACTGAGTCACGTCAAATTTTGGCGCCATTGCCAGAGATGTATTGCATAATATTTAGTATTTTTCTATTTTTCTCTTAGAGTACACAAAAAAATTTAACTCTTGTTTTATTTTCTTTTTGATGTTTTTTTTTAGAAAAAGGTAACAAAAAGAAGCAAGGCAAGGACTGGAGCATACTGAAGGAGGGTAACAATTACTAAATTTTTCCTTCGAATTTATTGATTTTTATGCATGGTAGAAGATCTTTGCATCCAAGGCTAGAAAATCCTTTCATTATTTCAGTCAAAAATAAAAATCCGAAAGAAAAATTAATTTTGATGGATCTTGAAGGAAGTAAAAAGAAAAATTGAGAACAATCCTATGGCCATGAAAAATCATTATATCCCTGATTCATTTCAAAGAGCATCCAATATTAGAGTCCCATTAGCACCCACTATTAAATTCGAAATAAATCTAGGAATTTTTCAAATGCTCCCTAATTTTCATGGATTGCCTTTAGAGGAACCTCATCACCACTTAGAAAAATTCATATGGTCTGTGATTTAGTTAATCTCCCTCAAGTTACACCAGAAATTATTAAGATGAAATTATTCCCTCATACACTTAGGGACAAAGCTAGTCATTGGCTATTCACATTAGATAGAGAATTAACTAGCTGGAAAGATATAGAACATGCCTTTCTTCGATAATTTTATCGTTTAGAAAAAACTTAAAATATGAGAAAATATATATGGAGTTTTTCTCAAAGACCAAGAGAAACTTTACATGAGACATGGGAAAAATTCAAAGATTTACTTAGAAAGTGTCCTCATCATGCTATACCCAAGTGGCAGCTCAATAGAATTTTTTATGATGGATTATTAGAACAACATAGAAATATAGTTTATTCTATATGTGGAGGAGCTTTTATGGAGAAAACTCCTGATGAGATTTCTAGTCTTTATGAGAATTTAAGTGAAAATTCTAGAGATCAAGCCTCTTTTGAATTATATGACAGGGATAAGAAGAGAGGAATTTATGAATTGCATCATGATGATGATTCTAAATTTAGAAATGAGGTTAATCAGATTAATCAAAGATTAGAAAAACTTGATTTACTTATTGACAATATTAGAAAGCTTCTTAACTCTCAATCTAATTCAAATAGCACATGTCTTATGTATGGTGAAAACGATTATTCTGAATTTCAATGCTATAATTATGATCAATCATTTCACCCTATGCAAGAACAAGTGCAAGTAGCTCACGATTTTAATAGAAATAGGAAACCTTTTTCAAATTCTTATAATCCTAATTGGATGAATAATTTTTCATGGAGAGACCCAAATAATATTCAAAATCCAGAAGCACTTAGACCCAATTCAAACTCTGAATTTCGTCCAAAATAAGAAAACAGATTTCAAAAAAATCAGCCCGCTCAAACCCAACCTAATACTATAGAAATGATGCAGCAAATGAGCCAAATGATACAACAAACTATGAATCAAATGATGCAACAAACTATGAATCAAATGATACTACGCTAGAAACAAATTATAGAAGCCCTTAGGAATAAGAGAGAAGAGGGACAGCTACCTAGTCAGCCCATAGAAAATTCAGAGAACCGCCCAATAATAGAATTTCAGCAAGGGGAGTCTAGTAGCATGAATCTAGGAAAAAACTCACGAAATGAAAATGTTAGGACAATGAATGCATTAAGGAGTGGTAAGATCCTACCTAATCCTTATCTCCAAACATTAGAAGAAAAAGTAAACATGGACAACCCAAAACAAAATCAAATAGGAGTAGAAGAGGATTTTATAGATTCTACCAAGGAAATTTCGAAAGAGAGGACAACCATTCCATTTCCTAAAGCTCTAGAGCCTAGAGAAAGAAAGAAAAAGGAACACAATGAAGAAATAAAGAAAATTTTACAAGATGTGCAAATTAGTCTTCCTTTACTTACTGCCATTGAACATATTCCTGAATATGCTAGAGTTTTGAAAGAAATGTGTACACCAAAAAGGGCACCTAGAGTAGAAAAATTATCTATGCATGCTAGTGCATTATTATTAAATCAATTACCATATAAATTGAGAGATACAGGTGCCCCTTTTAATTTCGTGTGATATTGGTGGATCCATTTTTTAGAAAGCTTTACTTGACACTGGTGCTAGTATTAATTTATTACCTACAAGTATTTGTGATAAATTTAATATTTCTGATCTTAAACCTTCCACTGTTACCTTACAATTTGCTGATAGATCCATAAAACATCCTAAAGGTATTTTAGAAAATGTGATAGTGACAGTTAAAAGATGTAAATTTCCAGCTGATTTTGTAGTGCTGGAAATGGATTTTAATGGACAGTTTTATGATACACCAATCATCCTAGGGAGACCACTTTTGCATACAGCAAAGATGAATATTGATTTTTCCACAGGTATTGCGAAAATTTCATGTGGAGATCAATCAGTAGAAATTAAAACTTTTGAGGTACCAAATGATCTTAAGAAATCACAAGTATATGATTGTCATACCATAGATCTTCTAGATGATTTTGATGATCCAGATGTTATTGATGACTATGTGCTGGAAGAATTAGAGGAAATAGAGAATATAAATTTGGGAGAAAAGAAAGAGGAAGATCATCTGAATTTAGAGTTGAAACCTCTTCCCTCTAGTTTAAAATATATGTTCTTGGAGGAAAATAATTCATTTCCTATTATTATTGCAGCTGATTTGAGTGATGAACAAGAAGAAGAATTATTAGATGTACTTCGAAAAAATAAGAAGGCTATGGGCTGGAAAATGGACGATCTAAGGGACATTGATATGAGTGTATGCATGCATAGTATATATCTAGAGGAGGGGGCTAGAACTAGCAGGGAACCACAATGAAGATTAAATCCTAACATGATGGAAATTTTAAAAAAAGAAATTTTAAAGTGGCTGGTTGCTGATATTATTTATCCTATTTCAGATAGCAAATGGGTTAGTCCTATACAAGTGGTGCCGAAAAAATCAGGGATCACGGTTATAAAAAACGAAAATGGGGATGAAATACAAATAAGATTAACTACCGGTTGGAGGGTTTGTATTGATTATAGAAAATTAAATTCAGTTACTAGAAAAGATCATTTTCCCTTACCATTTATTGATCAAATTCTAGAAAAATTAGCTGGAAAAAACTTTTTTTTGTTTTCTGGATGGATACTCTGGTTATAATCAAATTTATATAAACCTTTTAGATCAAGAAAAAACAACTTTCACTTGTCCATTTGGTACTTTTGCTTTTAAACGCATGCCTTTTGGTCTGTGTAATGCTCCAGGCACATTTCAAAGATGTATGTTGTCTATTTTTTCTGATATGATTAGAAAATATATGAAAATTTTTATGGACGATTTTTCTATTTTTGGTGAATCATTTGATGAATGCTTAAATCATTGACAGCATGTACTTGAGAAATGCATAGAGAAAAAATTAGTTTTGAGTTGGGAGAAATCACATTTTATGGTTAGAGAGGGAGTTGTGTTGGGTCATATTGTGAGTGAAAGGGGTTTAGAGGTGGATAGAGCAAAAATTGATATTATATCTAAAATGAAACCTCCAAATTCAATAAAATAGATTAGATCTTTCTTGCGTCAAGCAGGTTATTATAGAAAATTTATTCAAGATTTTTTGAAAATTTCTAAACCTCTCACCATACTATTATCTAAAGATGTGTCTTTTAATTTTGATGAGAAATGTTTTGAGTCTTTTTCTGAAATAAAAAGATTACTTACTGAGGCACCTATTTTACAAGCTCCTGATTGGTCACTTCCCTTTGAAATAATGTGTGATGCATTGAATTATGCAGTGGGGGCTGTTCTAGGACAAACAAAAGAGTCAAAACCCATAGTAATTTCATATGCTAGTAAAACTATATCCAATGCTCAATTAAATTATACCACGACTGAAAAAGAGTTGTTAGCTGTAGTATTTTTGTTAGAAAGGTTTAGATCATATATTTTGGGAGCTAAAATTATTATTTATACTGATCATGCAGCATTAAAATATCTGTTAAATAAGAAAGATGCAAAGCCACGTTTATTAAGATGGATTTTATTGTTGCAGGAATTTGACTTAGAAATAAAAGATAAAAAAGGTTTCAAGAATGTTGTTGCTGACCATCTTTCTAGATTAAGTGATACAAGAATAAATGCAGCACCTTTACAAGATGTATTTCCAGATGAACAATTGATGGCAGCTCAACATCAACCATCACCATGGTATGCACATATTGTTAATTTTTTGTTTTTTGGAAAAACTCTAAAACAGTGGGATAAGAACAGAAAACATCATTTCTTTTCTAAGATTAGAAATTATTTTTGGCATGATCTTGATTTATATTATTTGGGCAATGATCAAATTTTAAGGAGATGTGTTCCTGAAGAAGAATATCATAGCATTATTAACATGTGCCATTCATCTAACTGTGGAGGACATTTCTCTAGACGAAAAATAGCTGCAAATTTTTTTCAGTGTGGTTTTTATTGGCCTACAATCATTACAGATTCTATAGAATTTATTAGAACATGTATTTCATGCCAATCTATAGGTAACATGAGTAAAAAAGATGAAATGCCTATGAGTAACATATTAGTAGTCGAAATTTTTGATGTATGGGGAATAGATTTCATGGGTCCTTTCCCATCAGCTGAAAAATATGAATATATTTTGCTTGCTATTGATTATGTGTCGAAGTGGGTGGAAGCTATTCCTACTAGAACTAATGATCATAAAATCGTGATGAAATTTGTGCAAAAAAATATTTTTTCGAGATTTGGATGTCTTAGAGTGATTATTAGTGATGGAGGAACATATTTTATAAATAAACATTTCAAGAAACTATTGAAAAAGAATAGGGTACACCATAGAGTAGCCACTCCATATCATCCCCAAACAAATGGGCAAGCTGAAGTAGTAAATAGGAAAATTCAGAGAATTTTGAGAAAAATAGTTAGACCAGATAGGAAAGATTGGCCTACAAAATTACAAGATGCATTATGGGCTTATAGAACAGCTTATAAAAATCCCATAGGTATGTCTGATAAGTCTTCATTCATTTTTATGATCTTTTTGTGACCACTAAGGAAGGGAGCCCCTCCTCCTATTCTGCAACCAAAGAAATTCATTATGGAATTTCCAAACAGGGCTGTACATGAATCCTGCCCAATTCAAGGAATTGTATGGAGCACCGATCCAGGTTCCGTTTTCTTAATAACCGAGCTTGCCTGTTTTTCGCTAAAATGACGGAAAGGGGGCTCCGAGTCACCTTCTTCTAAGCTCCGAGTCACCTTCTTCTAAGCTCCGCTGGACGACACGGCATTCTCGTTCAAATATAGGCCGGCCCTTCCTGAATAGACTCCATTCTCCCGTCGAGAGTTACTTTGAAAGTCTTACCTAAACTCTTCCGACTGAATATGAAAAAGCCTATAAAACAACGAGCTACTATCATTTCTTCAATCGCCATCTCGTAGCACCACCACGACACCACTTAGGACAGTAAGGGAAAGCAGTGATATTCCGATTCTTTCGTGGGGAATCAACGAAGGCAGCCGTTCCCCATTCCGTCAGTTAAGAAATCCCATATTTTTGTAAGAGTAAAGATCTCTTTATATCAAGATGTCTCATAATAAAAGCTCAAAAAGTTTAGGCCGGCCGGCTTTAAGCAACCTTCGCATTTCCTGCTGAGATCCCAAGTCTCCAAGTGGGATAATTGTACAATAAACGAGCCACTTCAAATAGGTTCAGTGCTCCAGCCCAGAATACAATGAATCCGGCATGTAAAACGTGAGCAAAGCACGAATACCAAATAAAGTCTCACAGGATCTTCAAAAAATCGGATTTCCTGGGAAACGAAGCCATAGGAGTTTATACGGATTACACACAACAGCCCACTTGACCAATTTGCCATTAACCCATTGATTCTGATGAAGGGCACCGCCCCCTCCAGGTCCACTCCAAAAGGTGAAAATCCTCTGTTTTCGGCTTTTGAGCAGGTTTTGCTTAAAGCTTTTTATTTGAGGGATTCCCAACTTGCTCCGGCCTCGGGTCCTCCCGCATCTCTTCCTCGGTAAGCGGACCGTGGAAGCAGGGGGTGAATTGATGAACAAGCTACTACTACACGTGTCAGTCGACGTTCAGTCCCCTATAAACGTAAAGACTTGACTTCAGAGCGATCACTTTTCACCGGGGTTGGTGAATCTTTGCATGAATAACAAGGACGCAGGGATATAGCAAGTAAGCCCAGCCGTGCCTTTGCTCGGTAGTTCCGTAGCAGGTTTTTTCGGACGTTTTCTAGGATCAGAAGGAACCGCTATAATTACCACCACGTGCGTTTCATTTTCTTAGTTATTCGTTGGATTTATTCGGGACATTTCCCATTAAGTCATTCATACGAATCATTAATGTTCCTTTCGTGGAGTTTCGCTTAGAGATGCCGCAAGCAAAGATCATATAGCCTAATTGACTGCAAGTTGAATAAGCTATGACCCTCTTTGGATCGTTCTGTAATATTCCTGTAGTTGCCGCAAGGAATGACGTCATAGCTCCTGCAAAAGTTATAACAATCAAAGCCGTAGGTGGGTATTCAAATAAAGGGGCTCGCGGATGGAGAGGGATTCGAACCCCCGGTATTCCTATCAATACTTCGGTTTTCAAGACCGACTCTTTCAACCGCTCAGACATCCATCCCTTCGCGCTTCGCCCGCCCTATCTATCTGCGCGCCGGCAGGTAGGGGCAACTCTATGTGATTCGCTACGCTTGGCCGGCCGGCCCCGGCCGTTCACATGAGCATAGGGAATCTATACTCGAGCGTTCCCCGGATAGGTGAGGAATCACTCTTGATCTGATCTATTGGGGCCCGACAGACTTGTTCATGCTAGGACAAGACGACTTCTGGGAACACGTACAGAACTTTCAACTGCCTCGCAAGCGCCTTGAGTGGCGAATCCATTCTGAAGTCGGTTGCCTTAATGAATAAAGGCACCCTCACTGGTCTTCGAACCATCAAAGGAACATGGAGCCCCCCCTGAATGAATAAGTAGTGGGGCCCCCTTCCCGCCCACGTATGCGCCTTTATTTTTCTTCTAAATATTAGATTTCCGGAGAATCTTTCTAAAGAATCTATCTGGCAAAAAGCAAGAATTTTTCTAAGATTGCACGAGCTAGCCAGAAGGTAGCGTAGCTTGCTTCTAGAATCTTCTATAGTGATCCACTGGATCGGGTGAAGCCTCCCTGTTGCCATGCCACTGTTCCGACTTTTATCTCTAGCTATGAAGCAGCTTCAGGTCAACTCATCAATAAAGAAAAAAGTTGCTACATCTTATCCGAGTCCGATTCAAGAGCTGAAACGAACTCCACAACAGGTTTTTTTTTTAAGATTGCCTCTCACTTCGTCGGCCCTTGTCATTAGACCACTATCTATGCATGTTTTTTCCGCCTTGACTCTCGAATCTTTTGCTTTTCTCGAGCTGGGGAGTTATGGTGTTACTGGTTTTTGAGTTAACGAGTTAGGGAGTTACGCTGTCAACCGAAGACTCAAGTTAGGTTAAGTATACTAGATGGATGCTCTCCAATAGGGCTACGGTTTCCCCGTATTATAGGTAAGGCAAAGCGCTTTCTTTTAAAGAAGCTTCTGGTTCCATCTTTCTTTCGTTAGTTAACCCCCCTTTTTCTAAAAAGGATTTAAGTAATTCGGGATCTATACTACTTGTAATGGCTCTCTCATATTGAGAAATTCTTTCTAGTGGCATTCGATCATTATGCTAATTCCATCGTTATATGCGCAGCTAAGCTAATATGCGTCATATCCACAAAGCAAAGTCGACGGTCTCAGCTTGCGGCATATGAAATTCGTGACAACGACAAGCCGATATCAATGAGTCGTCACCGTCCCTTCCTTTTCTATGGTTACCCGGAATCAGTACCAAGTCAAGTTGACCTGGAATCTTGCGGCTTGATCCTTTAACCATGTTTTGAAATAAGGCGCTTGCGTTGGCTTAGTCTTCAGTAAGCCTGAAAGGACTCGGAAGACTAAACTAGGTTATGACAACCCGATTCATATTCTTTATTTTGATTTTGATTATCTTCTTATGCATCTTTATGGACGTCCCCCCAACTGGCCCATTACATCTTTTGCGTGTCATACTTTTAAAGGGTATAAGCCCTTAACAGAACTTTAGCTTGAACTGCACTCCCGGTTTAGTCTATCTGATCCCCTTCCCCGAAAGCTACATTGGCCTGGAGTTAGGGAGTTACGGAGTTATAGAGTGAGGCTTCGCCGATTGAGAACACCTCTTACGTACGGTATATTTATGTATATCTGAGGGATGCTCTCAAATTTTATGTTGGTTCATGGGAACCATATAAACCCATACCTAGAACTCCTATTAAAAGAAAAAAAGAACCCCTGCTGTGTATAAAATACACTTTGTAGCAGTCAGGAAGAGGGGGCCAAGGACAAGGCGACTGAGATCAACTATAGCGCAGCAGCTACGGATTGGGAATCCATGGATTCGGAAGCAGTGTCTCGACCTGACCGGTGAACCGGGCCTACTACTTAACATTATCTCTCCTGACCTCTAACTTTCACTATGATATATACACCAACTCGAAAGAAGATGACATGAATCTTGTACACTGAATCCAATGGTTTTTGTTGAAGGCAAAAAGAGTGAGGAAGCGAAGCTGTCGTGAATGGGCTCCGGCCTCTCTCTCACTTGAAGAAAGATAGCCCGTCGAGTCGAATTGATCGTGTCATGTGCAACGTCCTTCAATGATGGTTCATTAATTTCAATTGATTTAGACTCCTTCCCCCGAAAAAGTAACGTGGAGAAGAGGAATCGACGCCGAATCAAGGAAAAGCGAAGGCGCTTGCGTGAGGAGAATGATCCTCCCCTTATGTTAGAAGGTGCAAAATCAATAGGTGCTGGAGCTGCTACAATTGCTTTAGCGGGAGCTGCTGTCGGTATTGGAAACGTCCTCAGTTGGACGGAGGTCCCACGGTAGGTAACAGCAGGCACACGCACTTGACCGAAGGGGACCAGCGCTTCTACTCCTCCACCGAGGAGCCGTTCGCTGCGAGAAGCAAGGGAGTAGGCGGTGGGAGTGTCAGCCGAATGCTCAGAGCTAAACTATTATGTATGGAGTTCTTCGTAGGGGCGGAAATAAAAAAGATAAGGCCTTCTTCGTTTTCGATGAAAAACAAATCGACATCTCGATCTCCGACAGCGTTTTCCTTACCCCGCCGCCGCCCGGCCCGCGTTAGAGTGGAAGATTAGCAAAGCGGGAAAATGGAGAGGGAGGGGGAGCGAAAGCTTGCTCAAAACTAGTCACAGGCTCACTAGTTCTTAAGTCGGATCTTCCATTCCATGCTGAACACCAACCAAAGAAGCCGCAAGCGCCTTTTACTTGGGTTGGGGCTCCAAAAAAACATTTTATTTTTTTTGTTGTCGGTTGCTGTGAAAGTTTTTTTCGGAGTATTGACTAACGGATTCGATGTTAGTTTGATCCATGTGAGTCGGGGTTACTGGATATGAACCAAGTCGATGAAATTAGACATTATTTTCTTTGCTCAAAAGGCTTTGATTGTGTAATAGCTTCGTGAATAGAAAGGAACCGGCCGAATAAGCACTTTTATACTGAGAACCATTTTCCTCAGGTTAGAAGGTCAGAACATTGGCTTTGAATAGACCATTATGCTAATTCTGTCATCTGTTCGTCAGAAAAAGATGACGATTCGTACTACCGAAGTCGCTAACCGGCAGGCAATAGAGTCAGCTTACGGGGTGGGGCGCAAGCAAGCGTAGCGAATCACATAGAGTTGCCCCTACTGTTTTGCTTAAAGCTTTTTATTTGAGGGATTCCCTTTCCATTCAAATCTTAAAAAAGAACTCCAATAACACCCGGTATGGAGCCACCCTCGGTCGTATCCGCTTAAACATGGCGGCAAATACGCGTGTGGCAGCTGCAAGATCCGCTGCTCCTTGGTCGAATTTGAGTAGATTTTCTAAAGGGAGGGTTGTCAGGAAGGTTGGCAAAAAAGTAGTCACTACTCCTCATGGAATTCGATATGACTTATGTGCCCCAAAAGCGATCAAGGGTCAGGCGTTGGCCGACTTCCTCGCCGCTCATCCGGTGCCGGACGACTCGCCATTGTCGACCAACCGCGGAAGCTCCTTCTGTACGGGAAAGCAGCTTTCTAGTGCGCATTAATGTAGCAAGGTATTGTAAATAATGTCTTTCTAATTTCTGCCTTTCTTTTCCATGACGACTAGGAACGGGCAAATCAAAAATTTCACTTCGAATTCCGGACCTCAACATCCTGCTGCTCATGGTGTTTCACGATCAGTATTGGAAATGAACGGAGAAGTGGTGGAACGTGCGGAACCACATATTGGATTACTCCAGTGCGGCGTGCTTTGTTGATTCGTTCTGCTTCTGCTGAGCGAGGGCGGCGAGTGGGTTTAGGTTCTATCGATTGAGTTCTCTTCGTTGGAGCTGCTAATCGAACCCCTTTTCTGAATCTGGTTTGGCTAGAAACTTAAGTTATCGTCACCCGAACATCTTGACAAGTGGATGGGTTGACGACGTCCCTGAACATCTCAAAGAGCTCTATTCAGTGTCAAGTCAAAACTCAAAACAAGGGAAGCAGTGATTTCGAACATTAACTATGATATTTTCAATAGTGAAAAATCATGATTTTAGTTTTTGATAAATCTGAAAAATGTAGTTTTGAGTTTAAAATTATTAGGAGTTCCCTGTAACCACTAAGGAATGGGGGGGAAGGGGCCCCATTCCGTCTGGCACATAAATGTAGGGATCGAAGAGATTATGGCAGATTATGTTCACCAAGAAATTACCCGAAAATGGATCTTGGTCTATTTGAGATTGTTCCTTTTAATCGTAATCAAAGATGTTTTTTTGTTTGGATCGCCCTCTCTTATATTACTTGTGTGGGTTACCCTGTCTCCCATTCTTTCCCCGGTTAACAACCGGCTTCCTCTTTTTTTTTTACAAGCAAACTTCATGCATCACTCAAGACCGCTTGGGCTTGAGGTGAAGAACGGGAAAGTCGGTACCAGCTGACTTGGAAACCGATATGGTAGACTCAGTCATACGAGAGCAGTTTCCACATTGGGAAACTGGGGCCCGACATCCAGAAGTGTTTTGATGTTCGGACATTGGACCGAAGCCTTTGCGCGTGGAATTTCCATATATTTAGATTTCAGAAGGGCTTCATCTTTTACATATTGAATGTAAACGCCCGGGCATCCATATCACATGTGGTTTCTCTTTTCTAGAGATAGAATTCGGGAGTCAGTTGATAATGTTGTTCCTCCAACATTTCTATCAATCTTCGATTCTTTTGTGGTTCAGAGCTTGGATTCGAAGATGAGGATTCCGAGCTTTCTGATGAAGCCTCTTTCTGAACGTAACTCTTGCAAAAACCGGGATTTTAGTAGTAGGCGGCACTCGAGCGCAAGATAAGCTCTCTTTCATGGGCTATGGGTCTCCCTCTCTTTTTAGGGGCGGGATCCCATAGCCCTATTTGAGAGCATCCCTGGTGGACTGCCGAGCTACAAGTCCTACGACACAGGAGCGGGATTCTCTAAAAAGCCAAGGTCGTGGGTGGCCAAGAGGGCCCACTTGGAGACTTGGGATCTCAGCAGCTGAGGGGGGACAGCGTAAGTGAGCGAATGTGTGTAAGCCCAGTCAAACATGACTATTCATGGCGGGACGGGTTCCTTCGAATGGTGTTGGTCCTACGGACCGTGAACAGATTTGCCTCTGGCCTCTGGGCACGAGTCCACAATCACTATACGAGATGAACCTGGGTTTGGTGAATTGAAGTTGGCCTTTTTTTCTGTCTCTGCTATTGGATGTCATAGTGTGGCACGCACTTTATCAACTCTAATGTGACGAAACGAGAGAATTGGATTATCTTTAAGAATTCGAGATGATATAGGTACAGGTCACACTTTATCCTATCCTCTTCTCCTTTGGGTTGGTTAGTTGGTCCCAGGATACCCAGTGTCTTCTCTTCCCAAATTAACTTGTGCCCCATAGAAAGTCTGCAAAAATCCTTTTTTAGTGAAGGTAAGACCGAACTCATGGAACCGCATCCAGACAATCTCTGCGACCTCACCATGCAGTAAAACATGATCCAAGCTCTCTTGGGACAGCACCAATTAGTAAATAATATAGTTTTAGCCTTAACTCATGATAAATAGACTTATATTTGTGTTAAAGTGTGAAAAGTGGTTTTCAGTTGATTAATGTGAATTTTTGGGTAATTATGTGATTTTATACGATTTTTACAGTCTTACTTTTGAGATAAATGAAGAACAAGAAATAAAAATAAAAATATTGCAAAATGGGGGGACCCGCCGGCCAGCCGGGCCCGCAAGTGGGTCGGAAGCGCAGTCAGGAGTAGCCGCGAGCAAGGGCTCGAGCGGCTTAGCTTGGACCGATAGGGGCACGTGTGCGCCACTCCCCTTCCACGTCACTGGTGGCCAGCCGGCTGTGGGGCAAGGAGTGGTCGTACACGCGAGAGAAGGGACTTTGCCTAAAAAGCTAACATTACTATATATTCGCTTGAAAAATCGGCGCACAACCGATGTGAGACTAAACCCGCGTCACACCTTCCTCAGAAGGGGGGGCGGACAACTGGCGCGGGTTCGAATCCTCCCAGAGTCAAAATTCATATATTTTTATCTGATTATCGCGACTTTCCTGCAGATCGCCGGTGAAGGATTAAGCAACCAGAATCGCTGGATCATCGGCGAAAATCTCGTCAACGCGATTCGCGGAGCATTGCTACTAAAATTGCTGAACGATTCGCGATAAAAGGATCGCGAATCCATCGAGTAAATCATCTCCGATTGATCGACGAACAAGCCGTCGTCGGGAAGAGGACGATCCGCCGGGAGACCAGTCGCCACCTCCTGAGAGCGTACCAGATGCGATGAAGAGCCTCCTCTTGCTGCGCGGACCTGAGGATGAAGCTCCCTAACACGCGCCCCACCTCCATCCAGCTCCTCTCCGTCGGGTGACAGTCGCCGGAGAGCCGCAAAGTCGCCGTTTTTCCGCTCCGCCGGGTGACAGCCGCCGGAGACGACTCGGCGACCCATTTCATTAATTTCTAGACTTCGCGAGAAGATCTAGAGATTGCCCATGTCGTCTTTGCCCAAGGAGAGCCTTCGAGGCCATGGACACTATACGACGAACCTCCCGAACGCTCAGGATTCTGGTGCATCGCCGACGCATCGCCGTCGCGATGCCAGAACTCTGTTTTCCTACTTTTAAACTTACTTTACACTTCATTTAGTGATATTTCTTTGTGATTTTAATTTACCAAAATATACTTTGTTCTATTACGATTCTTCCGGCTTTTACAGATCTTAATTTGATTAATTAAATCGTCTGTAATCACTTACGTAAGAATCGCCGGGCGGAACTCTGTTTCCGCCCGATTCGCGTTCGCCGGGCGCTGACGTCATCCTGACGTCCGCGCCCTTATTTCCCTTTTTCGTGAATTTTAAATATATTTCCTTTTTATTTCCTAGTATAAAATTTATAGAAAATCATATTCATTGAGAAAAATTCTGAATAATTACCAGATATTATATTACATCCCTGTGATCGACCTGGAAAAATTGCTATTTTTGGAACTTTTATTGAATTATAATTGATATATTTATTTAGAAATACTTCTAAATATCCAAAAATTCGTATTTTCTAGTTTTATAAATTTTAGATTTGCGTGATTTAATAGAAAACGACTGAGTCACGTCAATGTCCCCATTTCGTCTCATTTTTGGAAAGCCATGTCATCTTCTTGTGGAAATAGAGCATAAAGCATTATGGGCTATAAAAAATTTATGTATGGATGAAAAATCAACTGGTAGGTATAGAATTTTTCAACTACGTGAACTAGAGGAGTTGAGGAATGAAGCTTATGAAAATCATAGAATATATAAAGAAAAAACTAAAACTTTTCATGATAAATACATTAGCAAAAAAAAATTTGATGTTGGACAAAAAGTGTGGTTATATGATTCTAGGCTGAAATTATTCTCAGGAAAATTAAAATCAAAATGGAAAGGGCCTTATGTGGTGGAAGAGACATATGATCATGGGGCTTGACGTGACTCAGTCGTTGTATATTAAATCACGCGAATATAAAATTTATAAAACTAGAAAATACGAATTTTCAGATATTTAGAAGTATTTCTGAATAAATATATCAATTATAATTTAATAAAACTTCCAAAAATAGTGGTAATTTTCCAAGTCGATCACATGGATGTAATATAACATCTGGTAATTATTCAGAATTTTTCTCAATGAATACGATTTTCTATGAATTTTATACTAGGAAATAAAAAGGAAATATATTTAAAATTCACAAAAAAAAGGAAATAAGGGTGCAGACGTCAGGATGACATCAGCGCCCGACGAACGTGAATCAGGCAGAAACAGAGTTCTGCCCAGTAATTCTTTCGTAAGCGATTATAGACGATTTAATTAATCAAATTAAGATTTGTAAAAGCCGGAAGAATCGTAATTAAACAAAGTATATTTTGGTAAATTAAAAACACAAAAATTAATCACTAAATGAAGCGTAAAGTAAGTTTGAAAGCAGGAAAACAGAGTTCCGGCGTCGCGACAGCGATGCGTCGGCGATGCACTGGATCCTGAGCGTTCGGGAGGATCGTTGTGCAGTGTCCACGGCCTCGAAGGCTCTCCTTGGACAAAGACGACGTGGGCAATCTCTAGATCTTCTCGCAAAGTCTAGAGATCACTGAAATAGGTTGTCGAGTCGTCTCCGGCGGCTGTCACCCCGCGGAGCGGAAAAACAGCGACTTTGCGGCTCTTCGGCGGCTGTCACCCAACGGAGAGGAGCTGGATAGAGGTGGGGCGCGTGTCAAGGAGCTTCATCCTCAGGTCTGCGCAGCAAGAGGAGGCTCTTCATCACATCTGATACGCTCTCAGGAGGTGGCGACTCGTCTCCCGGCGGATCGTCCTCTTCCCGACGACGGCTTGTTCGTTGATCAATCGGAGATGATTTACTCGATGGATTTGCGATCCTTTTATCGCGAATCGTTCAACAATTTTAGTAGCAATGCTCCGCGAATCGCGTTGACGAGATTTTCGCCGATGATCTAGCGATTCTGGTTGCTTAATCCTTCACCGGCGATCTGCAAGAAAGTCGTGATAATCAGATAAAAATATATGAATTTTGACTCTGGGAGGATTCAAACCCGCGCTGGTTGCCTGCCTCGGAGGAAGGTGTGGTTTAGTCCCACATCGGTTGTGCGCCGATTTTTCGGGCGAATATATAGTAATGTTAGCTTTGTAAGCAAAGTCCCTTCTTTCGCGTGTACGACCACTCCTTGCCCCACAGCCGGCTGGCCACCGATGACGTGGAAGGGGAGTGGCGCACACGTGCCCCTATCGGTCCAAGCTGCTCAAGCCCCTGCTCGCGGCCACTCCCCGACTGAGCTTCCGACCCGCTTGCGGGCCCGGCTGGCCGGCGGGTCCCCCATTTTGCAATATTTTTATTTTTATTTCTTGTTCTTTATTTATCTCAAAAGTAAGACTGTAAAAATCGTATAAAATCACATAATTACCCAAAAAATCACGTTAATCAACTGAAAACCACTTTTCACACTTTAACACAAATATAAGTCTATTTATCATGAGTTAAGGCTAAAACTATATTATTTACTAATTATTAACTCATGATAATGAAGACTTATCAGGGCTATAATGATTAAAGATCCTAAAAGTGATCATACCTTTAAGGTAAATGGACAGTAGCTTAAACATTACATAGAGCATGAACGCCTTGCAGAAAAAGAAAATTTATTATTAAAAGAAATTCAAGAGTAAGATCAAGGAGTCTAGCTGAAGACATTAAATTCAGCGCTGCATGGGAGGCAACCCATGGTTTTTATTTCATTCTGTTTGATTGTTTTTTAAGTTCTGTTTTTCTTAGAATTTCGCAGTACTTATTTCTGTATTTATTTTTTCGAAGAAGTGCAGGAGGAGTGTAAGATGAAGTGGAAAATTAAGAACGAGGTTGAGGTGATGTCTTTTTGAGCTTTATCATTTATGAAAATATTTTTAATGCTTAACTTTGCACATATGCATGCTTCACTTGAAAATTATATTTTCTGCATATTGTTTCGATTTTTCTGTGTCATTAAGGACAATGTCATTTTTAAGTTGGGGGGTGAAGTGTTCATTATTAATTTATGCTGGAGTACGATTAAGAACATGTGTTTGCATTTTATTCAACTTAGAGTAGCAACTAAAAAAATAAAAATAAAATAAAATTCGAAAAAGCTGTAACATCTATTTTCTGGTTTTTTGTTAGGAACAACAAACTATCAAAAATAGTAGACAAAAAAAACAGCCCAAAATTTTAAATTCTAGAGACCCTTTTCTCACATTTCAATCCCCTAGACATATATTACTGAAATTCAAAATTACAGCTATAAAGAGGATAGTTTTGATTTATTTTTGACAAATTTATTGTTGCTAAAAATAGAATTGAAAATAGAAAATAGAACTTTCAGAACTATCTAATTTACAAATTTCTTACATCATATTACACGCATGCAAAAATTAAATCAATTAGATTGATTGATATCAAAAGATACTAGGAAGATTATTATTGAGTCAAAAGAATGATCTAGTAGCATGAAATGTTGGAATACTCCTTGGATACATGATAGATAACATGGATTTGATTTTACAGATTTTCACTTCATGATCTTGATGGATAGTATTTACTTGATGTGAAAATTTGATTGATCATTTGAGTTTAATGGAGATTTTTGCACCTTGATCTATAGGACTTGTGAGGAGAAATCACTTATTTCGAAAAAAAAAAGAGAGAGCAATGTGAAAAATCTAGAAATGAAGAATACACATGGAGGGTGTAAGACATCATTCTCATTGTCGAAAATCGTGTATAGAAAAACACTTGCTGCAAAATAAGTGGATAAAGTGAAAGCCCTGAAAATAAAGAGTACACATGGAGGGTGTGAGACATCATTCTTATTTTTGAAATTTGTCTACAAGAAAAGCTACTTATCCACTATATAAAAAAGAAAAGAGAAAAAAAAAGGAAGAAATATAGTGCAAACTTCAAAAATCAAGCCATAGAAAAAGGGAAAATGTAGGATCAATATTATTCTTAGATGAGTATTGATAATTGGAACATCTTGTAAATACATCTATGAGTGAAGAAGTGATAAAGATGTGAATAGAAGAAGTGAAGTCTAGATTGTTATTCCAAGGAGTGTTTAAACATTTAAGTACTTGACATCATTCTTAAATATTTAATATAAGAATCTAAAGTGTCTAAAGGTGCATCATTTCTAATTGTATTTTTTTTTGTATTGAAATATGATGTTTGAGATTTGTAAATTTTTATTTTCGTAATTCCATTGCTAAGGGACTAGCAATGATTTAAGTTGGGGGCTGTGATAAGTCTTCATTATCATGAGTTAATAATTAGTAAATAATATAGTTTTAGCGTTAACTCATGATAAATAGACTTATATTTGTGTTAAAGTGTGAAAAGTGGTTTTTAGTTGATTAACGTGATTTTTTGGGTAATTATGTGATTTTATACGATTTTTATAGTCTTGCTTTTAGATAAATGAAGATCAAGAAATAAAAATAAAAATATTGCAAAATGAGAGGACCCGCCGGCCAGCCGGGACCGCAAGCGGGTCGGAAGCGTAGTCAGAGAGTAGCCGCGAGCAGGGGCTCGAGCAGCTTGAACTGATGGGGGCACGTGTGCGCCACTCCCCTTCCACGTCACCTATGGCCAGCCGGCTGTGGGGCAAGGAGTGGTCGTACATGTGCGAGAAAGGGACTTTGCTTAGGAATGTAGCATTACTATATATTCGCCCGAAAATTCGGCGCACAATCGATGTGAGACTAAACCCGTCACCTTCCTCAGAAGAGGCGGGGCAACCGGCGTGGGTTCGAATCCTCCTAGAGCCAAAACTCATATTTTTATCTGATTATTGCGACTTTCCTGCAGATTGCCGGTGAGGGATTAAGCAACCAGAATTGCTAGATCATCGGCAAAAATCTCATCAACGCGATTCACGGAGCATTGTTACTAAAATTGCTGAAGGATTCGCGATAAAAGGATCGCGAATCCATCGAGTAAATCATCTCCGATTGATCGGCGAACAAGCTGTCGTTGGGAAGAGGACGATCCACCGGGAGACAAGTCATCACCTCTTGAGAGTGTATCACACAAGTAATATAAGAGAGGGCCCCGTTTTTCCGCTCCGTCGAGTGACAGCTGCTGGAGATGACTCGGCGACCCACTTCATTGATCTCTAGACTTCGCAAGAAGATCTAGAGATTGCCCACGTCGTCTTTGTCCAAGGAGAGCCTTCGAGGCTGTGGACACTACACGACGATCCTCCCGAACGCTCAAGATTCTGGTGCATCACCGACGCATCGCCGTCACGACACTAGAACTCTGTTTTCCTGCTTTCAACTTACTTTACGGTTCATTTAGTGATAATCTTTGTGTTTTTAATTTACCAAAAGATACTCCGTTCAACTACGATTCTTCTGGTTTTTACAGATCTTAATTTGATTAATTAAATCGTTTGTAATCGCTTATGTAAGAATTGCCAGGCAGAACTCTATTTTCGCTCGATTCGCGTTCGCCGGGCGCTGACGTCATCCTGACGTCCACACCCTTATTTTCTTTTTTTTGTGAATTTTAAATATATTTCCTTTTCATTTCCTAGTATAAAATTCATAGAAAATCGTATTCATTGAGAAAAATTCAGAATAATTACCAAATATTATATTACATCCCTATGATCTACCTGGAAAATGACCGCTATTTTTGGAAATTTTATGGAATTATAATTGATATATTTATTTAGAAATACTTCTAAATATCAAAAAAATCATATTTTCTAATTTTATAAATTTTAAATTTGCGTGATTTACTATACAATGATTGAGTCACGTCAGTCATCAATAAGAACGATCTAATATTAGTAGCCTGAGAGGGAAGGAGTATGAGTAGGACCCCATACATTACAATGGATGAGATCAGAAGAGGAAGAAGAGAGAATACCATCTCAACTGAGGTAGAAGGAACGGTGATGTTTACTTAGTTGACATGACTCACACACATACTTCTTAAGAGAAAGTTACAGTAATTTTTTTTGAAGTTTCTCAAAACAGGGATGGCGTAACCTTCAATGCCATAAGAGGGAACAAGTGATGGTAGAGACAACAAAAAGGACTTGAAGGCTAGAAGAAGGTTCAGTAGAAATAAGTTCATAGATACCTCATCCATTCTCACGGTCCAAACTAATTTTCTAGCTAGTGTGCAGATCCTAGAAAGTGTAATGAAAAAGAAAAAAGGTAACAATACAACCAAGGGCATGAGTAATGACACTAATCGAGAGAAGGTTCATAGTAAAGTCATGAACATAAAGGACATGCTAGAGGGGAAGATTAGGAGTGATGAGGGTAGTGCCACGGCCTTTGATTGAACAAGTCTGACCAACGACAATGGTGATAGGGGGATGAGGAGTAGGTTGATATGAAGATAAAAGGGATGAAGTGTCGGTTGATGTAACTTAGTTGTTGTATAGTAAATCACCCAAATTAAAATTTATAAAACTAGAAAATACTAATTTTTAGATACTTGGAAGTATTTCTGAACAAATATATCAATTATAATTCAATAAAATTTTCAAAAATAGTGGTAATTTTCCAAATCGATCATAGGGATTGAGCAATTTTTTAGAATTTTCTTCAAAGAATATGATTTTCTATGAATTATATACTAGGAAATAAAAATGAAATATATTTAAAATTCACGAAAAAGGGAAACAAGGGTATGGACGTCATGATGATGTCAACGCCCGACGAACGTGAATTGGACGAAAATAGAGTTCTACCTAATGATTTTTACATAAGTGATTACAGACAATTTAATTGACCAAATTAAGATCTGTAAAAGTCAGAAGAATCGTAATTGAATGAAGTATAGTTTGGTAAATTTAAATCACACAAATTATCACTAAATAAAGCAGAAATAAAGTTAAAAATAGGAAAATAGAGTTCCGGCGTCATGGCAGCAATGCGTCGGTGATGCACTGAAATCTTGAGCATTTGGGAGGATCGTTGTGTAGTGTCTATAGCCTCCAAGGCTCTCCTTGGACAAGTACGATGTGGGCAATCTTTACATCTTCTTGCAAAGTCTAGAGATCAATAAAATAGGTCGTCGAATCGTCTCCGGTAGCTGTCACTTGATGGAGTGAAAAAATAGCAACTTTGCAGCTCTCTGATAATTGTCACATGACAGAGAGGAGCTGGATAGAGGTGGGGCACGTGTCTGGGAGCTTCATCTTCACGTCCACACAGCAAGAGGAGGCTCTTCGTCACATCTGGTATGCTCTTAGAAGGTGATGATTTGTCTCCCGATGAATCATCCTCTTCTCGACAACGGCTTGTTCGTAGATCAATTGGAGATGATTTACTCGATGGATTCACAATCCTTTTATCGCGAATCATTCAACAATTTTAGTAACAATGTTCCGCGAATCGCGTTGATGAGATTTTCGCCGATGATCTAGTGATTTTAGCGACTTAATCCTTTACCAGCGATCTGTAGGAAAGTCATGATAATTAGATAAAAATACGAGTTTTGGCTCTAGGAAGATTTGAACTTGTGCCAGTTGTCCGCTTGCATGAGAGAGATTGAAATAAGTATTATAATGCCTTTATCAAGTGACGTCATCATGATATATCTTTGTTATAAATAAAAGATATTTTAGGTATTTAAATCTTCAAACCTTTTCGAGGGAAGGTATGACATGGGTTTAGTCCCACATCACTTGTACGTCAAAGTTTTGGGTGCATATATAGTAATATTATATTTGTAAGTAATGAGTCCCTTTCTCTCACATGTACGACCACTCTTTACCCCACAATTGGCTGGCCATTGGTGATGTGGAAGGGGAGTGGCGCACACGTGCCCCCATCAGTCCTAACTGCTTGAGCCCTTGCTCACGGCTCTTCCTCGACTACGCTTTCGACCCACTTGTAAGCCCAGCTGGCTGGTGAGTCCCCCCCCATTTTGCTATATTTTTATTTTAATTTTTTTATCTTCATTTATCTCAAAAATAAGATTAGAAAAATCATATAAATTCGTATAAAATCACATAATTACCCAAAAATTCACGTTAATCAATTGAAAACCACTTTTCACACTTTAACACAAATATAAGTCTATTTATCATGATTTAAGGCTAAAACTATATTATTTACTAATTATTAACTCATGATATGAAGACTTATCACTGGTCATATGAGTGGAGGCCCCTAAGTTGATAATCCCTAATGATGAAGAGGAAAGTAAGGAGAGCATGTGTACTTGATGTAGAAGGAGTCGAAAATGAGGTGAGGTTGGTGGAAGAAGAGGTGTTGCTAAGACTATTATGATTGATGTGTGACAAAACACGTCATACTTCGTAGACGTCAGGTTGATGTTGAAAGTCAAGGCATGAACGTTTGAAGGAGCGAGTGAGATGAGAGCTGAAGGAGCCATTGTTGATTGGGGGGAAGTAGGTTTGTTGAATTACTTCCAACATTTGTTGGCCTAGTGGTTCTACTTGCTGCAATAGGGACACAGGGGAAGGAGTTGGGGCCCTTTCCACAAGGAGGAGGACTGCCCTCAAGGCAAGAAGATGGGCCATCATCCTGAGCCTGAAGAGCGATGATGACCATAGCCGAGGGGGAAGTTGCGGCACTTGTGGAGGAAGGTGGAGAGGGCAAGGACGTACTAGTTATGACCCAAAGTGCCGCAAAGAAGATGGGAGTGAGGCTGAGTACCCAATCACTAGAAAGAACAGAATTGCAGATCTAGGACACAGTGGAAGGATGAAGTCTGCTAAGGTACACATCAGCATAGAACTCTTGACGATAGCACTAGAGCATCAAGAGGTCTGAGGTGAGAGGTTGATAAATGTCCACCTCTTGAATGAGGGCTTGTAGGTGACCGTAGGATACCTAGAGAGAGAGAGATTATCTTGCTTGTAGTTGAGGAGAGACTCGATGATTTCTACCACTCTGACTGATGTACATCTAGTTGGCGTACATGATCTCTAGATTGTCCCATAGAAGGCATGTCAACTTGATATGAGAGAGAGGCTCGGTGATGCTCTGCTCGATGCTATGGAGCATCCAAGTGATAATGACTAAGTTGATTTGCGACTAGTAGGCAAAAGAAGGGTCACGGAGAGCTAGAGAGTCATCCGTGAGATGATGGAGGCAATGAGATTACAGAAAGAGTTTGAAGCCGAACACCCATGATGTGTTCATGCTTTCATTTTAACTTTATAAATCTTAGAATTCTCATATGCCTCATTTCAAATCTCATTTAACTCATGTCATTCACGTAATCATTTCTTTCTAGCATCATCAATAGATAAATTCAATTTTTTAATTGCCCAATATGTTCTATGCTCTAGTTCTATGAGAAGATCACATACTTTACCAAAAAATAATCTATATGGTGACATGCCTAAGAGAGTTTTATATGCTGTCCTATATGCCCATATAGAGCATCGTATAGTCTTATAGATTAATTCTTTCCATCTAGCCTACAGATTATTTATAGAATTTTTATGGCCATTGAATGTGTAAGCATGCCGAGTGAGTTGTGTCGTAATAGAGTGGCGTGTGAAGGGGGGAGGGCACTAGAGGAGGTAGAACGTTGTCTAGTAAGAGCTCTGAGGCATGTGGGGATGGGGACTGATAAGTCTTCATTATCATGAGTTAATAATTAGTAAATAATATAGTTTTAGCCTTAACTCATAATAAATAGACTTATGTTTATGTTAAAGTGTGAAAAGTGGTTTTCAGTTGATTAACGTGAATTTTTGGGTAATTATGTGATTTTATACGAATTTATATGATTTTTACAGTCTTACTTTTGAGATAAATAAATAAAAATAAATAAAAATAAAACTATAGCAAAATGGGGGGGAGGAGCTACGAGTAGGGGCTCAAGCGGCTAGAACTGATAGGGGCACGTGTGCCCCACTCCCCTTCCACGTCACCGGTGGCTAGTCAACTATGGGGCAAGAAGTGGTCGTACACGCACGAGAAAGGGACTTGATTGTAAATCTAATATTACTATATATTTGCCAAAAACTTCGGCACACAAGCGATGTGGAACTAAACTTGCATCACGCATTCCTCAGAAAGGGCGGGCAACTGGTGCGAGTTTGAATCCTCCTAGAGCCAAAACTCATAATTTTTATTTGATTATCGTGACTTCCTACAGATTGCCAGTGAAGGATTAAGCCACCAGAATTGCTGGATCATCGGCAAAAATCTCGTCAACGTGATTTGCAGAGTATTGTTACTAAAATTATTGAACGATTCACGATAAAACGATCGCGAATCCATTGAGTAAAGCATCTCTGATTGATCGATGAACAAGTTGTCATCGAGAAGAGGATGATCCGTCAAGAGACGAGTCACCACCTCTTGAGAGTGTATCGAATGCGATGAAGAGCCTACTTGATGTGACTTAGTCATTGTATAGTAAATCACACAAATTTAAAATTTTTGAAATTAGAAAATACGAATTTTTAGATATTTAGAAGTATTTCTGAACAAATATATCAATTATAATTCAATAAAACTTTCAAAAATAGCGATAATTTTCCAGGTCGATCACAAGAATGTAATATAATATCAGGTAATTATTCAGAATTTTTCTCAAAGAATACTGTTTTCTATGAATTTTAAATTAGAAAATAAAAATGAAATATATTTAAAATTTATGATAAAGGAAAATAAGGGTGCGGATGTTAGGATGACGTCAGCACCTTGTGAACACAAATTGGGTAGAAATAGAGTTCTGCCTGACAATTCTTACGTAAGCGATTATAGACGATTTAATTAATCAAATTAAGATCTGTAAAAGCCGGAAGAATCGTAATTGAATGAAATATATTTTGGTGTAAATTTAAATCACACAAATTATCACTAAATGAAGTGAAAATTAAGTTGAAAGCAAGAAAATAAAGTTCCGGCATCGCTACGGCGATGCGTTGGCGATGCATTGGAATCCTAAGTATTTGGGAGGATCGTCGTATAGTCTCCACGGCCTTGAAGGCTCTCCTTGGACAAGGATGATTGGGCAATCTCTAGATCTCCTTGCAAAGTCTAAAGATCAATGAAATGAGTCGTTGAATTGTCTCCGACGACTGTCACCTGGTGGAGCGGAAAAACGACAACTTTGCGGTTCTTTGGCGGCTGTCACCCGACGGAGAGGAGTTGGATGGAGGTGGGGCACATGTCAAGGAGCTTCATCCTCAAGTCTACACAACAAGATGAGGCTCTTCATCGCATCTGGTACGCTCCTAGGAGGTGGTGACTCATCTCCCGGCAGATCATTCTCTTCCCAACGACGACTTGTTCGTCAATCAATCGGAGATGCTTTACTCCATGGATTCGCGATCCTTTTATCGCGAATTATTCAGCAATTTTAGTAACAATGCTCTGCGAATCACATTGATAATATTTTCACCAATGATCCAGTATTTTTGGCAGCTTAATCCTTCGCTGGCGATCTACAGGAAAGTCGCAATAATCAGATAAAAAAATATGAGTTTTGGCTCTAGGAGGATTCGAACCCGCCCCGGTTGCCCGTCCCTTTCTGAGGAAGTTGTGACACGGGTTTAGTCCCACATCGCTTGCGCCAAAATTTCGGGCGAATATATACTAATGTTAGATTTGCAAGCAAGTCTTTTTTTTACGCATGTACGACCACTCCTTGCCCCACAGTCGGCTGACCACTGATGATGTGGAAAGGGAGTGGCACACACGTGCCCCTATCGGTCCAAGCCGCTTGAGCCCCTACTCGTGGCTACTCCCTAACTGCACTTCCGACCCGCTTGTGGGCTCAGCTGGCTGGCGGGTTCCACCCATTTTATTTTATTTTTATTTTTATTTCTTTTTCTTCATTTATCTCAAAAGTAAGACTGTAAAAATCATATAAATTCGTATAAAATCACATAACTACCCAAAAATTCATGTTAATCAACTAAAAACCACTTTTCACACTTTAACACAAATATAAGTCTATTTATCATGAGTTAAGGCTAAAACTATATTATCTACTAATTATTAACTCATGATAATGAAGACTTATCACTCCTTTTGCTGCGAGGACCTGAGCATGAAGTTCTCTAACATGTGCCTCACCTCCATCCAGCTCCTCTTCGTGGGGTGACAGCTGCCAAAGAACCGCAAAGTCATCATTTTTTCGCTCCGCTGGGTGACAGCCGCCGAAGATGATTCGACGACCCATTTCATTGATCTCTAGACTTTGCAACGAGATCTAGAGATTGCCCACTGACGTGACTCAGTCGTTGTATAGTAAATCATGCAAATTTTAAATTTACAAAACTAGAAAATACAATTTTTTGAATATTTAGAAGTATTTCTGAAAAAATATATCAATTATAATTCAATAAAACTTCCAAAAAATAGCGATAATTTTCCAAGTCGATCACATGGATGTAATATAATATCTGGTAATTATTCAGAATTTTTCTTAATGAATAAGATTTTCTATGAATTTTATACTAGGAAATGAAAAGGAAATATATTTAAAAGTCACGAAAAAGGGAAATAAGGGTGCAGACATCAAGATGACATTAGTGCCTGGCAAACGCGAATCGAGCGGAAATAGAGTTCCGCCCAATGATTCTTACGTAAGCGATTACAGATGATTTAATGAATTAAATTAAGATCTATAAAAGCCAGAAGAATCGTAATTGAACAAAGTATATTTTGGTAAATTAAAATCAGAAAAATTATCACTAAATGAAGCGTAAAGTAAGTTGAAAGCAAGAAAACAGAGTTCTGGCGTCACGACGGTGATGCGTCGGTGATGCACCAGAATCTTGAGCATTTGGGAGGATTGTCGTGCAGTGTCCACAGCCTCGAAGGCTCTCCTTGGACAAAAATGATGTGGGCAATCTCTAGATCTCCTTGCGAAGTCTAGAGATTAATGAAATGGGTTGTCGAATCGTCTCCGGCGGCTGTCACCCCGTGGAGTGGAAAAATGGTGACTTTGCGGCTCTCCGACGGCTGTCACCTGACGGAGAGGAGCTGAATGGAGGTGGGGCGCGTGTTAGGGAGCTTCATCCTCAGGTCTGCGCAGCAAGAGGAGGCTCTTCATCGCATCCAGTATGCTCTCAAGAGGTGACGACTCGTCTCTCGGTGGATCGTCCTCTTCTCGACGATGGCTTCTTCATCGATCAATCAGAGATGATTTACTCGATGGATTTGCGATCCTTTTATCGCGAATCGTTCAACAATTTTAGTAGCAATGCTCCACGAATCGTGTTGACGAGATTTTCACCAGTGATCCAGCGATTCTCGTTGCTTAATCCTTCACTGGCAATTTGCAGGAAAGTCGTGATAATCAGATAAAAATATATGACTTTTGACTTTGGGAGGATTCGAATCCGCGCCGGTTGCCCGCCCTTTCTAAGGAAGGTAATGTAGGTTTAGTCCCACATCAATTGTGCACCGATTTTTTGGGCGAATATATACTAATGTTACATTTGTTAGCAAGTCCCTTCCCTCGCGTGTACGACCACTCTTTGCCCCACAACCGGTTGGCCACCGGTGATGTGGAAGGGGAGTGGTGCACATGTGCCCCTATTGGTCCAAGCCGCTCGAGCCCCTGCTCGCGGCTACTCCCTGACTGAGCTTCCGACCCGCTTGTGGGCCCAGCTAGCCAGCGGGTCCCCATCATTTTGTCTTATTTTTATTTTCTATTTCTTTTTCTTCATTTATCTCAAAAGCAAGACTATAAAAATCATATAAATTCGTGTAAAATCACATAATTACCCAAAAATTTACAGTAATCAACTGAAAACCATTTCCCACACTTTAACACAAATATAAGTCTATTTATCATGAGTTAAAGCTAAAATTACATTATTTACTAATTATTAACTCATGATAATGAAGACTTATCACAGCCCCCAACTTAAATCATTGCTAGTTCCTTAGCAATGGAATTACGAAAATAAAAATTTACAAATCTCAAACATCATATTTCAATACAGAAAAAAAATACGATTAGAAATGATGCACCTTTAGACACTTTGGATTCTTATATCAAGTATTTAAGAATGATGTCAGGCACTTAAATGTTTAAACACTCCTTGGAATAACAATCTAGACGTCACTTCTTCTATTTACATCTTTATCACTTCTTCACTCATAGATGTATTTACAAGATGTTCGAATTATCAATACTCATCCAAGAATAATATTGATCCTACATTTCCTTTTTTCTATGGCTTGATTTTTGAAGTTTGCACTATATTTCTTCCTTCTTTTTTACTTTTTTTTTATATATAGTGGATAAGTAGCTTTTCATGTAGACAAATTTCGACAATAAGAATGATGTCTCACACCCTCCATGTGTACTCTTCATTTTCAGGGCTTTCACTTTATCCACTTATTTTGCAGCAAGTGTTTTTCTATGCATGATTTTCGACAATGAGAATGATGTCTCACACCCTCTATGTGTACTCTTCATTTCTAAATTTTTCACATTGCTCTCTCTTTTTTTTTTTTTTTGAAATAAGTGATTTCTTCTCACAAGTCCTATAGATCAGGGTGTAAAAATCTCCATTAAACTCAAATGATCAATCAAATTTTCACATCAAGTAAATACTATCCATCAAGATCATGAAGTGAAAATCTGTAAAATCAAATCTATGTTATCTATCATGTATCCAAGGAGTATTCCAACATTTCATGCTACTAGATCATTCTTTTGACTCAATAATAATCTTCCTAGTATCTTTTGGTATCAATCAATCTAATTGATTTAATTTTTCATGCATGCAATATGATGTAAGAGATTTGTAAATTAGATAGTTCTAACAATTCTCTTTTCTGTTTTCAGTTCTATTTTTAGCAGCAATAAATTTGTCAAAGATAAATCAAAACTATCCTCTTTATAGTTGTAATTTCGAATTTCAGTAATATATGTCTAGGGGATTGAAATGTGAGAAAAGGGTCTCTAGAATTTCAAATTTCAGGCTATTTTTTTGTCTGCTATTTTTGACAGTCTGTTGTTCCTAATAGAAAACCAAAAAATAGATGTTGCAGTTTTTTTGAATTTTATTTTATTTTTATTTTTTTAGTTGCTGTTCTAAGTTGAATAAAATGCAAACACATGTTCTTAATCTTCCTACAACATAAATTAATAATGAACACTTCACCCCCCAACTTAAAAATGACATTGTCCTTAATGACACAGAAAAATCGAAATAGAATATGCAGAAAATATAATTTTCAAGTGAAGCATGCATATGTGTAAAGTTAAGCATTAAAAATATTTTCATAAATGATAAAACTCAGAAAGACATCACCTCAACCAAGTTTTTAATTTTTCACTTCATCTTATACTCCTACTGCACTTTTTCGAAAAAACAAATACAGAAACAAGTATTGCGAAATTCTAAGAAAAACAGAGCTTAAAAAAAATCAAACAGAATGAAATAAAAACCATGGGTTGCCTCCCATGCAGCACTGAATTTAATGTCTTCAACTGGACAGCTCTTAGATCATATAAGATGATCTATGGCCATCAAAATATATTTGTATCCCAAGGTAAGTTTCATGATATTCTTTTTCAGATTTAGCATAAATTTATATACTTCATATATATACCTTGACATACTTTCAGCAAAAAAAAAATGGAAATTATCAAAATTTTCCCAAAATTAATATTTTTATTTTGAAAAGAATCTTTCCTCATTTCTATCTTGTTTTGTAAGGCTATCATTCATTAATAAATACTTTCTATTAATAGATCATAAAGTGTGATCAGGTCATATAATTTTTAAATTAGCTCTTACCCAATCTAGAATTTTTTCATCTAAATTGATATCTCTAATTCTTCCACTCACCCATTTCTTAATGTGCTCTTTTATCTGCATAATCTTCCCCTGCTCCATTTTATCTTCCATACATATTTGTTCAATTTGCGAGGAGTGAAATATTTCAAGCTTAGAAATAATTCTAATGGGCTGTGGGTTTTGAAGGATGGAAGGATTGTCTTCTTTAATCTCAGATCTAATGAATTCAGTAAAATTTAAATTTTCTCCTCCAAAATTATCTCTATATTCATATTCATTATTTTCGTTTCTCCCCATTAGTTGAATCAACTCTTTTTCTAGCTTTTCATTTCTCAACTCATCAAACTCTTCATCTTCCCAAGAGCTATCTTTTAATTTCGGTATATGATATACATCATCATCCTCACTATCAACATCCATGGCTGCAAAATTATGATTAGATTTATTAATTTCGTCTCCTACATCTTCCAAATCAACTGATTTTTTCTCACCTGAAATATATTTTTTCTTCATTTCTATCCTTACTCCCTTCTATTAAAATTTGGATGATTTTTCCATGATCAGCTGCTGTTTCTTTATCTAAGGGCTCTTTCTCCTCATCATCCTCACAATATTCATTCATCAATTGTGAGCAATAAATGATTTTATTCAAATTTTCTGCTACTATATTTTCAGCCTTAATATTCTCATTTACTTCTAATGGATCATCGATTTCTTCTAATAGTTAGAAATAAGGATCAAATAAAATATTCTCACTCAATGTATTCACTGTCCTAACATTTTCATTTCGTGGGTTTTTTCCTAGATTCATGCTACTAGACTCCCCTTGCTGAAATCCTATTGTTGGGCGGTTCCTTGGATTTTCTATGGGCTGACTAGGTAGTTGTCCCTCTTCTCTCCTATTCTCAAAAGCTTCTATAATTTGTTTTTGGTGCAACATCATTTGATTTATAGTTTTTTGCATCATTTGGCTCATAGTTTGTTACATCATTTGGCTCATTTGCTGCATCATTTCTATAGTATCAGGTTGGGTTTGAGAGGGTTGATTTTTCTGAAATCCGTTTTCTTGTTTTAGATGAAATTCAGAGTCTGAATTGGATCTAAGTGCTTCTGGATTTTGAATATTATTTGGGTTTCTCCACGAAAAATTATTCCCCCAATTAAGATTATAAGAATTAGAAGAATATTCCCAATTTTTTACTAAAATCGTGGGGTACTTGCACTTGTTCTTGCCTAGGATGATATTGAAATTTGAAATGATCATTTTCACCATACATAAGATGTGTACTATTTGAATTAAATTGAGGGTTAAGAGGCTTTCTCATATTGTCAATAAGTAAATGAAGTTTTTCTAATCTTTGATTAATCTAATTAACCTCATTTCTAAATTTAGAATCATCATCATGATGCAATTCATAAATTCCTCTCTTCTTATCCCTATCATATAATTCAAAAGAGGCTTGATCTCTAGAATTTTCACTTAAATTCTCATAAAGACTGTAAATCTCATCAGGGGTTTTCTCCATAAAAGCTCCTCCACATATAGAATCAACTATATTTCTATGTTGTTCTAATAATCCATCATAAAAAATTCTATGGAGCTGCCACTTGGGTATAACATGATGAGGATACTTTCTAAGTAAATCTTTGAATCTTTTCCATGTCTCATGTAAAGTTTCTCCTGGTCTTTGAGAAAAATTCTATATATGTTTTCTCATATTTTGAGTTTTTTCTAAGGGATAAATTTTTCGAAGAAAGGCCTGTTCTATGTCTTTCTAGCTAGTTAATTCTCTATCTAATGTGGATAGCCAATGACTAGCTTTGTCCCTAAGTGTATGAGGAAATAATTTCATCTTAATAATTTTCGGTGTAATTTGAGGGAGATTAACTAAATCACAGATCATATGAAATTTTTCTAAGTACTGATGAGGTTCCTCTAAAGGCAATCCATGAAAATTAGGGAACATTTGAAAAATTCTTAGATTTATTTCGAATTTAACAGTGGATGCTAATGGGACTCTAATATTGGATGCTCTTTGAATTGAATCAAGGATATAATAATTTTTCATGGCCATAGGATTGTTCTCAATTTGACTTGTACTTCCTTCAGGATCCATCAAAATTAATTTTTCTTTCGGATTTTTATTTTTGAATGAAATAATGAAAGGATTTTTTAGCCTTGGATGTAAGGATCTTCTACCATGTATAAAAATCAATAATTTCGAGGGAAAAATTTAGTAATTGTTACCCTCCTTCAGTATGCTCCAGTCCTTGCCTTGCTTCTTTTCGTTGCCTTTTTCTAAAAAAAAAATCGGCAAAAAAAAAATCAAACAAGAGTTAATTTTTTTTGTGTACTCTAAGAGAAAAATAGAAAAATACTAAATATTATGCAATACAACCCCAGCAACAACGCCAAAATTTGACGTGACTCAGTCGTTGTATAGTAAATCATGTAAATTTTAAATTTATAAAACTAGAAAATACAATTTTTTGGATATTTAGAAGTATTTCTGAACAAATATATCAATTATAATTCAATAAAACTTCCAAAAAATAACAATAATTTTTCAGGTTGATCACAAGAATGTAATATAATATCTGGTAAGTATTCAGAATTTTTCTCAATGAATAAGATTTTCTATGAATTTTATACTAGGAAATGAAAAGGAAATATATTTAAAATTCACGAAAAAAGGAAATAAGGGTGCGGACATCAGGATGATGTCAGCACCCGGCGAACGTAAATCGGACAGAAATAGAATTCCGCCCGGTGATTCTAATGTAAGCGATTATAGACGATTAAATTAATCAAATTAATATCTGTAAAAGTGAGAAGAATCGTAATTGAACAAAGTATATTTTGATAAATTAAAATCACAAAAATTATCACTAAATGAAGCGTAAAGTAAGTTGAAAGCAAGAAAACAAAGTTCCGGCGTCGCGACGACAATGCGTCAGCGATGCACCGGAATCTTGAGCATTCAGGAGGATTGTCGTGCAGTGTCCACAGCCTTGAAGGCTCTCCTTGGACAAAGACAACGTGGACAATCTCTAGATCTCCTTGCAAAGTCTAGAGATTAATGAAATGGGTCGTCGAATCGTCTCCGGCGGCTGTCACCCAGTGGAGCGGAAAAACGGCGACTTTGCGGCTCTCCGGTGGCTGTCACCCGATGAAGAGGAGCTGGATGGAGGTGGGGCGCGTGTCAGGGAGCTTCATCCTCAGGTCTGCGCAGCAAGAGGAGGCTCTTCATTGCATCCGGTACGCTCTCAGGAGGTGGCGACTCGTCTCTCAGCGGATCGTCCTCTTCCCGACGACGGCTTGTTTGTCGATCAATTGGAGATGATTTACTCGATGGATTCGTGATCCTTTTATCGCGAATCGTTTAACAATTTTAGTAGTAATGCTCCGTGAATCACGTTGACGAGATTTTCGCCAGTGATCCAGCGATTCTCATTGCTTAATCCTTCACCGGCGATTTGCAGGTATGTCGCGATAATCAGATAAAAGTATATGACTTTTGACTCTAGGAGGATTCGAACCCGCGTCGGTTGCCCGCCCTTTCTAGGGAAGGTGATGCAAGTTTAGTCCCACATCAGTTGTGCACCGATTTTTTGGGTGAATATATACTAATATTACATTTGTTAGCAAGTCCCTTCCCTCACGTGTATGACCACTCCTTGCCCCACAGCCGGCTAGCCATCGGTGACGTGGAAGGGGAGTGGTGCACACGTGCCCCTATTGGTCCAAGCCACTCGAGCCCTTGCTCGTGGCTACTCCCTAACTGAGCTTCCGACCCGCTTGCGGGGCCTGGCTGGCCGGCGGGTCCCCCTCATTTTGTCTTATTTTTATTTTTTATTTCTTTTTCTTCATTTATCTCAAAAGTAAAACTGTAAAAATCATATAAATTCGTGTAAAATCACATAATTACCCAAAAATTCACATTAATCAATTAAAAACCATTTCTCACACTTTAACATAAATATAAGTCTATTTATCATGAGTTAAGGCTAAAACTACATTATTTACTAATTATTAACTCATGATAATGAAGACTTATCACTCACGTTGTCCTTGTCTAAGAAGAGCCTTTGAGGCCGTGGACACTATACGATGATCTTCTCGAACACTCAAGATTCCGGTGCATCACTAACGCATTGCTGCCATGATACCAGAACTTTGTTTTCTTGCTTTGAACTTAGTTTTTGCTTCATTTAATGATAATTTACATGATTTAAATTTACCAAGATATACTTCATTCAATTATGATTCCTCTGACTTTTACAAATCTTAATTTGATCAATTAAATCATCACTTACGTAAGAATTGCTGAGGAGAACTCTATTTCTGCTTGATTCGTGTTCGCTGGGCGCAGACCTCATCCTGACGTCCACACCCTTATTTCCCTTTTTCGTGAATTTTAAATATATTTTATTTTTATTTCCTAGTATAAAATTTATAGAAAATAGTATTCTTTGAGGAAAAGTTTGAATAATTACCTGATATTATATTACATCCGTGTGATTGACCTGAAAAATTACCACTATTTTTTGGAAATTTTATTGAATTATAATTGATATATTTGTTCAGAAATACTTCTAAATATCCAAAACTTCATATTTTCTAGTTTTATAAATTTTAAATTTGCATGATTTACTAAACAATGACTAAGTCATGTCAAATTTTTGTGCGGTTGCCAGGGAGGTATTACATAATATTTAGAATTTTTCTATTTTTCTCTTAGAGTACACAAAAAAATTAACTCTTGTTTTATTTTCTTCTTGTCAATTTTTATTTTATTTTAAAAGGAATGAAGAGAAGCAAGGCAAGGACTGGAGCATCCTGAAGGAGTATAACAATTACTAAAATTTTTCCTCAAATTTATTGATTTTTTATACATGGTAGAAAATCCTTGTATCCAAGGCTAGAAAATCCTTTCATTATTTCATTCAAAACAAAAAATCCGAAAGAAAATATAATTTTGATGGATCTTGAAGGAAGTACAGGTCAAATCGAGAACAATCCTATGGTCATGAAAAATTATTATATCCCTAATTCATTTCAAGGAACATCTAATATTAGAGTCCCTTTAGCATCCACTGTTAAATTCGAAATAAATCCAGAAAGTTTTCAAATGCTCCCTAATTTTCATGGATTGCCTTTAGAGGAACCTCATCAGCACTTAGAAAAATTTCATATTGTCTGTGATTTAGTTAATCTCCCTCAAGTTACACTAGAAATTATTAAGATGAAATTATTTTCTCATACACTTAGGGACAAAGCTAGCCATTGGCTATCCACATTAGATAGAGAATTAACTAGTTGGAAAGACATAGAATAGACTTTTCTTCAAAAAATTTATCCCTTAAGAAAAACTCAAAATATGAGAAAATATATATAGAGTTTTTTTGAAAGACCAGGAGAAACTTTACATGAGAGATGAGAAATATTCAAAGATTTATTTATAAAGTGTCCTCATCATGCTACACCCAAGTGACAGCTCAATAGAATTTTTTATGATGAATTATTAGAACAACATAGAAATATGGTTGATTCTATATGTGGAGGAGCTTTTATGGAGAAAACTCTTGATGAAATTTACAGTCTTTATGAGAATTTAAGTGAAAATTCTAGAGATCAAGTCTCTTTTGAATTATATGACAGGGATAAGAAGAGAGAAATTTATGAATTGCATCATGATGATGATTCTAAATTAAGAAATGAGGTTAATCAGATTAATCAAAGATTAGAAAAACTTGATTTACTTATTGACAATATTAGAAAGTCTCTTAACCCTCAATTTAATTAAAATAGTATATGTCTTATGTATGGTGAAAATGATTATTTCGAATTTCAATATTATAATTTAGATCAATCATTTCACCCTATGCAAGAACAAGTGCAAGTAGCTCATGGTTTTAATAGAAATAGGGAACCTTATTCAAATTCTTATAATCTCTATTAGAGGAATAATTTTTCATGGAGAGACCCAAATAATATTCAAAATCCAGAAGCACTTAGACCCAATTTAAACTCTGAATTTCGTCTAAAATAAGAAAACAGATTTCAAAAAAATCAGTCTTCTCAAACCCAATCTGATACTATGGAAATGATGTAAAACATGAGCCAAATGATGCAACAAACTATGAATCAAATGATGCTGCAGTAGAAACAAATTATAGAGGCCCTTAGGAATAAGAGAGAAGAGAGACAGCTACCTAGTCAGCCCATAGAAAATTCAGAGAACCGCCCAATAATAAAATTTCAGCAAGGGGAGTCTAGTAGCATGAATCTAGGAAAAAACTCACGAAATGTAAATGTTAGGACAATGAATGCATTAAGGAGTGGTAAGATCCTACCTAATCCTTATCTCCAAACATTAGAAGAAAAAGAAAACATGGACAACCCAAAACAAAATCAAATAAGAGTAGAAGAGGATTTTATAGATTCTACCAAGGAAATTTCGAAAGAGAGGACAACCATTCCATTTCCTAAAGCTCTAGAGCCTAGAGAAAGAAAGAAAAAGGAACACAATGAAGAAATAAAGAAAATTTTACAAGATGTGCAAATTAGTCTTCCTTTACTCACTGCCATTGAACATATTCCTGAATATGCTAGAGTTTTGAAAGAAATGTGTACACCAAAAAGGGCACCTAGAGTAGAAAAATTATCTATGCATGCTAGTGCATTATTATTAAATCAATTACCATATAAATTGAGAGATACAGGTGCCCCTTTAATTTCGTGTGATATTGGTGGATCCATTTTTTAGAAAGCTTTACTTGACACCGGTGCTAGTATTAATTTATTACCTACAAGTATTTGTGATAAGTTTAATATTTCTAATCTTAAACCATCTATTGTTACCTTATAATTTACTAATAGATCCATAAAACATCCTAAAGGTATTTTAGAAAATGTGATAGTGACAATTAAAGGGGTGTAAATTTCCAGTTGATTTTGTAGTGCTGGAAATGAATTTTAATGGATAGTTTTATGATACGTCAATCATCCTAGGGAGACCAATTTTGTATAAAACAAAGATGAATATTAGTTTTCCCACAGGTATTGCGAAAATTTCATGTGGAGATCAATCAGTAGAAATTAAAATTTTTAGGTATCCAATGATCTTAAGAAATCCCAAGTATAAGATTGTCATACCATAGATCTTATAAATAATTTTGATGATCCAGATGTTATTGATGACTCTATGCTAGAAGAATTAGAGGAAATAGAGAACATAAATTTGGGAGAAAAGAAAGAGGATGATCATCTGAATTTAGAGTTGAAACTTCTTCTTTCTTGTTTAAAATATCTGTTTTTAGAGGAAAATAATTCATTTCCTGTTATTATTGCAGTTGATTTGAGTGATGAATAGGAAGAAGAATTATTAGATGTACTTTGAAAAAATAAGAAGGCTATGGGCTGGAAAATGGATGATCAAAGGGGCATTGATATGAGTGTATGCATGCATAATATATATCTAGAGGAGGGGGCTAGATTTAGTAGGGAACAACAACGAAGATTAAATCCTAACATGATGAAAATTGTAAAAAAATAAATTTTAAAGTTGTTGGTTGTTGATATTATTTATCCTATTTCAGATACCAACAAAAGTGGTGCCAAAAAAATCAGGGATCACAGTTATAGAAAAAAAAAATGGGGATGAAATACAAACAAGATTAACTACCAGTTGGTGGGTTTGCATTGATTATAGAAAATTAAATTTAGTTACTAGAAAAGATCATTTTTCCCTTGATAAGTCTTCATTATCATGAGTTAATAATTAGTAAATAATATAGTTTTAGCCTTAACTCATGATAAATAGACTTATATTTATGTTAAAGTGTGAAAAATGGTTTTCAGTTGATTAACATAAACTTTTGGGTAATTATGTGATTTTATACAATTTTTACAGTCTTACTTTTGAGATAAATGAAGGAAAAGAAATTAAAATAAAAATATAACAAAATGGGGGGGCCCGCCGGCCAGCTGGGCCCGCAAGCGGGTCGGAAGCACAATCAGGCAAGAGGCGTGAGCAGGGGCTCGAGCGGCTTGAACCGATGGGGGCATGTGTGCGCCACTCTCCTTCCACGTCACCGGTGGCCAGTCGGCTGTGGGGCAAGGAGTGGTCGTACACGCATGAGAAAGGGACTTGATCGGGAATGTAATATTACTTTATATTTGCCAGAAACTTCAGCACACAGCCGATGTGGGACTAAACCCACGTCACCTTCCCCAAAAAGGGCGGGCAACCGATACGGGTTCGAATCCTCCTAGAGCCAAAGTTTATATTTTTTTATTTGATTATCACGACTTTCTTGCAGATTGCCAGTGAAGGATTAAGCAACCAAAATTACTAGATCATCGGCGAAAATCTTGTCAACACGATTCGTAGAGTATTGTTACTAAAATTACTGAACGATTCGCGATAAAAGGATCGCGAATCCATTGAGTAAAGCATCTCTGATTGATTGACGAACAAGTCATCATCGGGAAGAGGACCATCTACTGGGAGATGAGTCGCCACCTCCTGAGAAAGTACTGGATGCGATGAAGAGCCTCCTCTTGCTGCGCGGACCTGAGGATGAAGCGCCCTGACATGCGCCCCACCTCCATCCAGCTCCTCTCCGTCGGGTGACAGCCACCAGAGAGCCACAAAGTTGCTATTTTTCCACTCCGCCGGGTGACAGCTGCCGGAGACGATTCGACGACTCATTTTATTAATCTCTAGACTTTGCAAGGAGATCTAGAGATTGCCCACGTTGTCTTTGTCCAAGGAGAGCCTTCGAGGCCGTGGACACTACACGAGGATCCTCCCGAACGCTTAGGATTCTAGTGCATCACCGACGCATCGCTGCCGCGATGTCGGAACTCTATTTTTCTACTTTCAACTTAACTTCTGTTTTATTTAGTGATAATTTGTTGATTTTAAATTGCCAAGATATACTTCATTTTATTACGATTCTTCCAGCTTTTACAGATCTTCATTTCATTATGCCAGAACTCTATTTCCGCCCAATTTGCATTCGTCGAGTGATGACGTCATCCTGACATCCACACCCTTATTCCCTTTTTTGTGAACTTTAAATATATTTCCTTTTCATTTCCTAGTATTAAATTCATAAAAAATGTTATTCTTTGAGAAAAATTCTAAATAATTACTAGATATTATATTACATCCTTGTGATCGACCTAGAAAATTATCACTATTTTTGAAAGTTTTATCGAATTATAATTGATATATTTGTTCAGAAATACTTCTAAATATCTAAAAAGTCGTATTTTCTAGTTTTATAAATTTTAAATTTGCGTGATTTACTATACAACGACTAAGTCACGTCACCCTACCATTTACTAATCAAATTCTAGAAAAATTATTTAGAAAAAACTATTTTTGTTTTTTGGATGGATACTCTAGTTATAATCAAATTTATATAAATCTTTTAGATTAAGAAAAAATAACTTTCACTTTTCTATTTAGTACTTTTACTTTTAAACACATGCCTTTTGGTCTATGTAATGCTCCAACCACATTTCAAAGATGTATGTTGTCTATTTTTTCTAATGAGACTAGAAAATGTGTGGAAATTTTTATGAACGCTTTTTCTGTTTTTGGTGAATCATTTGATAAATGTTTAAATCATTTACAACATGTACTTGAGAAATATATAGAGAAAAAAATTAGTTTTGAGTTGGGAGAAATCACATTTTATAGTTAGAGAGGGAGTTGTGTTGGGTCATATTGTGAGTGAAAGGGGTTTAGAGGCAGATAGAGCAAAAATTGATATTATATCTAAAATAAAACCTCCAAATTTAGTAAAACAGATTATATCTTTCTTGGGTCATGTAGGTTATTATACAAAATTTATTCAAGATTTTTTGAAAATTTTTAAACCTCTCACCAAGTTATTATCTATAGATGTGCCTTTTTAATTTTGATGAGAAATGTTTTGAGTCTTTTTCTGAAATAAAAAGATTACTTACTAAGGCACCCATTTTACAAGCTCCTGATTGGTCCTTTCCTTTTGAAATAATGTGTGATGCATCAAATTATACAGTGGGGGCCGTTCTAGGACAAACAAAAGAGTCAAAACCCATAGTAATTTCATATGCTAGTAAAACTATATCCAATGCTCAATTAAATTATATCACGATTGAAAAGAGTTGTTAGTTGTAGTATTTTCATTAAAAAGGTTTAGATCATATATTTTGGGAGCTAAAATTATTATTTATACTGATCATATAGCATTTAAATATTTGTTAAATAAGAAAATATAAAGCCACATTTATTAAGATGGATTTATTGTTACAAGAATTTGACTTAGAAATAAAAGATAAAAAGGTTTTGATCATTTTTCTAGATTAAGTGATACAAGAATAAATGCAGCACCTTTACAAGATGTACTTCCAGATGAACAATTGATGGCAGCTCAACATCAACCATCACCATGGTATGCACATATTGTTAATTTTCTGGTTTCTAGAAAAATTCTAGGACAGTGGGATAAGAATAGAAAACATCATTTCTTTTCTAAGATTAAAAATTATTTTTGTCATGATCTTGATTTATATTACTTGGGCAATGATCAAATTTTAAGGAGATGTGTTCTTGAAGAAGAATATCATAGCATTATTAACATGTGCCATTCATCTAACTGTGGAGGACATTTCTCTAGACAAAAAAATAGCTGCAAATTTTTTTCAGTGTGGTTTTTATTAGCCTACAATCATTAGAGATTCTATAGAATTTAGTAGAATATTATTTCATGTCAATCTATAGGTAACATGAGTAAAAAAGATGAAATGCCCATGAGTAACATGTTAGTAGTCAAAAGTTTTGACGTATAGGGAATAGATTTCATGGGTCCCTTCCCATCAACTGAAAAATATGAATATATTTTGCTTGCTGTTGATTATGTGTCGAAGTGGATGGAAGCTATTCCTACTAGAACTAATGATCATAAAATCGTGATGAAATTTGCACAAAAAAATATTTTTTCGAGATTTGGATGTTCTAGAGTGATTATTAGTGATGGAGGAACACATTTTACAAATAAACATTTCAGGGAATTATTGAAAAATAATTGAGTACACCATAGATTAGCCACTGCATATTATCCCCAAACAAATGGGCAAGCTGAAGTAGCAAATAGGGAAATTCAGAGAATTTTGAGAAAAATAGTTAAACTAGATAAGAAAGATTGGCACACGAAATTACAAGATGCATTATGGGCTTGTAGAACAGCTTATAAAAATCCCATAGGTATGTCCTCATTTCATCTCATTTTTGGAAAGCCATCTCATCTTCCTGTGAAAATAGAGCATAAAGTATTATGGGCTATAAAAAATTTATGTACAAATGAAAAATCAGCTGGTGGGCATAGAATTTTTTAGCTAGATAACTAGAGGAGTTGAGGAATAAAGCTTTTGAAAATTATAGAATATATAAAGAAAAAACTAAAATATTTTATGATAAATACATTAGCAAAAAAAAAATTGATGTTAGACAAAATGTGTGGTTATATGATTTTAATCTGAAATTATTCCCAGGAAAATTAAAATCTAAATGGACAAGGCCTTATGTGGTGGAAGAGACATACGATCATGAGGCTGTAATGATTAAAGATCCTAAAAGTGATCATAACTTTAAGGTAAATAGATAGTGGCTTAAACATTACATAGAATATGAACGCCTTACAGAAAAAAAAAATTATTATTAAAAGAAATTCAAGAGTAAGATCAAGGTGTCTAGCTGGAGACATTAAATTCAGCGCCACATGGGAGGCAACCCATGGTTTTTATTTCATTATGTTTGATTTTTTAAGCTTTGTTTTTCTTAGAATTTTGCAGTACTTGTTTCTACGTTTGTTTTTTCCGAAAAAGTGCAGGAGTGTAAGATGAAGTGGAAAATTAAAAACGAGGTTGAGGTGATGTCTTTCTGAGCTTTATCATTTATGACAATATTTTTAATGCTTAACTTTGTATATATGCATGCTTCACTTGAAAATTATATTTTCTGCATATTCTATTTTGATTTTTCTATGTCATTGAGGACAATGTCATTTTTAAGTTGGGGGGTGAAGTATTCATTATTAATTTATGATGTAGGACGATTAAGAACATGTGTTTGCATTTTATTTTTATTTTTTCATGCTCACTTAGAACAACAACTAAAAAAATAAAAATAAAATAAAATTCAGATTTATAAAACTATAACATCTATTTTCTGGTTTTCTATCAGGAACAACAGACTATCAAAAATAATAGACAAAAAAATTTTGAAATTCTAGAGACCCTTTTCTCACATTTCAATCCCCTAGACATATATTACTAAAATTCGAAATTACAACTATAAAGAGAATAGTTTTGATTTATTTTTGACAAATTTATTGTTGCTAAAAGCAGAATTGAAAATAGTAAACAGAACTGTTAGAACTATCTAATTTACAAATTTCTTACATCATATTACATGTATGAAAAACTAAATCAATTAGATTGATTGACACCAAAAGATACTAGGAAGATTATTATTGAGTCAAAAGAATGATCTAATACTATGAAATGTTGAAATACTCCTTGAATATATGATAGATAACATGAATTTGATTTAATAGATTTTCACTTCATGATCTTGATGGATAGTATTTACTTGATGTGAAAATTTGATTGATCATTTGAGTTTAATGGAGATTTTTGCACCTTGATCTATAGGACTTGTGAGGAGAAATCACTTATTTCGAAAAAAAAAAAGAGAGAGTAATGTGAAAAATCTAGAAACAAAGAGTACACATGGAGGGTGTGAGATATCATTCTCATTGTCGAAAATCGTGCATAGAAAAACACTTACTGCAAAATAAGTGGATAAAGTGAAAGCCCTAGAAATGAAGAGTACATATGGAAGGTGTGAGACATCATTCTTATTGTCAAAATTTGTCTACAGGAAAAGTTATTTATCCACTATATATATATATATATATATATATATATAAAGGAGGAAATACAGTGCAAACTTCAAAACTCAAGCAATGGAAAAAAGGAAATGTAAGATCAATATTATTTTTGGATGAGTATTGATAATTAGAACATCTTGTAAATATATCTATGAGTGAAGAAGTGATAAAGATTTGAATAGAAGAAGTGAAGTTTAGATTGTTATTCTAAGGAGTGCTGAAACATTTAAGTGCTTGACATCATTCTTAAATACTTGATATAAGAATTGAAAGTGTCTAAAGGTGCATCATTTCTAATTATATTTTATTTTATTTATTATATATTGAAATATGATGTTTGAGATTTGTAAATTTTTATTTTTTTAATTCTATTGCTAAGGGACTAACAATGGTTTAAGTTGGGGGGTGTGATAAGTCTTCATTATCATGAGTTAATAATTAGTAAATAATATAGTTTTAACTTTAACTCATGATAAATAGACTTATATTTATGTTAAAGTGTAAAAAGTGGTTTTTAATTAATTAATGTGAGTTTTTGGGTAATTATGTGATTTTATATGAATTTATATAATTTTTACAGTCTTACTTTTGAGATAAATGAAGAAAAAGAAATAAAAATATAGTAAAATGGGGGGGACCTGCTGGCCAGTCAAGCCCACAAGTGGGTTGGAAGGGCAGTCGGGGATGATGCAGGACGGGGCGAGAACCCTCTGTACCTGATCAATGAAACTCGAGACCCGAGAACCGATCTGATAAGAATGTTTGGACCCTAAACTCTAGGTCTGACCACGTAACCTAAGCACATGCAGGCGTACCAATATGCATGATCAACCTAAGACAACCCGGGGAAATACTCGACGATGGTAAGTGTGAGGCCCTCTCGGTCCACGTCCAGATAGACAGCAGAACTGTTGTCGTGAAGTAGCCTAGGGCTGCAGCTCACAAACTGTGACGAGTCTGGCGTAGCGTCGGAAGTCACGATCCGATAACCTGTCCTTTCCTATCTACGTGCTCCTAATGGCAGTATAGACGAGCCGAGAAAACCCTTCGAAAGATAATTAAACTTAAGTAAGAAGGGGTACGGAGCTAACCTTCAAGGCTGTGTAGCCTGGCGGGTCGTGACGGAGCGGAGATCTGACAAAGGCAGGGACGTCCGGTGAAGAGCGATGCTCAGCGTCGACGGTCGGTCCTGGTCGAGAGTCGCCGTAGCCGTCGTCGTAAGGCGTGGCACGGTAGGCGCGGGCGTGGGCCCGCTGGTGGGCTGAAGGGCACGCTAGCGAGCGTGGGTCCGCTGGTGGGCCGAAGGGCACGCTAGCGGGCCTGGGAGGCAAGCCGCGCGGCGGCCTTAGGGCACGCAGGAGTCGGCGCGCGGGGCGCGCGCGGCGGCAGCCCTTCGGCGGGAAGGCCGAGCGTCTGCGGCGCTTCGGCGGGAATGCCGAGCGTCAGCGGCGCTTCGGCGGGAAGGCCGAGCGTTGGCGGTTGGGGCGGAAACCCAACCGTCGCCGGAAGGATCGGCCTCTCTGGCGGCGCCGGGAAGCGGAGCAGAGAGGAGACGATCCGGCCGACGATACCAAGGAGGGTTGAGCTCTCCTGGTCTAAGCGGCGCCGGGAACGGCGCGACGGCGGCGGAGCGTCGGGAAACTCCGGCGGGGGCCTGTGAGGAGCTGGGACTGGTTCTGGCTCGTCGGCACGGCTGCAGGGTCTCTCCCGACGTCGGCGGCAGGTAGGCGTTCGTCGGCGAACGGCCTGCGACTGGGCGGAGCGGCGGACGGCGGCTCCGGCGAGTTTATGGTGGAGTTCCGGATGAAGAGGCGGCAGTCGAACCAGGAGTCGAGAGACTCCGGCGGACTGCTCGGCGACGGCTCGTAGCGAGGCGAAGCGAGCCCCTTTCGTCACGACGGCGTGACGGGGTTCCAGCAGAGGCGGCGGCGGCTGCAGCGGCAACCGCGACCGTTTCGTCCGGTGACGGCGGCGAGCCCCCGGGCGGCAATGAGATGGCCGGCGGCGGCAGTGGTCTCAGGCGGCAGCGGGACTTCTCGGGCAGCAGCGTCACGAGGAACGAAGTCCTCGAAGGGGGTATCGACGGCCTTCCTCTTCCTCCTTCCCTCCCTATCCTAGATCACGGAGAAGGTACTTACAAAACGATAATCTCTCTCAAAAATACGGCGCTCTTTTTGAGGGGGGGTCCTACCTCCCCTTATATGGGGGCCCACAAGTGGGCTAAGGAGAGGTGGGCCCACTTGAGGCCCTCAAGCCCATAAGCCACAAAGGCTACAAGAGGGGCTTATTGGGGCTCTTAAAGAGAGACCCAATAAGCTCCCGTAAAAGGAGAAAGAGGAGGGCCCTATTACGGTGCTTAAGTGGGCCTCAAATGAAGACCCAAATAAGCCCCAAAAGAGGCCCAAAAAGAAAGACACATAGGTCCTCCCCCCTTAGAGTTTTAATTGGGCCTCAACCCAATAAAACCCTAAAGAAAGGGAGACAAACAACAACACACACACATAGAATTGGGCCCACTAACACACAAACGCGAGGCCCAACAAGTCAACGTGAAAATACCAAGAAAGATAAGGGTGAGCTCGAGCTCGTCGTCGTTGCGGAGGTGAAATGTCGTCGTCCCGAAGGGCTAGCCCGTGTAGCGTAAACCAGGCTCCTTTATCTTTGTGCGTCGATCAGGCTGAACTCGGACTACCGGTGTCTCCTGAGCTGATGGAGACGGGTCCCACTCGTCATCAAGGGAGGAGCTGCGAGTAGGGGCTTGAGTGGCTAGGACTGATAGGGGCACGTGTGCGCCACTCCCCTTCCACATCATCGGTGGCTAGCTGGCTGTGGGGCAAGGAGTGGTCGTACATGCGCGAGAAAGGGACTTGATTGCGAATGTAATAATTTGTGTGATTTAAATTTATCAAGATATACTTCATTCAATTACGATTATTCTGACTTTTATAGATCTTAATTTGATTAATTAAATCGTCTGTAATTGCTTATGTAAGAATCATCGAGTGGAACTCTATTTCTACTCGATTCGTGTTCATAGGGTGCTGACGTCCGTACCTTTATTTCCTTTTTTTGTGAATTTTAAATATATTTAATTTTATTTCTTATTATAAAATTCATAGAAAATAATATTCATTGAGAAAAATTATAAATAATTACCCAATATTATATTACATCCTTGTGATTGACTTGGAAAATTACTACTATTTTTTAGAAGTTTTATTGAATTATAATTGATATATTTGTTCAAAAATTCATATTTTCTAGTTTTATAAATTTTAAATTTGTGTAATTTACTATACAATGATTAAGTCACATCAGGGACAATGGAGAAGCTGTGAAGGAGGCCATGAAGATGCAGGTGCCGGCCGATAGGTGCACGGGAGGGTGCTCGGTCAAGGCCGTGTAGCCAATGACGAAGACCTTAGGGTGTGGCTGGAGGGAGGCCGCAGTAGTGGCAGAGACCGCAGTGGTGGTGGCAGGGGCCACGATGGCAGTAGGGGCTGTGAAAATGATAGAGGCCACAACAGTAGAGGCCACAATGGCAGAGCACGCCACCTAAGGCATGCCACAGCAGGTTTGCCTAGGGCACGTTGTGGTGGGAGCGGCGATCGAGGGTAGCGGGCATGACCTAGGGCATGCTTGGCATGGTGCTTGGAGAGGGGTGGAAGTGGAGGCAGTGTTAGTGAGGGGTGGCAGGAGGCGGCGGTGGAGGAGGGCTGCTGTGAAGACTGACAACTATTGAGGATGAGGGTGCCAATGAGAGGAATGGCGTCGGCAGGTAGGTGCTGCCAAGAAGAGAAGGGCACTGCTAGAGGAGGGCAGCACGCTGGAGAGGGAGGCAGTGGCTGGAGAGAACCTAGAGCTTTGATACCATGCTGACAATGAAAGAGAAAATCCTAAAATCCATAGAGGAGAATAGAGGACTACATGTGTTTATATAGAAGAGGAGAAGAGGAGAAGAGGAGAAGAGGAGAAGAGGAGATAGAGATAAGAAGCCCTAATGGGCCAAGATTTTGATGACACTATTGAACAAGAATTAAGTTTTAAATAGAAAAAGACAACATTTTAACATCATAGCAGTGATTCCCAAAATTTTGAGCATTTGAGCGGATTATTATGCGATTTCTATGACATCAAAGGTTTCCTTAGGCATTCATGACATCGACAATCTTTAGATCTTCTTGTGAAGTCCAAAAATCGATGAAATGAGCTAAGGAATCATCTTCGATGATAGTTAGATCATCAATCAATCGGAGATGATTTTCTTGAAAAATCTATGATTTTTGTACTTGAAATGCTTAGATAGCTACTAATGATGGTCCACATAGTATTGACAAAATTTTCATTGATGTGCAAATGATTTCAATAACTTAATTATTGACTGACGCTTTGTAGAAAAATTAGAAGTTAAATAAGTAAATTATGTGAAATTTGGCTGTGTAAGAGAGAGTTAGAAAATTACCTATATACCCTTACTTAGTGACGTCATTGAGCTATTTCTTTCTTATAAGGTAGGGGCATTTTAAGTATAAAACTAGTGAAACTCACTTGTGACTACTAGCATGAGTTTAATCCCACATCAATTATTTCTCAATATTTGAGACTCATATATGTCTCTACCTCCTTGTCTTCCATGTACTCTCTCTCACATATATACGTGTACACAATCACTCCTTGCCCCACACTTGGTTGGCCACTAATGACATGGAAGCAGAGTGACACACATGTGCCTTGACTGGTCCTTAGTCACTTGAGCCCCTAGCTCATGGCTCTATTTGACTATGCCTCCAAACCATGTGTGGGCCTGGCTGGAAAGTAGGTCCCAAAATTGTGCCCCACTAGCTAGTGGGTTTTCTCTTTTTCGATATATTGTTATATTTTTATTTATTTTATCTCAAAAACATGATCATAATATGTATAAATTCACATAAAATCAAAACATTAGCAAAAAAATCACATTAATAAACTAAAAATCCTTTTTCTTAATTTAACATAAATATAAGTTTATTTATCATGATTTAAGGTTTAAAATATATTATTAATTAATTATTAACTCATAATAATGAAGACTTATTAGTAACCCATATTGTCATAATGTAAAAGGATCTTTACGATAAATTACTTTGAAAGGTATCATCTTGTGACTAAGTGATAAGAAATATTATAGCTAAGTTTTGCCTAGTGTAACTACTCCCTCCACAATTTAGGTTTATCATAGGTAAAACATTTGAAGTAGGTTTCTAAGGTCTTATTTACTACTTATGTTTGATCATCTATTTGTAGATGATAAGAACTCATTTTAAGTTCAATGTCTTGTAATTTATTTGGTGCTTGACGTGACTTAGTCGTTCTATAGTAAATCACGTAAATTTTAAATTTATAAAACTAGAAAATATAATTTTTTGGATATTTAGAGGTATTTTTGAACAAATATATCAATTATAATTCAATAAAACTTCCAAAAATAGCAGTAATTTTTCAAGTTCGATCACAGGGATGTAATATAATACTGGGTAATTATTCAGAATTTTTCTTAAAGCATACTATTCTCTATGAATTTTACACTAGGAAATGAAAATAAAATATATTTAAAATTCACGAAAAAAGGGAAATAAGGGTGCAGAAATTAGGATGATGTCAACGCCCGAGGAACGCAAATTAGATGAAAATAGAGTTCTGCTCGACAATTCTTACGTAAGCGATTATAGATAATTTAACTGATCAAATTAAGATTTGTAAAAGCCGAAAGAATTGTAATTGAATGGAGTATAGGTTGGTAAATTTAAAATCAACAAATTATCACTAAAGAAGCAGAAATTAAGTTGAAAGTAGGAAAATAGAGTTCTAGTATCGTGGCGGTGATGTGTCGGCAATGTGTCGACGATGCATCGGAATCCTAAACATTTGAGAGGATCGTCGTGTAGTGTCCACGGCCTCGAAGGCTCTCCTTGGACAAGGATGACATAGGCAATCTCTAGATCTCCTTGCGAAGTCTAGAGATCAATGAAATGAATCGTCGAATCATCTCTGATGGCTGTCACCTAGAGAAGTGGAAAAATGGCGACTTTGTGGCTCTCTAACGGCTGTCACCTTGCAGAGCAGAAAAACGGCGACTTTGTAGCTCTCTGGCAGCTATCACCCGACGGAGAGGAGTTGGATGGAGGTGGGGCGTGTGTCAGGGAGCTTCATCCTCAAGTCTGCGCAGCAAGAGGAGGCTCTTCATCGCATTCGGTACGCTCTTAGGAGGTGGAGACTCGTCTCCTGGCGGATTGTCCTCTTCCTAATGATTGCTTGTTCGTTGATCAATCGGAGAAGCTTTACTCAATGGATTCACGAACCTTTTATTCCGAATTTAGTAATTTTAGTAACAATGCTCTACAAATCGTATTTACGAGATTTTCGCCAATGATCCAACGATTCTAGTTGCTTAATCCTTCACCAACGATCTGCAGGAAAGTTACGATAATCAGATTAAAAATAAGAGTTTTGGCTCTAAGAGGATTCGAACCCGCGCCGGTTGCCCACCCCTTTCTAGGGAAGGTGTGACATGGGTTTAGTCCCACATCGCTTGTGTGCCGAAGTTTCGGCCGAATATATAGTAATATTACATTTGAAAGTAAGTCCCTTTCTTGTGTGTACGACCACTCTTTGCCTCACAGTTGGCTGGCCACTGGTGATGTGAAAGGGGAGTGGTGCACATGTGCCCCTATCAGTCCAAGCCACTCAAGCCCTTGCTTGTGGCTACTCCCCGACTGTGCTTCCATTCCCCTTGCGAGCCCAGCTGGCCGACAGGTCCCCCTTATTTTATTTTATTTTTATTTTTATTTCTTTTTCTTCATTTATCTCAAAAGTAAGACTATAAAAATCATATAAATTCGTATAAAATCACATAATTATTCAAAAATTCACCTTAATCAGCTCAAAAGAACTTTTCACACTTTAACACAAATATAAGTCTATTTATCATGAGTTAAGGCTAAAACTATATTATTTACTAATTATTAACTTATGATAATAAAAACTTATCACACCTTCCAACTTAAATCATTGCTAGTCCCTTAGCAATGGAATTATGAAAATAAAAATTTACAAATCTCAAACATCATATTTCAGTACATAAAAAATAAAAAAATATAATTAGAAATGATGCACCTTTAGACACTTGGATTGTTATATCAAGTATTTAAGAATGATGTCAAGCACTTAAATGTTTAAGCACTCTTTGGAATAACAATCTAGACTTCACTTCTTCTATTCACATCTTTATCACTTCTTCACTCATAGATATATTTACAAGATGTTCCAATTATCAATACTCATCCAAGAATAATATTGATCCTACATTTCCTTTTTTCTATGGCTTGATTTTTGAATTTTGTAGTATATTTCTTTATTGTTTTTATATATATATCTATATAGTAGATAAGTAGCTTTTCTTGTAGACAAATTTTGACAGTAAGAATAATGTCTCACACCCTCCATGTTTACTCTTCATTTTCAGGGCTTTCACTTTATTCACTTCTTTTGCAGCAAGTGTTTTTCTATGGACGATTCTCGACAATGAGAATGATGTCTCACACCCTTCATGTGTACTCTTTGTTTCTAGATTTTTCACATTGCTCTCTCTTTTTTTTTCAAAATAAGTAATTTCTCCTCACAAGTCCTATAGATCAGGGTACAAAAATCTCCATTAAACTCAAATGATCAATCAAATTTCACATCAAGTAAATATTATCCATCAAGATCATGAAGTGAAAATCTGTAAAATCAAATACAATGTTATCTATCATGTATCCAAGGAGTATTCCAACATTTCATGGTACTAGATCATTCTTTTAACTCAATAATAATCTTTCTTGTATCTTTTGGTATCAATCAATCTAATTGATTTAATTTTTCATGCATGCAATATGATGTAAGAAATTTGTAAGTTAGATAGTTCTCACAGTTCTGTTTTTTATTTTCAGTTCTATTTTTAGAAACAATAAATTTGTCAAAAATAAATCAAAACTATTCTCTTTATAATTGTAATTTCGAATTTCAGTAATATATGTCTAGGGGATTGAAATGTGAGAAAAGGGTCTCTAGAATTTCAAATTTCGGGCTGTTTTTTTTTGCCTGCTGTTTTTGATAGTCTGTTGTTCTTGACAGAAAACTAGAAAATAGATGTTGTAGTTTTTCTGAATTTTATTTTATTTTTATTTTTTTAGTTGCTGTTCTAAATGAGCATGAAAAAATAAAAATAAAATGCAAACACATGTTCTTAATCATCCTACGGCATAAATTAATAATGAATACTTTACCCCCCAACTTAAAAATGACATAGTCCTCAATGACATAGAAAAATCGAAATAGAATATGCAGAAAATATAATTTTCAAGTGAAGCATGCATCTATGCAAAGTTAAGTATTAAAAATATTGTTATAAATGATAAAGCTCAAAAAGACATCACCTCAACCTCATTTTAAATTTTCCACTTCATCTTACACTCCTCCTCTTGCACTTTTTCAGAAAAAACAAATATAGAAACAAGTACTGCGAAATTCTAAGAAAAACATAGCTTAAAAAAAATCAAACAGAATGAAATAAAAACCATGGGTTGCCTCCTATGCAGTGCTGAATTTAATGTCTTCAGTTGGACAGCTCTTAGATCATATAAGATGATCTATGGCCATCAAAATATATTTGTATCCCAAGGTAAGTTTCATGATATTATTTTTCAGATTTAGCATAAATTCATATACTTCATATATATACCTTGACATACTTTCAGCCATAATAAAATGAAAATTAACAAAATTTTCTCAAAAATAATATTTTCATTTTGAAAAAAATCTTTCCTCATTTCTATCTTGTTTTGTAAGGCTCTCATTCATTAATAAATACTTTCTATTAATAGACCATAAAATGTGATCAAGCTATATAATTTTCAAATTAGCTCTTACCCAACCTAGAATTTTTTCATCTAAATTGATATCTCTAATTCTTCCATTCATCCATTTCTTAATGTCTTCTTTTATCTGCATAATCTTCTCCTGCTCCATTTTATCTTCTATATATATTTGTTCAAT